CCGCGTAAAAGGCCTCTTAATACTATCATCATATACATTTTTTTCATGCAATCTCTAAAAGTTTAATATTTAAAAGAAAATGCATTATCCAAATAAAAAAAATGCAACTTTATTTATTTAGTATACTAAATAAATAAAGAATCAAACTTGCCTGCAATGCTGCTATAGAATCGTCTACAAATTCGGTAATTATTATAATGGAAAAATAAAATTTTAAGATAAACGACATTTTTTCGTTTACAATCTTAGAAAAAGTATTTTTAAAAGAGAAAAACTGTTTTAAATAAATTGAATATAAAGCTTTATTCGCCCCTTGTAATCGCAAAATTACTGTCAAAAGTTAAAATTATACCAAAAGAGAAAAACAACACTTTCAATTTTCACTTTTCAATTTTTTGTCACCATGCACGTGAAAAACTCTTGATTCAAAAACAAAAAAACTTTCGAAAAATTGAATTTACATTTTTGTTCACACAGTGAATGCAAACAATTTTGAAAAAATCGTTCAAAAATGTAATTACTAAAAGAAAAAAAATGATGTAAAAAATTACTAGAATTTGAAAAAATTGTTTGATTACTACTGAAAAAGAAAATCAAAATCCGGAAAGAACATTAATTTAAAAAAATTAAAATGTAGTTGCATTTTAACAGTGAATTTTTAAAGTTGCTTGCAAAAAAGTTGAGAAAATATAGGTAAAAATTTGTAATTACTAAAACAGAATTATAAATTTCTCGGGAAAGAAGAATACTTACAGGTGCTTATATAGTTTCACTCTCAGTTAACCGCCATCTCAAATCCCAAATTCCGTTTAAAAAAGTGAAACACACACATTTCCACAAAAACACCCGTAAAATAAATTAATTATTCACATATATAGATAGTAAAGATAATAACTACTAACGGAAATTGTTTCCCTAAAATGCGTTTCGAATTTTAAAAAACAGACACTTTCCGATCAAAAACACTCCCCTCCAATTTTGAAAACACTTTTTTTCACTTGAAGCAAAAATGTTTAAAATTGCTAAAAACATAAACCATGTTTGAACTGAAATCACAATACACACAACTACAATCAACACTCGTATAAAAAAAACTTCAAGCTTAAAAAACAAACTTTTAAAAAACGATACTTTTGTACATTATATTCTTTTCAAGAGAATATTTAAAACCCGTTTACGCGACCATTTACGAGCGCGGCTAAAACAAGACTGAACCTGCAAACTCTCTTTCTCTCTCACCGCGGGTCTATTGCCGAGTGCAAGTGGTATGGAAGGAGTGGGGATGAATTCATGTAATGGCGTTGTAAGGATAGGCGGACCCAAGGCGAGCCAATAACATTCCCAAGCGTCTCGCTCTCTCTCTTGCGCGCGATTTGAAAAATGGAAACACATAAGGGCATATCACTGCGGAAAGTTCAACTTTTTAAAAAGAAACCATTTTTTAAATGTTTGTTTCAAACACATTATTGAAAATCTCTCCGCGCATAAACTTTTTGAATCAAGCTTACAAATTCTGCAAGTGAAAAGCTAAAACGATGAATCGCCTTTGAAAAGTATAGTAAATTATTGAATGTTTTGAGAATTATTTTTAACCTGTTTAAAAAATATTCAACAGGTGTTTATTTTTAGAATACATGGAAAACATTTGAAAGCAATTAAATGAGGCATTATAATTTATAATATAACAATATTATTAAAAATAAAAAGTATTATAATTATAATAAATTATCAAGATTATTATTACTTGTCAAAATCTATATTATTTTCAACCAAAGCATGAACTGCGGAACATTATAAATGTCTGAACTGCAATAATTTTAATTTCAATTTGAGTAAATTATTATTAAATTAAAGTTGTATTGAAATTAATTCTAAAGTCGCATTTATTTTTAATTTAACCGAATTGGAGAATGTGATAATTTTCTCGTAAAAGAATATTATAGGGTAAACCAGATGACAGTAGTCGGCCACTTAAGAAAATCTTTTTAATGAAAACTGTTTAAAAATTACAATTAAAATTTCTTCCATGTGTATAATTGTTTCTAATGTTCCTACAAAACTACACTACCGCGGTCAAAATTGAGAGACCATACCCATTTTCAGGCGATTGAAAAACATTTTAAAACAAAAAATGTATTGAAACTAAAATTTTTTTCTTTTTATTCATTGAAAGATGTTAAAATTTTGAAAAGAACAAGATCTTTTAAAAGTCATTTGGTCAATATTTAATTTATATATTTTTAAATAATCGTCATTTTCAATGTTTTACAAAAATTTGAACAACTTTTAAAATAATGAACGCTTTTTAATGATCTTGGGCTTATTTTAAAGGTCATTTGTTACACTATAAGAATTACTTAAAGGCATTAACGTATAAATTTTTTCTTAAAAATTGCAAGCCGTCAAAGTTGGACCAAAAAAATTTGAAACATTCTTATTAACAGAAAAATAATTTTTAAAATTCAAACAAATTTTTTTTATTTAATTTTTATGAAAAATCTACACCATATGCTGTTTTATATATTTTCTAGAATCGTTTTTAGTACAGAAAAATTGTTTCAAATTTTTTTGAATTTTTTGGTCAAACTTTGATGGCCTGCATTTTCTAAGAAAAAAATTACACGTTAATGCCTACAAGTAATTCTTCAAGTGTAACAAATGACCTTTAAAATAAGCCCAAGATCATTAAAAAGCGTTCATTATTTTAAAAGTTATTCAAATTTTTGTAAAACATTAAAACTGACGATTTTTTAAAAATATGTAAATTAAATATTGGCCAAATGACTTTTAAAAGATCTTGTTCTTTTCAAAATTTTAACATCTTTCAATGAATAAAAAGAAAAAAATTTTAGTTTCCCTACATTTTTTGTTTTAAAATGTTTTTTGCAATCGCCTGAAAATGGGTATGGTCTCTCAATTTTGACCGCGGTACCGTGTAGAAATGGTGGTCGGGTTCTAGTGGGGACCTCACCAGTTTACCCCATTTGAAAAAGGGCTCCAACTAGAGAAACTGGTGGGGTTCTAGTCGATTTTGTCACGCTCTAGTTGATAGGGCCCCGACTAGAAGTTCTAGTTCACTTCTACCGGTTTTAAAAATTATTATTTTTCAACTTAACTTATTTATAATTGAATTCTCCATTCATATTAACATTATTAATGATTGTTGCACACGAAAAATCTCGTGCCTATGAGGGTTCGAACCTTGGACCTTGGGGACACCAGACGGATACACATACCTCTCGGCCATGATAGGTTGGATGGACTTCCGCTTAAAGTACATCCCGTTTGGAAATTCCGCCATTTGTCCCTATCTCTAGTAGGGCTCTCGCTAGATTCTGACTAGAATCTCTAGTCGAGAAAAACTAGTCGGGTTCCAATCTAATTCTAGTTAGATGATTCTTACAAGCATTATTTATTAAAAAAGTTTGCATATTATTTGATTACTTAATTTTTTAATTATTTAAACAAAATCTTTTATTTATTAAGTAAATTAAAAAAGAATAAACCATAAATAAATATTAATTATGTGGATATAATTAATTTTTATTAACTAAATATTGTAATATATTATTTATTATTATATTATTTATTATTATTATTATTTATTAAAACAATTATAGTAAATATAAAAATATAAAAAGTAATGTAATAAATTAGTTATGTTTAATTTTTCAATAACGTTATAGATATAATTAATTCATAATATTTTGAATTTTAGGGAGTTATTATTCATCACTCTTATTTAACTCTGCATTCCTAATGATAGTTAATAATAATTAATTATGACATTATTGAAAAATTAAACATTACTAATTGCAGTGCTTTTTATATTTACTATAATTATTATAATTATATTATTCAATTTATTATTGTAATTATAATATTATAGCATCTTTTTAATTATTATTATTAAATACTTGCATTAATTGTGAAAAACATTTTAAAGTATAATTGCACATACATATCTTTTTAAAAAAAAATTATTTTTACGAATAATATTACAATATTTAGGTAATAAAAATTAGTTATACCCACATAATTAATATTTATTTATGTTTTATTCTTTTAATTTACATATTAAATAAAAGATTTTTATTTAATAAAATTGCTTTATTGGAATTTTTTGTAAAAATATTCTACAATATTTAAAATTTTGTTTAAAAAATGTTAAAAAATTAAATAATTAAATAATATGCAAAATTTTTTAATAAATAATGCTAGTAAGTTTTTCTATCTATTAATCTGAATTATTTATATCTATAGAAAGATAATTTATGTATGTCATACTTGTACACTAGTTTGTCTAGTTTGAAATCGATAAGGTCCTAGTGAGTTTTTTCCAGTCTTAGGCTGGAGTCCCATGGTAGCGTTTTGCGTTGCGTTTTGTAACTAGGCAATGAGTGCAAATAGAGCAAACCTATATCTGTATCTCTCTCACACTCATGGCCTAGTTACAAAACGCAACGCAAAACGCTGTCATGGGACTCCAGCCTGAATTATCTAACTAGAATTTGATTGAAGCCCGACTAGTTTTTCTAGACTAGAGATTCTAGTCAGAATCTAGCGAGGTCCCTACTAGAGATAGGGACAAATGGGGAAATTTCTACACGGGCTAGTATATTTTAATTACATATTATAGAAATTTGAAAAATTAGATTTTATATAAAAAATTTTAAATTAATATAATGGAATAACAATTTTCTAGAAACATGATAATATGATAACATGATCGAATATGGCCAAGATTTTAATTAATACAATTGATTTTGCTACTCTCTAAATCTGAATTAGTAAGTTTCTACTATTGAAATGCGGATTCGTTTACTAATTTGAATTTGTAACATTTTTTACTAATATATAGTAATTTTTTTTTTCCAAATTGCTAGTAGAAAATTACCAATTCATTATAATTATGTGGAAAAAGTAAAATTATGTTTATTCTTTTTTTTCACGTTTTAGTTTGTTAAGTAATGTTTAATTAAAATTAAATTTTCTTCTAATTAATAGAGATAATAAGAAAGAAATTTTTATTTTGTTAAACGCATGTAATACACCATTAAAACAGATAACAAAAATTTAAAAAAATTCTTTTTCTTGTACAAACATGCTTTTACATAATTAAACACATGTTGAGGTGATGGATTGTAGCAGTCGTTTTTAATTGAATGTTATATTTAGAGAAACAAGATGGTGTGATTATTGAATTACAAAATTCCAGTTTTGCCGACGCAAGATTCTTAATTTGCGCTTATCCACTTTTTTTTACAATTTCGTATACAGAGCGCGCGAAATTTTGAAGACTTACATACACACACATTATTTTTTTACATCGTTTCTATTGTTAACCGTCTTTTCATATCAATCTGAAAATCACTCTATTACTATGCGAGTAATTTCTCTCCAAAACACATTGACATTTTAGAAAATCCGATTTCATCGTCTTTTTTATATAATATAATGTAGTGTAGAATTTTTATCAACTAATATAACCATGTTTTAATCACTTTTGAATTTAACTGAAAAATTTTTTTTACAACTTTTTAGGCCTTGATGAACTATAATTTTTATCGTCAAGATAAACTTATGTCGCTCGCACCACATTACTAATAATAAAAATAATAATATTAATAATAGGAATTATAATAATAATAATAATAAAAAATGATAATATAGATTAATAAAATAATAAATGATAATAATAATTGTAATAATATTACTCATATTAATGTGTAGCAGTTCTACCGAAATAAACTCTATACAAAATAATTTTGAACAGTTAATTGCGAAATATTACAGTAGAACCTCGATTATCCGAGGTAATGTGGGGAAGAGGTACCTCGGATAATCGAAAACTCGGATAACACGGAACCAATGAAAATTTCAAAATTTTAAATTATTTTTCATGTGTTTAAAGTGTTAGAATAATATTAAATGACAAAAATGGACGAAATTTTAAATGCAATGATCACAAATAGTGGTTTTGTAAAATTTATTTTCCAAATTTAGTCGCTCGATCCGTTTTATCCGAGTTATTCCGCATTATCCGAGCATGTTTTGTGCCTCGGATAATCCGGAATCTCGGATAATCGAGGCTCGGATAACCGAGGTTCTACTGTATTACATTTTCGACTATAATGTTATTATACGATTATAATAATTTTGTTCTTCAATTTTTTCACACATTGTTTATCATCATTGAACAAAGCATTCTGTAATATTTATTAATGTAAAAAATTAATGCTAAACTAATAACACAAATATAAAACATTTTATGGTGTGAAATTAACTGTAAACAATTTTTTTGTATAGGGTTGTAGAGTTTCGTTGCTGATTGTTGCGCAATTTCTTGTTAAAATAATTGCATCGCGCTTTCTATACTTTTCCGCGCGCGCAGTAAGCCTATACGTACGCAATTCATTATTTTTTAGTAATGAAAAATAATGAAGCTAATAAAGAATTAGAGATTGAGATACAAAGTTATTAAAGATGGAATTATCACAAATAAATAGTTTTATATTTTGCAATAGTTTAAACTTAATTTGCTTCTATATATTATGTACATAAACATTTGTGTCCTTACTGTAATATATACTAAGAAAGCGCGATACGATTTTTAAAAATTTACTGTATCCTTTGCAATTCTTTTCTTGATTTTTCTTTTTTTTTTTGTTTTTTTGTCACAACAGTTTTGTTATACATTCTTTTTAATAATGCAAAACTGTTTATTTTTTTTATTTATTTTTTTTTAATTGCACACATTCATGCTCTAATATGAAATATTTATGTCACTTGAAACATATATCATTTATACTTTTATACATTTTAAATGACCTTCATTCCGGATGTGTAACACTAAAATTTATAAAAGTTACAACCATCAGAACTCATATACGTTATTTTATCTTTAAATGCATTGATATATAATTAAGTAGCATTTGTCACTGGGTTTTTTCGTGTCATAGCTATGAATGAAATGACGCATGCAGCGTTGATGATTCAAAAACTTTAATCAATTGAATAAAGATTAAAGAGGTTAATGTCTTTTTCTCTTTTATTTTTATTATTAAAACCCATCTTTGTTTGGCATATTAAATTTTGAAATGTAGTTATTATTATTATTATTATTTTCTTTTTTTATCCTATTTATGCATATTTAAAGACAGAAAAAAAGTATCAGCTATATAGAAGAAAGGGCGTGACTCTCGTTTTTCTTTGACTAGTTTCGAATAAAAAAATTAACAAAACAAAATTAATTCTCGTTCATACACGCATGATATTTGTCACACAATTTAAAACAAAATATCATTTTATATTTTGTTTGATATTAGAAATGAGTGAAAAATAAAGATCGAGTTATGTAAATGAAAAAAAAAGTTAAATAAAAAAGTGAATTTCGAAAGCAACAATTTAATGTGTGTGTGTGTCAAATATATATTATCATAAATATGTTTTGATTGAAAAGAACACGTTTTCTCCTCTTCCTTGTATGTACTTTTTATATAAAAAATAGCAATGGAGGCAGCAACAGTAGGAGTAGCATTCAACATTAAAAAGAAATACATATAATTTTTGTTTATCGTTACATACAAACATACACACACACACACACACACTATTTCTCTATTTCTCTCTCTCTCTCATTACTCTCACAGCTTCTCTTTAATATACTCTGAAATAGATTATTTTTATAACAAGGTAAAAAAAAAGAAAACGTAATTATAATACAGTATACGTTCAAGTCTTAGGGGCTAGAAATATTATTGTAGTATTTTTTTGTCTTTATAATAGTCAATGTCTATAATATATTTATACGACAGCAACACGATTAATCAAGAAGCACTCCTGCTGACTATTTGTAGCTATTTTTCTTTTGTTACATTTTTGGAAATGTTTCAATTTAATTTTTTTTTTTTTCTTTATTTATATTTATATTTTATGCATTAATAATTCGTTAGACACTTTTCAAAAAGTGTAAAAACAATTTTTCTTGACGAGATTCTCTTTAAACTTTTAAAATAAAAGAAGAAATAAAAAAAAGTATAAACATAAATGTGTAACATAAATTCTTGTTATTTTATATCAAAACTTTTTTTTTTTTGCTTCTATCATTATTCTTTATATGTCAAATGTTTTTTCTAATATTAATTATAATCATTGTATGTAAAAGTCAAAAAATTATGAAATTAAAGCTTAAACACCAACTGGTTGCTAAATAGAGAAAATTCTTGTTTCCTCTTTTAAACCAAGGTCACACACACACGTAGACGCACAGGGTTTATTAAAATCTTATCACTTGTGTGTGATTATTGTTTTGAATGTGAGGGAATTTATGATCACGAATGTTTGACGACAATAACACCCGGTCGTTGTTGAGCCTGCTGCTGTTGTTGGAATTGAAGAAAATTAGTTACTAGTCGCTGCTGCTGTTGCTTTGTCGTCGTCGACGTCGATGACGCTGTCACTGTTGTAGTAGTGGTGGTGATTGGTGATTTATTCGTCAGAGCTAGTGGAACATCTTGAGCAGGTTCATCACTAAATAAATGATCTCCTTCCAGGTGACGAATTGCCTCCACAATAGTTTCAAGATTCTGTCTGGAGGTGTTTGCTAAATATAGTCTTGCTTGTGGCGTTCCATCATCTAATGAACTAGCAACTGGAGACGGTAGCCTGTAAAGAATTTATTTTAATTATACATTTATTTGTAAATAAATATTGTGACATTTTTCTTTATATTTTGACATGTACTATAATAAATATGTCTAGTGGTGTGTGCGCGCGCGCATTAACAAACAGAGAGAAGCAATAATTTTTTATCGAGTTTTTTTTTTTTTTTACCTTTCAACTTCAACTTTAGGTTCAGCTTTCATAGCAGCTTCCAACACACTGGGTAATCGCTGCTGCTGCTGTTGAACATCTTCCTCAGGAGAATAGGGTCTTGTAGGACTACTAGTAATATATTGTGTGGATGAATTGCTAGTTGATTCAGTACAGCCATAAGAAGTTGTTGTTGTTGTTACTATTGAAGGCGAAAATGAGCAATCTGTTTCTCTTTGTTGTTGTTGTTGTTGTTGCTCTTCTACTGCAACTGCAATTGATGGAAAAATTTGACTTGCAAATGTAACAACGGTTTTTGAGCTACTAGAATCTTCTACTAATTCATCTTCTTCTTCTTCCTCTTCCTCATCTTCAACTTCTTCCTCATCCTCCACTTCTTCTTCTTCTTCTTCTTTAATCTCTTCTGCTACTACCTCTTCTACTTCAACTTGAACTGGTTGTGGTGAAATAGGTGGTGAACTTAAATCTGAAATGGTAGTTTCAACTGTTTGTGTTGATCCTACAGGAGGTAAGGAAACCAAGGAAACTACTTGCAATGAAGCAACTCCAGCTGTTTCTCCATCTTCTTCTTCAATCTCCTCCTCCTCCTCCTCTTCTACTTCTTCCACTTCCACTCCAACTACTCTTCCTTCTTCTTCTTCTTCTTCGACTTCCTCCTCTTCGGTGGTGGTTTCTACTGCTGCCACTTGCATCAAATTATCTGTGTGTTCAATAACCTACAAAGTTTATAAATAAAAAAATTAATATATTATAATAAAGCACATTATGAAACAAAAATTGTTTCAAGATTTTTCTAATTAAAAGACAAAGTGGGGGGGGGGGGAGTTTAGTCATAACTGTAATACTAATAAGAGAAGAAATTTTAAAAAAAGAAAAGAATAGAAAATTAGTTGGTGTTCTTATTTAAGGTTGTCTAGCGATTCTTTAAAATAAATTCAGGGACTTTTCAAGGTCCATTTGAATTTATGGTTACTAAAATATTTGTCATTTTTTATCCAGCATAATAGAGTAAAAGTTCTGTTTATTATACTTTTCCTTAATCTCAGTCATCATCATCAGTGTATTTCAAGTAAATTTTTACTTACTCTCTAATTAGTAAAAATGATTACTAAAATTTGATTTAGTGACTCTGACCTTTTGCTGCTGCTTCTTTTGAATTAGTAAATTTTACTAATAAATAATCATTTCTACTAATTTTTTAGTGAAATTTACTAATTCAAAAGCAAAAAAGTCAGAGTTTCTAAAATTTAAAATCATTTAGTAAACTGATTTTTACTAATTCAAATTTAGAGAGTATTTATAAACAATTTTATAATTGCTACATACAACAGTTATTCATAAATAACTTTAAATACAATTTATTGATAATAAAATATTAGAAATATAAAGAACGCATCGATTTAAGAAATATCAATCAAAATTGTTTTTAAATAATAGAATTCTTCTGGGAATTTTTATTAAAATAATTGATATATAAATTATTGAATTAACCCTCCGTCACACACACACATGGGAAAAAATTACGACTTTACAAACACGTTTAGAGGGAACCCCCTCATCACCACATTGTAAAATAAGCAACATTACAACATATAAACAAAGGAATCAACAAAAATTTTTTAGTTTTAACACAAACTTACACAAATATGTAGTAAATTATTCTAAATTATAAAATTAATTTTCGGTCTCAAAAATAAAAATTAATTACACGAATGCACATCTTCGAAGGAATAATTCCATTTGACATGTAAAAATAATGTAACATTAACAAATAAGCAAAAAAATCATTAAACAATTAATTTTAATTATATTTATAATATAATTTTGTCATTAACCAACAATAACGGTGGAACAAAAAATGTTTTGAAAACTTGATTTTTTTATTTAAAACATAACCTCACTTTTTCGAGTTTTTTCTTGACTTTATTAATAAGCTTCATAATTAAATATTAATTATGTTTAAACTAAATGTTTTTTTCAGAAATGTGTTAAGGAGTAAATATTGTCGAAAGGTATATAGAAACTGATTATATTTTGCAATGAGGAAAACAAAAAGTTATTTAAAAAATACTGAAACCGTAGAGGGAATCCCTCCCTATAGGTGTTATGTGACGGAGGGTTAATTGAAGAATTTTTGAAAATAATTGAATTTTATTACTTTTGAAAATTGTAATTGAATTACTGCGAAGAATTTAATGCCAAATTTTAAAACTATAGATTTTTGCGTAGAAATTTATGCAAATTCTATTTCAAATAATTGAATTAATGTAAAAATTTTTTTTTTTTTTAAATAATTAAAAGTTTATGTAGAATTTTTTAAAAACTTTTGTTTAATAATTAAAATCTATAAATTGAAATCTGAAATCTGAATTTATTTCTTGCATATAATTTTATTAAAATTTTTGAAAATAACAAATAATCATTTACGAGAATTCAATTGTCTAAAATTTGGATCGGTGGGCAATTCAAATCGAATAAAATTGTATTTGATAAACAAGTTTTATTTTCATATAATAATAAAATTCTTGAATTTATATGAGTATTTTGAAGAAAATAATTAATTTTTTCATTTCAATGAATTTGAGGGTCAATTTGAGTTCACAGTGCAAATTCTCAAAAAAGAAGAAAAGTAGCATCTTTTAAAGTAGCACAAAGCCAGAAAATTAGGCAATTAATATGCAATTATTATTATTATGCCTTCCTTTATATTCGATTTATTAACAAGCTGTCTCTCTCACATTAATGAGAAAAGTTGTTGTTAAACTACACACACACACACAATTACCCCCAATTGAAAAAGTAATGAAAAATTTATTCTCACCTCATGAGGTTGATAAGCAATGAGTTGTTGTTGTTGTTGATTATCAACTCTAAACCTATCTGTAGTTGTGGCAATAGCAGCTGTGGTAAATACAGGCTGATTTTGAATTGTTCTCAATTGTTTTTCTAAATGATGCCTTGCTTGACGCTCTCTTTCTAGCTGTCGCCCAAGTTCAATTATTTCATTAGAATGATCCGGAGTAATCATTGCAGCTACTGTTACAGCGGATAATGGATCAGGTGACATACTACCTAAACCCTCATCATCATTGTTGGACTGTTGTTGGGGAGCAGCAGCCGTTGGAGGTAAACTACTCACGAAAACTCCTGATAAAAAGAAATTTCAATTAATAACATTTAATGCTGACAATAGAAAAATGTTGGTGTTTGTTTATAGAATTTTTGTATTTAACAGACCTTGATTATCGGCGGCGGCGGCGGCGGTTTTACGTTTCTTTATTGGAACATCTCCGCCTTCATGTTGATTTATCAGTCGTTTTAACTGGCAATTTTGAGATAACAATTGTGTTTTTTCTTGTTCTAGTTGATAAATATATTCAGCTGTTTGCTGGAGGATTGCAGCCTAAAACAAAAAATAATTAAAAATTGAATATATATTTGTCTAGACTAGAAATTAATGAATAGATTTCATTATTGCACACAATTTTTTTTCAATAAACCACTTTTTATGTGCAACAACTACAGTATATATTATACATAAATTACACAGGTTTACAAATTAAAAACTTTTTTTTGCCAATCAAACAAAACATTTTTTTTTTCCGAATAGTAGGTGCATTTTTTGAGTAAGAAAATCATAGTTTCAATTTTTTTTTTCCCTCGTGCAGTTACTTAATTTTCTGTAGCTTCAAATTTTGCATTTTCGAGGTTAAACGCGACGCCACCACCACCACCACTTAAACTTACCTGTAGGAAAATTAGCCTGTCAAAATGTAATAAATCCTCATTTATTACATTTTTATCATTGGAAAGGTTATTAAATTAGCTTTTGATCCATAGGTCGCAAAATAAAATTCAACAAAAATTGAGAGAGTTACAGTCGATGATTAAAGATGAAATTTCATGACAATTTTTTGATGATTTTTAGACATTTGAGTAACTTTTACCATTTTTTTCCCAACATCAGAAACACAGTGAAAGAATGTTTAGGTTTTAATTTTTTTTTATTGATAGGTTATAATATCATTACACAAATTTTAAGCCCTTGTGAATTTTAATCCTCGATTGGATTAAAAATGACAATTCTACACTAAAATATTAGTGAACGAAACTACATTCTTCATTTTTAATAGTATCGCCCTTAAATATTTGCAGCAAAAATTAAAGTAAAAAAATTTAGTTAAGCGCTAAAGTTACTCTAAAATCACTAATCAAGAGTTTCTATTTTAAAGTCATAGATTTCGAATGCAATGTAAGTTTTGCAAATTTCAAAATGGCGGATCCAATATGGCCGACAAGTTTTTAAAAATCGATGAAATTCGTCTTAAATTCGTTACTCGGGGCTGTTTTTGGGGTCGCTGTTGATTACGAATCTAATGTCGGATTACAAAAATTCAAAATGGCGGATCCAATAGGTGCGAATTTGATTGATTTTAAAAATCTCCTCGTTCACCATTATGAATCCATCATTTTCAATTTTCGAAATCCAAAAACCGGATTCGTAATCACAGCGACCCCAAAAACAGCCCCGAGTAACGAATTTAAGACGAATTTAATCGATTTTTTAAAATTTGTCCGCCATATTGAAATTTGCAAAACTTACATTGCATTCGAAATCTATGACTTTAAAATAGAAACTCTTGATTAGTGATTTTAGAGTAACTTTAGCGCTCAACTAAATTTTATTACTTCAATTTTTGCTGCAAATATTTAAGGGCGATACTACACGGAGAGAAATGTGTTACGAATAACGCTAGAGACATTTTGATTCGCTTTTCGCATAGACGTCTGTACCTAATTTTGCAAAGGCCGGTGCTAACTTTGTACAGCTTTTTTCCACTTGTGCCACATCATTGTGCTCAAATCCATGAAAAATCAGCATGGATTTCTTGTAACTTTCGCATGGTGGTGTGTATGCGCTTTTAGTACGGCCTGCTCATGCGCTAAGAGCACACGCATAGAAAGGGTTTGCTGTGGCAGCCAACATTTTGCTGCCACAGCAAACCTTGTTCGTTGAAATAGGGACAGCGAACAAGTTTGCTGTAAGATCAACAACTTTGCTATGACAGCAAACTCGACTAAATTTTTACTAATGTTTGCTGTCACAGCTAACAACATGTTCGCTGCCACTGCAAACTTCTTAGCTATGGTAGCTAATTTTCAAAGATTTCACAGCAAACATGTGTTTACTGCTGCAGCTAATTTCTTTTTTTCTGTGCAACAGCTAATTCTCTCCGTGTAAAAATGAAGAATGTAGTTTCTTTCACTAATTTTAGTGTAGAATTGTCATTTTTAATCCAATCGAGGATTAAAATTCACAAGGGCTTAAAATTTGTGTAATGATATTATAACCTATCAATAAAAAAAAAATTAAAACCTAAACATTCTTTCACTGTGTTTCTGATGTTGGGAAAAAAATGGTAAAAGTTACTCAAATGTCTAAAAATCATCAAAATTGTCATGAAATTTCATTAAGGAAGATTTAAAATTCGTAATCAGCAAATAATTTCCTACATGAAATTTCATCTTTAATCATCGACTGTAACTCTCTCAATTTTTGTTGAATTTTATTTTGCGTCCTATATGGATCGAAAGGTAATTTTTAATAACCTTTCCAAAAATGATGATACCTCATTTATTCTATTTAGACAGGCTAATTTTCCTGCAGGTAAGTTTAAGTGGTGGCGTCGCGTTTAACCTCGAAAATGCAAAATTTGAAGCTACAGAAAAACTGCACGAGGGAAAAAAATTGAAACTATGATTTTCTTACTCAAAAAACGCACCTACTATTCGAAAAAAAAAAATGTTTTGTTTGATTGGCAATTTCGCACTGTAAACCAGTGTTATTATCAATTGTTTACAACAAACTAAAAATAAAGGTGTAAAACGTGTAACGGTGATTCGTATAGTCGATGCCTTGGTCTCTCTCTGTTCTATATTATACATATGAAGCTCTTTCACTGTATATTGTGTAACGCAACACAACACATTCATAAGGTTTTTTCACAGACTTGTCGACCCATTTTCATTTAAGCATGCAGACGCTTATAAACCAGTTTTCTCCAATTATTTTTATCAATTTAATTTCTTTGACCCATTTTGTCATGTATATAAAATTATTATGATTGATAGACTGAGAAAATAGTTTACGTATGTAGTTTTCATTTATGAAAATACAAAACTTGTTTTTTCATTAAATGATGGAGAACCAAATAATTTTTTTTTTCTGACGATTCTCATTATTCTTAATTTGTAAAAAATAAAATCATGTATTTTAACATTTCGTCTCAACTTGATTTAAAAATGATTTTTTTTACAATTTGTGATATTGGTTTTACAGGAATAAAATAATCATAATGAGATATTATTCAATTTTTTTTCGCTTTCCCTTTAAATTGTTATTATCATTTCATTAATACGTTGCCTCTTCATAGGGATAAAAATATGTCAACGTATAATTAGAATTGAAGGAGAAAAATCACAACGCATATTTGTGGTTAAAGACAATTTTCTCCTCGCTCGTGCTGCTGCTGCTGCTGCTGCTGTTACCACAATCAGGAATCGTGTTGTTTTCTAGTTGGTAGTTTTGAGTAATACAACGAAATTCCTGGTTATTATAAAAACAGCAGTCAACACAACTGGGTTACAAAGTTTGTATTTTGTTTGCTCCATTTATTTTTTTTTTGAAAAGTTATATCAAATTCTAAAATAGAAACACAATAATTTAATTATTGTGTTTCTTTTTATTTATCTACAATAAGATTTTTTTCATGTCTAATTCGAAAATCAAGTAAATGTTTATCAAGTCTACTTTTGAAAAAATCACTACATCTTTAAAAAATTATATTAATAGGTTTCGGGATAAGAAAGATGAAAAATGTTCTAAGCAATTATCCATTTTTCATAAACAATATTATAGTGTACTCGTCAAAATTTATAATTATTTAGATACACTAGCTATAAACTTCCATTTCTATGGAGTTTCATCGCACCAGCAGCCGCCTTCTTTTTCCTCTACTCACTATTATACTCTGCTTGGCGTAGTCATGGCAATATTGATCAAGTCGGCTGACAGAATATACCGGCCGGCTATCTTTCTCTATACCAGTTGGTGGTGGCAATTCCGTTACAAATCTCATGCACTTGACAAACTTTAATTTTGTCATCTTTAATTTTGTTATTATAAATAATTTATTACAAAATTGCACAAATAATTTAAAAAAATTTTAAATTTCACTTGTCAAAATGTATGATGTTTAAGACAATGTTTGTTCTAAATAATTTTAAATGTTGGACTTGAGATTACTACTTTGAAATCCTGCAGCTGCGATAAATACGACTGCATTTGAATTATTAAAGATAAATATAATAAATAGTTAAAGAAAACTTGAAGAAATGAAAATATAATGGCAAAAAAATTTAATTTTCTGTTCAAAGGGTTTTTTTTTAATATTGTAGATTATTGGAAAAAAATTTCTTACCATGTGATTAAAAAATATTTCAAGGATAAGAGCCAAGTTTATTGTTTCGATACTACTACTACTACTACTACAAGTTTTTCGCGCAGTCATAGACGAAACTACTAATACAAGAAGTATATTTTTCGTACCGTGTTTAATGATTTTGAACAAATCCCAACACTACTTGATTCAGACAAATGTTCTTTATTGTATTTTTTGTACATTTGTCATTGAACACAATCGTGTACAAATATTGTTGGTTATCACAGAAAAAATTACTCCTCCAGCACAGTGTTAAACTTATCGGAGGAGGTTACTGTGTGTTTCCTAATATTGGTAATGAATATACAATTTACATTTTTTTTTATATAAAAACACACACACGTTTAATAAATTATTATTGATGTGTAAACAAGATTCTATCAATTTAGTTATTTTTACCTGGTTTAAAAGTTAAAAACGACGTACCTTTGATAATTTTTCTCCTTCGTGATGTGGCAATAAAGTTCTGAGAGATTGAAAACCAGCATTAATGCTCTGCATACGTCTACGTTCATTGCTGTTGGCGATTTCTCGCCGCATTCTTCTTTCTTGCTCCATGTGTCCGCGCGATGATTCTCTGCTACCTGCAGCAGCAGCAGCACCGTTTAACAAAACGTTTTGCCCCAAGTTTTGTCGTCGACAGGAGGCTGCTGCAGCAACAGTAGCACTAATATCCTTTTGTGACTTGTGTAGTTTTTCGTAAACACCACCACCACCACCTTCAGCAGCAGAATCATCCACAATTTCGCTTTTGCTATAAATGAAACAAATATTTAATATTACATGTATAAAAAGATATTGCAAAATATTACAACTAATTTTATAAATTGTTTGCAATTTTCTTTCCAATATATTTTGTCAACAACGGATTTGCCATTATTGGATATTTGTTTCTTGCAATTATGTTTAATGTGATTATTTTGCGGAATTGTAATTAAAATAAAGAAGACTAGTTTTTATTAATATTTTAAAGAAAAAGCAAAAAAAAAGTCCTGTTTTTACTGGCTTTGCTACTTCATACATTGCATTGAGTGTGTGCATGAATCACCAACAGCTGATAAAGTTGGCGTCATTCAGCTTCAGCTGTGTATGTCTCCCCTGTCAGCTCTCTCTCTCTCTCTCTGTTTACAATGTCATCCGCAATATTTAAACTAATTACTTAACAACTATTTGAATAAATTAATTAATGTAGATAAATTTTCAACATTAATGAGAAATAATAACTTTATATTAATTAAATCAAGTGTTATTTTGTCAATTGATTAATTGTCTATTTATTGGAAAAAATGTATTTTTAGCTTGCCGTTATGAAAAAAATGTTGTTTTTTCTTTTTCATGAAAATTAAGCATTAAGCATATTTATTTTTCTATAAACAATAATTATATTATAGGTAAATTTCTGTGTTATGGAAACTAATAAAAGTTGAATAAAAATTAATTTTTTTTGCTTCTCAAATTTTTGTTCATTATGTGTTAGGTATTATAAATATTTAAAATATCAAAAGAATAAGTGAATAAATAAATGTTCATAAGCTTAAAAAACAAAATTTCATACATTTTGACATTTTTGCCAAAAATTGAGTTTTATTTTTATGCGATTATAGAAAGTAAAAATTTTCTTTTTATTAAAATCAAAAAGAGAATGCTAAAAATGTGAGAAAGCAATAACATTTTTAGAATAATTATTAAGAAATATGAAAAGAAATGAATTTATTTCTGGTCCGTGTGGCAGCGACGCCATGCTTGTTGGGCGTGTACGTAGGAGATATAGTGTCAACATAACTTTATTTCAAAAGTTTTATTGATAAAAACAAAGAATGTATAAAATTGTTCTTTAGCAATTATGTGATGAAAATTAATAAAAATGAGAGACACCCGATTAAAATTTATTTTAAATTTAAAGAAATTTTTTTTTTCTATACACCTGATAGCCGGCCGGTTATTGTTTCAAAAAGTGTTTTTCATACTCTTTTATTCAAAACCATTATGCTGCGAACGATAGTTGCATATCAATTACATTCCCACATTTTTTTTCTATAGAAAAAACGAATCATAAAGTGTATTTAGTACTGTCTGAAATTGATCTATCGCGCGGTTAAAATGGCAGATTTTGATGGATAAACTGTACGATAAACATGCTTTTTGTGCAATTCCATTCCATTCCATTAACGCGCGCGCGTGCTTACTTGGACATAAAGAATAGTTTGCAGAAATTTATGTTTAGAGACCTGCTGCAGAGCTCTGGGCATAAAGTGTGCAAGTATATGGGGAGTGGTCGACGATTTACATGTGCTACTCTCATTTAATTGGAAACAATGTATATAAAACATATTTTATATCAACATATATTATAGTAGGAATATTGTAAAAGATTCAAATATTTTTAAAGCAACTTGTTTCTCATTCTTCCATAACACACTTTGACGTGGCGGCGTCATTGTAAATGATTACGTTGACTGTGCAGGACATTTATAGACGACACATGGCGGCAACAGCGGCGGCAGTATATATGCCGTGTATTACTTAATATTTTTTCTAATTATTTAAATTCAAAAATCAGACTCACCAACAAAATTCTTCTTGCTCTTCAGATGTTTCCACAATTTCCTCTAGTAGAATTCGATCGTCACCACTTGCACCACCACCATGAAACATTGACATATCTTGTGCCTATCGCGGATAGAAGCACTATTTTTTTAGACCTAATTGACCCGCACCAATGCGCGCGGTACACAGGAAACCCGTTGAACCAACGTTCACGTCAATTCTCTTCTCCTTCTAATCACTGCTGTCGTAAGTTTTGCACATAAAATCCCTAATAATTAAAAGAAATGTAAAGAATTAAAAGTATAAACGTTGTTGAGAATAAACGCCGAGACTCCTCCACGGGACAACCACTCCGCGGCGCGCACAATGGCGAACTTGGCGGGAAGTGTACAGGGATGAGACGGTAAAATAAATATTGCACATGCTTTTCGTACAAATTTATTACAATTTAAGTGTATGAAAATTTTTGATAGCGTTTAGTTTCTTTAAAAATAGTTTTTATACATAAAATTAAAAAAGTTTAAATTGCATCACATCTTAAAAGAATAATTATGTCTATATTAAAGGTGCTTCTATACCTCCGGTGGATTGGTCAAGCAATCGGCTCGATGAATTTTCAGGGTCGGTAAATGTACTTTCATGGCGGGTATTTTTGAATAAGTAAATGTTGAAAAGGTTTTTACTTGAAAATTTATTTTAAAAAATGATTTTATCATAGAAATTCTTTTCAAATTTATGTTAATAAACATGTTTTATTTTAAAAGTTATCAAATTTTAATTCAAAATGTTTTAATTTTCCAAACAAGTGTAAAAAGCCTAATGTTTTTGAAATGCTAGTACAGACGATACAGACTGTTTGTTATGAATGTACATAACCTAGCGTTGTGTTGTCGTGCTTGTGATATTATTATATTCTAAATTTAATGATTTAATTATTATTATATTAAATAATAATGAACTGACAACACAACGCTAGGTTATGTATGTACATTCATAACAAACAGTCTGTACTAGCATTTCAAAAACATTAGGCTTTTTACACTTCTTTGGAAAATTAAAACATTTTGAATTAAAATTTGACAACTTTTAAAATAAAACATGTTTTTTAACATAAATTTCAAAAGAATTTCTATGATAAAATCATTTTTTTAAATAAATTTTCAAGTAAAAACCTTTTCAACATTTATTTATTCAAAAATACCCGCCATGAAAGTACATTTTCCGACCGTGAGGCTGGAGTCCCATGGTAGCGTTTGTTACGAGCGACTACCATCTCGCTCGTTAACTTTCGATATATCGATTTACGAGTTATCGAAGCGCGAATTATAACATTTCGTTAATAAACTTAATTATTTTTAGTATTTTCTCACGACTTTAGACAATTATTGACGAGATTAAACAAGAAAGTTTGACTATTGTAAAATATAATACTTCACGGTTTAATAGTTTCCAAATTCTGAATATGTATTTGAAAATCAACATTTCTTAGAATTGCCATAAATCAAGTAGAATAGCGAAAGAAAATGTAATCTCTAGTTTCTTTAGAGTCATAAAACCGAGAAACCCTCGAAAGAATATAAAAAATATCTCAAGTGTCCTTTTCCATAGGACAATGCAACATGTGTTTACCATACTTGTGACCACAGAAATGGCTTCGAAAAGTCACGTACACATAGACTTTCATTATGCGACGAACTTTAATTATCAATTGTATAATATGAACATTATGAACAATTGACAACAATATTATATTGTTGCTAATTATGCAATATGAATGTATTATTTGAAAATGATATTATTAGTAAACTTCATCTAATTGAGTGTTGTAATATTATGGTATTGAATATAAATATATATTTGTAACGTATTAATATGATAATAATATTATATTATGATATATTATCAAATTGGTTATCGTTATAATTGTTATTTATATTTAAATATGATGAGTGCAGTATAAGAGATTTATTGTTACTAGATATGATGTAAATAATTAATAATTGTGTAATTAGTGTGAATGAAAAAGGGTTATGTTCACTTGTTGTGATACATGTTTTCAATACGTAGAGTATGTTTATACGTGTATTAGTGCAGTGCAGTGTTGGTGTTGTGATTCTGAACACTCCATAGACTTTACAAACTCTATAACAGGGCATGCGCAAAGATTTTGCCATGGACCAAGGGCTAAATCATGATCCAAGTAACAAGGTCTCGCCACGCGCAGGCAAAAAAAACGTGGAACCAAGCACCAATCAGAATGCGGACGAAGTGACGACCATATTGAAAGTCTAGCCGCGTATTTTTAAATGTGTTTCAAATCCAGAAAATAAGATTGTTATTGTTATTAATATATTTTTATTTTTAATAATAAATATTATTAATTGTTATTATTAATATTAATACGTATAAAATTATTGATAATAATAATAATAAATATTACAATAAATAGTAATTAATATTAATAAATTATTATGAATGTTATTTTATTTTTAATAATAATTATTATTTTTAATTATTGTTAATATTAATAAATATAAAGTTATTAATAATAATAATAAATATTGCAATAAATAGTAATTTGATTTTCAAGATTCCAAGCAACCAATATATGTGAATGTTATGTATCAAGTTAATAATAAGTATTTAATAAAAAATATTAATATTTAATAAAGAATTATTTTACTTTTAATTTATTATTCTTTATGTTCTTTAAATTTGTTTCTGTATTTGATTCAAAATTTAGCGCTTCAATATGGTCGTCGCTTCAGGTAATCGCTATGATTGGTCGGCTTTTTTATGGTGCGCGAACCGAGTTAAAATTGAGCCCGACTTTGGCGAGACCTTGTTACTTGGATCATGGGCTAAATGCTCCCTCACGAATTCAGTTCTACTTTGGAGTTCTTTCGTAATGTACTTCAGAGTAGTCCCAAAATAGCTTTTAGAATAACTTCGATTTGTGTAATGTTTTGACTTTAATAAATGTATTGGGTTTACTCGCGAATTTGGTTGGATTAATGATTAATTAATATTATTAATTATTAATTGATCCTTCTTATTCGTGAGGTTTTTCCCTCCGTTTTAACGGAAATTCACTTGTTTTATTTGAATATTTCCGCCTTCCTTTTCAAAGGATTAAACCAAGATTGAACATCAAATCAAATCGCGGATCTTACGCCTGCGCGTAAATAACGTAACTCCGCACGTAACACGTTTTGCGTTGCGTTTTGTAACTAGGCAATGAGTGCAAATAGAGCAAACCTATATCTGTATCTCTCTCACACTCATGGCCTAGTTACAAAACGCAACGCAAAACGCTGTCATGGGACTCCAGCCTGAAAATTCATCGAGCCGATTGCTTGACCAATCCACCGGAGGTATAGAAGCACCTTAAAGGCGCTTGCACACTTCCAAATTTTTAGACGAGCAGCGAATTTTCACGACCTTGAAATGCACATTACTAAATATGATTGGCTCTGACAAAAGTACATTTTCTCGCAGCTTTTTGTAGAGCCAATCATATTTAGTAATGTGAGTTTCAAGGCCATGAAAATTCGCTGCTCGCCCAAAATTTTGGAAGTGTGCAAGCGCCTTAATGATGACGCCAAAAACTTGAATCACATCACCATAGACTATGCATACTGTATATTGCCAACCTAGAATAAAAAATGTGCCTTAAGAGTACGTTCACACATGACTTTTAGAAAAACCATTCTTGTCTTATGCAAAGCATGAGTTGGAAAAAGACAGAGATATATTTGTGTGTTCTTTTCTATCTGGATTGCAATCTCATAATATCTATTGTGAACTCAACCTAAACTTCACATAAAGTCTTAAAGAAAAGGGTAAAAAGATGTACTCATCCTTTTCTCTCTCTCTCTCATGTATCTCTATTAAGATTTTCAAGCTTCGCCTTTTCTTGTTCAATGTATTTTAAACGCAAAATAAATAGTACTATACATTCTCCACAACCTGTATAGGTTTTCAAGTTTCACTTTTCAAAAGTTTGAAGGTTTTTTTTATATAAATATAATAAAAGATAAAAAAATAATATTTACATAAACGTAAATATTGTTTTAAATATTTAAAGGGTAATTTTATGTGCTTATTTTATATTTTACTATAAGATAGAATATAAAAATATTTATACGCCTACTCGCGAAGAGATTTGTAAAACTTTATTTCATTTTTTTCAAAAAAAAAAAAAATTGTAAATTTAATTTATATATACATTAATGTGAAAAGGGTTTTGAAATTTAGAATTCACTTACATTCATTATTAATTAATTTTAGCATTCGTACGAAATATTTTTTCATCAGTTTAATTACATTTTTTGAATATTGATTAGATTAAGAAAATTAATTTTCCTCGTTTAAATTGCGATTTCCTTAGGTATGGTGTTATTGCTACTGTAGCAAAACTAAATAGATGCTTTTCTAATAATAATAATGTCTCCTGAACCAAAACATGATGTTGTTGATGAAAACTGGAGTGCTTCAAATATTAATACTGGAGTAACTGCAAGTGATGATTCTGAAAGCGATGATGAAGACCATACAGTTGAGGGTTATGTTCCATTAGCACAAGAACCAGTAGATGGAGATTTATTACTGGAAGAAGATGAGGTTTGTTTTACATGCTCTATTTATATAAAGGAACTTTTATTATCATTTAATATTGTTACAACATTTTGTACAGACATTTTTTTTTTTTTAATAACAATTGTTTTTATTTTGAAATTGGAGCACATTTATTTTAGAACGCACTTTCATTTCTTTAGTATATTTTATTAAATTACGTTTCAATGTTTAAGGACGAAGCAGAATGGATCCCATTAAATGTTGAACAAGAATTGCCTGAATCGACAAACAGCCAGACACATGTGCGTTTAAATCATATTAAAATATAATAGATTTAAATATGTATGTTATACTAAATGGTCTTGAAAATTTACAAGTTTTTTCATGATACTCTTTCTTTTTTTTTATAGATAATACAGTCAGAGACAGTAGTGCAAGTTTGGTCATCTTCTTCTTCTTCTTCTTCTTGCAATTGCTCAAATATTGATATGGATGCAGACAAAATCAATCAAGTCAAACATGTTATGGCTTCTTTTTCTTTACCTAATACGGCAATTCCAGAATGGGCCAATACTGTCTCTGAGGAACAATGGAAAGAACAACTTATGGATCGTATAAAAACAATTCAGCGTAATAAACTATAATTTTTTATAATAGTTAAAAAAAATCTATATATAATACACAAATATATCAATTAAGTGTAGATTAGATTAAAACACTCTTCTAATTGAGGCTCCCAATTCAAGAACCGGTCGGACGCTCGGACGACACGTGCTGCTAGTACCAGTCGGCTATAGCAGTGAGTGGCCCAGAGGCCACTCACTGCTGACTGGCAGTTGCGCGTGTCGTCCGAGCGTCCGACCGGTTCTCTTTGAATTGGGAGCCTCAATTATTATTGATACTCTATTGTGGATTAGTCAAACTTTATTTTAATAAATTGTATAAAACTATTTTATTTTAAAAAGTATCTGTATATATATAAAATTAATGAAAGTTTTAATATTAAATTTTAAATTGTGCATATTTTATTATACTAAAAATTTTAATCACCTTCTAATTAAAATTTTCATCACCAGCTGCTTTTCATAGAATGAAGTCTCATTTTATTTAAATATTTCTGCTGTTGCATTATTAGATTTTTTCCTTAAAGTCGCAATGTCATCATTTATCCGTACTAATTTTCTAAATTTCTGAAACATGTCATTTTGTTAATTGCGCGCGCGCGCGTAAAGTCAGGTAAATTGTATATGTATATGAAAATTACCTCTGAACTACTTCCAGATGAAGCAAACCAAATATAGATCATATATCCAGGAATCATTAGCATTGAAGATAAACCACAGAGCCATCCCAGCATATGACTCCACCATGGATATTCATAATTTAGATATTTGACAGGTACAAATTTGATCAAGTTAAAAATAAACACACCCTGCGAAAATAATGTTTTTTTTACAACAATAATTTTGTTGAAATTTTTGTTTCTTTCTCCTTCCTCCTCCTCTCCTCTCCTCTCCTCTTTCTCTCTCTCTCTCTCTATATTACTATATGTCTTTATTAAGAAGGATTAAGTAATTTGTGATTTTTAAAAAATCATTTTTTTTAACTTACGATACATATAGCTGGTGTCGTGACAGTCCAACATATTTTCCACCAGAAGCATGGATAGTAGCCAATCATGTCACGAAGCCCATCATAAAATCTATTGACGCCAAAGGCCCATGATACTGCTATGCATTCAGAGAACATGAGGAAGAGGAGACAAAATCCGCTGACTGCATAAGAATCCAAAAGTTGAAACACGTACATGCCTCCCTATTATAATTAAGATTGGGTAAGAAAATAATGTAAATAAAAAATCTTTTTTTTTTTTCTTAATAGTGCGTGGCTAAATCTCTGTGCTGTGCTGCTTACATCAGTCACACATAAAAGTCCAATCAAGTAAGAAAGAAAACAGACAATAGCTATGAATATTTCTTTTCTTTTCCTTAGGAGATTTGGCCATTCATCAACTACTGCTGTTATGAAACCTTCAACAGTGCAGAACTAGAAAAAATGATATATTCGTATATTTGAAAAAAGAAAATTATATTTAATCCATATTAACGGGTTATTATAAATGTTTCAACATTATTATTATTATTATTATTATTATTATTATTATTACCTGACTGTCAAGGCCAATTAAAAGAAACATAAAGAAAAATAAGCAGGACCAAATTGACGCTCCTGGTAATTGTAAAACTGCAGAAGGATAAACAAGAAATGCCAATCCAGGTCCTTTTTATAAAAAAAATGTGCATTAGTATTTATTTACAATTTACAAAAATGTGAAACTTTTAAATAATTTTTATAAAAATATACATTTCTTACCAGAAGTTGCTACATCTGCAACTGGCTTCTGTTGCTCATGTGCCATAAAACCAACAACCGAAAATATCACTACACCACTCAAAATACTTGTACCAGAATTCACGCAGCAGACAATCAGTGCATCTCTATTTATAAAATAATTAAAAAATTAATAATTTCTTAAAGCAATAATAATTAAATAGTCGGATGAAAAATACTGCTTCTCAAGTTAATTGTTTTTTTTTTATTTTAAATGATCAATTTATTTCTAATTTTTCCCTGCTACTTCTGCGCGCGTAACACGACAACACTCTAGACTATAATAGATATTGTTTACTCTATAGAACCCTTGTGATAAATAGTAGCACACACACAAGTTGCATGACAAAAATTGACGCAATTTAAATATAAAAAAATACTTACTTATAGACGTTATTATTGAATTTGTTGTAACTACCCAAGGCGACAAGTGCCCCAAGTCCCAAAGCATATGAGAAAAATATTTGAGTTACAGCATCTATCCATACCTAAAGAAATTATTAATATATTTTTTTGTATTTACTTTTAAAAAGTTTTTTTTTTTTTTTAAATTCCTTTAAAAGTGATTTGCATTTTTTCCAAGATTTTAATAACATTAATACTACATGTTTTTTAATCAACTACATGATAATATTTGCAGATATTGTTGAATTACCTCTGGATCACCAAGCTTTGAGAGATTAGGTGTCGCATAATATTTTAAACCTTCAAAAGCACCAGGTAATGTTAATCCTCTTATTAATAAAATTATCAAGAGTGCATATGGAAATAAGGCCGTAAAATAAACTACCTATTAAAGAAATGTATCAGTTATTAAAAATGCGTAGAAAATGGACTAATATTTAATAAGAGAGAAATTTGTTTTTGTTTGTGTGCTAATTGAGAAAGAATAAATATCTCAATAATATTGATAATAAAAATAAATTAATAATAGTGTTACTAGCAGTTTATTTATTATATTATACTTTTCCTGTCCATTTCACTCCTTTCCAAATACAAAAATAACACATTATCCACACAATTGCAAGGGTTCCGGCCAACTCCCATCGTATACCTCCAACATCTTCTATGCCAGTTGAAATTCGCAATGTTCGTCTCCTACACACACACACACAATAATGAAAGTGTGAATCAAAATTATGGCTCTAAAGAGCATAATTATTATAATAATTGAACGTACTCCCAAAATTCTTTAACAGGGTCTTTCATAAGAGAATGACTGATGTTTCCGAATGAAGTAGGACATATCGTATCATTGTTTTCTTTCCAACATAATTTATTCAATTGATCTGACGCACCACTTATACAAAGTCGTGTATTCCATGAATTATCGCAAGTTCTCCATGGCACATCTATGAATTGATAATCCTATATAGATCATTAATTAACGCACTTTGCGTGATTTGTATTTGTTTCAAGTTCCTTTAAAAAACAAATAATAAAGCCAGGCGGTTTGAACCATAGTGAAAGTATTTAAAAATACTAACTTTATGGACCAATATTATACTGGCAAAAAATATACAAACAGTCCGAGTCAAATAAAATAAAACATTTTACTTTTAAAACTAGAAATTCAATTTTTCACAACTATAAAACATGAAGATATTGATTCAACTCCGAGTGATTGATTCCTTATTCATGTTTTATAATAATTAAAAATTGCAAATTGATAAAATCATTTACAATTAAATCATTATTTACAAGAATTTTCAACTAAAATTATTTTTTAAATCGATTATTTTTACCATAATCATTTATTAAACAATAATATCAACTAAATTATGGAAGGATTTAACTCTACTCAATCATTAAAGAATTTTATTATTTACGAAAACAATAATTGAATCCCCATAAAAATTTCTTTATTTATGAAAATAATTTATTGAATGATTGCGAAGAAATTTATAAAAAAATTTGTAATTAATGAAACTCCTGTGAAATTTTTATTATGTTTTGAAAATAATTAAAAGTTTGTGTAGTATTTTATTAAATTTGTTTTTTTCAAATAATTGCGAATTTCAGAGAAGAATTTAATTATTTCTAAAGATAATTGAATTTTTCATCCTTTTTTTGAATAAAATTACGGACTTTTCACGCGCGGACCTGCTAGTTCGAGCCCTGTAAAGGGAAAAAATTAGAAAAGTGAAAAAGTAAAGATACATATGTTAAATCTTCACACACACAGTAGACGTCCTGAAAATAACTAATATTTTTGAATATTTAGGTATACTTGCCAGAACGAAGGGATACTAAGAAGTAGAAAAGAGCCCATGCCAAAATTATAATATAATATATATTAGTCCAACATGAAAGTACGCATGTTGCATATCCAATTCCTAAATAAAATACTAAAATTAACGACGACGTTTTCATAGGTAAAATAATAAAAATTAGCTCACAGTGTATTAAAGAATAAACTAACAATATGAGAAGAAAGTGATTTTTCTCTTATTGAGTTTATAATATGCTTTTTATATACTTGAATGTAATCTTTAATACCACCGCGCACCACGTCCGAAAAGGCATAGATTGATAAATTGTACTCAAGTCATTTTCTTCATTTATATTAGATTATAATAGTGTGTATAGATCACGTTTCAAATATAGCTAATTTTTATTGTGAGTGACAACTTTTTTATCAATTTATTTAATTTAAAAAAAACACTTCTAACGAAACTAATAATAATTATAGATTATACATTGCGAGTTACATATGGCAACAGTGTATTTGGAGAATTGTAAAAAGTAATTAATTCATATAAACAATTTTTTTAAAATGAATAACTGAATCAGGATTTTATATCTTACAAAAAATATGGTTTAAAAAAGAAATATTTTTTTAATATTTTTGAATTTTAATATATTTCAATGAAGAAAAATATAAAAATTTGAAAAATACAGAAACCTTTAAAAATTGGAGCAATTTTAAAGACTCCTAAGCCTCCAGTAGTCATCATTTGTCCTAATGAAAGTTCCATTAAAAACATTGGAACTCCGGCCAAAGCAAGTGCAATAAAGTATGGAACCATAAATGCACCTCCTCCGTTCTTGTAACAAAGATATGGAAATCTCCATAAATTACCTAACCCAATTGCAAGTCCGACAACTGACAAGATGAACTCGACCTACGGAAAAAATTATTGTATCGAATTAAAAACTTGATTTTTTACAAAGGTTTAATCTCATCTCTGCGCGGATATGCCAGGGGCGCATGATTATTCCCCAAATGTCATTTTTCCGAAATGTCATTTTACCGAACTGCACTTTTGCGAATAGTCAATTTTGCGAAAAGCCAATTTTGCGAAATGTCACTTTTGCGAATTGTCATTTTTGCGAATCGCAATTTTTACGAATTGTCAATTTTCCGAAAAGTTATTTTTGCGAATCGCCATTTTTACAAATTGTCAATTTTCGGAAAAGTCATTTTTGCGAATTGTCATTTTTACGAAAAGACATTTTTGTGAAATGTCATTTTTGCGAAAAGGGATTTTTCTGAAATGTCATTTTTACGATTAGTCATTTTTGCGAAAAGTCATTTTTGCGAATTGACATTTTTGCGAATTGTCATTTTTGAGAAATGTCATTTTTGCGAATTGTCACTTTTGCGATTTGTCAATTTTTCGAAAACTCATTTTTGCGAATTGTCATTTTTACGAAAAGACATTTTTGTGAAATGTCATTTTTGCGAAAAGCCATTTTTGCGAATAGTCATTTTTACGAATTGCCATTTTTGCGAATTGTCAATTTTCCGAAAAGTCATTTTTGCGAATCGCCATTTTTACGAATTGTCAAATTTCCGAAAAGTCATTTTTGCGAATTGTCATTTTTGCGAAAAATACAATAGAAACTTGTAGGTATCTATAAATTCACTATTGTATTTTTCGCAAAAATGACAATTCGCAAAAATGACTTTTCGGAAAATTGACAATTCGTAAAAATGGCTATTCGCAAAAATGACTTTTCGGAAAATTGACAATTCGTAAAAATATCGATTCGCAAAAATGTCAATTCGCAAAAATAGCTTTTCGCAAAAATAACAATTCGTAAAAATGGCAATTCGTAAAAATGGCGATTCGCAAAAGTAACAATTCGCAAAAGTGACATTTCTTAAAAATGACAATTCGCAAAAATATCAATTCGTAAAAATAGCAATTCGTAAAAATGACTTTTCGCAAAAATGGCTTTTCGCAAAAATGTCTTTTCGTAAAAATGACAATTTGCAAATATGAGTTTTCGAAAAATGTCTTTTCGTAAAAATGACAATTTGCAAAAATGAGTTTTCGAAAAATTGACAAATCGTAAAAATGGCGATTCGCAAAAATGACAATTCGCAAAAATGAGTTTTCGAAAAATTGACAAATCGTAAAAATGGCGATTCGCAAAAATGAGTTTTCGAAAAATTGACAATTCGTAAAAATTGCGATTCGCAAAAATGACAATTCGCAAAAATAGATTTTCGTAAATATGACAATTCGCAAAAGTGACATTTCGCAAAATTGGCTTTTCGCAAAAATGACTATTCGCAAAAGAGCAGTTCGGTAAAATGACATTTCGGAAAAATGACATTTGGGGAATAATCATGCGTCCCGATATGCCATTTTATTTTTGCTGACCAGTTTTATCCAAAAAGGTTTTGTTGCGGCGCGCGCGCGCGCGATAATATAAGAAGGCAAAATATATGTATAAATAGCGACGGATCGTACACTGAGAAAACTGGAGAGTCAAATTCAGAGGTTCAAAAAGTGTATGTTTCCTTTGCTTATTTCGCGCCGGATAAGGAAGGGATTTCTCAAGATGGTTAATTTGTCCCTATGTTATAAACTCATTTTCCCTCCAAGAGAAATGGCACGAATATCTGTCAACAATGGTGTATTTGAACATTTAGATTGTTATCCAATAGCTAACTCTCAAATATGAACGATTTGTCCCTCCAGATGTTTAGTCCAATACTCCAGTTTTCTCAGTGTAGAAAAGGGATTTTTACTTCTTCGCAGCTTTTGAATAAAAAAGATAAATTAATAATAGTTTTTACCTTGCTACCCCACGCTCCACGTTCTGGTAAAATGTCATTTCTTTTAACAACAACACCACCACCACCACCACTAGACTGTAGACAGTGGATTGCTTCAAAACGAAAGTCTGCATCATCCTTGTTGTTACAACAACAACAAGTAGATTCAGATAAATCAAATTCTGTTGATTTACAAACGTCTTCTTCTTCTTCTTCTTCAGTTGGTTGCCGCTTCTCCAGTGTAGATTTTTCAGTTACTTTAGTCAAAGACATCATCATCATCATTATCAATAATCTAAGAATGGAAATGAATTATTAATTTAAACTAGTAGTATAATTTTATAGGTTTGTAAATATATTTGATATTTGATAAAAATAGAAAATAATTTCAACAAGCATCAATTTCTTTTTTCAATTAATACGTGGATAATATTTTCTGGATATTTTTGAAAATTGTAATGGAGAAAAAATATATTCCTTTTATTAAAATGTATTACACGTCACAAGCAGGCAGGAGTTATGGATAATAAAAACACAAAATATAAATTTTAAATTTAGAGTCAATTCAACATATTTTTTTCTATTTTTTGAAATTTAATTGAAATTTGGATTAATTTTTAAAAGTAAAAAAATGGAAACGACTTGATAAATCTTAGTTGTTAAATATATACATACATTTTTATTTAAAAACTATCTATACAAAAAGCTAATATATCTTAAAGATTTTAATAATTTTTTAAACAATTTTTCAAGTAAAAACGTACATAGAAATTTAAGAGTTGAAAATCTAAAATCCATCAAGTAGAACCGCAGAGATATTACAGTCGAGGGGGTATTTTCTAGATAAAATAATAATGGTGTAAACTCCAATACACCCCAATAAGCACTGAAAGTTCTGTCCTACTAAAGGTTGAAATTAACTTGACCAAAATATAATACAAGTGGCTTTTAATTAAAATTAAATTACCCTATTGTTTGACTATCTTGTTTTAAGGTATTGCATTTTTTTAAAATGATATACAAATTTTTTTTCACCAATTCTTTACTAGTTGATTGAAATAAATTCCTATTAACAAATAATATAAATTCACTATTCAATTCTTCTAGAATCTTTATTATCTATTATTAATTTCTCACTATTTTTAATTCACTAGTCAATATAATTCTCTCTTTAATAATAAACTCACGCACATAATTAAAGTTAAAAATTTCTATATATTTCTCTTCAAGATAAAAGAAGAATAATTCAAGTATCAAACCTTTTGCAGGCCACCACACTGTCGACACACAAGTCTCGATATTGTGTGATCTACATTGGTCCCCTAAGGCATTAACTTTAATAAAAAAATTGGTGCCAAGGTTTACACCCTACACATTACATTTAGAACCCCATGTTGTAGAGAGTAATCAAAGTTAAAATGACTGATAACATACATTATTATAAGACGACATACGTTATTATGTACTGTTGAAAATAAATATACTCGATAATTCGAAACAATGGATGATGGTCAAAACGTCGTCCTCATTGTCTTTGCTGCAGAACCAAATAAGGTATTGCCAAATTTAAAAACATATTTCAAAAAAGTCCAAAGTAAATTTCTCATTTTAATTCTCTAAATCACAATTAATAATCATAATTTTTTCATTGCACAAACAATGATGTTTAGTTTTAAAAATAATTCTAGTTTGATATTTTGCCTAATAATGTTATTTTTTCATTTCATTTCTTTTTTATTAAAAATAGTTTAAAATCGAAACAGAGTTCGTTAAAGCGGTCACGAACCTGATAAATTTATCTTAAATTGCGTACAAGAGTAAAGTTATTTACCATCTAAACATTGTACATAATTCCTCCATAATTTTCTTCCCTTTATTTTTTCCTTCGAAACACTTTCTCTTCTACTTTTCAGAGGTGAACCACCAAATTAGAGATAAGGACTTCCTCATATAAAATATTATTAATATTCTACACTATTCTAGTTCACTTTGGAATAATAATTTTAATAATATTCATCTTTCACTTTTGGATAATAAGAAAAGAATTGGCGAAATCATTGACTCATTGACTAATTGTGTAAGACTTTAAGAGGGGAGGGGAGTCTAACTATTTCTTATGACCAGCGGAAAAAGTAATAAATATTTACCATTTTGTCCTGCTATAATCCAGAAAGTACTCATCTGTTATCTTCTTTGAAATCCGCAATGTTGTTGTTGTTGTTGAACAGTGAGACTCTGCAGAAAGAAAAAAAATTACATGAAAAATGTTCTTTTCGATATAAAAAAATAAAATATTAGTTTCAAACTAAAAATCAGTTGGTAGTGCATGTTCAAAAATAAATCAGTAATTCATGAAATTTGGTAAAGTTCATCATTAATTTGTTTTTTGGTAATCCATGTTAAATAAAAAAAAAGTACCAACCTTGTTTAAACTTTCTGCAATCAAATTTAATTGCACATCTCTTTGGGAATCGCCACCGCCGCTTGACAATTTTGATTAAATGAAAAGGCGCTCGCTAAAACGATAAAACTTTTTATTAGAAATGCACTTTTTTACATAAAAAGATGAATTACATAATTGCAATTGTAAATCAGTTGGTAGTGCATGTTTCATAAAATAAATCACTACTTCTTCATTTACATTGTTAAAGTTCATCATTTTTTTTTTTAAATTAATTAACCAATTAAAGTTGAATAAAGAAAAAAACTACCAACCACATTTCAAACATTCTACAATCAGATCTGTATTTCTGCTCTTCTCTACTGATGTATTCTCATTGGAAATCCACACTTGTTTTTTGAAATAGCAAGACTCTCTAAAACAATAAATCTGTATTAGAAATAATGGTCCTTTTCACTTACAAAATGGAAAAATATATTAATTTTTTTTAGAAATCAGTTGGTAGTGCATGTTTCATAAATAAATCACGAATTCATTTAATTTGGTAAAGTACACATCATTTTTTTAAGTAATAAACTAATTGAACTTGTAAAAAAAATAAAACTACTAACCATTTTAAACCTTCCATCACACATTTCAGTTCAGCGGTTGAGTGACATCTGTTTGGAAATCCACAACACTTGGTTTTTGTGTGAAATGTTAGTAAGACTCTCTAAAACGACAAAATTGTATTAGAAATGGTCCTTTTCACTTAAAAAAATGTATTAATTAGAATTTCAAGTCAGTTGGTAGTGCATGTTTCATAATAAATCACGACTTCTTCATTTAAAATGGTATAGTTCATCATATTTATAAAGTAATTAAACAATAATTGAAATTATAATAAAATAAAAAAAAAAATAAAGCAATTTACCTTTTTGAACTTTCTGTTGCAAGATTTTATTCTACATCTTCTGTATTCTCTTTGAAAATCCACACTGATTTTTTGTGAAATGGTAAGACTCTCTAAAACGATAAAAGTTGATTAGAAATAATGGTCCTTTTCACTTAAAAAATAGAAGAATATATTAATTTTTTTAGAAATCAGTTGGTAGTGCATGTTTCATAAATAAATCACGAATTCATTTAATTTGGTAAAGTACACATCATTTTTTTAAGTAATAAACTAATTGAACTTGTAAAAAAAATAAAACTACTAACCATTTTAAACCTTCCATCACACATTTCAGTTCAGCGGTTGAGTGACATCTGTTTGGAAATCCACAACACTTGGTTTTTGTGTGAAATGTTAGTAAGACTCTCTAAAACGACAAAATTGTATTAGAAATGGTCCTTTTCACTTAAAAAAATGTATTAATTAGAATTTCAAGTCAGTTGGTAGTGCATGTTTCATAATAAATCACGACTTCTTCATTTAAAATGGTATAGTTTATCATATTTATAAAGTAATTAAACAATAATTGAAATTATAATAAAATAAAAAAAAAAATAAAGCAATTTACCTTTTTGAACTTTCTGTTGCAAGATTTTATTCTACATCTTCTGTATTCTCTTTGAAAATCCACACTGATTTTTTGTGAAATGGTAAGACTCTCTAAAACGATAAAAGTTGATTAGAAATAATGGTCCTTTTCACTTAAAAAATAGAAGAATATATTAATTTTTTTAGAAATCAGTTGGTAGTGCATGTTTCATAAATAAATCACGAATTCATTTAATTTGGTAAAGTACACATCATTTTTTTAAGTAATAAACTAATTGAACTTGTAAAAAAAATAAAACTACTAACCATTTTAAACCTTCCATCACACATTTCAGTTCAGCGGTTGAGTGACATCTGTTTGGAAATCCACAACACTTGGTTTTTGTGTGAAATGTTAGTAAGACTCTCTAAAACGACAAAATTGTATTAGAAATGGTCCTTTTCACTTAAAAAAATGTATTAATTAGAATTTCAAGTCAGTTGGTAGTGCATGTTTCATAATAAATCACGACTTCTTCATTTAAAATGGTATAGTTCATCATTTTTTTAAGTGATTATTCGATATTAAGATTAGATGAGGAAAGCTGATTTTCCCTACCTTTTTGAATTTTCTACGACGACTACGACACCACCATTTTGTAGCACATCTGAATTCTTTTTGCATGTCGTGGCCCCTTTTTAAAACTCTGTAAAACGATAAAATCGTATTAAAAAATGGATTTTTTTATATGAGTAAATTTCTAATTCTAATTACAAATCAGTTGGTAGTGCATGTTTCTATAAAATCAGGACTTCATAAACTTTGGTTAATGTAGTTCATCATTATTGTATAATATTTAAGTGACTGGCAAATAAAAGGCGAATAAAAATGGACTACTTACTGTTTTGAAACTCCTGCCGAAATGTATGTAGGATATGATCTGAAACAATAGAAGCAACGTACATTACACAGTTGTAGTATATATTATATCTTTCAAGCAAAACATTGTTTTAAATTGAAAAAAATCAGTTGGTAGTGCATGTTACTCAAAAAATCACTTTGTCATTTTTGGAAATACTTTTCATCATGTTTTCTACATTGTGTGTGATAAACTAGATAAACTTTAAAATTCTGATTTAGAATATTTATTGAGCATTTCTATCATTTCATTTTAATGCATGTGGAAAAGAAATCACTTTATGCCTTAATTATCTTAATATACAGCTATTGATAGTAAATTATTAAAATTATTATTATTTATTATTTTCAATTAAAATATAATAATAATAAGTTAAAAAAGGGAAAAAAATTATAAAAATTTACCTGATTAAACACGTGGCTCTGTCGACTCTGTCTCATAATGCTCCCTGCTGCTCATAACCAAGAAGGCATTCATAAAGGCCTTTCTACAATAGTTAGGATCCTAAGGTTGAGTCCACAATAGACAATTTTTTTTTGTTGGAAGGCCTTTAATTTAGGCCTAAGCACAACTTTTGCGAATGTTGTTTGCGAACGCCGAACACAAAGCATGAGTTACAAAAGGACACAAATATATATATCTCTGTCCTTTTCTAACCCTGATGTTGAACAGAAAACGTAAAGCAAAGCAGAATTTCATGAGTACAAGAGAGATAGTTCTATATCACTCACTGTCCTTTCCACTCTCATGAAATTCTGCTTTGCTTTACGTTTTCTGCTCAACATGGGTTAGAAAAGGACAGAGATATAGCGGTGTCCTTTTTTAACTCATGCTTTACATTCGCGAACGCCTTCACGAAATAGTTGTGTGTTAGCCTTTAGAATCATTGAGGTGAGCAGACGACAAATTCTAACCTTAAATTTTGTTTACGTGGACATTTGTTTGACATTGTGCAAATAAAAAATTGTATTATTTATTTTTTTATTATCAATTAGTAGGTAGTAATTTTTCTTTTGTTTTAACTCAACTTTTATTAAATACGAAACGAGAGATTTGATGGCTTTTTCCCAAACTAATTCACGAGGTAAAAACGTTCGTAAAAGTTAATAAACTATTTTGAATAAAAAAATTGTACTAATTTGGCTCCGTAATTTTATTAGAACTGCAAAACAGGAAAATTTTAGAAGAGTTACAATTAAAAAAGCAGATGTTACTAAAACAAGGTGTAACACCAAATTTAGGTTCTTCTTTGACTGCTACAGCCGGTTCTGCAACAACTACTGTGGTAAAGTTCTTTTTTTTCTCAAACAATATTATTTTGTCTTCTTATAAATTTTATAATTTACAGATATATTTTTTTTTTAATTTACCATTTTCATTTAAAATTGTTTTATTATAATTTTTTCTTAATAGCCGACAACACAGACCAGCGATGGAGTGACAATAAGCGCTTCGCAAAGAGCAGCGCTTCACAATGCACATTCAAATTCATATGGGTTTTTTGTAACTCAAGATTCTTCATTTGGAAATTTAATATTACCAGTGTTACCACGTTTTGACAACAACAAATAATTGCCTATAAAATAAATTATTAAAGGAAAATATTTTTGACAATTTTCAAAAAAATATATTTTTTTTTTACTAAACACACACACACACACAAAAGAAGAGAAAACAGATTTTTTAATACGAAAAAGAAAATAAATTTTGAGATTAAATGACTTTTTTACAAAGTAGAATATATTTCTAGTTTAAAAATAGAGGAAAGAAACAATGGCCAGATTACGTTTAAGAGAACTAGAGGAATATCTACAGGAACTTGAAGTTTTTGATAAGCCAAAGATATTACTTGAACAATATCCAACAAGTGGTCATATTGCCGCAAATATTTTATACACTGCCCAATCGCAATTTAACGATTTGGAAAATTGTCTTGTCGCCGATTTGGGAACCGGATGTGGAACACTCGCCCTAGGAGCACAAATGCTTGGCGCCTCAAGTGTCATTGGTTTTGAAATTGATCGCGACGCACTGCAAACTTTTTACAATAATTGTCAAGAAATGGAATTAGACATTGAAGCGGTGCAGTGCGATGTTCTTCAATATTTACCAGGTTTGTTATTTTCATTTTTTTTTTTTTTATTTTTTCAATCCGTATAAACTATAAATAATAATAATAATCGAGATATTCTCTCTTCATGTAAAATTTGTATTTTTTGATTCCGCCGCAATTTGTTTTATTGTTGAAATATTAATTTTTTTTCAATTTTGTAAGAATTTTAGATTCAAAATTTAAAAAATTTTACTACTAATAAAATTGGAAATTTTTTTCAATTTTTTGATTTTTAATAAAAAATTGTTGAAGATAATCGAATTCCCGAAAATGATTTTAAAAAATTGAAATTTTTTTTTCTAGCCTCTGAGAATTATTAGATTTTAACTGTTTTATGTGAATTAAAATTGTAAAATGTACTTAATCTCTTTCTCTCTTGTGTTTTGTTTTTATTGCAGGAAAATTCGAGAAATATTTCGATACGGTGATTATGAATCCGCCATTTGGTACAAAGCATAATGCAGGTATTGATATGAAATTTTTGGAAATTGGAACAAAACTCGCGCGTAAAGCCGTTTATTCATTGCACAAGAGAAGTACACGAAATTATGTATTAAAAAAAGGTATTCAACTTGGAACGAAGGCGAAAGTAATTGCTGAATTAAGATACGATTTACCGCAAGTTTATAAATTTCATAAAAAAGCGTCTGTCGACATCGAGGTAGATTTTATAAGATTTGAATTAAATTCGTGAAATTGACATTTTTGTTTCTTATTCTTTCTCTCTCTCTCTCTCTCTCTCTCTCTCTCTATTCGAATTTAATTCCTTGAGCGAGTGGAAGTTCAGTTCCATGATTAATTGTTACCGTCGATCGTCTCATATATTGTTTCCATGAATCGCTACCACTTTCTCGTCCACCGCCCGTGGATTTTTCACCACCGAATGCGCCACCAATTTCAGCTCCACTTGTTCCTATATTTACATTCACAATTCCACAATCCGATCCAAGTGGTCCAATCCACTAAAATTTGGAAAATTGAAAAATTAGGAAATGAATTTTAAATTTAAAAAATAATAAAGATTTAAAGAAAGAGGATTCAGTAGTCTTACCTGAAATACGTTTTGAATATTATTTGTGAATAGAGAACTGCTCAATCCCTGTTCAACATTGTTATTCATTTCAATTGCCTCGTCAAGTGAATCAAATTCAAAAATATAAACAATTGGAGCAAATGTTTCCTGTTGAACAATTGGATCGTTCGGCGATAGACCGGTAATTATTGTTGGTTCCACATAGAAACCTGATCTTTCAACAATATGTTTTCCTCCAAATTCCACAGTTCCGCCATTTTCCTCTGCTGCAATTCTCACCGATTTCTGAGGGAAAAAACAATTTTAAAATTCAAATTTTTAATTTAAAGCTAATTTTAATTATTCTTCACTGCTTTTTTTAATCTTTTCCTATTCTTTTTTATCTATGAAAAAGAAACCTTAAAATTATCGAGGGCTTCTTGATTGTGAAGTGGACCATAAAGAACTGATTCGTCCAGTGGATCTCCAATTCTTTTGAAAATACTTTTAAACGCAGTCTTTAGTTTTTCGAGAAATTCCTTTTTTATCGTTTTATGTAAAATTAATCTTCTCGTTGTTGTGCATCGTTGACCAGCAGTTCCAACGCATGAGAAAACAGCGGCTCTTATTGCCATTTCTAAATTCGCATCTGGTGCAACTGAAAATTAAAAAACCGTTATAGATTTTGCGCGTTATTAGGACTCTAAATAATTTTTGTTAAATTTATTTCCTACTACTGTTTTTCTAATTGTTGTTATTTAATATTTATTTCTCAGTACTATTTTTGTAATTCAAAACTGCGTCTAAATACCAATAAGGGCATTGTTGCCTCCTAATTCGAGTAAACACTTTCCAAATCTGCTTTGTACTTTAAGGGCAACTTCTTTCCCTGTTTTTGAACTTCCAGTGAACGATACTAATGGAACTCTGAAAATATAAATATAGTAAAATAATGTTAATTTTTATATTTTTGGAATTTTTTCTAAATTCTAATAATTGTTAATTATTATTTATAGTAATTTTCACCGTTTGTCGTTGACAAGCGCCTCACCAACATCATTGCCACCGCCAGTTATTAATGAAGCAACAGAACCGGGAATGTTGTTTCGCTCCAAGACTCCGCTAATTATTTTTGTTGTCGCTATTGAAACTAGAGGTGTCGAAGGTGCACCTTTCCACACAACAGTGTTTCCACAAATCATCGCTACTGCACTATTCCAACCGTAAACCTGAAATTGTTATTAGTTTGTTCTGTTCGTTCTGTTATTTTCTTCTTTATTTCTTTTCTTTGAGACAATTATCATTCTTTTTTTCTCTTTTTAAATAGAAAATTTGAATTTATACCGCAATGGGAAAATTAAACGCCGATATAACGCCAATTACTCCCAGAGGATTCCATTTTTCAAGTAAAGCATGATCCCTTCTTTCCGATGGAAAAATACCACCGGCGAACATTCTCGATAATCCCACAGCGTAATCGCAAATATCAATATATTCCTGTACCTCGCCAATACTTTCCGGTAATATTTTACCTAGAATGTTTTTCATTTAGTTTTTTCTTTATAACTTTTTTCTTAAATTAATTTAATTTTTTCAATTCTTAAAGAAAAAAATTAAACTTGCCCATTTCGAGGGAAACTAATTGACCGAGAGGAAGTAAATTTTTTCTGAGCTCATCGCCAATTTGACGGACAATTTCCCCTCGAGCCGGAGCTGGCAGCGATGCCCATTGCGGCCATACTTTTCTGGCTTTTGAAATTGCATTCACAACTTCCTCTGGAGTTGATTCGCGAATTTTTGCTATCACTTCTCCACTAGCCGGCGAAATTGATTCAATCACCTTTAAAAAATAAAAAAAGAAGACAGAACATTTTTTTAAAAATATTCACAAATTAATTATTCTCTTCATCAAGTATACAATGTACCACCTACCTTTCCCGATCCTCCCCAATTTCCATCGTACAATCCAGGATTTTCCGCGCTGCTGAGACCAAGTTGTTTCAAAAATCCATATTTCGAATCAGTGACTAAACTTTTTGTAAATTCCACATTTTTTGTTGACATTTTTTTCAATAAATTACAATACATCGTTTCCTTTTTTTGCCCCGCGACACCACCACCACATTCAAAATGCCGAACAAACAACTGTTTGATTCGTGTATTTTTTTTTTTTTTTTTATTTTACTTGACTGTGAAAATAAAACGAGTCTTATCTTTGACCCTCCTCCTCCTCCTCCTCCTCCTCTTTTATCACAGTGAAGAATGGAGAGATTTTAGATTGCACGAGAGGCACAAGTATAAATATAAATTTATTCTCCAAGATAAAAAATTATGTCTCTTTATTTTATAAATTATTTTTCAATCGAGAACACTTGACAATATTGCAAAAAATTCTTTTTCTTTGAATTAAAATTTTTAATTTTTAAACTAAAGAAAAATAGTACAAAGAAAATTTGTATAAAACATCTTTTATTTAAAACAGTTAATACTTAACTATAATTTTAATAAAATCGCGGCAGTGATTCTCACATAAAAATTGTTGCAAAAATTCATTAATTTGCAAATATAAAAGAACATATTTACTCAACAGCAGAGTTGGTCATCACCGTTTTGTCACACGAAATAAAAAAAAAGGAAGAATTCCGTGTGCGCTAATTCTTCCATCACAAAAGCACACATTTTACTTCTTTTCTTTTAGAAAATTTCTTAAGGATTTTCTTCTTCTTCTTCTTTCCAACCTTCAAGATAATTATCCTCTCGATCACATTAAATTCTCACTGGTTAATATCACATTACAAAAAAATTAAATTCACGAAATTTTTCAATTTTTCTGAAATATTTCAAGTTGTGTGTGATTATTATTTGATGAATGTTAATTAATTTTTTTCACACATTCTCAAATAATCAATTGAATATTTATAAATTTCGAGAATTTAATTTATTTGATAATTCAACGCACACACTGTCTTCAATGTTATTTTATTAATGTTAAAAATAATGTCCAAAAGGAAAAAAAATCGATTGATCGATGAGACAAAATTCCTAAAGAGATGATATTGTTTTAAACATAATAGAGTCTATTTAAAATACTCTTGATTGCAATTGTTGACAATTTTTTTCATCCGGGCCTGCACAACAACTGGTAACATCTCAAATCAGAAACCAGTCGAAGAACTGATCGCGTCAATGTTGGTTGATCCTGAAATTAATTACTTTATTTATTAACTTGATATTTTCAAAATAAATCAAATTACAAAACAAATATCTACTAAATATGGAACCACCAATAGAAATATAAACCAAGTAAGAAAAAAATTAATTTCTATGGAATTTAAATTAAAATTTACAAATACTTACAGTTGATTTATCGAAATTTTCCATTAATGTAGATCTTTGTACATTATCCAAACCTTCGCAGCTTGTTAAAAATGTTGGTATAAAATTACCAAAAAACCAAGCAATATCAACAGTCGCAAGACTATGAATCGCGTTTGCTATTTCGTCTGCTAATAAATTATGAGATCTGGAAAAAATTAATTATTTAATTAATATTAAGATACATCTGAAAAAATTCAGTATTATAAAAAATCACAAAAATTGACCAATTATAGTATAGTTAAATATTTTCTAAAAATCTGATCAACATTTAATAATCAAATGTTTTATTTTCAATATAAGAAACAACACGATTGTATTAAAAACTTGAATGAAATTCTTCATAAAATTAAATTACATTTAAAATTACCAATTAAAATCAACTAAAACTTTAAATCCATTATTTTAAAAATTTTCAAAGAAATTCACCAAAGAATTTAATTAGAATTTTCGAAAAATGTAATAAAATTCTTGACAAGAATTCAATTACATACATATTTTCATAAATAATAAAATCTTGGAAGAAATTCTATTATTTTCAAATTTTCCATAAAATTTTTACAAGAATTTAATGATTTTCAAGACATGAATAAAAAAATTGAAAACATATAAAAAGAAAAATTATTAATAAAGTTAGGAAACTAATAATAATAATACTCACCGATGAAAAAGTACGGTGAAGAGAGCCATGAGAAATCTTTCAAGAAGATGATTTTTAAACACTGAACGTTGATAAAGTCGCCAGCGTGCATTTAATTGTTCGAGACATTGAAGACTCTGACGAAAAATATTTACATCGGATTGAAGTAAAGCTTGACCGAATGCTTCTAGAATTGCGACAAGTTCCTCCTTGTGTTCAATGATCTCCTCACCACCACCACCACCACCACCACCCTCCTCCTCCTGATGACCAAACGTACGAAGTATCGATGAATTATAAAAATATTGCCAACGATGAATCAAAATACTGAAAAATAAAAACATAATTTTTTCTTTTCAACTTTATACGAATACGTAAAAAAACGTATTTTACAAGATTGATTAAATTATTCAATTTATTCATTTGTTTTAATAAATTTGCAGTTAAAACTTTTAGTTTCAAGTGCGCTTCAGTTAACAATTTTTAATTACATAGTTTAGTAGTAACTAATTTAGAGAAAATTCCTGCGCTTTTTACCTGTGAAATAATCGCAATAATACGAGAGTTGTATCGGGATGTGAACAAAGATCATTACTCACTGCCGGCCAAACGTGTCCAAGACACAAACTAATTACAGAAGGAACAAACGCTTTAAATGCATTGCTTGGAGCCGAAACGACCAAGATTAAAATTTCCAAAAACTGATCAAGAGCCGCTCCCGAAGAAATATTTTCCCTAAAAAGAAAAAGAAAAAGAATAAAAAATGTTCTCTTAAAATATGAAAAGGAAAAATTAATAAAATTATGAATATTACCTTGTATAAACGTGTAACATTTCTTGTACCGCATTCTGTGTAAATTCAGCGCCAAGTTGTTGTTGAAGAACTAAAAATGCCGTGTGCAAGAAACTGAGTAACGTCTCACTTGTTCCCTGATTACGAATAAAATGCGGCAATAATTCCAATATTCTCTTCACAGATTGCTCTAAACTGGAGTGAACTAATTTCTTAACAATTGTCGACGACGATGAACAATCGTCGAGAAGTTGTTTTAAATTAATAGCCGACAAAGACACCACTATCGGATCCGGTGGCATTGATTGTCCTTCGACTCCTAAAGGTTCCGATAAAGTCGCCACTAGAACATCTACACACACACACACAATAGAAAAGAAGACGGAGTTATCTATTTTAATTTATTCATTATTTGATATTTTAAGAAATGAAATTTACTCATTAATCTTTGTCGCATTGCATTGTCGCCGGGCGGAAGGATAATTCCGTTTGTCAATGCCCTTCGTAATACTTTAACAGTATCGGTTTTTAAGTGTGGATGATGATAGACTTGTGTGCAAAGTAAATCGGTGAATAACGATTGATCCCATAAATTTGGTTTAAGAATTGCAGTGATACTTTGCAATAAATGCGCAGCTGAATGAATTAAATTCGCTGGCGGGGCATCGCAAGGCGATGTATAAGTCAATGCCCAAAGGCACGATTGTATACAACGTTCGCTCAATGTTTCTCTAATTTTTTCCGATTGTCGACCACAAATCCAATGGCACCATGCTTGTAGCGACGCCAATAATTGCGAGTGCCTGCAAAAGTAACTCTATTCACAATCATTTTCTCTTTTTAATTTCTAATAATTTCCAATTTTCTTTTAACAAAAAATTAAATACATAATAAGAATAAGAATTAGAATGGTATTTAAACTCACACTTCAATAAGATCGAGTACAATTTCGGCGGGTTGAAGAGCAGCTCGGAACAATTGATTGTCTCTGGCGAATGCACAAGCTTCTAAAGTTTGTACAATTAATTCTTCGATTAAAACATGATCCGAATTCGTTTGTTGATCGCCTGTAAATGAAAAATTGTTAATCATCTTCTTTTTAATTATATTTTTCTCGTGTTTTTTTTTTTGTTTTTGTTTTGAAAGAAGAAAAGATACTTGCTACTAAAAATTGTATAAAGTCGAGCTAATGCTTGCGTTGTGGACGCCAAATCACGTAAATGTGCATCAACACTCGATGCTTCATTTTCGTTAAGTAAAAGTACTTGTCCATTAGATACTGCATTTCCCAATTCTCCAAATACACTCAATGCTTCTCTCCACGAGCGATACTGTCAACATTTTCAAATATTGAACATTAAGTTCAGTTGGTTGTTGTTTGCTTTTTTTTTTTTTTTTTTTTTTGTTTACAAAACTTGATAAATTTATAATTGAAAATTAAAAATAATAATTCACAAAAAATTCAAATTGAATTTATTTTCTCTAAGAAGAAAAGAAGAGAATTAATTTTTATTCTCACCAATAGTGTAAAAATTGGAACGGGCGATATGTCGGCAATTTTTGCCAAACATTCAATGTTACATCTTAAAAAATGCTGCCATTCTGTTTCGTCCTGTAACAAAAAAAAAAAAAAAAGAAAAAGAAAAAGAAAAAGAAAATGATAAATATAATATAATACGACCAAAATGAAATAAATAATAATAAACAAATACGCCTTACATTTTCATCAAGATTTTCCGTATCGAGAAACTTGAGTGTACGAGCTTCGATTTTAAAACTGATCTTTTGTAATACACGTTCAGCGAGTGCATGAGCAATTGTCGCATATTGCGATTGACTACTCTCTAAAAGTACAATCCACACTTCCAAACAACGTAAATATCCATTAATTGTTGAACACTGTTGAAATGTGTGATGATATAAAATTTCCAATAATGTATTAACTGGAAATTTTGGACACGATTCAACGCGTTTCAAATGATTTGTTACGAATAGTTGTAAAAATTCTGTCGTTTTTTCCATGTAGCTGTGTGTGAAAAAACAACGGGAAAACAAATAGAATTCAAGTATAAATTTTTGTTTGCATTAACAACAAAATAATGCATAAAAAAATAGGAAATAAATTTAAATTATTTGAATAATAAAATGAATTTACCTTTCGTCGATTGTATCCAATCGCTCCATGGATTGAAATATTTCGATTGCTTTGTGAAAAATTTGTAGAAGCAGTCTGTCTGTTACACTACTCGGCGAACAAGGCCTGTACAATAATTCATTTATCGTTGTCATTGCTTGAACAGCCGTTTCTATCTGCTTAACATTCTGCAAAGTAGAAATTCCATTTTTCATAATATTAATGATTCAAGTGAAAATTTAAAAAAACTTTCTAGTTTGCTTAAAATTCTTTTTCTCGTTTTTTTTTTTTTTTACCATTGAATCGTGATATTTGGCACATGCGAATATGGCATCCAATAAATTTGGTGTAATGTGCTCGGCAAGGATTATCCAACTAAATAAATGAGCCAAGACATCGAGAGTTGCTATACAAAGTTCATTGTTGCCCATTGACGACAATCCTTCGACATCTAAAACGGCACGTAATGGAGGAATATTATTTCCTCCCGTTGGCGATGGTGGCGGTGTTATTGTTCCAGAACGATTGTATAATTTATTCATTTCGCGTAGTAAACCTTTAAAAGACAAACAAATTTAATATTAGTTTTCCTTATAAAAAAGTTGGTGTAAAAGGGGTGAGTTTTCTTCTACTCTACCTGTGAGTGCATCGAGGGTCGTTGACACTTGTGCTCCGAGAATTCTCAATAATTCCGCTTTTCGATGAACTGGCAAATCTTCACGTGGAGTTGCTAATTCCTCAGATACTGTTCGTAAATAAACTAAACCAAGTAGTCTCGTGTGCTTGTGGCCCAATAACTAGAAAAAGAAGAAAAAATAAACCTTTTTCCTTTTCAAATTCTCATTATTTTCAATAATTGTTGAAGAAAGAAGAAAGAAAAAAGTAAAACCTGTAAAATATTCGCAAAGAAATCGGGATAAAAATGTGGCCAATCGTGTCTCGCAATATCGACGACAAGTTTAACAACTTTATTTCTAATGAAAGGAGCAACACCGCGTTCGAGAGAAAGTGTATATAAAGTCGATCTAATTAATGCTCTGTCCTCCCAAGGCAAAATTGCCCATCGTCTTCCAATAGTTGTCTGAAAATTTTTATAAATTACAAACAAAATACCTAATTATTTAATTCATTCAACTATATCAAATTATGTAATTTTTCATTTAAAAAACTACCTAATATTAATTAATTAATTAACAGCATTATTACCTCCAATGTGGACAAGGCGAACATACTGACAAAATGATTATTTGTCGATGATAAAAAATGAAGGCAAGGCCTCCAGGAATTGACCTGAGCAACGAATTCATGAAGGCTCTGTTCAATCGTTCTCTTACGTTCATTATTTGTTTCAGGTGAAAAAAATTCAGTCATTAAATGCTCCAGTCTTTGTAGTGCCAAAACATCTTCATCCTGCGAATTTATTATAACAAACAAAAAATAGTTTTTTATATTAAAAACAATTTCAAGGGGAATAGATGCGATAGTGTCAAATATCAAAAATATACATTTAGACAAAATATCACTTTATTGTTTTTATTGTTAAATTTTATTACTGAAAAAATACTCACCATTTTAATTTGTTATATTAATAAATCTAGAGTTATAAATGCAGTTAATAAAGTCTTGGATACTATTTTATTTTAATTTTAATAATAAATAAAATTGAGGGAGGTTAGTTTGGTTGGCAGACGTCATCATCTCCTCCCTTCTCTTCTTCTCTTCTCTTCTTATTATCGAAGAAATCGATTATATAGTTCCACCATCCAACGCTAACTTCAGTCGATTAGATCTGTCAAATTAACAAAAAAAATAATGTTGGCAAATGGCAAACCAAAGTGTTTCTCGTGAGCGTCTTATTATATTTTTTTGAGAGTATTATTTTGTAGAGAAAAATGTCATTAGCCGACGAATTGCTAGCAGATCTTGAAGAAAATGACGACGAGGATGTTGAAATGCAAGAACCGGAAGAGGAGTTCATTCCGGCTTCTATTCCTAAACCGATTGAAGAAGGTTAGGTTTTGTATTATTATTATTATTATTATTATTATTATTATTATTATTATTATTATTTGTTTATAAACAACAATGTCTCGATTAAGAGTTTATTATAAAAATTGTTTACATTTTGGCAAACAATTTTCTCAAATTCACCCATTTTTAATATCATATGATTAACTTACGAATTATGTATATTAATATATTGTAATACGTAAAAATGTAAATTTTGAGGTTATTTGCATTTTTAGAGCATCATTTTTATAATTGTTAAATTTGGGCATTATTTTTCACAGAAATAAAAGTACAAAGAGTTACGGAACTTTGTAAACTTTGTGATTCGACACAATTGCAAAATGTAATGACACAAATTGACAAGTACAGTAAAATACTGAGAAAACCGGAAGATATTGTCGGTGCAGTTGAATCCGATCCTGAATATCAACTTATTATTGGAGCAAATAATTTGGCTGCAAAAATAGACGATGAAGTTGGTACAATACATCGATTTACAAAAGATAAATATTCAAAGAGATTTCCCGAACTCGAATCGTTGGTTGTCGATGCATTGGAATATGTAATGACAGTAAGAGAATTGGGCAACGATTTGGATCGGGCTAAAAATAATGAAATTCTCCAACAATTTTTAACACAAGCAATTATTATGGTTGTTTCCGTAACAGCATCAACGACTCAAGGGTAATTTTTTTTTTATTTTTAATTGAATTTTCAAATTATTTTCTTTTTTAAATTACATGTTTTAGGTATTTTTCTCTTTTAATTATTATATTTTTGAAACAGAAAGAATATTTGATTATTTTACAGTCAATTGCTGACAGAGGAGGAAAAAAACGCAATCTTTGAAGCCTGTGATATTGCGGTGGACTTGAATAATTATAAAATAAAAATTTTCGAATACGTTGAAAGTAGAATGGCATTTATTGCTCCAAATTTATCGATAATTGTTGGATCTTCAACTGCCGCAAAAATTATGGGTAAAAATTAATTATAATTTTGCAAAATATTATCAAATTTCTCGCAGGAATTTAATTATTTTTAAATATTTTTAAATATTTTTAAATATTTTTAAATATTTTTTATAAACTTGATCGGAAAAATTCACTTATTTTGAAAAATTTTGGTAAAATTCTTTATGAGAATTCATTTATTTCCCATTTTTAAAATTAGAAAAGAAATATTTTTAATTGAAAACAATTAGTTTTAATTATTTTTTTTTATTCTTCCAAGCATTAAATTAGAATTTCATTAATTTTAAAATAAAGATTAAAAAGAAAAATTATCAAAAAATATTAGGAATCAGAAAGCAAACAAAATAAAAGGATTATTAATATAGATAAAGATTAATTATTGATTACTTATTAAATATGTTTATACAATTTTAAATTTCTGATAAACTTTTATTGATTTCGTATTTATTCTGAACAGGTGTAGCTGGAGGTTTGACGAAATTGTCGAGAATTCCCGCCTGTAATGTTTTAGTTCTTGGAACAAAAAAGACTACGCTTTCGGGATTTTCTCAAACTTCAACATTACCGCACGCAGGATTTATTTATTACTCTGATATTGTTCAAGAAACACCGCCGGTGATTTGTCTCTTTCAATTTAAAATATATTTTTAAATATTTACTGTTTGGTGTTTGAGAATTTATTTGCTTTTTGCTTCTCAGGATCTTCATAGAAAAGCGGCGAGACTTGTGGCTGCAAAATGCATTTTGGCGGCTCGCGTTGACGCGGCACACGAAAGTACGGACGGACAAATCGGACGAATGTTTCGCGACGAAATTGAAAAGAAACTCGATAAATTACAGGAGCCACCGCCAGTGAAATTTGTAAAACCATTGCCCAAACCAATTGATCCCGGCAGGAAAAAGCGAGGCGGAAAACGCGTTCGTAAAATGAAAGAGCGTTACGCAATCACGGAATTTAGAAAACATGCGAATCGATTGAACTTTGCCGACGTAAGTTTAGAATTTAAGTTAATTTATATTTAATTAAAATTCAATTATACGTTTACTTTAAATTTAATTTTTAATTCTGAATTTTTTCTAGATTGAAAGCGACGCTTATCAAGAGGATTTGGGTTATTCGAGGGGAACAATTGGCAAGGCCGGAACGGGACGAATTCGATTACCGCAAGTTGATGAGAAAACGAAAGTTCGAATATCCAAAACACTACAGAAAAATCTTCAAAAACAACAACAATGGGGCGGCAGTACAACGGTGAAGAAACAAGTTTCCGGAACTGCATCGAGCGTTGCTTTTACACCATTGCAGGTAAAATAAATATTACTTTTAAATGCAAGAATTGTTACAAAAAAAAAAAAAACTACACACCGATAATTTATTTCTATAAAAAGAAACAAAGTAATCTACAATTTTTTTTCCCCCGCAGGGTTTGGAAATCGTAAATCCACAGGCAGCCGAAAAGAAGATAAACGAAGCCAATGGAAAATACTTTTCAAATACGGCTGCTTTCTTTAAAGTGAAAAAATCTACCTAAATTATTCTAATTTTAATTTAATGGTAATTATAACGATATAAATATGCAAAAAAACAAACTTTTCCGAGTGAATAATAAATAGGGAAGATTAATTAATATAGTCAATTAATTCAGATCAACATAAATTCTTTATTCTTTTCAATAATTATGACATCGTTGAAATTAAATGCACGCCATTATATATATATATATATATATATATATATATATATACATAATAACCATCATAATCAACAATATTTCTCCAACGAGAAATATTTCATTTTTTTTTATTTCTATTGAACTACAAGATTGACAAACGAAACAATTCTTTTTCTTTGCAAAATAAATAAGTATAAATACAATAATATATTTATAATTATTTATTTCTTCAATTAAATATATATATATATATATATTATATTATATATACAAAAACATAACAATCTAATATTTCTAAGAAACAGTGATATTTATAATATATAAAATCATGAGTTTCGCGTCCATTTATGTTTCAAAGAACATGGTTTTGAAATGCTAACAAAAATAGAATATTCTTATTTTTCCACAATTGTTCGTCATAATTTAAAATATCATTTTTTTTCTTTTTTTCTTTTGACGATCACTTTTTTACGATTTTAGACTATAGATTTATATATTCACGTTGTTTTCTTCATTATAGAAGTTCTATAATCTCGGCTTTATTAAATACAACAATACAAATAGGTAGTCATATATGCATTTTGTTGGTTTTGTTGTTGTTTTTTAATTACTTTTTGCAGTGATTTCTTTCGCCTCGTTTTACACCATAGCAAATATAATTTACATAAATATGTATAGCAATACGTAATGGCCTTCATAAAATTAAAGGCTTGATATTTTTTTTCAAAGTAAATACTAAGAATGTTTCACCAGTCGTTTTTTTTTTTTTTTTTTTTTTTTTGAATAATATTAATAATTTAATTGGAAATTAATTCACTAATTTATCATTTTTATTTTGGGTATTGTATTCTTATTTTTATTTAAAAATTATAGAAACTGACAAATATTTTACAAAAATTATAAATTCAAATTAATTTATTTAATTTGAAATCAAGTTGAAATAGCAAAAAGTATTTAGAAGGGAAACTCTTCATTTAAAACAAATAATTTAAACAATTTATTTTTATTATTTTTATTTATTATTTAATCGATAAAAAACTATCAGATTTATCGCATTCTTTTCTTCCCCCCCCCCCCCTCCCCGTTTTCCCATCTTATTCTCTTTTGATTATTATTTTATGAAAACAAATTTTTATTTTTATACAATATGAATTAAATCTACCCGTATTTGTAATTTTTTCTTTTTTTTTTCTTTTTTTTATCGAAATTCATCATACAGTACTTGTAATTTTTTTTTAATGGCTTTGGGAAACATATTATATATATAAATATATGTGAAATACTTTCGTTAACGGGAGATAAAATGCTCTATTAAAATTCTTAAAATCTTGTTAATAATTCTTTTTTAATAGTAAATCTTCAGAAAATAGCACCGGACACACATTTTACGTATTACCGCCAATTATTAATATTATTTTTTTTAGAAGGTGAATCAATATTTGATAAATTCCAATTGTCATCGTTTTTTAGGTTTAAAATTATATTCTTTTTGTACTTAAAAAAAAAATTAAAAATTATTTTTTGAATTTATTAGCGAAATTGGAAAGGAGAAGTAATTAATTAAATTTATAATTTATTATAAACTTATTTCTTTATTTCTTAAATAAAAAAGAAATTTTAAATTATTTGGTAACTAAAAAGAGGTCCCAACTTTTTTTTATAAATTTTCATTTTTCTAAATTCTGTAAATTGAAAATTTTAAGTTACTTTAAATTTTCTCATTAAAAAATTATTATAATTTTGTAATTATTAGTAATAGGTATAGAGCAAATTATAAAATTAATTATAAATTAAAAATTCCCAATTTCAAAATTATATAATTTAATAATAAATTAAAAATCGCTAGGTATACATTTCTAAATTAAATGTAATAATTATATAATTATAAATATTTAAAAATTTAGCATTATATTACAATTAAGAAACAACGATCATGACCAGATTTTATTAAGTATTCGATTCGGATTTTTTTTCTTATTTTAGAAAGTTTGATAGAATCAGACACATCGCGTTTAACATTGATAACAATTTTCAATGTTGTTTTTTTCTCTTCTTTTTTTTTTTTAATAAACAACACGAATATTTATTTTCAGGTAACAGTTTCAACAACTGACGTTCTCATTTTAATTTTTACCTAAATTTATATGGCAAAGAATTCAAAATCAATTTTCCCTTTATTCAACTTTGGATTTAATCCGAATTGTGAAAATTGATAATGAAAACATTTTAAAAAAATTTGTCTTCTTCCTATTTTCTTTCGCAAAAAAAAAAATGAGAACATTTTTGTTTTCAATCGAAGCAGTTTTTTTTTCTTCTTTGGAACGAAAAAGAGAGACAGAGAGATCGTTATAAGTATAAAAAATAAACTTTGATCAGTTCGAAAAAAATTGAGTCGATATAATAAATGTTTCTTTGTTTTAGAATTTAGAGCAGGTTTTTTTTGTTTTGTTTTTTTTTTAACAAATAGATTGCTTACTATTTTTTTACTGCCGGGACTCGAAGAATGAGCGGCAGCGTGCAAAACGTCAGAGTTTTTCTTGAGCTGGTGTTTTTGTTGTTGGTGCTGAGGACGACGATGATGATGATGTTGTTGTCGAGGGTCCCACACTTGTACTTCGCTCTAAGACTCTGCGACCGAATGGTGAGCGTTTCGGTGTCCTAAAAGAACTGTCGATATTTATTATTATTATTTTCTTTCTTTTTTTTTTATTAATGGTCAATATTAAAATAAACATTTTTTTCCACGTAGATAAAAATAACTATATCGAGGTTTTTTTTTTTTTTTTTTCTTTTGAAAACGTAACAAGAACTAAATCTAAGGATTTTTACTCCTTACAATTTTTTACACACATTTTTATTTCATTTCACTAAATCAAAAAAAAAAAAAAAAAAAAAAAAAAAAAGAAACAAAAAACTAGGTTTTCATTCACAGGATAAAAATCTAATTTCCTTGATGCAAACTTTTTTTTTAATCTATTTTACTAGTACTCTTTCCATAACGTTCAGGATTTTTTTTTTTTAATACAATTTATTATTTTCTTGTGCTTTCTTTATTCTGTGAAAATTATGCTGATTCTTTGTTGCTTCGTGTTTGTGAATTCTCATTATTTGAATGTAGTAAATTTAATTTTACCGGTAAAAAAATTAACTAATTACCAAATAAATAATTATTAAAATTGTCATTAATTATATTTAATTATTTTTTCATTATTATTATTTGAATTTAAAAAATTAAAAAATAGTTTATTAATTATTTAAAAATATGAAAAATCAGATGAAAAGAAATTATTAGTTTATTGTTATAGAAAAAACGTTTGTGCAACACGAACAGCAAAGTAGCGGTGCTTCTTTTTTCGAAAAAATTTTCCAAAAATATTTACAAAAAACATTATTTGATGCTTCTTCAAAAAAGTGAGATACACACATTCTTAAGCTGACAAATATATACCTAAAATGATTGTATGCAAGAGAATTATTTTGACATTAATAATTAAAATATACAGTGGGAGAATTCGTGAAAAAATGAGAGCGTGATGTAAGCGGATCGAGAGAATAAGCGAGGATCTATTACAATATCAATTTTTCTATGCAGAAAGCGATGTTGTAAATTTTATTTATCTATTTTTTTTTTTTTTGTAGACGTTTAAGACAACAGTGAACAGGCAGAGAATATAGAGAAGCCACAAAATGCAACCGTTTTCGATTTGCTATAAATATGACAATGAAATTTTCCAAAAAATAATTCAAATATTTATTAAAATGAGAATACGAAAAAATCGAGAGAAAAGTTATTTTTTTGAAAAGACGAGAGCGAACAAAATATCCAATAATGAGACAAGAGTGTAAAAAACACATGTGCTTGTAAGTTAAATTAACTTTTTTAATTGAAACAACTTTTATTTTAAAAAAAGTAATTAAAAAAATTAATTAAAAAAAATATAATTTTAATAAAGGTGCAAAAAGAAAAAAAATTCAGAGAATATTTTACTCACTCTTCCTTCAAATGCTTGCGTTTTCTAATTCCTTTATTTTTGTTTGTCTCTATACAACGCAGTAAAAAAAAGAAATTTTTAATATTCTCTCATTTATACTTTGAAATATACTTTTCCCCCCTCGCGAAATATTTCTAAAACTAAAAAAGAATTGCAATTTGCAAAATTAGTACAAATTTTGATGACAAATTGAAATATGTATTTGTTTAGATTTATCGTAAAGAGTAAGCAAAGCAAAAAAAAAAAAAAAAAGGTTTTAACAAATGCGGGAAACTGTATTTTTTTTCTTTTATTTTCGAATTCTGTGAAATTGTTTTAAGAGCAGTTTGAAAAGCGATTTGATGAAGTGTTTTTCTTTTTTGTCCTTATTTGTACATATTTCTAATTACCTAAAAATTTTTTTCTTGAAAGAAAATAAAGAAAAAAAAAGTGTTTTTTTGCTAAATTTATGTCCGCGAGTTGTGGTGTTTATAATTCAAGATAGCTTCAACATCTATCATCGTGCATCACATAATGTAAAAAGGCTCTAAAACATTGTTATTCATGCTCATTTTTTAGCTCGACCTACCACCAAAAAATTTTTGTTCTAAATCTTAATTAAACTAAAAATTCAATTAAATAGGTATTAAAGAAAAATAAAAATATTTCAATTAATAACTAACTTATTAATTACATTATTAATTATTGTTTTTAAAAAATTTAATAAAATTCTTCACAGGAATTCAATTATTTTCAAAAATTTTAATAATATTCAATTATTTTCAATATTAGAATAAAATTCCTTGAATGGAATTAAATTATTTTAAACGATTCAAAGTTATAAAAGTAATAAATAAGAATTAATATACCTAAATGATATATTTTTAATTGAAAACAATTTCGTTTAATTAATTTTTGGTATTTTTTACTCTTCAAAGCAGTAAATTAGAATTTTATTATGTAATTTTAAAACTTAAAATTAAAAAAAAAAATTATCAAAAAAATTGGGAAAGAAAAAGCAAACAATTATTAATTATTTATTATTAAAAAAACCAAAAAAAAAATTTTAATCAATATTATTTTTCTAAAAAGTGAAAAAATATATTATTATCTTCCCGAATAAAAGAAATGATATTTTCTTTCTCAAAAAAATGAAATTCAATTTTTTGGTGGGAGATTCAGCCAATTTTTTTTCTTCAACATTAAACATTCATCTAAATGTCAGTGGGAAATTTTTTTCAAAAATTAATTCCCATTTACCTTGAATGTAAAAGCGAGACCGTTTCTATTTTTATTTTTTTATTTGAAAAATAATTTTTAGTCTCGTTTCTATAGTGTGTGAGAAAGAGAGAGAGAGAGAGAGAGAGAAAGAGAGAGAGTTGCTTAAACCACAAATCCTGGACATATATTTTTTTCGTGTAACGGTCGACAATTTAAAGAATAATTTTTTTTTTTTTTTTGAGCATTGGATGCTGGGCAGCTTGGTAGAAGGAAATATTAGCTATGCTGCACAACGCGACAAATCCTCATAGCAGGCACCTGGAATATATTAAGAGCCTCATATAAGCCTCGTACACTCGAAAATACACTTTATTTTTTCATTCCTTTTTTTTTTAAACACATTTTCACTCTGCGGGATTTTCTACTCTATTTCACTAAAAATTCTAGTAATTTTCAGTTGCAATGGAGAATTTTTTTTTGTCTCATACATTTTTAAATTTCACCTCTTACTTTTTTTTTAAATTCATTTTCTTTCACACTTTTATTAATTTTTCCTACATTTTTATTATTAATTTTCTTCGTTTTTAGTATTCTTTTTCCTTTTAATCAATTTTTTCATTTATATTAATTAATTAATTTTTTATTTAATATAGATTGCTTTAAACTTTTAACTAATATTTATTTTTATCAATCAATCGATTTTTAATTAATTATTTTTCTGATCAATTTCTATAAATTTTTTCCTTTCGTATTCATATTATTCTATTTTTATATTAAATTATATAAAATTTAGAAATCCCAAATGAAAATTTTGATGAAAAATTTTCAAAAATTATTCTAAATTTCCAAGTTAAAGAAAAAGCAAAAAGACATTTCTTTAAAGAGAAAATTTTATGTGAACAGAAATTTCAGTGTGTGATTGAATTGTTTTTTTTTTTTTTTTTTTTTTAGAGGGAAAAACGGAAAAGTGGAAAATTTTCGAATGTGTGAGACAAGTTTTTTCTACCCTAGTGGTTTTAATTAATTTTTTTTTTTTTTTTTTTATTTGAGCGGTTAGGATTTTTAGCAAGGGAAGAAAGAGAAAGTCTAAGAGAGATAGTTACCAATGTAAGTTAGTAAATTGTACGCAGATAATTAGGAGCGTGTTAGATGTGACTACGGTAGACTTTCCGCTTTAAGTTCACGTTGCTACGCGCTGGCGAGCTGACTGCTGTGTCGTTACTGGAACAGAGCCGCGGCTCTTATTCACACGCACAAACACTGCAAACATCACGCTCTAACGAGCCCCTCTTCAATAACAAAAAAAAAACCCCCTTCAATAAAAAAAACAATGAAAAAAGAAATTCACACATTTTCTTTCATTTTCCCCATCATTTTCTTCTTATGTTAATTAATTAAAAATGCACTACATAACTCTCTAAAAAGATCAAATACATTTTCCAACCTTTCTTTCGATTCTTTTACTAATTTTGTTTTGTGAAAATAACATTTTAAAACACATGGAAAATCGAATAGTGGAAAAATGTAAACGATCCTGTCTCTATAAATTGTCTATTGAAAAAAAAATTCAGAACAATATATGCAAAATGATTAATTCAGCAAGAAAAGTAATAATTGAAAACCGTGAATTTGCAACTATTCTAAATTGCCTTGTTGGTATAAATTCAATTCCTTCTTGATTGAAAAGAAGACCTTTTTTTGTGCCCGTAAACAAATAAAACCCTATTTCTGTATCATCACTTATTTAATTTTCCGCTTATTTCTTTATCATCCTCTTTCCTTGAAAAGAAAAATTGTTTAACTGCGAAAATTATTTTCGCCTTCGAGATCAAAAAAAAAAAAAAAAAAAGAAAGAAAAGAGGCAGCAAAATAATTTGCATTTCCTTGTTTCCTTGTTTGTCAGTTTCTTTTTGTTTTTCTAGTTTTTGAAAGAATATAATTTACCTTCTCCGTCGTAACGATGTATTTTGTCCTGGTAATCCAAATTGTCCCCGAGGAATGACCATTCGAGCATTTCCCTGAGCAGGTCGCGAACCGCCGTGAGCCTGTAGTGTGCTCAAATGTGCCGCGTAACCTTCCGACAATACTGTCGCTAATGCTTGCTGCTTCTTTGGCACTTTACCAACAATAAATATTTGATTTGGTTTCAAATTTATCGACGTATAGACACTTATGTCCTTACTGCTACCGTAAGCGTAATGAATACTGACTCCGTGTTCCTGGAAAAAATTTTAAAAATTATTGCATTCTCTTTATTTGTGTAAAGATGTAAAAAAAAGTCAAAAAGAAAAAAAGAAAAAAAGACAAGGAAAATAGAATAAGGAAGCAAGCAAGAAGAAACAAAACAAATTAGAAAAAGCCAAAAAAGATGAAACAAAATCGAAGAATAAAATATAAAGAGAATGCTAGTACCTGGACAAGATTGTTCAAGTACGCAGCCTTGTGACGAAGGGGATCCTTATTGATACCTTCCGCAAAGGAGACAAGTCCATGTGGAAAATTGTGTTGCGAGAGCCATGAGACGACAATTTGTTGTTGCATATCCGGCCTTGCTGTTATGTAAATTATTAAATATCCCAGTTCTTGCCAGTGTCTAAGAAAAAAGAAATAAACATTTTTACACCCCCCTTTTTTAACAAAATATCAAGGAAGAGAAATTTATTGAATAATTTTTTTTAAATTGAATTTCAATTTCAATTAAATAATAATTTGAAAGATTTTCTCATTGTGATTGAGTAATACTTACTATACAAGAAAAAAGTATTAAAAATTTTCAAACATAAAAATACCTCACAACATCGACAGCACCGGGTCTCACTTTAGGATCTCTGCCACTCACTGATACGCTAGCAGTAAAACTTCCATCGATACTAAAAACTACACACTCTGTTCTTGGTGGTATCACAGCCATGAAAAAATCTACAGACGTATGGTCGCCTCTGTAATGAAAAATTTATTATATTCTCTTTTTTTTAAATATAAAATGTAAAATAAAATCCAATAATAAAAATGGATACATAATTAAATCGAATAATAAAAATGAAAACAAAAATCGAGTAATTAAAATAAATACAAAGTAAAGTCGAATAATATAATTATATATATATGTATAATAACATTATTGACGTGAACTTTCGAGAATAAGTTCTTAAAACTGCACGTCAACAATTTGAAATTCTGTGAAAATAAATATTTCAAAAAAAAAAAAAAAAAATTCGCCTGAATGTCAGAATGGTTTAGCCCGCTTGAAACTCATCCCCCTATTTTGTTAATTTTAAAGCTTCTCACAAATTTCAAAAGGGATTTTGTAGAGGACAAAAAACCATTTACAAGACCCAAGGAAGAAAATTAAAAATTATAGGTATACTCAAGATAAAAAAATTACAAGCAAAACTATTTTTTTCACTATTCATTCGAGTTTTGACGCACTCAAAGCCTAATTTGAAATGGATTCAAGTCAACAACAACATTTTTCAGACAATTTAAAAATCTTTTGAAATTTAATTTATTTCTAAAAATTCCTACTTTAACGCTTCTTACAATCAATCAATCAATCAATCAATTAACTATTATCTAAAATTTTAACTGAAATTAATTTTTATTTTTGAATTAATTATTGTTATTAGAAAATTCTATGATGTTTTATTAACATTTTTTGAAATAATTGAATTAGATATTCTTGCGAAGAATTTTATCAAAATTTTGTTTAAATGATTGAATTCTTTTAAAAAATTTGATTAAAATAGTAGATATTGAAAAAAAATTTGAATTGTTTTAAAGAAACGCAAGATATGTTAGAGCAATGAAAATAAATACAAAATGATAATAAAAAATAGAAATAAATATTTTTGTCGAAAACACGTCGTACCTGACTACCATTTTAATGGGATAAAGACCGTAGCCTAAAGCCTTTTCGTCGGGAATTTTGTAAACAATTTTTCCATTCTTATCGGTGACTTCAGTAGAAAGATAAGTCCATTCACCGGCCGGTGCATCTCTCATGATATGAATATCAACTTTTTCACCCGTCAGTGCAATCACGTCTATTGGACTATACATAAATCTAGCGACTAGAATTTGTGGTACACCCTCTCTCACAATCACATCATTTGCTCTGTGATTCGCTGCCACACTCTGCAAATTTTTCATCAATTCATTACTTATAAAATTAGATTTAATTTTGGTAATAAATTACATAATAACTTTCATAATAATCGGGATTATCTGAATAAATTTGAATTTATTTTTTTCGCAATACCTTTAATTTAACGGAAGTGCGTTTTTTGTTCCATTTCTCTCGCGGCTGACCTGGACGGAAGCTTGTGAGCTCTTTCTCTTCATTAGAAAGCAATGGCAAATCAAATCTGCCCAATTGTCGTAAAATAAAGGCAATTACGTCAGACGATTCCCAATAACTGGCGTGGAATAAATGAGGCAATGCATTCGCGGGAAAATTTGCAAGACCCTCAGGACAATATAAAGCGTAATCTATTCGTTTTGTCCCCCACCATTTCTGTGTTACTGCAAAAAGAATAAAATCAAATTAAATTCAAATTACTTTCCTTTTTTTGTTTCAATTATTTTTTCAAATTGTAGAAACAAAAATGCAATCGTATATTTTCAAAATTACTAAAATTATTATTTTAATTGAAAAAGAAGAGAGGATTTTTTCTCACGAGCAGAAACGGCTTGCAATGGAACAGTGTCAATCATTCCTGACATGGAGCTTTGAATAGAAATATCGGAGAGTCTTCGCATTGTTGAAAACGTTGCATTAGGAACGTTCAGTCCATCAGTAAAGAAATGCGGATTAGACTGAATTGCATCCACTGAAAAAAATTAATTAGATAATATTGATAAAATTGAAATTTTCATAATTTTTTTATTATTTTTTTTATTCCTTTTTTTATTCAGAAAGAATAATTTTAATTTGCGAATAGAGAAATAAAGAAAACTTACGTAAATGACAAGGAAGACCGTTGCCAAGTGGATATTTTTGATATCGGGCAACATTAACTGGCGGCAGAAGGGAGAATCTCGCGGAAATTAATGGTTCTAATCTAGCGGCTACCGGTTCAGTGGGATGGAACATATTGTACACATGATTTACTGCCGGCCTTGGAATATTACTGCTTTTATCATCGTTCGAGGAGATTTTTCTATAAGACAACACCAATCCCAAGGGACTTCCAAACATGAAAAATTCGCTGACTTCAAATTCCAATTTACATTGCTGTGAATGATCGCTGCAAGGCAAAGAAAAAATGTTAATTTCCATTTCATTAGTTTAGAAAGAAAGAAAAGTTATAGGAAAAAAGAAAGTACCTTGTCGATGAAGACCTTCTTCTTGGCGATGGTGCTGATAAATGTTTACTGTCCTCGACGCCGGCACTGCCGCAATTATCTGTCGCTTGATTGTCATTTTCAAGAATGCTATTCTCACTTCCATTGCGCGAATGATATTGTGATGTTCGACAAAGTGCGTCATAGGCCAATATCGATCCAACTGAATCAGCAATGAAACAAACCTGTCCATTGAAACCTTTACCTTCGTCGCTTCTAATAAAATCTTGATAAACCTGATTCGCTGTGTTAATCACTTTTGAAACTGAATCTTGATATTCGGAACTTGAACTTGCCAATAGTGGAATTGCTCCAATTGGAATAGTATCGTGTGTTACTTGCGGCGTGTCCATACACGATGGCGAAACATCGAAACTATAGGGACTCAAACTGAAAAGAAAAGAATATTCCAAAATTAATAATTCACTTCGATCTAAACTAATTGATTGGAATTAATTTTCTGTTTGTGAATATTTGTAAAAAATTCCAAGAAGAATTTAATTATTCTCTAAAAATTGTAATAATAAAATACAATAATCAAATGTTTAATTTCAATTAGGTATTATTAACAAACACGATTATTTTGAAAATCTGAATGAAATAATTCTTGGTTAAATTCAATTTTTGATAAAACTTTTGGATAAAATTCTTTGCAAGAATTCAATGATTTTCAATACAATTGATGAATTTAAAAATTGAAAATATGGTAAATGATATTGATTAGAAATATTTTCTCATAAAATGAAATTAAAATGAAGAAATAAAATTTTCTAATTAATTATTCATGATAGGTAAAAAATAGATGAAATTCGATAAATTCGATTTAGGGAATTTCAATTAGGAGAATGTATAAAATGTGATTTGGCGAACAGTCATGTGTCCAAATAATTCGACTCACATGGAGAGAATACCGAGTCCCTCGCTGCAAATTGATGGACAAGCGACTAATCTAACATCTATATGACCAACCATACTCGGGTAATGTTGTCTCATCACCGATTCAAAGGCTCCCCTAAATGTAGTGATATCTGATTTTTTCGCTGGCAAATCAACATTTGCATCTGAAAATTTCATTTTATTCAATATTATTATTATACTATAATAAATAAATTAAAAAAATAAAAATAAACTATTGCATCGAATGCAATAATTTATTTGGCTTGAATAGAAATTAAAATATTTAGCAGAAATAAAGAGAGAAAAATTGGAGAAAAGATAAAAATTATATTTTCAAATTTCAACTCACCGAGAACACTACCGGCGTGCATGACGAGTAATAAAACTGTTGTCCTGCAGGGTTGATGTGTGGGCGATTGTTGAGGTGATGGTATACAAGAAACATCTACACTCGCCGACGTTCTAATTTGCAATCGTTTACTACTTCGTTCACTCGCAACTCGTTGCAAATACGATGTGGAAAATATCGAATCTTCTTCTAAAATAAGAATAAAAAGAAAAACAATTAATTTTTCAAGTTAATTTGTAAATAGAAAAAAAAATGAAACAATATTACATGAAATTTTTAAAAAGAAAACCTTCTCACACCTTGTTTTGAGGCAGTCACCGCTGTCGGAGATGTTGAATCTTCAACTTCTGCTAGAAGATCCAAAGAACTCCATTTACATAATGATGAGTTATCCCCCAAGTCCTCTGTATGATCAGAACAAAGTTCAGTCTACTTTTTGCATTTTCAAACTTTTTGCGCCATTTTTGTCTTTCTTTGTTTTAAAAGAAAAAATCTTTAAATCAACTCAAATAGAGAAAAAAAATTATTAAATTCTTATTAATTACACAGCCACACAAAAAAAATAAAAAGTTCTGATCTGGGGGTCTCACTATGTAGACTTTATGTTTTTTGGGACGCTGAATCCGAATCCGAGGTCCATTTAACCCCATCAGATCAGGATTTTGACATAACCTCAAAAAACCAATATGGCGGACACATTTTTGAAAAGTTCATCGGATTCGCTTGAAATTCGTTACTCGGGGGTTTTTTGGATCGCTGATTACGAATTTGAAGTCAGATTTCAAAAATTCAAAACGGCGAATCCAATATGACGGACACGTTTTTGAAAAATTCATCAGATTCGCTTGAAACTCGTTACTGGGGGGTTTTTTGGGTCGCTGATTACGAATTTGAAGTCAATTTTAAAAATTCAAAAAGGTGCATCCAAAAATCTGTTTTTAAATAAATTTGTTCTTTTAAGGAATTAAGAACTTGAGTGATTCAATTCACACGGAATTACTTTATATCTTACGTGTGCCTACATCCAGGGCACCTCCACGAGGTGACGGTGGGCAACAGAGTTTGTCCGCTATCCGGCTAAGACCCTGGGTAATGGCTTTGATGCCGTCATGGGAGACACACGTAGAAAACGTGCTACGATGCAGGGACTCGGAACCCCAGTATCGGCGGTTTATTAGATGCACCATTTTGAATTTTTGAAATTGACTTTAAATTCGTAATCAGCGACCCAAAAACCTCCGAGTAACGAGTTTCAAGCGAATCCGATGAATTTTTCAAAAACGTGTCCGACATATTGGATCCGCCATTTTTAATTTTTTAAATCAGACTTCAAATTCGTAATCAGCGACCCCAAAAACCCCCGAGTAACGAATTTCAAGCGAATCCGATGAACTTTTTAAAAACATGTCCGCCATATTGGTTTTTTGAGGTTATATCAAAATTCTGATCTGATGGGGTAAAATGGACCTCAGATTCGGATTCAGCGACCCAAAAAACATAAAGTCTACATAGTGAGACCCCCAGATCAGAACTTTTTATTTTTTTTCTGTGGCTGTGTTATTTATTAAAGAACATTATTCTTATACTGATGCGAACGAGTCAATTTTCTGTGAATTAATTTCTCTGCTTTTTTCGTTTCTTATATAAAGAAAAAGAAAAAGAAAAATTAATTAATTCTTTAATTAGAAAAATTTATTATTTACATTTATTTAATTTCAATGTAAATTTAAAAAAATGGTGTAAATTGTTTTCCTTCTGTATTTTTTAATTCATAATAGGTATAAATTTGTAAAATATACTTTTAAGATTTTTCGAAAACTAAACATATTAAACAAAAATCCTCTTTGGTAAAAATTGAAAAAGCCCCAGAAGCACGTAATATTACAGCGATATTGGGAGCATTGCCTTAACATTACCAATATTGCCTCAATGTTGTGGCATATTGCTGGGATGTTCCCAATATTACGTGCTACTTGGGTATTTTCAATATTTATAATTATTATTTTTATTATTATTATTATTATTATTATTATTATTATTATTATTATTATTATTATTATTATTATTATTGTTATAAATATTATCATTTACATACTTATTAATTTTTTGAGAAATTCGATTCATCAGAAATTTACAAGTGTAAATAATATTTCAAAGAAAGGAAGATAAAAATGTAAATACTTTAATTATAGTAATTTTTCCGATTTTTAAATTGAAAAATAAAAGTTGTGAAGAAATATTAAAATTGCCTGTTAAAAATGTCAGCCAAGCAGCTCATGCTTTTTTTTCGAAAAGTCAAAAAATTTCCCTTAAGTAAACGAGAATTGAAAATTTTATCTATAGAAGAGAAGACATGAACTTTGTTCAAATTTCAACTATTCTACTAATTTAAAAAAAGTACTATTTTCTAAAAAGTATTATATTTTCTAAAAACTATTCTACTCTCAGAGATCATTTTACATTAAAGTGTTTGAAGGATTGAAGAAGAAAATGAGTGTAAATGAATCAAATAAGGATTTTGTTTTCGAAAAACAACAACTTTTAAAAATAAAAAATTCTTTTTTTAATTTTTTTCGTTTTCTTTAAATTTTTATTGAATTGAGAAAGAAAATTTAATAAAATTATTTATTTAAAGTATTAATACTATAAATACTATTGATACTATTATTAATCCTATACTATTAATTACAACTATAAATACTATGTATCTATATTTATGACTATTAATAAATAATATCTAGTAACTAAATAAACAAACAAAAACAATTAAAATTTTTTAATTTTAAATTAAAAATTATTAATTACTAGCAAATGTTACGCGCGGAACTTTATATTCAATTTATTATTATTATTATTATTATTATTATTATTATTATTATGCAAATTACAAAATTTTTTATTTCCAAATATAAATTTTTCAATAATTTCATAATCAAAATTTTAAAAAATTACCTACTTATTAAGTAGTACATGATTATTAATTATTATTATTATATATTTTCAAAAATTTTAATAAATACTTTAAAACAATTCAATTAGTTTTTTAAATAGAAAAATCTTAGCAAAAATTTAATTTATTTTCAATTATTCTCAAATTTTTGAATAAAATTCTTTGCAAGAATTTACTGCTTCTTTTCAATACATTATAATTTTAAAATTAAAAATATTTAAAAAGAAAAGTTAGGTATTAAAAAACGTCTTAAAGTAAAAATATAGAGATTCAATTTTTTTTAAATTAAAATTTTCAATTTAATACTTTTGAAGTTACAACTCCGTAAATAAATTAGTAGGAATAAAAATGATTTTACGGAATATTCTGCGAATAATTTAAAATATAGTTGGAAAAAATTGTGTAGAAAATATTTTATTTAGAAAGACGATCCATATTTGATTCGTTTACTAAAAAGAAAAACATTCAAGGGGAATAAAAAGAGGAGATAAAAATAGAAAATAATTCATGCCTAATCAAGTCCCTAATCTACCGTCATTATATCCTACGTGTCCTACCTTTGAGAATAGTAGGTATAATAAACCCAGCTGCAGATTTGCGAGTGCGCAGAAGGAAACAGAAAATAAAAATAAAGACAATAATTTTGCCATTCTGATGATTAAAATGGCGGGTTTCTACAGTCACAATCTATTTTAGTTTTCTTTTAAAAATTTATTTTTCTCTTTCTCTAAATCAGCTAAGAGACAAAATTTGTATATATTTATAGTTTTTTTTCCATTTATTTATAGTTATAAATAAATAAAATAAATAAAAAGGAATAAAAAACCTAGAGATATTTGAATAAAAAGTAAATATAAATAATTATAATATTAAAATGAATTTTCGTGAATATTGTAAAAACACATTTTCTCAATAATAGCAAATATTAAACCCATTTTTTATTCTTTTTCTTCATCAGAACGACGCAAAAGTGTAAAAGCTAGCTCACGTTCACGATTCATGAATAAATGTGTAATAACTTAAAAAAACCAACCACCTTTTTTATTTGAATCGAGCACTTATATGAATTCAAAAAAAAAAAAAAAAAAAAAAAAGAATAATGATTTATGCAATAATTTTTGTTTCACGCTAAAAAAGAATATCCAAATCAAACATGCCCTAAAAATGAAGCATTATGCAGCGCCAAAAAAGGCAGCATTCACTTTTCATAAAATGTATTATAAATAGAAAACTGAACCGATCTCTCAATAATTATGAAAATTTTCATCCTTCAAAATGAGAATCATGCTTTCGATTTAAAATAAAAAATTCGTTCCAAAAAATAAGTATTAAAAGAATTAAACTAAATTATATTTTTAAAAGAGAGAAAAAAAATGCTACCCATACCTTGACAATCAAAAAATTCATCATCACTTCCCGATTCCGATTCTCTGACAATACTCTCCATTCGCCAATTTGCTATTTGAATATCGAAATTTTTCGATGAATTTGGAGATGGAAGTGATGCAGTCGATTTTTTCCAGGATTTCTCCGGCTCCGCTTTCTGTGCGGGTCTTGAAATTTACACAAAAAAGTTGTTAAAATTCTTAGAAAAGTAAAGAAAAAGAAACGCAATAATAATAAATAATAAAATAATAAAACAATAAAAATAATAATTATTAATAGTAGGTATAGTATGAAAGAATTTACTAAAGTTGCGAGTTGTAGTTGGAAATAATGACATAATTATTAATTAATTGAATTGAATGAAATAATAAAAGAGCGAACAAGATGAAGAATAATAATACCTTGGCGCTGTTGATTCAATGGGCGAATCCTCGGGGGATGCTTCGCCCTCGGAACTAACGGCTGTGTTGATTATTGGAATGTCGGACGGCTTGCGAAGTGATGGGGGACTTTGAGGATCCTCATTTTTCTCAATACTTCCCAATGTGGCGGCGAGTGTTTTAGCGACATTTGAATCTTGTGGAGTTGTAATTGTACTCGAAGTTCCCAATGTCTCCTCCTCCTCCTCCTCCTCATTCTCATCCTCATCGCCCATTTCTGTAAGGCCCATTTTTTTCTGCAATGCCAATTGTGTTTGTCGTTCAATTTCCCTTATATCGTCCATTGTTAAACCATGCCATTCGTCTTGCCAGGCCCATGCTTGTCGATGTGCTCGCAACATTGTCTTTCTCAGAGCTATTCCAAATAAAATTAATATTTATCTTCTTTTCTACCTTCTTTCTAACTATAACTAATAACAAATTTAAATAAGTTTCCTTTCATTCCCTGATAAAGTAAAATAAAGTAAACCACTTTATTATTATTTAAAATTCATTAAAGTGATAAATTAAAATTTCAAGTTTACTGACCCACATCATGAATGAATTTTTCCAATTTTGTTTGCATTCCCCAATAGCGAAATTCTACACGACATAATTTGTAGGCGCACATCAGAGATTTTCCCGCAGGCGTCGGTTGTGATTTTCCCTGAAATTCACATATTTTCTTTTTAAATTTTACCTAGTCTACATTATTAGAAATTTTTGTAGCTTTAAATATTTTATTTAAGGTAAAGGGCCCTACTGCAAGACACTGTCTTAATTATTCTACTATAGTATACTATAGATCAACTATACGATCATTACTACAGAATTTTATTCTCTTTACTTTAACTGTAAATTTGACAAATTATACTTCTTTTTCACCTTCACATCGTTCCAGTATTCATCGAGCCAAATTTCCGTCAAAGGGCCCCTTCCAGTCTTTTCGGATATGTACGAATTTGGATCTTCTTCTTTCACGTAATCCGCCCCATAGAGCGGATCCTTTACAACGTCAATAATATCTTGCAAGAGAAATAAATAAGCAATCAATATTTTACACAAATTACAATTTGAAGAAAATAAATAATTTTGTAATTAATTATAAAAACGTACCAACAATTCTATTTCTAAGATCACTCCCACTGAGTTTGAAAACATTTTCCTGATGTCCATTATCAGGATAATAGTAGGTTTCAATTTCTAGGGAGAATTTCTCGACAAATGGACAAGTGTAACGTGTTTTTGTATAGGGATAGGCATTCCATGCCTCCTCCTTTACAGTCAACGCTGACTTTGGCAATAGACTTTTGAACCAACCGGGCAAATGACTTCCAACGTGATATATTTTGTGTGTATATTGACCATTTCCGCCGGGACCATTTGCATATGGTTCATTCACAATTATCTCGACGCCACTTCCTGCGCCTTTACTCTCCTCCCTCGATTTTTTCTATTTTCGTCATGAAAACAAAAAAAAAAGTTTAATTATCTTCATTATTATTATTTAAATTAAATAATTATAATCTTGACGGGAAAATAATGAAAAATTTCACTATTATTATCACTATTTTTTTTATATTAAAAAAAAAATAGTGGTAATTTTCCTCGCTTTTTTCTAGGATTTTCAAGGACGAATTCTTAAATATTTACCGCTATCATATACAGCTGAGCAATCCGATATTCCTCCACCGTCAAGGGCAGAGGTATTCGATATTCTTTTATCAACATCTTGATGGAATCCCTCGATTGCTATCTACACATTTCTGAAAACAGAAAGAGATAAAAAAAATTATTTTTATATATTGGGAAAAAATTCCCTCCTCTGAAATCTCCTTCGTCCCCTTCGACACATTTACTATTATTTTTCTCAAATTTCTCATAAAGATCAAAAAATTTGATTTTGTCTCCAAAGTGAAAAAATATCTTTTGGATTATTAAAAAAGAAATATTTTTTTGTTAACGAATAGAGAAAATATTTTTGAATAGAAAAAATATTTTCAATTAACAAAAGAAATAAAATATTTAGAGAAGAAAATTAGGGAATATTATATTTCTCATATATCTTTTCTATAATTTTCTCTTCGACTGCAGAAAATGTTTTTAATTATACAAAAAAAAAAGTTTTTATTTTCCAATTAAAATCAAAATACATATATGTAGATATATAAGTGTATAATTTTAGACTATGGAAAATATTGTCGAATACAGAAAATATTTTCGACTAGAAAAAATATTTTCGAATACAAAATAGTTATTTTGACTACAAAAAATATTTTCCATTACAAAAAATAATATTTAGAGAAGAAAAATTTTGTTCGGGGTTTAAAAAGTTTTTCTTCAATTGTAAAAATATTTTCAAACTATACAAAAAACATTTTTGAGAATAAAAAAATATTTTCGAGCAGAAATTTGTTGTTTCCAAAAAGAAAAACTTGTCAAACAAATAAAAAACATATTTTCTATAATTTTCTTAAATACAAGAAAAGAATAAAAGAATTTTTTTTTTGTCTCGTGTGAAATTGAATCCGATGGTTAAATTTATAATCTTGAGAGAAAGAGAGAGAGAGAGTGTGTGAGAGAGAGTATATTATATTATTATGTATTATGGAGTTAGAACAATGACTATACATATAACTATTCATATCGTCTCTAAATGAATGTCCAGGTTGGCAGACGTAATCAGGAGACACTGGATGATGTTAATACCAATACAATTTGAAAATTCTCTTCACCAACATTGGAAGCACATCAAGTGCAACGAGCTAGTGTTTCTGTAGTGCAAGTTTCCACGCAAAACCTTGCTCCACAGGGACTGGCCTAGATTCTTTCATTACGCTCACAACAATTGGCCCAGGCTTCTGCAAACAAATTGATAATTGAATATCCATTAAGCAAAGGACGACAACTAAGATTCTAATTTCTCCCCTTCAATTTAATCATCACCTGTTTCAATTTCACTCTAATAGTTCAAAAGGGGAAAAAATGTTCTAAACACCATCCAAACACCATTGTCATTTTCATTTTAATAATTAATCAGTCAATAAATTACATTATTATTAGTAGATATTATTGCTATTCATTTTTTTATTTTTGCATTTCAAAACAAATTTATTGCTACTCTTACTAGGAAATGTTACGCACGAAACATATTATTCAATCTTGTACTATGTATTATGCAAATCACAAAATTTATTTTCAAATATAAACTTCAATTTTTTAATAATTTTAGATTCACTTAAAATTATTAAAAAAAACTTTATTATTTTAAACAAATTTCAAGAAAATTCTTCAAAATAATTTAAGTAATTAAGATTTTCAAAAAGTTTAGTAAAATTCTTTACAAGAATTCAATGATTTTAAATATATGAAAATTAAATTAAAAAAATTTTAAACATTAAAAAAGAAAAATTATAACAATATTACTATTAATAATAATAATAATAATTATTATTATTATTATTATTTATTTATTTATTCACGGCAAGAATAATTTATGTTTGAGAATATTTCAATTTCATGACATTGATGAATAAAAGAAAAATTCTCTCTCTTTTTCCTATCCGGGAAGAAAATAAAATAATTGATGAATTTAAGCTGCGAGAAGAGAGTATCGAAAATTCTGGCCATAACAAGATTGAAAAAGTAGTCGATGAGAAATTAAGAAAGAAAAAAAAATTCAGGTTGAAAAAGTTATGAAAGCTTTCGTCCTTTTTCTTTCTTTATAAATCCTTGGATTATTATTATTTTAAAAAAAGAAAGCAGAAACTTTCAATTTGATGGGAAATATTATTTCAATCAAGTCAAAACTAATATTTCTTATATAGAATGTGAAAAGAGAAGCGAAAAAAAGAGGAAAAAAATTTAAATTAAATCAATTCATCGTATTACAAATAGAAGGAAAGTCTATATAATAGAGAAAAAAAAATTTCTTTTTCACTTTTTCCTTTTCACAAATGACTCGAATCATTAAGTTAATAAAAATTTATTTCCTTCTTTTTTTTATTTTTGCTTCTGCTAAAATATATGAGATATTTTAATTTCTCGATTTGAAATGTCAAAGTTGACATCGAATTTTCAGTGAGGAATTCCAAATTCTCTCTTTCTCTCGCTCTCTTCCGTCATTCTCTCGTCGGAAACAATATTTTTGACAATCGAAACATCTCATTCTGTTCGCTTCAACACCGAGTTAGAAAGTTGTTCTGAAAAAGTAAAACACTCATCTGAATATTTAAGTAAATTTTGTTTTATTTACAAAAAATCTGTTATTATTAATAGTTGATAATAATATATCTACCTATAATAATTGACAATAATTAACAACTTATTTTGTTAATAAATTTTAAACAATACAAAAATTGCAAGTTTGATAGATTCTTTATTTAATTAATTAAAATAATTATAATTTTTACAAATAATTAAATTTTTCCTAGGAATGCAATTTTATTCAATACAATTTTGCCCTAGGAACTTGATCTCATTAAATAAATAAATTTTAATAAAATTTATCGAAAGAATTCAATTATTAATTCAAAAGTTTTGATACAATTTTTTATAAGAATTCAATTATTTAAAAAAAATGTAATAAAATTTTCCACAAGAATTGAATTATTTTCTATAAATAACAAAATTTTCCATAGGACTTTAATTATTTTTAATATACAATTTTAATAAAACTTTTCGAAAGATTCAATTATTAAAAAAAAATGTTAATAATGTTTTCGAAAGAATTCAATTATTTTTAAAATTTATAAAAATTTTAATAAAATTCTACACAAGAATTCACAATTTTTATACAATATTTTCAAAGAATTGTAAAATTTTCAAGTATTTTAATAGAATGACAGGAAAAATTCAATTCTTTTTAAAATTTTCAATTATTAAAAAAACTATCTTATTATTTTAAAAAATCTAAGGAAATTCTTAAAAAGAATTTAATTATTTTTGGAAAACTAATAAAAGTCTTGAAAATAATAATTGGAATGTTTTCATTAATAATAAAATTCTTCGCAGGAATTCAATTATTTTCAATACAATTTTAATAAAATTATTAATAAGAATTTATTTTGAAGAAAAAAAATTGTTTATACATTTTTTTCAAACTTTTTGTTTATGAAAAATTTAAAAATATTTAATGATGAAAAATTTTGATTTTTTCTTCTGAATTCTTTTTTTTTTTTTTATTAAATGCCCTATTTTTTTCTTTTAAATAAGAAAAAGAAAAAAAATTGCAGTTGTTAAAAAACTTGAAAAAATACTGTCATAAAATCGATCAATTAATTAATAATTAGAAATAAATTTCCGATAATTGGACGAAAATAAGAAGTTGTCTTTGGTAATTTTGTTAAAGTACGAGATTAATCTTTAATATCATTGTCTCTCTTTGGGCAAAAAGTGAAGAAGAAAACGAAGAAGATAAAAGGAAACTTGGTTAGACACGTAATGAATGACTTTTTTAGAAAAACTGTCTCTTGTGATCTTTTAACGACTTCTTTTTTTTTCTTGTGGTGAAATTTTTTTTTTTTTTAAATCGAATCTACTTAACACGCAAAGTACTCACAGTTTTTTCCCTTTCTCCTTCCTCGTTACGTGTCTTGTCTCACAAGGAAATATATCAAACCGGTGCAAGTCGAAAGTCCATTATGAGATCACATATTGAAAATCATACTGCATTCTCGATGAATTTTCGTCACATCCTTGACAATAATAATTCTCTAGAGAAATAGAAGAATTCTCAATTATATTCATCTACTCATTGTACCACAATCACGAGGATTTTTCACATTTTCACAATTTATGCTACTCATTATTCCACAGATGGGGAATTTTCTTTTTTTCTTTTCTTCCTCGAAACATTAAATTTGTATTCTTCCTTTAATTCATCCTTTTCTAATTCAAAATCTTTTAATTAAAATAATGTATCCCCTAAAAGAAATATTTTCTCTCGTCTCGAATTCAAAATTCTTTATGTATAGAAAAATATTGAAAATCTTTCGGTTTTGCCTTGTTAATTTGAAATAAAAGTTTAATTATCTAAATGACTTTTTTGCACTTGTTTTGGCTGGAAATTGTTTTTTTTTTTTTTTACTTAGTGTAGAAATTGGAAAAGAATTAAAATTGGGCTTTGCGATGAATTGGGATAAACTGTCCGCTGAAAAATTGTGTGTAAATAACACTTGGGTTTGGTTTCGTTATTATTTATTTTTTTTTCCTTTGGAAGGAGAGAGATCGGAAGCGGAACGATGCACCGGGTCGGAGAACGCGCGCCTCTCTGGCACTGTTCTCTCTCGCGAAAAAACCTGAAGCCACCACACCGATGGGTCTCAGTTGCGCTCCAAAGGGGCACAGTGGAGAAAAGGACGAACCACCCCCGACCCGGCGGGCGCGAAACCACCACCGCCAACCAGGACCGTATTTTCAACACTACTTTTCTCTCTCTCTCTCTCTCCTCTCCTTCTCTTCTTCTTTTAAAAAAAATTCGAAAATTTAATTCCCTCTTTTGCAATTAAAATTTTCTTTTAATATTTATTTATTTATTTATTATCAGATTTTTCATTTTATTCCTTTTTATCTTTCTCTTCTTTCGATTTTTAATTAATTTAGAAATTTAATTTCTTCTTTTTATATTATTTTCTTGATTTTATTCAATAATAACTGAACAGACAAATTATTTTTTCTTCTCGTTTATTATTAGATTTTTCTTTCTTCGAGTATTTATTAATTCCCTTTTCTCTTTTTCTTCTTATTAAAAATTTCTTCTCTCGTTTTTTTCTAATATTATTTACTACTTTACTCTGTATTAAAAGAAATTAAAAATTGTTTTTCTTCTCTAAATTTTTCAAAATTGACACTCGTGCGTTAAATTTGGAAATCCGCTAAAAGAATTTTCTTCTTCTTCTTCTTCTTTAAAAGTCTCGAAGGATTTTCGAATTAAGTTGATTATTCTCATTGTTGTAATTTTTCCTTTTGTTTTCAATTTTGAGAGTAATATTCAATTTGATGTTTTCTTTTCCTTTTTTTCGTTTTCATTCCAAGCAATATTTTTTTCTTTTTTCAAGATTTTCGGTGAAGGAAATTTCCGGAACTCCTGATTTTCCCCTGGTGTTTTTCTCCTTTTGAAATTTCTCTGAAACAAGAAAAATTTCATTAATTACGCGAATTTTGGTCCTTGAATAAAAGTTTTTAAAATTAAGAATTCCAGTAAATCCAGTTTCAATGAGAATTTTGAGTTTAAAATGAAAGTTTTGAATTGGCTATCAAATAAATAAGTGAATTTTCGTTTTAAATTTAACTTTATCATATTTCTTCTTTTAATTTTCAATGTAATTTTTGTCTTTATTTTTTCAATTTAAATTAAATTTTCCATTTTCTGGATTTAAATTTAAAATTCAATTCCACCTATGAAAAGAACGACTTGGGAAGAATTTTTGATTTAAAAATGAATTAAAAATTCCCTACTTTCAATAAGAGGAGGACAAAGTTTAGTTTCCTATTTTTTCAATTAAATAATTCAATTAAATTTCCATTTATGGGAGAAATTGTTGTGAAAGTTCTATTTTGTTTGTATTTTTTGTTTTTTATCTCGAAAATTGGGTAAATTTTGTTCGTGTGCTTTGTTTTTTTATTTTTAAAAAATGCCTGGGGCACCAGGTCTCAATGAGACCAGTACGACCCCGACCACTTCTTCCTATTGATCGTAAACCCAGCGATGAAACGCGAGACCAGATGCGCCATGAAGCCTGGATAAGGCAAAGAGAGCGCGCACAGTTAAGTGAGAATTCTGACCAGCAGCTTTCGCGCCTGATAACCTTATGATTGCTTTTTTCCAGGTACTTGCCACTTTTGTAGGCGACAGAATAGTTCTCTCTCTCTCTCTCTCTCTCTCTCTCTCTCTCTCTCACAACCAAACAATTCTCAAATTCATTCGGGAACAATTCACAACACTTATTTACCTACGCAGAAGAAAAAGGAAAAAATTAATCAAAAGAATATTACACCGACAATAATTAATAAATAAATAATATTTATAATTTACTTGAATTTTGAAAAAAAAATTATTTTATTATTATTTAGGTATAATTCATATTTTTTGTAATAATCAAAATAATTATTTATCAGGTCATTAAAGACCAACAAGAACTAACAATTGTAAATACAAATGAAATAAAATTTTTGTTTACAAGTATATTTTCTTCCCCAGATAAAAAATGCAAACAAAAAGAAATAAAATTATTTTTTTTTGTAGGGATTTAATGGCTTTAATGGTAAATAATTATTTTCATTATACATATTATAATAAAATATTAATATTGAAAGTAAATTATAAATATGGTCATAATTTTATTAAATTTCTTCATCAAAAAATAAAATAGAAAATTAAAAAACTAAAATTAAATGAAAATAATAAACAACGGTTATAAAATCGTTATTCGAAGAACAAACTTCATGTTCTAGATTTATTCACATGTTATATATATACGCATAAGTGAAAACGCTATTTTAATTGTCGACATATCACAGATTTTGCTGCTCATGACGTTCGCAAGTAAATATTTATTCAAGCTTCAGATTTAACGATTGAATTTTCAATAATTTTCCTATTTTTTTTTTTTTTTTCTTTCTTTCTCATCATTTTCATTTTCTATGTTCATATAGACAAACGCTAAGTATCATAATGACTATAATATGTATCCCTGCGACCTAATTTGTGCTATATGTAGGTATAATAAAAATACAATTTTTTCCGTTTTTCCCTTTTTACTGATTTTATCATTTTATCGTTATTTTTTTTTATTGTTCTTCATGTATACCCTATTTGGGTTTTTACATATACGACAACCCCTAAATATTCTCCAATTTTCCCCAGATTCCCAATACCCCCTATTTGCGGTCCGTAGCCGGCTTTTATTAGAAGTACTCGTATTCACATGGCCATAGTCAAGGGAAACTACGGAAAACCTTAACTGAGTACAGCCGATTTATCGACGCCGAGTCTTGGATGTATAAATTCAAAGTCTCGAATATTACAACACAACCAAGTCCTCGACGTTCAAATCTCCCGCTCAGATTATCTCACGTGCCGGAAAAATCCCAGGCTAATGGGCGCGAACCAAGTACCCTTGGTCCTAAGCGTCCGCCGAGCGAGGCATTTATCCGACTGAGCTAATCTGTCGGTTTTTTTTATCGTTATTTATTAAAATCATTATTATTATTTGTAATTTTAAAAACAATTTTTTGTATTTATATTTATTTATTAGGTATTTAAATACAAATTTACTATAAACTTTCTGTTTTTAATATTTTCTTTTTATTTTTAAAATTTTTACTTGAAATTAAAAGCAAAAATTAGCACTGAATATTATTATTATTATTAATAATAATTTTTTTGGTAATAAAGGACAGTTTTTATTCATTCGATTCGAAAGAAAAGAAAAAGAAGAAACAAAAACGTGACATAATTTTAAATGACACAAACTCTGAGTAAATGAATTACATATAAAATCTTTGTTACAGTTTCTACTGCTTTATTGTATATTATGCAAATAAGCTCCACTCGGAAACATTTCTAAGAATGTGCTTCTAATTTTATCACTTTTTAATTAAACTTCAAACAGAATTTAGTGAAGAAAAACAATTTTTTCTATTTTATTCTTTATACCTACTCTCTATATAAAAAAATAACAGAGACTTCTTCCTGATTTTCAGACAAAATTTTGACTTTTTTCCTGAATATAAAAAATATTTTTAACGGAAATTCTTCTTTAAATCAATAATTATTTTTTAATATAATTTTTGACAAAGTTGTTTGAGAATTTTCTGATCCATTTGTTTACAATTTAATTTTTTCCACGTTTCAGAACCTTTTCAAAATTCAATTATATTTTTAGAGTTTTTAACTAGAATTTTTCTCTAAATCAATTATTTTTAATAAATAATCAAATATATATTAGAAAATTCGACTAACTTCAAAAGAATTTGAATTAAAATATTTCAAAAAAGTGAGTTTAAAAAAATTTCTATTTAAATTCATTAAAAATTCAAATTTTCGAAAAGTTTAAATTAAAAACCTTTTGAAATTTTCAAGTAAAATTATTCATTAAAGAATTTACACCTATAAATAATAATTCAACTATTTTTTCTGGAAACAAAATATGTAGGTAACTATTTTCTTTCTGTTCTTTCACATCTTGTATTACTATGGTTATTCTTTTGAGGACACATTATTATTAATTGTAAAAACAAAGTTGGTGGATGAATATAGTTGTTATAAAAAGATATCATTCTTTGGAAAGAATGCTTTTTTAGTTTTGAAGATTCGACCTCGTACCAGATATTATATTATATTGAAGCAAAAGGAGTCCTAGAAATTTGAATTCTCTAGAAGAAAAGAAAAGCTTTTATTCTCCTCTCGATTATAAGACTTTTCTCAACACTCGAAAGTGTTTCTAATCGATCATAATCGATCAAAGGATTTATTAAAAAAATTATTTCGTGAATGAGTGTATGACATGACATTGTACTTATATGGCGCTTTAATTATTTTTACAAGAAACTCTGAATTTCCAAATCAACTCAGAAGAAACGATTCAATTTCCAAAAAAATATATTTCTTTCCAAATCGAATTTTTCTTATTGGATTAGAAAAAAGAAAGATGGAGAATTTTACTGCTTGAAGAAAGTTGTAAGGACGAGGTTGCTTATATGTAAAAGTGGATCAGATAATAATCGATTGTGAAGGGGTAGTTGACTAAAAAACCCTTTCCTTTCAATACGTGACTTGTTGCATTTGGAGAGAGAGAGAGAGGGCGAGAGAGAGCGAGAGAGAAAGGAGAGTAAATGTGTGGGGCACACGACAGGCGAGAATGTATTATGGCAGTAAATTTAATTCAAGCCCATCAATTTTGCGCAAGGTGATCCCAGTGTATTTTCATCAAAGGGAATATAAAAGAGTGGGTGGAAAATCGCCTAGATTCCATTCGATAAGTGAAATAAGTGAGTACGTAAGGGCATCTTATTATTTCATTCGACCTTGTCAGCGTCTCTCAAGAAGTTGCATCCATTTCGCCATCATTATCATACACTCTCTCTGGACCAATCCACCTTCTCTCAACAATACAGTATTATAATTTTTCCCCTCAGTATCACTCAAGAATTTTTATTCTCATCAGCTCGATGAAAATTGGATTACAATTTTATTTACTTATTTCCGTCTCTTTTTAATTTTTCCTGTAACAAAAAAAAATAAAATGTCTGGAATTTCACATATTTTTCACGTTTTTCACATATTTTTTTTAAGGAAATTGGTAACACGCCATTTTACATTTAAATGAATCACTTTGTAAAATTTATTACTCTTCTTGATTCAAGTCAATTTTTTTCTCGTATTTCTTTTTTCAATCAAAAATTACTGTAAATAAAATTTAGAAGATTTAAACTTTTTATTCTCTTGTACGGAAAATATTAAAAGAGACCCATACGATTATTATTCAAAGTAAAAAGAAAAATGTCTTTAAAAAAGAATTATCGATCAAAAACAATAATAATAATAATAATAATAATAAAGATTGTATTATTCTCTTAATCGTGAAATTCATTAACTAAATTGGAAAATAGTTGAAAAAAGTCATAATATCCAAGACCTGCAAGGTTATAATTCTATTTAAAAATGAAATAAAAATTAATATTCGGAATGCAATTTAAAATCGCATCGATTTTTTATCATCTGTTTTAATTAAAAATTTCGGCTCACCAGAACAATATCGAATCGAATGTAATATAGAAACTCCCAAGAAAATGCCAAGACGTTGTATGCCATAAATAATTGATATTGGCAATTTGATTTTACAATCATTGCCACCTGTTTGATTGTATAGGTATAGTCAGTCGTCGGTATAGAATTGTTTCATATAAAAAAATTCTTTCTCATGAACAGCTTATTAGAATTTAATTTCAATTTTTCCTCTTTATATTGCTATTGTTTCTGCCAATTCTACTGCCACTCTCGTAAGGATATCCATTTCTAAAATTAGTTTCTTGTCCATTTCTATTTCCAGTGTTGTTATAATTTCCATAGTCTTCATTCTCATTTTCATTCTCATTCTCATTCTCATTCTCATATTCAATTTCGTCTTTATTCGCACAACCTTCCTTATTTTGACTTTCTTTGTTGTTAATCGATTCATCAAATTCGGGTGGTACTTTATTTACTTTTGGATTAAAAAACAAACCATGTTGTCCATCTCCCCACCACCAAGGCTGTCGACAAAATAAAAATGGTTTTCAAAAATCAAACAAATGCAATTAGTAAATTGGAAAATAGATAAAGCAAAAACAATAACTAACTCTTTTAATCCGATGCATGTACGGATAAGGAACAAACTCTGAATTTTTCATTTTCTCTTCTAATTCCTCCCGACTTTTTCGATGAGCCGGTAATATAAATGATAATGCCAATCCAATTATCGGAAATACAGCAAAACTTGCGAATTTCCACATTTTACGTCGAGCTCTAATTTCTGAAAATTATTTCCACAATTTCAAATTTTCTACTTATTCTCATTAATCTAAATTCAAAAGTAAACTTTTTCATCTTCTCCTCGTTAATTAACAGTTAATAATAATAAGCTAGATAAAAAAAAAAGAATTTAATTTCAAAACTTTTAAATCTCGTGTCACATTGCTAATTGGAGAGGAAAAAAATGACACGAATTTTTTTGCGGTCTATTTATTCCTTTATCTTTCTTTACTCTCGTCGTGCGAAAAGTTTCAAGTTCCAATATTCTATTTTCAAAGTTTTTGAAACGTAGGTATATCGATATAACTTACTCACTGCAATCAGCAACGAAATTCAATGATATTCCGCATCAACTGGAAAGAGGAGCTAATTAAAAAGTTCATTTTAATTTTTAAAAGACGCGCGGTTTAAAAAGAAATAACAAATTATTGCTTGGCGGCTCTGATTTTCTTGATTTCTTCAGAGCGCGTCATGTCACTTTTTCGAGCATCATTAAAAGGATTAGAAATAACTATCATTGAAAGTGAAAACGTGGTTGCCACAAAAATGTCATTTTGTTTATCCCTATAAATTTCCCTCAATTATTCCAGACAGAATTTTCACTTTTTCCTAAATTGACTAAGGAAAATAATATTCTGATTCACTCTAAAAATGATTATATATAGATATACATAACAATTGTTTTTAATATATTATTTGTAAATATATTTAATTGTAAAATTATTCGAAAAGATCAGTAACTTCTATATTTTTCAAATAAATATTTTATTATTATTATTCCATAGGAATTGAGATTTTCAAAAATTTCAAAAACAAATCTTTTGCGAAATTCAATAACGTAGGTATACATAATTATACATAATAATTAATTCAACTTTACGAAATTTTGATTATTCAGAAATTTTTTTAAATAATTGAATTCTTTTAGAAAATTTTATTACAATAAAAAATGAAAAATTTTTCAAAATAATTAAATTTTGACAAGAATTTTATTCAAATTTTCGAAAATAATTGAATTTCTGCATTCATTTGTAACTTATTCTCCAAAATTCAATTATTTTTAGTGTTTTTTACTAAAATTCTTCTATAAATCCATTATTTTTAATATGTAATTAGTTAAATCTATATTAAAAAATTAAATTAATACAAAAACATGTATTTCAAATATAATAATTTTATGATAGTTCTTCAGGAATGAAGTTATTTAAAAAGAAATTATTGTCAAAAATAGAAGAAATTGCGAAGGGTATGTATTCAGGGTGCTCACAAGTTTCAGTTTATCAATTTCCCTGACATTATGTTATATTATTTTCCCTGGCAAAATTATTTTTACAGGAAAATATGAATGTTTACGGAAAATGAGTAAAATTTATGAATTTTAATAATTTCTATAAAAATTACAATTTTAGAATTCTAATTCTGAATTTAATAATTATTTTCTACAATTTTCAACTAAACTTCATCTCTGAATCAATTAATTTAAATAATTTTCAGGTCAAAAGTTCTTCTAGAATTCAATTATTTAAATAAAAAAACTCAATTTTTTATAATAATTGTAAGTTTCCATAGTTTTTTCTCAAGTTATTTTTAAATAATTTTTGAAAGATATGTTGTATTAAGTATCAACGGCCTGTCTGTTTTCGTTTTCGAGCAAGGTGACCTAGTTGTTCGATCGAGTAGACACCACTCCCGAGCAGTGGACTCGATGGAGGTTTCAGTGTATGTATTAGTTTTTCAATTTTGAAAAATTTCCAAACAATTACCTAAAATTCGGTAAAATCATTTAAGAATAATTGAATTATTGAAAAATATAAATAAAAATGATGAAATTTTTGAAAAATTTTAATTATAAACAGGACTATGATTTCTCAAAAATTTTATCAAGTCCAATAAAAGTAAATTTTCATAAATTTTTATTATAGGTATACTTTTCCCTAACCTGTGGCAACCTGAGCGAAAGGAAAAGATAAAATTTTGGAAAATTGAAATTCACGATCTGGGCTTGCCATCATGAAATTTGGGCGAAATACCTTCAGTCGGGGGACATAATTCAATATCTTGATAACAGAAACAAGATTCCTTGGATTGCGGTTGTGGTGTTGGTGGTGGAGATGCTCTGCATTGTTTCCCAGCACAAGGATCGCTCAAATCAATTTCAGGTAAAGACGAATAAGTCTCACTCCTTTTTGTTGTTGTACAAAATTTTGTCTTCCAATTCTCCTCGTTTTTCTCCAAACATCCTGCGTTATTATTATCATCATCATCATCATTATCTTCAGAAGTCTCCTTCCTACAAAATTTCCTTTCGCATTCATTTTTCAAAATTTTCTCGCATTTATCCGATTTCTTATCCTTTCCACACGTCATAAATCTTACAAAATTGAACAACTGCCTCGGCTTTGAGTGAATCAACATTTTTTTGCCGTTTACTATAAATTTTCCATAAAAAAAAATGAAAAAATGTGTTTGTGCTTTTGAGGTTGGACGACATTGACGACATTGACATTTTTTGGACTGTCTTTTGTTTGATGTTCCTTTCGATAAATAATGGAAAAAGTCGATAATGGAAGACGACAGAATATTTTTGGTCCTCCCTCCCGTATATATATATGTTGTATGTTCTAGAGAGACGCAACATCCTGATCTTTGGCTTTTAGAAAATATAAAATGTTAAAGGTTGTTTATTTTAGAATCGCTCGCTATTTTGGCTTTCAAAGGACTCACACAGAAAACACGAACACGCGGGTCCATTGAACGAGAGTTGAACCAGATATTTGATCTTTTCATTTTTTGAGTAAAGTTTTCGTAATAGAGAAGGGGCGAGGCAAGAGGAGCAAGAGGAGCAAGAGGAGTTGCTGAATTTGAAATTGAGTGAGTGTGTATATGTGTTTCCAGACTCGGAGACTTCGACCCGTCCTCTTAAAATGTCAAAGGTTATAGCGCAAGGCAAAATCCCTCTCAAAAAAAGGGCAGCGGATGAGCAAATACTCTTCCGAAAATTGGGTTCATCTTGGCGAGTCAAAAACACATTTTTTTCTTCTTAATCTCTCCTAAACAATCTCAAAAGAATTCATTTTGTTTTGCAAAGAAACAAATTTCGATATCATACAAATTTAAAAATTTTATATTTGGCATTTTGAAATGGGTCAAAAGATTCGGATAAAATTGGTATATTATACAAATTCCATAATTTTATATAAATAGAGAGAGAGCGAGAGAGAGAGAGAGAGAGAGTTTTATGTATAATTAAATGTCTAATGAGAAGTGAATTTGATCGAGAGAGAATTTCAGTCTATAAAAGGTTCCTCCAGGTCACGAAGTTTATTAAATTCCCCCCCCCCTCTTTTTTTTTCTTTTACAAAAAGTTCATCTAATGTAAAAATAGATTTTCAACTAAAATTTATGAAATGGAGTTTTCAAAATTTTACAAAGTCGCCTGACATTTTGAAACTTTTAAATAAGTAGATAATTATTTTAATGTATATTAAAAAGTTACTGAAACATTTAAGCGATCGGATGCAATTTTAACTACTTTTGCGTAAATATAAAATTCGCTTTTCCTTCAAGTTAAATTTTAATATATTTTAAAAATTTTTCAAAATTTAATTCTTAACATAAATAAATAAACAAGTGACATATTTTTTTAATTCTAGTGTTATTTACTTATTTATTATTTGTATTTACTATTTATAACCGGGTAAAATGTTGCATTTAATAAAATAAAAATCGATAAAAATTTAATGAAATGGAAACTATTGGAGAAATAAATTCGATGTTTAATTAATATTATCGAATAAATTATATATATATATATATATATATATATATATATATATATTCATTAGATTGGAATTGAGATTATTTTATTTTTCGTTCTTAATTTAAATTTATAGGAATGACATTTTGCTCTTAACCCCGTAACCTACAGGAATTATTTGCCATGAGTATGCGAAGGTCAACTGTCACTAATTTAATGAGTCTAGAAAGCAATTGAAATGGAATGCTTGATGTGCATTATTAATATACTCGTATTTAATAAAATATAATAATAATTTTAACAGGAAATGAAAAATTAATTCCAAGTTATTACTAATTTAACATTTATTTGAAAAGTATATTTATTTTTAATTAAAATTCACTTTTAATTTCTGCAATTTTAATCAAAAAATAATAGAAAAATATTTTTTTAATTACTATTTTTTCTCTCTCTTTTCTTAGAAAAACAACAAGTATTATCATCGCGTTTCTCAAAAGCGTTAAACGATTTTTTTGTACAAATAAAGTAACTTTATTTAAATAGAAAACATGGAATAAAAATTGTTATTGCCTCAACATTTCCATAAGAATAAAATTCGGTTTATTTATTTTTCTCTCTTATTTCTACAAAAAGTCTAAAAAAATATATTTGATATATATGCAGATAGAGGAAATAATAATAATAATAATAATAATAATAATAATAAAATCGTAGGAAAAAAGAGATATTAGTTCAATTATACTATCTCTCTCACTCTCTTACTCCTTTCTGCGCGCTATTTTCTTATTTTTATATTATTTGAAGGGGTGAGAAATCAAGATTTATAATACATATTTCTTGGGAGATTTCAGGAAATAAACCATCTTCGAAAAAGGTAGAAAAACGGACGATACATAAGTGAGATCATAAATCTTTTGGGGATTTTTTTTCAAAACAATAAATATATATATATATATATATATATATATGTATTAAACGACCCAATTCTTTTATTATAAATTTAAAGAGAACAGAATTTAAAAACATATGTACGAAAAAAAGAAAAATGATAAAATAACAGCAAGACATTTTTTACCAAATTTTTTTCTCATTCATTCATTCTAAAATTACCTACATTTTATTATTTGCTATTCTATTGACTACCGACATTGTTTTTATTTTTCATATTTATTTTGGATTTTCAATTTATTACACGAATTTATCCTTTTTTCCTGATGCGTGGTTAATATTTCATATTTGCTCAAAAAGAAAAATTTTAATTATCAAAAATTAACAATATAAGAAATTAAATAATCACGCGGCGAAAGAAATTTTCGATAAAGAATTTTATAAAAAATTTTGAAAGTAATTGAATTTCGTCCAAGAATTTTATTATTTACAAAAGTAATTTAATTCTTGCGAAGAATTTGACTATTTATTAAAATAATGTAATTCTTCCGAAAAAATTGATTAAAATTTAGAAAATTATTGAATTTTCCAAAAAATTAAAAATAATAATTGGATCCTTAGGTGAAATTTTATTAAAATTAAATTGAATTTTACGAAGAATTTTATTAAAATTTAAAAAAATAATAAACTATAATAAATATAATTAAATAGTAAATTTTGGTTAATTTTGATTCTGAAATTATTCAAAAATTGAAGTTTATATTTGAAAATAAAAAATGTTGTAATTTGCATAATAATAAGAAATTTAATATCATGTCTCGCGAGCGTAACATTTGCTATAGTAATAATGATAAAAGTAGGACAATCGTCATTCGAAAATGAATGAGGTGAAAAGAAATACTTGGGATTTCGAAATGAAAAGAAATAGAAATAGTGATAGAAAGAAGAATGAAATCGGTAATTATTGGAATTCGAAACCTAAAATCTCAAGGGAGTCTGAGGAGTTTTATATAATTTTGTTTCACGAGTTTAAATATATCATCTGGAAATTCTAAAAGAGGCATCATCCAGTTCTCGAATTAGGACACGAAGGGTGCAGAGACATCGTTAGGAGTCGTTCATCTTTATTGGAAAGTTCAATATCGATCGACTTGAATGTTTTTGTTAACGTCATACCCATCTACGTCACAGAAATTGAAACGATGTGACGTCAATGGAATATGAAAATTCTCCCTGCGTCATTTAATATTATATACCTATGTGTTTTCTTTTTCTTTCTTTTTCTTTTTTTTCGAAAAAGAGTAGAGAAAAAAAATATTTTCAAATTATAGAATCGGAATTACAAGCGAAATTCTTATTAATTTATAATTAATTCTTTATATTTGAAAACAAATTGAATTTCCATTTTTACGTTTTCATTTCCCATTTTTCTTTGGTGAAATTTACCCGTATTTTTCAAATTTTTATTTTTATTTTCACAATACGTTTGCAATTTTATTTTTCTTATCAAATTTGATATCAATTTTTTTAAAACACGAAATGAAAAATATGATTTAAATTTAATTTAAACTGGAATAAATCTTTTATTCAATAAAAATTTCATTCATAAATATTTCTACGATCAAATGTTTATCAAATAAAAATTCAATTAGAAGAGAGATAGAAAAAATTTGTTTCTTTAAATATTAAAAATTCGATCCAATGAAAAAAAAAAAAAAATAAAAAAAATCCTATAGCTCGTTCATCTATAAAATTTGTTTCTACTAAGCGACTTTTTTTACCATTAATAAATTATCAATAAAAAATAAAATACGATAAGTGCCTTCTTCGTTGAACGCTTTCAAAGTATATTATTGACCGCGAAGAGAGAAGAAGAGTGAAAAAACTTGCAGTTCACTTATTAATTCACAACATATACACAGTTCAACAAAACTCGAATAATATCCGAATATATCAAGCAAAATTCTTGTTTTTTTCATTTTAATAACTTTTTATAATAAAGTTCAGTTCTTACTTTGTCATATTCAATAAATTCAAGACAGACGTTTCCTCACCATCATTTTTTTATAACTGCAAATTTCTTCCTTTTTTTGAATAACGTTTTTTTTGGCAACGGTCCAACAGAAGAAAGGAGAAAAAAATTTCTCTTTTTTAAACTTTTGATAAACTGATCGCCTTCATTGAAGAAAATTCACGACACTTGTTTATCGGAAAATAACGAGTCCTGTCTTCAACTTTTATCTCTGTTTCAAATTTCAATTTCCTTTTATCACGAAAAAAAGCTACTGGAGAAATTGTGAATTACCTAAAAAAGAAAAAATATAGTTAACTTATTTATTAATATGTAAATAAATTAATTAATAATAAAAATAAATAAATTGACAATATAGATAAACAAATTAATTAATAATTTACATAAATAAATTAATTAATTTAATGAATAAAAAGAATGTAATTTACAAAATTTTAAAATTATTATTTTTTGGTTTTTTGGGGGAGACAAAAGAAGAGAGGGGGAAAAAATTACTGCCGCAAAAGAAAAATCTAAAATTTGTCCTCGAAAATAATATATTACTTGTCAAGGCATTCTATGAAGGTCACATAAGAGTAAATCACATTTAATCTTGTAAGCGGGCCAGAGATTACGACTATGTGAATAGTGTGTATTTGTAAAAAAAAAAAAAATTCTTTTTTCTTTTTCCCTCTCTAAAAAAAATCTTATTTTCCTTTTTTGAAATAAGAAATCCCCCCCCCCCCCAATTTTTCGTAATAATAAATATAAATAAATTTTTCAATTTCTTATTATATTTTTCAAATTCTTAGTTAATTCTTCCATGAATATTTAATCGTAAAATAAAATTAATTTTTTCGATTCGTTTTCTTCGATTTTATTGTATTATTTTTAATATTATTATAATTATTATTTATTATTATTCTTTATTATTATTATCACTATTAATGCTATTACTATTATTATTATTAATGAATAATTTAATAACTATTATTAATTATTATTCATTTTTAATAATTAAATGTATTTTCTTAAATTATGATCGTAGTTTTGAAAGAAAAAATGTTTTTCTGTCCATAAAAGACTAATAATATAAAGCGCACATAAAGAGAGAGGTAAACAAACGGAATGATGATGATGATGATGATGATGAACATCGTCCATTTCATCTTCAAAAGCGAAATATGGATTTTCTGCAATGGTACATTAAGCAAACAGCATCTCCGGTTTTAGTCCATATAACTTATTCTCTGTTTGACAATCAAAATGTCATTGAATATTGAATACCCACTTATCTTGACTTAAAAAATTATTTAAAATTTCCTTTCATTTCAAAATTTTTAATTGAAAAGTATTTATTAAAAATTAGTAGAATTAATATTGGAATTCTAATAATTAATAATTTACACTCAAATTATTAATATTTCCGTTAATAGTTTTATAAACAAAAAAAAATTTAAGAAATAATAATTAAATTATAAATAAATATTTGGTAATCAGTTTAATATATGTAGGTAGTTAATTTTATGCTCATCAATCGTGGAAAAACTGAATGACAATATTAACCTTTTTTTTGTTTGCTCTCGTAAGAAATGATAAAAAGACGCAGATTACCGTTTAATAAGTGCTTCCTGATTTGAAAATATTAATATCTACGAGTTTTTTACGAGCACTAAAATAACTCGTATTAAAGAAGATTTTAAGTACCTATCCAAAAAACCATCTATTCTTTAAGAGCGTCATTGTTTTCTTTTTGTTAATGTAGCAAAAAGTAATATCAACATTCATAAACGAAACAAAAATATGTATTGTTTTCTGATTTCAATATATATATACCTATACTGATTTGGTTATGATTTGCATTTGCCGAAGAGTATTTCAAATATGTCTCATCGCGAGATAAGGCTTTTTTCAATTATTATCTCAAAGAAACAAAAGTTAGTTTAAATACTCATTAAATGCGATAACAATGCTAAATGTAGATGGAAAAAAAGATGAAAACAAGTAATAGCAGCAAAGCAAAACTGCGTTTAAACTGTTACAAGATTTAAATTTTTCGGACAACAATATAAATGCGTACAGAAAATGTGTATACATAATGAAAAATACATTCCGGATCGATTGATCTGGTGCAAAAGACTAGACACTCACCTGTATATAGATATAGATGTATATAGTGTGTATACGTTCACTTGCTTATCTTCTTATACTTGTGTTTGTAAACTATAGGTCATTATTTTCCATTAAACACACACGGATTGCTCACCATCACAATTTAATCCTTCACTTTTCTTCTTATTTCTGATAACAGAATTGCAAAATAGTCGGCAAACGTGTTTTCCAACGTTTCCAACCTAAACTTCTTGTACCAACTGTTGTTAACGGCCATAAAGTCTGCCAACCTAAAGAAAACCAATAAGAAATAAAAATAACAAAATCTGATTGGCTCTCGAGTAACGAGTTCCTTGAAATTGAAACTCAATTTTAAGGGTACAGTCACACGATCTAATGCATCTGCATGATGCATGCATGCAGAAACATTTGACCGTTCACACCTCATTTTTCGCTTTCAGAAAATCAGATTTCTGGCGGGATATTTAAAATTTTAATCAATTTTAAATATCCCGCCAGAAATCTGATTTTCCGAAAGCGAAAAATGAGGTGTGAACGGTCAAATGTTTCTGCATGCATGCATCATGCAGATGCATTAGATCGTGTGACTGTACCCTTAAAGTAATTCAAAATAAAAACTGTTCGTAATAAATAATAATTAAATACTACAATTATTGATTTTTTAAAAACATTAAGGTGCTTCTATACCTCTGGTGGATTGGTCAAGCAATCGGCTCGATGAATTTTCACGGTCGGAAAATGTACTTTCATGGCGGGTATTTTTGAATAAGTAAATGTTGAAAAGGTTTTTACTTGAAAATTTATTTAAAAAAATGATTTTATCATAGAAATTTTTTTGAAATTTATGTTAAAAAACATGTTTTATTTTAAAAGTTATCAAATTTTAATTCAAAATGTTTTAATTTTCCAAAGAAGTGTAAAAAGCCTAATGTTTTTGAAATACTATAGTACAGACGGTACAGACTGTTTGTTATGAATGTACATAACCTAGCGTTGTGTTGTCTGTTCATTATTATTTAATATAATAATAATAAAATCATTAAATTTATAATATAATATCACAAGCACGACAACACAACGCTAGGTTATGTACATTCATAACAAACAGTCTGTACCGTCTGTACTAGCATTTCAAAAACATTAGGCTTTTTACACTTCTTTGGAAAATTAAAACATTTTGAATTAAAATTTGATAACTTTTAAAATAAAACATGTTTTTTAACATAAATTTCAAAAGAATTTCTATGATAAAATCATTTTTTTAAATAAATTTTCAAGTAAAAACCTTTTCAACATTTACTTATTCAAAAATACCCGCCATGAAAGTACATTTTCCGACCGTGAAAATTCATCGAGCCGATTGCTTGACCAATCCACCGGAGGTATAGAAGCACCTTTAAAGCGTAAAGGCGCTTGCACACTTCCAAATTTTTAGGCGAGCAGCGAATTTTCACGGCCTTGAAATGCACATTACTAAATATGATTGGCTCTGACAAAGTACATTTTCACGCAGCTTTTTGTAGAGCCAATCATATTTAGTAATATGAGTTTCAAGGCCATGAAAATTCGCTGCTCGCCCAAAATTTTGGAAGTGTGCAAGCGCCTTAATGGAGCTCTCACAGCTCTGCCTGCCTGCGCAGGCAGTAATTGGAGTAAGAGAGAAAATCAATTAGAGTGAAAGACTGAAAGAGATAGTAAATTCAAATTTGTATGCTGCCTACTAGCTGTGAGAGCGCCTTAAAGGTTGGATCACAAAGTATATTGTCCAAAAATGGACACTTGATTGGCTCTTATTTTGAGGTGCTATATATGCTATCACGGGCTGATTTACAATCACCAATCACCATTGGTCACTTTTCCCGCGTATATTTTAAAAATAGTAGAGAAAATTAAAAAATTTGGATGAGATATATATACACAAAAAATACAGTTTTTTTTATTTCTAGCAAATATGAAGTACACATATTTAAAAATATACAGTTAATAAATTAAAAATAGTTTATAAATGTTTAATTAAAATTTTTTATTGATATTATTTATGTTTCAAATAAAGGTGCATTCACAATGTTCAAAACGGATTTTGGAAATACTCTATTTTGAATTGACACTTGACTTGACAGCTAGGTAATTTTTAATTTATTAGTTCAAATTTGTTTTAGAAAGATTATTTATACTTGTTGTTTAGTCGTTATTTGAATTAAACATTAATAATTAATGATAAAGACAAAATGTAAAAAAAGAGAACGGTAAATTCTTAATGAAACTTTAAATATAATTTATTATATTATAATGTTTTTAAAGTTTACATTTTTTTACATAAACAATATTTTTATTAAAATGTTTATAGGTTATGAATAATTTGTACCTATTTTTAAACAAGTTTTAAGTTTTATTTCTTTAAATGGTTTAGATTATTTAAATTTACGTTTAATAAAGTTAATATTAACAATAAGTAAAATAAACCGATTATAAATGTAAAAGTAAATAATCTTTTTTTTTGCAAAAAACGTAATCTTTCCTTTATAGATTTGTTTCAGTTGTGTTTTAATAAAAAAATATCTAGTACATACCTACACAAACAGACAGCCATGAAATTAAAAACGTCTTGTATTCGCGTTTGCGCGTTTTATTGCACACATATAGAGATTTATTTCCACTCAGTGACGTCACAACTTTATAGGACATATTGTTTATAAAATTGGATGCTGTGATTAAAAATAATGATGTGTGAAAAACGAAAAAACGAAAAACTGTTTAAATAACCAAAATTTTCAAGTGAAATTCTTGTCTTTCGATTTTATCCCCAGCAATCTTCAATGAAAATATGGAATATAAGTCAAATTGCGAATATAAACATATGTCTATTCACAATTCTTCTGTCATTTCGCTAATTACATTATCATTAATGTGTTTAAACTCCAAGAATTCCAAGATGCTCCAAGACAAGTGATAAATCTTATAATAAATTCATCGAAATATTTACCGAATGAGAAAATTTGAACATAAATGTAAGTTATTTTTTATTTATCTTCTTCTGATAATAAATTTTGAAAATTAATTATTTTTTTGTAGAATTCTTCCTTAATTCAAAAAAAAGAGAGAGAATATGGACAGTTTTTCCGATTCTTCTCGTTGTGAATTAGATTCGACAACATCTGGAGACTCACTTTTAGAATTACGTCCACATTCTTCGTCGCTTGAATTATTAAATAGTGATGAATTAATTAAAAGAACCAATTCCCTTGAATTGGCGAATGAACGACTTCGTTATGATTTGGATAATCTACAAATAGAATTAAATACAAAAATCTCCGTCAATGAGAGTTTAAAGGAAAAAATAACATTACTTTACGTCGATGCACAATCTGCATTACAGGAGAAGCGAAAAATTGAAAATAATTTTAAAAATCTCCAAAGTCAATTAATTATTTCGGAAAATTCGACAAAATGGTATCAGGAACAATTACATCAAGCACAAGCCAGCAAAAAAACTTTACAAATCGAAGTTAATACTTATCAGGAAATGTTGAAACAAAAACAACAATTGGTCACTGATATTATATTGAAATCCTCGAAATTAAACCAAGAATATGTGAATTTAATTTCCAAGTACAAAGACGAGAAGGAACAATTACAAAATGAAATTAATCAACGATTTAAGAGGGATAATTTTTCCAAAATACTCGCCGAGGATCGTTCACTGGATATTTCGGCGAATTTAAAATTAACAGAGGAGGAATTACACGAAACAAAAATTCAACTCTGTCGACTTGAGGAGAAACTGATAAATTCCGAAATTGAAAAAACTTGTCTCGAAAATACAAATACGAAACAATTATCAACAATCACTTCATTGGAAGATAATTGCAAAAGTTTAAAAGTGGAAAAAAATAAATTGAAATTTAATTTACAAAAGAGTCACCTCGATATTGAGAAATATAAAAATAATAGCGAAACTGCTGAATTTGCTTTGAATAATTCCAAGCAAAATCAAATTCAAGTAGAGGCAGCAATTTCTGAATTGCAAATTCAACTTTCAAAAATGTTGACACAATATAAATTGTTGAGGGCAAGAAATTATGAACTTGAAGAGAAAGTAACTTCGATGCGAAAAATGTTGAATGAAACAAAAAGGCTCAAGTTACTTTCTTTCAATGCGAACAGTTCTCTTTTGCAGAAATTAAAAAGAGAGAAGCAAAGAAGTAAAAAATTGGAGAATTTTTCGCGTAAACGACAAAACAATCAAAGGACAGAAGAGGTAATTTATTTTATTTTAATGTGGAATTTTCACAAAAATTTAAAATTAATAATTGAAATTTTTTTAGGCGAATAAAACAGACAATTCGGGGGATAATTCTCTTCAACAGGATGTTAATAAGAACAAGGTATGTTTTTTTTAAATAAAATAAAAGTAAAAAGTTAAAATTTCTTAACCTTTTTAATAACTTCGTTTTTTTAATATTTTTAAATTTAAAATTAATGTATTAAAAATCATCGAATTGATGCAAAGAATTTTATCAAAAAATTTGAGAATAATTGAATTTCTCCGAAGAATTTTATTATTTAGGAAAATAATTGATTTCTCGCGAAGAATTTTGTTAAAATTTTTGAAAATTCTAATTAAAATCATTTTGAAGAACTTCAATAATTGAGGCCTTGGATCCAATAACTCGCCCGACGCTCGAAGACACGCGCTAATACCAGTCGGGTAGCAGTGAGTGGCCCAGAGGCGCTCACTGCTCACTGACTGGCAGTTGCGCGTTCCTCCGAGCGTCGGGCGAGTTATTGGATCCAAGGCCTCAATTTTAATAAAAAATTTTGAAAATAATTGAATTTTTTTGAAAAATTTTATAACGAATAAAGAAAAAAATTGAATTCTTTCGTGAAATTTTTTTTGGAAATAATTGAGTTTTTGCAAAGAATTTTACTATATTTAAAAAAATAATTGAATTGTTTCGAAGAATTTATTAAAATTTGAGAAAATAATTTAATTTTTTTGAAATAGATATTTTATAACGAATTAAGAAAAAAATTGAATTCTTTTATAGTGAAATTTTTTTGAATATAATTGAAATTTTGCAAAGAATTGTATTAAAATTTTTGAAATTAATAAATAAGAATATTTAATTACTAAATTAGTTAAATTTTTATCTATGCAAAATTTATATTATTTTTGAATTTATTTTCATGGAATTAAAGAAACAATTGAAATCGATGACAAGAGTTTTGGAGGAAAGTATCGATGAGGGTTACGCCGATGGAATATCTCTTGGACCATCGACAAATTTACCATCAACGCCGGCACTTAATCCAGTATTATTATTAAAAATTAACGACATTTTGTATAAAAGTAAAAATCTAATGAGTCCAATTCAAGAGGGAATTAACGAATTACAAATGAAAATTGAAAAATTCAAGGAGGAGCAAAATAATAAATTTCTCCAATCTTCGACAAATTTTTACAACAATCGATCAATTTCCACAGTATCTTCACCTAATAACACCAGGACTCTAGTGTAATTTAGTAATTATACTCTTTATTTATTTTTTTTGTGATTGAAACAATTTTTTTTATCCAAATTGAAAAATAACTTTTTAATAATTTAATTTATTAACTATTGATTAAAAGTGTTAAATTAATAGAAATTTAACTCTAAAATTCAGTTGAAAAAAAAATTAACTAAAATTATTTAAAATTTTTTTTTAATTTTTCCAGAATTTTTCAAAGAAAATTATTAAAATAAATTTAATTCTATAATTCAGTTAAAATAACAAATTTTAGTATAGAAAAAAATTTATCAAAATTTTACCAAGAGAAAAATTGCTACAGTCACAGAATTTTTTCTTATTCCATATTTTTTTTTTCTTCGTAATACCTAAGTGTTTTGCAATATTATAGAGTAAAAATTATTCACTCATTTAGATTTGCAATTTGTTTAAAAAATGTTCAACTCTACAATTTTTAATATCTATGCGTATAATCAAAGATTAATATATCAATAATTATAAATATTAGTTCCCCATGTCATGTGATAGTTTATATTTAAATTATTTTTTTTTTCTAATTTAATAATGAAAAACGGAAAAAGATTTAAATTAAAATTTCAGATATATGTATTCGAATTATGGAAAAAAGAAACAATGTGTCAAAATGTAGATATTTAGTAGAATAACTATATAGAAAGTTTATTATTTTTGAAAGTGATTCTTTGTCAAAAAATTTCTAATTAACACGAGAAAAAAAGTATTTATGCATATTTTTTAACGTTATATAGAAGATACTATATAAAATTTGTATAAATAAATAATTTAGAAATACGAAAACAAAAACAAAAAACCATTTTTGTAGAAATTTTCTGTAGGTAGAGTTCTATTATTACATAATTAATGTTAGTTAAATTTTATTAATTTTTTCATGTACTTACATTTCAGTATTTTTTCTCTATTATTATTTTAAATATTTCCAAGTTTTGATAAAATTCTTAATTTTTATAACTATTTTTTTATTAATATTCTTTTTACACTGAAAAAAAAATTCGGCAGAATGTGCTTTTTACTCAGGCAATTTTTGCCTAAGAACAAAAGCAATACACGTAAAGCAATTGTTTCTTTTAAAAAAGGCAATTTTTGCCTTTTAAAAAGGTAAAAATTGCCTTAGTTAAAATTTTTGCCTTTTTTAAAAGCAAAAATTGCCTTTTTTTAAAAGAAACAATTGCTTTACGTGTATTGCTTTTGTTCTTAGGCAAAAATTGCCTGAGTAAAAAGCACATTCTGCCGAATTTTTTTTTCAGTGTAGTGAAATTCTTTAATAAATTGCCAAAGAATTAATAAAAAATGTTGGTTTTTTAATTTGAAAATTAGGTTTGTTTTGTATAAAATTGGAGAAAAGAATTTGATTTGATAAAAAGAATGTATAAATTATGTTTTTATTTTATTTCAATTTATTAATTTATTATACGTCAAGTTTTACATAATTCGTTTGCCGCACGAAGGGCAAAGAAAAGAAAATCACATTGTGATTTAAAAATTTATAAATGTTCTACTTAGATAATTAGATTATTATTTTTATTGTGCAATCCAAAAAGCAGTATTTCAACGAGAAGAAAATGTTTTAAAGAAAAATTGGTAATAAAATTCTTGTTTGTTCAAAAGGTAATAATTGTGTTTAGGTATATTATTACAATTCTCCTTTTTTCAAAAGGTCCTTATTTTCTAATTTTCTTTATATAAGAATTCGATAATTTACATTGTCACATAAAAAAACTCATATGAAAATTGAAAAAAGATGGTATATATATGTATCATTATTATTTTTATCGTTTCGAGTAAGTATTTTATGAACTCACTGTCAAAGTGTATATAGTAACAATGATTACAAATAACATTTAATTTATCTATTTTACTATAATTATTCGATGCTATAGATTATTATGATAAATTAAAATTTTTTTTCAGATGTTCACTATTATTTTGAGACTTGGATCTAAAAATTTTTTTCAATTTTTTCATTTCTAAACGAAGAGTAAATTTTTTGTTTTTGCAATACTTTTTTCAATTCATTTTTCTTTTTTTTTAATTTTATCAATTTTTCATTTTTTATAACTATTAATAATTAATGGAATGAAATATGTATAAAAATGAATGAATTGTACAATAAATTATTGAGAAAACAATATCACAGTAAAGTGTATGAAAATAATCCTAAGAGAATATTTAACATAAATATTAATATTAATTAATATGAAATATATTTTATGAGATATATTTTTTCGTAAAAAAAAATTAAAAGAAATTATTACAACAGATTGAAAAAAAATACTTTTTTAAAGTTATTAAATAATTATTAATATTTCACATTTCACATTTACAACATTTTTTTCGAACAAAATTTCTTAGAGATTTTACATTCAAATAATTACAAAAATAGGAAATTATTGAATTTTCATTAATATCACTTTATACAAACATGGCCCCAAATTTTTTTTTAAGGAAAACCTATTTTTATAAAAAAATTTTTTCTAAAATTAATTTAGTTATGTAAATAATAATAAAAAAATTTAATTTACAAATTAAGATATTAACAATTAATTACTATTAATAGAAGTAATATTTTAATATTGTTAATTTAGTAAATTTAAATTCTTGTGAAAATTTTTAATTTAAATAAAAGCAAAAAAAGACGACTAGTTATTATTTTTTAAGGAGTATTCAATTTCTTTTTAACCTACTTATTTAATATAATTTTTTCTTTTTTAATATTAATCTCTTTTTTATCAACGTTTTCTTGTAAAATAGCGAACATTTGAAAAATCTCAGTATTTTTTTTATGAATTTTAGATTTTTTTTTCCCACCTATTGCAACAAAAGTTGAACAAATCCACACATTCTAAATATTTATTCACAATCAAAATTTGCCGTCTAGTATAACAAATTATTCGTAAAACAATTTATTTTATTTTAATAACTTATAAAGCAAGTAGAAGAAAATGAAAGAGAAATAGAATTTTTTTTTCCAAAGAAATGGAAAAAAAATTTACAATAATATTACATATTAATAATTTACAAAAAGGAAAAAAATTGATAATCTATAAATAAAATTTTTAAATCGATCAACTAAATTATACAATCGTCACCTATTCACGTGTGAAAATTTGTTTATAATACAAAAGTCTGTTGCGTTTTTTTGATTAAGAAAATTGACCGACAAATACAATAATTGGAAAAAATTGAATGAAACAAATTTTTTCCAATAATAAGTAAAAAAGCCTCTTGGCCAAAGTCTATGTAAACGGATCGTCGAGACTTTATCAACAAATCCAATGTTATTAATTTGAACATTGTCAATGTTGTTAAACAGCAATACCTACAATTTCGAGTGAAAAAGACGATTAAAATTTAAACTGCAACTACGATATAATAATGTGGCGATTATACTATTAATTTTAATAATTATTTTAACGCATCTTAATGAATGTGAGACAGTTTTTAAATGTTCAGCTATTTGTCATCTGGAAGTTGATTCCGTTTGTCGAACTTTCTCAAAGTGACGACGATGATATTGTGATCGGCCACGACCACGATTCCGATGATGACCATGATTGTGATGATGATGATGATTGTGATGCGATTGTCTTGATTGTATTTGAGGATTATTTTGACTCTGTTGATTCTGCTTTGTATTCTGTAATTGCTTGTTTTCGTGAGGGAAAAAAAATATTGAAAAAGCTTTCTTCTTTTATTTAAGGAAGCAGGAAATTAAAGTATTGCTTACCAATTGAGCTGGTTGATTTGAAAATGTATTTAAACTAGGACCAGGTGGACTTAATTCTTCAGTCGCTGGAACAGTTTCGTCTTCAGTTCTCACCAGCATTTTTATTTCTTCAGCTTCTAAATCAATAATACCGCCCCGCTGCTGTTGATGAAGATATAAAACGGCCATTTTTCTTTGCAATTCACGTAATTCGGCGGTTACGGAAAAATCAGTCGCTGTTTCGACATCAATTGGAGGCGGTGCTGAATATAAAGTCTCCACGTCACAATTTATTGATTCACGACACACGGGACAGAGAGCCTACGAAATATATATTTTTCCAATTGAAACAAAATATTATGCAGAAAAAATATCGAATACAGGGCTCGAACCAGTGAAATTATGGACCAACTGCCAAAAATATAACCAGTCCGAGTCAAATAAGAAAACATTTTACTTCAAACTAGGTATAAATTCGATTCAATTATTATTTTCAAGAATTTTTTACTAAAATTCTTCTTTAAATAGATTATTTTTCAAAAATTTTCATGAAGTTCTTTGACAATTTTCAAATCCATTTGTTTATAGTGTTTACAATATTCAATTTACAATATTCAAAAAAATTAATTTCAAAATTCAATTATTTTTAAAAATTCACGCTATATTGCTTTTAATATTTAATTAAATTATAATCTAAAATTTTAACTGAAATTCATTTTTAAATCAATTTTTATTAGAAAATTCTACTAGAATTCAATTATTTAATTTATTAAATAAGTCTCTAAGAAGAATTTTATTACTTATGAACAATATTTAATTTTTGCGAAGAATAATTATTAATACCTAATTATTAAAAATAATGTATTTATAGAAGAATTTTAGTTAAAATCACGAAAAAAATTTAATTTTAGAAAAGTTACAAATTATTGCAGAAATTCAATTATTTTCAAGAGTAATTTAAGAAAACTCTTGAAAATAATTGAATTTCTGTAATAATTTGTAAATTTTTTTTCCTGTTTTTAACTAAAATTCTGCTAAAAATCCATTATTTTTAATAATCTTTGAAAAAGTTCTTTGAGAATTTTCAAATCCATTTGTTTACAATTCAATTTTACAAAATTTCAATTATTCGTAAATACTTTAATATTATAGTAAGAAAAGCTATCCGTCAGTCATAGGAAAGTATGGGAATCGCATAAGTCTGTCTCACTCCCACTCATGGGATATGACTGACGTGGTAGGTTTTCGTACTGTATATATATATATATATATATATATATATATATATATATATATATATATATATATATATATATATATATATATATATATATATATATTACAAAATAAAAACTTTAAATAATTTTAAAAAAAAAATCCGCAATTAAAATTTCTGAAAAAAATTAATTTCACAGAATTAAAAATATGAGAAATTTAGAATTTCAAAAATTTTAATTTGAAACCTTTGCAAAATTCAATTATTTCTAAAAATTTACGCTCTAATGCTTTTAATATTCAATTATAATCTGAAATTTTATCTGAAATTTATTTTTAAATCAATTTTTATTAGAAAATTCTACGTGAATTCAATTATTTATTTTTGTATTTAAATTCAATATTTAAATTCAATTATTTAAATACAAAAATAAATAATTGAATTCTCATAAAGAATTTTATCAACATATTTATAATAGTACATTATGCAACAAAGGATTATTGTGGTTACTCTATGCTACCTGTAGTGGTGCATGCTAAGTTCTCCCATATAACCTAGCTGGTCAATAAAGTAACCATTATTGCCCTAGGGAGATAAAGGGTACTTTATTGACTTGTGAGCGGTCAATAATGTACCTTTTATCTCCCTAGGGCTATAATGGTTACTTTATTGACTGCTGGGTTATAAGGGGAACTTAGTTACGCGCCTGTACATGTAGATAAAGTGACCATATTACGCCTGAGTTGTATAAATAATTGAATTCTTTCGACGAATTTTAAAAAAAGTTTTAAGAATAATTATATTTTTTGAAGAAATCCGATTAAAATATTGTATTAAAAATACTAGAAATTCTGCGATGAGTTTTATTATTTTATGAAAATAATTGAATTCTTGCAAAAAAATTTTATTATTTACGAAAATTATGAAAAAATTTGTAAATAATTGAATTTCTGTGTAATTTTTATTATATTTAAGAAATAATTAAATGTGCGTAGAATTTTATTAAATTATTAATTAAATTTTAATTTAATGCTTTGAAGAGTAAAAAATACTAAAAATTAATTAATCCAAATTGTTTTCAATTAAAAAGATTTCAATTATGTTGTTTTTTAATAATTTCTTTTATAATTTTAAATGAATCGGAAATAATTGAATTCTTATAAAGAAATTTTTTAAATGTATTTAAAAATTACATTTTTTTTATAAACAATTTTATTGAAATTTTTATTAAAAATAATAAAATTTTTGCGAAAAATTTTAATAAAAATTCTTTAAAAAAATTAAATTCCAGCCAAAAAATTTTATAAATTAAGAAAGTAATTGAATTTCTGCGAATAATTTAATTTAATTATTTTTAAAGATAATTGAAATTTTGACGAGAATTTTTAAAAAAATTTTGAACATAGTTGAATTTTTGCGAAGAATTTTATGACTTTTTGAAAATAATTGAATTTCTGCAATCATTTGTAATTTCTCTAAAAATTCTCCAAATTATATCGTACAATATTTACGAACTTTTCCATCTTTTCTCAATCAAATTACGGACTTTATGGACCTTTTTTTAAAAAGAAAAACTGATTTTTACGGACTTGAAGTAAATTTACGGTATTTACGGACCTAGTTCGAGCCCTGCCAATGCCACAAAAATAGAAAGATTAAAGGAAGAAAAATTTACTTGAAATTGTTTGGAACTATCTTGTTGCCATTGGGGCAATTTTTCCTGTTCTTCTCGATAATATCGATCAGCAGCAGCAACGTGTGATGCTAAACAATGAGAGTGAAAATGATGATAACATTCCGTTTTTGTGAATTCATCGCCTTCTCGAAATCCATATAAACAAACTGCACATTGTCCAGTCGGAAGATTACTTTTTGTCAAATGTTCTCTAACCAACTGGAAAAAGAAGACAAAAATAGAAATTCGTTTTTTTTTCTTATTCAAATTTTTACTCAAAATTATTTTCTACAAGGGAAAAGAAATATTTTTCTCACCTCGATTAATTCAAACATCACAGGTTGACCGACAAAATCCTGACACTTCACTTCCGCCTCGGACTGAATAAGCTTCATTGTACCTTCATCTAAACCTCGTGGATTACGAAAACTAACTTCGGGTGAAATGTCCGGATAACCGGTTAACAATTTAACGATAAGTCGAACACAAACATATTGTGATTGTGAATCATTTCCAGTTGATGGAAAAACTAAAATTTCTATCAACTCCGGTTCATCGCTAAATAAAAAGAATTTTTTTTTGTATACAAAAGTAATTTTATCGTTTTTCTTTCTACTTACTTTTCGTTCTCGACTATTTTAAGTTCTTCGTCTAGGAGAATTGCCTTTAAAGCTTCTATTTCATCTACAACTCTAGAAAACAATAACTCGTACTTTATTTTATTTCGATTATTATTTTGTTCTATTTCAAAAGAAAGAAAAATAAAAAATGCAAATACTAAAATGTCAAAAAATATAATTTTTGATGAAGAAAATTTTCTCACCTTTCGTCTATGCCAGAATCTGACATTTTTCACAATGGGAAATTGAGAGAGTGTAGAAATTGTTTCTAATTCACTTTGATATTTTTTTTATCTAAAATTCACTTAAACGTGTCACAAATATAAGTTTTTAGAATTTTGTAATAGAAACGAAGGGGAATAAAGCAGCAGACATCACTTTGTATTGATTCAGTCAAAATGAATCTGTTTTATCGGCTGATAACTTAGGAAGCTCGGAAGTGAAGAAGCCGTGAAATAAATAGCTGCCGAGAAGGGACAGTAATTTCAAATTTTGAATTCTTATATTAAATTTATTAAATAATTTGTAAAAGACAAAAAATTATAAGTAGTTTCTTCTAAGAGAAAATAAATAATATAGTGTTAGTATAGAAATTTATCAAACTTAGTGTTTTTCTCTAATCATTTTTTTTGCTTTTTTTTAACCAAAAATAATTCAAATTTCCCTCTATTGGTATATCTGACAAATTCACACACACCACTTCATAAATGTTTTTTAAATTTGTTTTCTAAATACCAAAAATCGTATTATTTTTCTTTCATTTTTTCAACATAGTTACATTAAAAATTTGTTTCCAAATTATCAAATTAAAAAAGTTGACAAAAATAGAAAAACATCAAATATAAAAAAAATCAAAATCAGAGGAAAATTAATTGCATGCATATTCAAAAAGAAAAAGTTCATTCTGATTGGTGGACGCTTTTTGGAAACCACCATCGCGTCATACAACTAGCGTCAATTTCTAAAACTAAATTTAATAAGCAAAAAAAAAGTGTAAATACTTTTTCCCATCTAGTGTTGAATATATTTTATGGCAGACGCTTGCGCCTTCTCTTCGTTAAATGGTGGTTTTTCTTTTCGCTCGAAAACCAGATTTATATACAGTGCAGTGTAATTAATAAAGTTCTTTTAACAATAGTGATTGAAAATTGTGCTATAGAAGATTCTCCTTCAAGAAACGGACGAATTTTGCTTTATTTAAAGTGCTCATTGAGCGGAGGAAAGACTATTTTGTAACATTTTTAACCCCTTCATGGTTCAACATGAATGATTATTCAGCGGTCGCTCCGCCTCAAAATTTCTCTCAGAGTTCGGCATTTGCCGCTGCATTACAGCGCGCCAAACAGGTATTTATAATAAAATTTTCTATTAAAAGAGGAATAAAAGAATGAGGAAAAAACCGGCCTCATTTTTCTTTTTTTTTAATGATAGCGTGCAAAATTTCATAATCGCGTAGTTTTTGGCTATTCGCTGTCCTCTTTTCAATGGGCGCCAATGTCTGCCAACAGCCAATGTCCGATCCGGGACGTTACCCTTCGCTTTATACATACATATATATATACTATATATATACACAAAAACTCACCCTAAATTTAATGACCGACATTTTTTTTTTTGCACAAAAATACAGAAGCGGATGAAAAAAAATTTCCCTTTTGTCTTATTGAGGCGTAAAAATCGACTTTTTCGAAATGTTTCCGAAAGAAGCATTTTCGTTATTGATGTCCCGCTCCAAACAAAGCTGGTGTAATAAAAAGAACAATGTTTGCGTATATATTGTTTAAATTTAACGAACGCTGACACAATTGTTACTTTTTTTTGACAATAATACTAATCTACTATAAGATAATAATTTTCTTTTCAGAGTTTTTGAATTTAATTTTAAAATTTGATATATTGGAAATATTTACGTATATTTTAGAAATAAACGATAGTTTCTTGCTAAATTTCTTGGGGAACAATTTATAACCTCTAGTAGTAGAAAAAAAATTTGATTAGTTTAATGGAAATTGAAAAAATGTACCCAATGTCGTTATGTCTTTTTTAAATACAAATTACAGATCGCAGCCAAAATCAATCCTGGAGGCACACAAAATAATCAAGATGGAAAATTAAAACGTCCACTGGAAGACAGTGCAGGTAAAAATTTGTGTAAAAAAAAATCCCCCCCCCCCCGGAAATATTTCTTATGAGATTTAATATTGATGGGAAAAATTTATAATTGATATCGATAGTTTCTAATAATATCATGCGTCTATTTTATTTAGAGTTATTACTATTTAGAAAATAGAAAATAGAAAATAGAAAATATAGATGTCTATAGAAATAATGTGACTATATTTAATAATTTTCTATGCAATTTTTTCACCATTTCATTTTGGATATGTATATTTTTTTTGTTAAACAAAAAACTTTTCATACAACATAATTATGTATTTGTTAGAATTTTCCATGTATTTTATTTTACTGTATAACAATAACAATTATAGCTTTTTTATACTGATTTGTACATGTATATTATTGATCATTTTTTATTTTTATCATTGAATTTTATTTATTGTTTGAATTGTTTGACAATGTAATGTGTATATTTATTGAAAAATGTGCCAATTTCTTTTACATATGATAATTGCGTACCTATTTTTGTGCTTATATGAATTTTAATTTTTTTATAAAAGACAAGAATTTAATTCTTGCTATGGATATCAAAGAGAAACAATTTCATGAAATTAGAATTAAAAAAAAATGTGTCCGGCATCCCCTATGTTTTTTATGAATTTTTTGTAGAACCTGAGGCCAAAAAAATGGCACCGCTAGTAGCGGATCCTTTAGCTGGTATTCGTGGTGGTCCCGCAGTGGCAATGACAGATCCAAATATTCAAACTAGATCCGGACAATCACCTCCAATTTCCGTTGGCATGGGTGGTATTTGCAACGAAGATATTAGAGTTCCTGACAAAATGGTTGGCTTGAGTAAGTTCTTTTTTCTTTTATTTTTGAGACGAAAAAAAAGGTTATTTTATCCCATCGAGTAACGTTGGTGAAAGTTCACGTTTATAATCAATTAATTAAGAAAGAAAAAAAATTTATTTATTTAATTTTTCGTATCAAGAATTAGTTTTTTGGGTAATAATTTACAAAATAAATTTTTGGGGAAAAAATATGTAAATTTTTTATTGTCTTTGATGGAAAACATATTTTTTTTCTCTTTAAATCGTTGATGATAAACGTTGCAAACTTTACCGAGACGTATCGAATATTAATTAAGTATTCTCTTAGTATTTTTTATTTTATTTTTTTTATAAAAAAGAGTTCTGTTTTTTTTATAAAACTAATGTTTATTATCTATAAATTATTAACTAATTTACTAATTGATTATTATTATTATTATTATTATTATTATTGTTATTATTTATTGTTTTGAAAAATTCTAATAAAATTCTTCGCAGGAATTCAATCATTTTTATTACAATTTCAATAAAATTTCTCAAAAGAGTTCAGTTATTTTTAAAAATTTGATAAAATTGTTCACAAAAATTAAAATTATTTAAAAAATTTAAGTTTAAATTCTTTATGTGAATTGAAATATTTTCAATACAATTTTAATTAAATTCTTCTAAAAAATCCAATTATTTTCGCAAATATTAATAAATTTTCGCAGGAATTCAATTATTTTGAAAAATATTTATAACATTCTTGGCAATAATTCAATTAGCTTTGAAAATAGTAAACTTCTTCACAGAAATTCAATTATTTTCAAAAATATTGAAAAAATTCTTTGAAGGAATTCAATTATTTTGATAAATAATACAATTCTTTAAAAGATCTTGGTAAGAATTCAGTCATCTTGAGAAATAACAAAATTATTTTCAAAAATTCAATTATTTTCAGAGATTTTAATAAAATTATTATTGACAGTAATTCAATTACCATTGAAAATAATAAAATTCTTCGTAGATTTTCAATTTTTTTTTTACTTTCAAAATTAAAATTTTAAATAATAAAACTTGTAACAGAAATTCAATTATTTTGAAAAATTTTGATAAAACTCTTTACAAACAAGAATTTAAATATTCTTTTAATATTATTTTAATTAAATTTCTCATGAAAATTAACTTTTTTTTTTAAGATTTTAATTACATAAATTCTTCTCGAGAAATTGAATTTTTTTAAATTTATAAGAATTAAATTATTTCGGATTCAAAATTATAAAAGAAATAAATACGAAGCAATATAATAGAAATATTTTTAATTGAAAACCATTTGATTTTATTAATTTTTTGTATCTATTTATTTAATCTTAAAAGGATTAAATTAGAATTTCATTAATTGAAAGGTTTGAAAACATTAAATATAACCATTATCAAAAAGGCAAACAAAAACAATTTACTTTTTTATTTTAAATTAGATTATTTTCTTTTTGTTTTGAATTCAATGGAAAGAGAAGAATTTTAATTAAATAGAATTTTTCTTTACAAACAGATTCTATTTTAATTAAATATTTATTTCAGCCTCGAAAATTGTGGTACTTAATTATTATGAAACTTTTATATTCGCGAAAATTAGTAAATTAATTGAATTGAATTGAATTGAATTGAATTGAATTGAATTGAAAAAAAAATATTGAAATAAATAATACTAAAAATAATTTTAAAAAATAAAAAATTTCTTTTTTCAAAAAGAAAGGAGTTTTTGTGCTTTAGTTAATATTAATAATTAATAATTCGACTTTTTTTTAAATATAGGTACATAAAATTGTTTATTGATGAAAATATTTTTTTTGCAGTAATTGGACGAGGTGGAGAACAAATAACAAGGTTGCAAAGTGAAACAGGATGTAAAATACAAATGGCCCCAGAAAGCGGTGGTCTACCAGAACGCATTTGCACTCTAACAGGATCGCGAGATGCTGTCAAGTAACGCATATTTTTTTTCTCTTAATTTACTATAAAAAAAAGGAAAATTTAATCCCTTCTTTAAAAAAAAAATAATTGTATATTTTCATCCTATCGTCTCTAATGAGACTATTGAAATTTTGTGATATCGTCTCTTTAATTTCTATTTTTCATGTTCATTTTTTCTCCTCTTTCTCTCACTCTCTCTGTCTCTCTCTCTCTCTCTCTATATATATATATATATACTATACATATATTTTTGATACATTGTATTTATATAATATCTATAGTTTTTATTTGAAATTAAAATAGGAATTTTCATTAGATATTTACGTATATAAATACTCACACGTAAAAAAAACGCTTTTAGCATGACAACAGGTGGTAACATAATTTTTCTAAGCACGAAGAAAAAACAAAGAATTGAAATTGAGCCAAGCAAATCTGCTATCCTCCTTAATATATTATTAATAATTATTAACAATTTATAATCTCAATTGTGTCTCTACTTTTAAAAAATATTGTTCTTTTATCAGAAATGTGGGAATTTGTATTTAAAAATCGAAAAAAAATTTCATTAGGTGAAATTTTTATTTGAAATTAGAATTTATCTCGAATATTGAAGGGAAAGAAAATCTGAGTTTGGCTCAAAATAATTTGATTCGAATATTATTCGGATCCAAATAAAATACTTGTATTAATAATAACAATTATTATTATATTTTAAAATCTAAATAATTATTATATTACATATATATTTTTTAATGTATATGAAATATTATTGTTATTATTTATTTCGAAATTCGATATGAAAATTAATTTGTGTCTTATTCCGTTTTTGAAAATAATTGAATTTCTACGAAGAATTTTATTATTTACAATGATAATTGAATTATTGTCAAGAATTTTATTAAAATCTTTAAGAATAATTGAATTCTTGAAAATAATTTTGTTATTTCTCAAAATAATTGAATTTATTCCAGGAATTTTATTTAAATTTTTGCAAATAATTGATTTCCATCAAGAATATTATTATTTGTGAAAATAATTGAATTCCATCGAAGAATGTTATTAAAATTCTTTTAAATAATATTAAATTCCTGGGAAAAAATTTATTATTAATGGAGATAATTGAATTCATTTTCTGGCAAGAATATTATTATTTATATATCAAAACAATTGAATTTCTGCAAAGAATTTTATTAATATTATGAAAATAATTCAATTATCATAAAGAATTCAATCAAAATTTTTTTAATTAATTTGAATTTTTGCGAAGATTTTTATCGATTTTTTTTAAATAATTGGATTTTTTTGAGAAATTTCTTTGAAATTGCATAGAAAATAATTAAATTACTGCGAAAAATGTTATTAGATATGAAAGTCATTCAATTGGATTAAAATTTTTAAAAATCATAATCAAATTCTTTTGAAGAATTTTTTTAAACTTTTTCAAAATCATGGAGTTTTTAAGAATTTAAATTAAAAATTTTATGAAAAATTACATTTAAGTTTTCAAAATAATCTTGTTAGTTAATATGTAATTGAAATTTATCCCAATTGATTATTGAATTTTATTAAAATGTTTAAAAAATAATTGAATTCCTGAGAAGAATTTTATTATTTATCAAGATAATTAAATTCTTGCCAAGGATTATAGTAAAATTTTTGAAAATTGTAATTAAATTTCTACGAAGAATTTTATTATTATTTTTAAAAATAATCGATTTCCTATCAAGAATTTTATTATTTATAAAAATAATTGAATTCTTCCGAAGAATGTTGTCATTTTATTCCGTTTCTCATCGAAATGAAATTTAATTTTGAAAATTTGCAGTTTTTTTTCTATTTTAAAAATTATTTCCTTTGTCTACAATCAAAATGAAATTTGAATTATTTTTTCTAATTATCATAAATGACAGATTATTTTTTGTTTTAACTAATTTTACGTAAAAAATATAATTAAATTAACTAAGTGGAATTAAATATTATGATTGAAATTTATAGTTAGAATTCTCTTAAATTTCAATTTCGATTTGAGAGGAAAAAATTATGGAATTGTCACATTTCTTATACACTTTATAAATTATTCCACATTGAAAAAATGGTACAATTCACATATATATTTATATTTTATTGTATATGTAAAAACAATTGAATCCACGATATTTTGATACATATTCTCGTCATGAAAGTGAGTACATGACTTGAATTCGCCTTTTTTTTGAAATATTAATCGGGACAGGTTGTTTACTTCTTTTTTTCCCTCGAAAGATGAAATTTTTGTGATTTCTTATTTACTAATAGTTTTTTACTTTTACTAGGGTTATGGAGAAATGTGAAGGAAGGAGGATAGGATATGCATGGGGAAGACAAAAATGTGTTGTCTACTGAAAAATGTGACCTTTACACACGATTTTTCCCCCCAAAAAAAAAAAAAATGAAATAAATAAATATTAATAGGGCTCTTTAAGTTTCTCGTGTATTTATATTACAATATAATTGTATATTTTTGAAAGAAAAATCAGAAAATTATGTATATAAGTTGTTGAATTGCACTTGTTGAACTCAAATAGATATTTGTCTTTTTTGCATTGTGTGTTATATTTAAAAAATTGAAAATTATTGTTAATATATATTGATATATATTTAATTTATTAATAATAATTGCAAAATCACTGTTTTTTTTTTGTCAATTTTGTCGTGTTTTTTTTCATAATTTAGTTTTTGCCTTTGTTTCTTTGTTTATTTTGTTGTTTTTCTTTCTTTTTTAACGAAAAAAATGTTTGTGTATGTTTGTTGCAGTCGAGCGAAGGATCTTGTGCTGTCGATTGTGAATCAACGTAGCCGAACAGAAACGGGAACACCAGGTGAATTAAATGTCAACATTGGTGCACCGCCTGTTGGAGGAGGTCTATTACTTGGAGGTGGAGGAGGAGGTGGTGGAGGTCCACAACAACCGGCGCCATCGTCAACGCCAATGATGGGTGGTCATCCTGGTTTTGTTGAAATTATGATTCCCGGGCCAAAAGTTGGTTTGATCATTGGAAAAGGAGGTGAAACGATTAAGCATCTTCAGGAGAAGTCGGGTGCAAAAATGGTTGTTATTCAGGAAGGACCGAATCAGGAGCAAGAAAAACCCTTGAGGTTTGTATTTTTGTTTTTTTTCCTTCAAAGGATAAAAAAATAATCAAAGTTGGTACAATTTAATATTTTTTAAATTTATTTATCAAAATATATAATTACTAAAAAAATTAATTAAACCCTTAATTAAATTGAATTAATTTAATCGAATTGTTTTCCATTAAAAATATTTCTTTTATATTATTTCTTATTTGTTTTCTTTAATACTTTTGAACCTGAAATAATTGAATTCTTGTAAAGAAATTTCTCCAAACTTTTCAAAATAATTCAATTTCTTGGGAAAAATTTTATTAAAATCTTTAAAAATAAGTTAATTCTCACGAGAAATTTAATTATAATAATATTAAAAATATTTAAATTCTTATAAATAGTTGTATCAAAAATTTTTGAAAATAATTGAATTCAGATAAGAATGTTATAATTAACATTTTTTTTTAAATAATTCAATTCATTCGAGAAATGTTATTAATTATGAAAATACTTAAAATCTTGGTAAGAATTTTATTACAACTCTATTAAAAATGAGGGAATTTTTTAAAAAGAATTCTTACAACATTTTTCAAAATAATTGAATATTTCTACGAAGAATTTTATTATTTATGAAAATAATTCAATCTTTGACAGAAACTTTATTAAAATCTTTGAAAATAATTTTATTATTTCTCAAGATAATTGAATTCGTGCCAAAGAAATTTATTAAAATTTTTACAAATTATTGTTTTCCTGTCAAGAATATTTTTATTTATAAAAATAATTGAATTTTTCCGAAGAATTTTATAGAAATTCTTTTAAATAATTGAATTCCTGGGATAAAATTTATTATTTATGAAGATGATTGAATTCTCATAAATAATTTTATAAAAACTTTTCAATTGGATTTCTGCAAAGAATTTTATTAAAATTCTTTAAAACAATTAAATTCCTACTACAAATTTTACAAATTATGAAAATAATTGAAATCTAATTACATAAGAATTGTATTAAAATTTTTCAATAATAATTGAATTTTTTTTTAGGAATTTAATTCAAATTGCATTGGAAATATTTTAATTCTCCTAAAGAATGCAATCAAAAATGTTTAAAATAATAATTGAATTTTTGCGATGATGAATTTGATCAATTTTTTTTTTAAAATAATTGCATTTTTTGGAGAAATTTCTTTGAAATTGCATTGAAAATAATTTAATTTCTGCGAAAAATTTTATTATTTGTAAAAATAAATTAATTGAATTCTTCCGAATAATGTTATTATTTAGGAAGTTAATTGAATTCTTGCCAGGAATTTTATTAAAATTTTTGAAAATAATACATAAACAATAATAATTAATTATGTATTTAACAAGTGAATTTAAAAAATATTTAGGCCGAAATTATTGAAAAATTGAATTTTATATTTGAAAATAAAAAAAATGTGCAATAATGCATTATAATAATAATAAATTTTTATATCATGTTATCATCTTGTATAAAATGTTCTGTAGTTTTTCTTTGGTATATATTTATTTTTCGAAAGCGGTGCTTGTGAGTTTGTTGTTGTGTCGATTTCTATTACTTTTATTTAACCTTGTCTTAACATAATTTGTAAATTGTGAGAACTTAACTAAGCAGTTACCTGCTTCGATTATTTAAAATAAGTCTGTTTGTCTTTTGTTTGAATTACTTTATCATTACAACAAAATAACAAGTGTTTATTTATTTTTAATGTATTTATTTTTTCAATTTAAAGTATTTAAAAAAAAGTATTTTTTGGTGAAGTTGAGAGAAATGTATTTCTTTTAATAGTAGAAGAGAATTATTTGCAAAGATAGGATTTTTGAAAACTAATAATTCTTAAAGAATTGAGTTACCTAAAATTAAATTAAACTTCAAGTATATATAAAATTAAATTGTTTACGAAAAAAAATATTTTTGTTTGATGAAAAATTTGTAAACTTTTCTACAATTATTAATTTCTACTACTTAATACAATTTAAGTAAATTTTTATTTTACGTATGGGAATTAAAATATTTCCTCTTGGACAATAGTTGACGAATTTTCATTTTTTTGTTTGTTTCTAATTTAGAATTATTTTTCTTCTAGAATTACGGGTGATCCACAGAAAGTTGAATATGCAAAGACATTGGTGTATGAATTAATAGCGGAAAAGGAGATGCAAATGTTTAATAGAGGTCCACGTGGTGGTGGTGGCGGTGGTGGTGATCGAGGTGGAAATGGAGCCGGAGGACCCGGTAATTTCAACAATGACAATAGCGGTGGAAATTCTGGATCAGGTGGTTTTAATCCGGGACCACCAAATGGCGAAGGTGTTGAGGTAAGGAAAAAATAAATTGTTTTGGAAATAATAAATTTTTATTTATAGAAATTGTTTTTTTATTTTATTTTTATGCAAAATTTTGTTTTAAAAATTAGATTCTTGTTCCGCGAGCTGCCGTTGGTGTTGTCATTGGCAAAGGCGGAGATATGATAAAGAAAATACAGGCCGAAACTGGCGCGCGTATGCAATTCCAACAGGGAAGAGAGGACGGTCCAGGCGATAGGAAATGTCTCTTGTCAGGAAAGGCTCCAAATGTCGAACAAGCTCGACAACGAATTCAAGAGCTCATTGACAGCGTAATGGTAATTCAACATTTTTCTTGTAACAAATTAAAATCAAAAAAATAATTAAAAACTGGATTGAAATTAAATTAAATTTAAAAAAAAATTAAAAATTGAATTAAAATTTAATTTAATTTTAAAAAAATTAAAAATTTAGGGTTTCTACGCAACCTGGACAACTGGAAAACCTGGAAATGTCAGGGAATTTTACAAACCTTGAAAAAACTTTAAAAAAGTCAGGGAATTTTGATCGAAATCCTGGAAAATTGTTTTTTTTTAAAGTTATTGTGTTTATTCTTGAAATCTAATTTCACTTAAATATTGCCAAATTGATTTAATTTTAAAAGAATTGCGTTTACAATTTTCATAAGTAGATGAACTCCAGAAGATTTTGATTTAAAATTTTGTAAAATTTCAAGTTTAAATGAATTTAATTAGAAATATAAAAAACCTAGATATAAAAAAAATTTTATAAACTAAAATTCTTCTGAAATTAGTTAAATTTTTTAATATAAATTTAACTAGTTTTATTAAAAATAATGGATTTATAGAAGAATTTTAGTTAAAAACACTAAAACAACATTGAATGTTGAAGCAATTACAAATTATTGCAGAAATTGAATTATTTTCAAAAGTAGTAAAATTAAAAAAAAAATTATTCTTAAATTCAATTATTTAAACATTTGTTGATAAAATTCTTTATGAAAATTAAATTTTAAGAAACATTCAATTGTTTAATAAAATATTTATTTTATAGTTAAATAATTGAATTCTCGTGGAAAATTTTCTAATAAATATTAATTTTGAAATTGAATTTCAAATTCAAATCTTTGAAAATAAATTTGAACTTTTCATACTTTTAATTAAGAATTCTATAGAATTAATTTTTCTCAATAAGTTTAACGGAATTTTCTTTAATTATTTGAAGTTTTTAATTTCTAATATATTTAAATGAAGAATGTCAGAATAATCCAAGTTTAGTAAAATTAAATGTAATTATTCTTGAAAATTTGATTGAAATTCGTCAAAAAATTCAAATATTTAAAAATTTGTTGATAAAATTCTTTATGAGAATTCAATTTTTAAAAAGCATTCAATTATTTAATAAATTATTTATTTTTCTACCTGTTTAAATAATTCAATTCTCGTAGAATTTTCTAATAAAAATTTATTTAAAAATAAATTTCAGTTAAAATTTTAGATAATAATTGAATTTTGAAAAAGTTTAATTGAATTTTTGTTGTTGAAATTATTTAAAGTTTTTATTTTCTAAATATTTAATTGAATAATAATTTACGAATAATCAAAATTTCGTAAAATTGTGTTGTAATAAACAAAATGGATTTGAAAATATTCTAGGAACTTTTGCAAAAATTATTAAAAATAATAATTGATAATTGTTCATTTATTTCTTTCAATGAATTTTAATAAAATTTTTGAAATTATTTACATTTTTCGAAGAATTTACTTAAAATTGTATTAAAAATAATTGAAATCCTATGAAGAATTTAATTTGTTATAAAAATGAAGACTTGGAAAACCTGGAAAAGTGAGGGAATTTGAAATAAGTAAAAGCGTGGCAACCCTGAAATTGAATTACAATGAAATGAATTAAAGGGAGAAATGAATGAGAAATTTAACTTGTTTTATTTTTGCCCAAAAACAGAGACGAGACGACGGAAGAAATCCAATGGGTGGTGGAAGAAATGGTCCACGTGGGAATGGATTTGGAGCCGGTGGACGGCCAAATGAATATGGAGGTTGGGACAGACGTCAGGGCGGTGGCGGTGGTCCAATGCAGGATAAGGTTGAAACAACCTTTACAGTACCTTCGACAAAATGTGGAATTATCATTGGAAAAGGTGGAGAGACTATTAAACAAATTAATATGCAAACTGGAGCGCATTGCGAATTAGATCGGCGAAATCAGAGCAATGAAAATGAAAAGATCTTCATCATACGCGGTAATCCAGAGCAAGTTGAACACGCCAAGAGAATATTTAGTGAAAAATTGGGAATGGTGCGTGTTTTTATTAACTAACTTTTTTGTTTTTTCTTCGTTTACTTTTTTCTTTCATTGTTTTTATGTTTTTTTTCACATTTTCATCGTTTTCACTTTTAAAATTGAAATTATATTAAGAAAATTGTTTTTTAGGCTCCGGGTGGACAAGCAGCGCCTTACGGACAGCCAGGACAAGGTGCGCTTGGTTACAATCCAAGTTGGAACGCAAATCCAGGATATCAAGCTTGGCCTAGTCAACCACAACCGAGCGATCCTTGTAAGAAACTTATTTTCTTATTTAAATTATTTTTTACTCTTATTCGACTTAGAAGCATTTTCTTTTCGAATTAATTACAATCATTGAAGTTTATTTATGTCCTAAACTGATTTAATTATTTTATATGTAAAAGAATAAAATCAAATAAAAGAAAAAATGTTGTATATAAAAACTAATTTTTAGCCGCTAATCCAAATCAAGCGCCAGTTCAAGTAAATCCCCAGACTGGACAGCCAGATTACAGTGCACAATGGGCAGAATATTATCGATCATTGGGAATGCATCGGGAAGCAGAGATGATCGAACAACAAGCGAAGCAAGGAAAAACTGATCTTAATTCACAAGGAGGTAAAAAGGGAGAAATTTATTGGTCTTTTTCTTTTTGTTATAAGACGTAGAGAATTTGGTCATTAAATTTTGTTTTTGTTTTTTTATTCAGGGGGAGGAGCGAATCCGCCAAATCCAGCAGCAGCGGCAGGTGCAGGACAAACACAACAGCAACCGCAAGCACAGCCACAAGCACAGCAAAGTGCTGCACAAAATGGAGGACAAGCCGACTATAGTGCACAATGGGCTGAATATTACCGAAGCATTGGAAAAATAAAGGAAGCGGAAGCAATTGAGTCACAAATGAAAGCTGGAAAGGTAGAATTTTCTTCTTGAGCAGTAAATTTTATTGTATTTTTTGTTATTAAAAACACAATGAAGAGGTACAGTTTGCAAATTTTTCAAAATAATTAATTATTTCTTTTTGTATTTAAATAATTAAAATTTAATTCAATTCTGTATTTTCAAAAAATTTTGTTTATATTCTTTATGAGAATTGAAATATTTTCAATGGAATTTTAATTCGATTACTCGAAAAAATTCAATTGTTTTCGAAAATTTTTGTTATAACTCTTTATAAGATTTTAAATATATTTTTCTTAATATTAGGTATTTTAATTAAAATTCTCGTAAGAAATTAATTATTTTCGAAAAGTTTAATAAAATTCTTCGCAGGATTGAAATTATTTTCAGTAAAATTTCAATAAAATTTCTCAAAAGAATTTAATTAATTTAAAAAATTTTAATAAAATTCTTTGCAAAAATTCAAAATTTTTGATGTAATTGTTTATAAAATTCACTTATTTTCATGAATATTTAACTTCTTCACGTAAATTCAATTATTTTTAAAAATTTGATAAAATTCTTGGCGAGAATTCAATTACTTTCAATAGTTTGAAAAATTACTTGATTGAATTAAATTATTTTAAAAAGTTGATGAATATTTAACTTCTTCAGGCAAATACAATTATTTTAAAAAATTTAAATAAAATTCTAGGCGAGTATTTAAAAAAAATTTTGACATAACTCTTTATTAGATTTTAAATATTTTTGATATTATTTTAAATAAAATTCTCGTAAGAATTTAATTATTTTCGAAAACTTTATTATAATTCTTCGCAGGATTTCACTTATTTTCAATTTAATATTTCTCAAAGGAATTCAGTTATTTTTTTAATAACTTGATAAATTTTTCGCAAAAATTCAATTACATATGTATTTTTTTCAATACAATTTTAATTCAATTATTTTCCAAAATTTTAATAAAATTCTTGGTAAAATTTTAATTATTTTCATAATTTTTAAAAAAATGTCTCAGAAATTCAATTATGTATTTTTTTAAAATTGATTTTTTTCAATACAATTTTAATTAAATTCCTCGAAAAAATTCAATTATTTTCGAAAGTTTAATAAAATTCTTAGCAGAAAGTCAATTATTTTGATAAGTAATAAAATTCTTGACAGAAATTTTAAAAGTTTTATTTTTAAATAGATAGAATTGTATATTAGAAAAGTCCTAACTGATAAATAAGAAAATAATTGAATTTGAAAAATATTTAGAATTGAATAAAGAAAGAAATTATTGTTTTCTTCTGTGTTTAATTGTTTCTTTTTTTTTATTAAGATGGGAGTGCAAAATAATCAAATGGCACAACCACAAATGCAACCGGCAATGCAGGCACAACCAGCTGGACCACAAAGCGCAACACCGAATGCATTTCCTCAAGCTTATGGAAATTATCCGGGAATGAATGCCGGCGGTGCGCCTGCTTATTATGGTGGAGCGGCAAATTCCGCGGGTCAACCACAACCAGGACAACAAAATCCGTCTTTCCCAACAGGATATCAAAATTATCCTTATCCACAGCAAAACTCCGAAAACTGAGCGAAAGGCCAATAAAAACATAATAATCACTGTAAGTTTATAATCGAATATTACATTATTTTTTCTTCTTCACAATTTGAGATGATGTACGTCATTTTTTTTCTCTACACTTTATATTTATTTTTTTCCAATTTATATTCTACTCGTGTTTAATTTTGAAATGTTTTTGTACTTTTCTCTCCCGTATTTTTCTACGTATCGAAAATTATATAATAAAAAATATAAATATGAATATTTGTTTGTATTTTTTTTTAATATTTATATCTTTTTATATACGAAATTATGCCCAAATACATATTTGTGTAGATGAAGAAAAAGAACTTTCTACTTTTTTGTATTATGAGGTTAATAAATTTTTTCGATCATTTTTATTTCCTTTTGTTTTCTATCATTTTTGTGAAAATCACATTTGGTATTTTTTTTTTTTCTTTTTGTCAATTGTTAATCCTCAATATTCTTCCCATGGATTGGAATTAATTTTCGGAAAAAAGTGACTTCGAATCATTTTTTTTTCTTTAGAGTTTTAAAAAAAAATTACGCTTTTATTTGTTTTTCAATAAATAAAAAATCTGACACTGAATTTTTTTTCTTTTTATTTTTTCAATGTTTGGAAAAAAGATAATTTTTTTTAATTCAAAAAGGGTTTTCGAATTTACTTTTTATTGATTCAAAAAAAATTTGTTTTTCTTTTTATTCTTTCAATGTTTGGAAAAAAATATTATTTTTTTAGATCATTTTTTAATTCAAAAAGGGTTTTCGAATTTACTTTTTACTAATTCAAAAAATTGATTATTAAAGTATTTATTCATTAAATAGATAAAGAAAGAAAATATCATTTATCCAGATAATTGAATTCTTGTCAGGAATTATATTAAAATTTTTGAAAAGAATTCTGTTATTTATCAAGATAATTGAATTCTTTTCAAGAATCTTATTAAAATTTTTGAAAATAATTGACTTCCTAGCAAAGATATTATCATTTATCCAATCTAGATAATTTAATTCTTGCCAGGAATTATATTAAAATTTTTGAAAATAATTGAATTTCTACTAAGAATTTTATTATTTTCAATGATAATTGAATTATTGTCCAGAAGTTTTTTAAGATCTTAGAAAATAACTGAATTCTTTTAAAAAGAATTTTGTTATATTCAATGATAATTAAATTATTGTCAAGAATCTTATTAAAATTTTTGAAAATAATCAATTTCCTATAATTATTAAAATTCTTTAAAATAATTGAATTCCTGGGAAAAATTTATTATTTATAAAGATAATTGAATTTTTTAAAAATAATTGAATTCCTATCAAGAAATATTTTTGAAAATAATTTAATTCCTGCGAAGAATTTTGTTATTTATCAAGATAATTGAATTCTTTCCAAGAATCTTATTAAAATTTTTGAAAACAATTGATTTCCTGGCAAGAATGAAAATAATTCAATTCTCATAAATAATTTTATCAAAACTTCTCATTGTAATTGAATTTCTGCGAAGAATTTTGTTAAAATTTTTTAAAATAATTCAATTCCAATAATTGATATCTAACTACATAAAAATTTTATCAATAATTTTCGAAAATAAATGAATTTTTTCCTATTCTTATAAAGAATTTAATCAAAATTTTTAAAAATAATTTGAATTTTTGCGAAGAATTTTATCAATATTTTTAAATATAATTGAATTCTTTTGAGAAATTGTTTGTGAAATTCATTTAAAGTTAATTTCTTGCGTAGAATTTTATTATTTATGAAAGTTATTGAATTCTTTTGAATTTTATTCAATTTTTTAAAAGTAATTAGAATTTAAAACTGTTGATTATTGAATTTTATTAATGTTTTTAGAAAATAATTGAATTCCTGAGAAGAATTTTGTTATTTATCAAGATAATTGAATTCTTTCCAAGAATTTATTAAAATTTTTCGTAATCCTTTAAAAAAAATATTTAGTTAGGAAAAAAAGATTTTTTTTTGAATTTAATAAAGTTGTTCGAATTTAATTTTTCGATTTACTTTTTACCGATTTCAAAAATTGGTTATTAAAGTATTTATTTATTAAGTAGATATAGAAAGAAATAATTAGACGAATAATAAAAAATAAATAATAGAAATGAATAAAAACGATAATAGGAAATAAAATCTACGGTTAAATGATAGTATTTCCATAATTACGAATTTCGAATTTAATTTCTCGTACATCATCTCAATTTGTTTTATTCTGCTTATCGAAGTCAATTTAAAAAAAAGTGACACTTATTGTACAGTGAGATTTTTCTTTTTTACTTTTTCTTATATGTTACGAAAATTAAGTATAATTATTGTACTACGTAATTTTTTCAACCATATTTTATACTTATTTTACATAAATTCTTAAACCAAAAATTATTTTAAATTGGCTTTTGAGTCTCGGCGTAACACAAAAAGAAAGGGAAATTTATTTTATTCGATGTCTATTATTCACCTCGTTTCAGGAAAAACTCTATTATTATTATATTAATAGCAATTAACAATAATAATTGTATAATATATTATATAAACATATGTGTGTCTTGAACGATTTTATTCCGTACTATTTTTTAAGTATTATTATTGTAATTATAATAATTGATCGATTATTTCACTCGCAAATATTCTCATACAGCAATGGGTGTCGAAGGGACTTTTTTAAACGAACGCATAGATATTTTTTTTTCATTCAAAATCACGTCTTATTTTTTTTATATGTGAAAATAATCAATTATTTATTTCAGACGATTTACAGATAAGTTTCCAGTTGACAAGCTTTTAAAAAGTCTGCAGAAAATCCATCTTCGTAAAAAAAAAAAAATGTTTCCATTAAAATGCAGTTTATTGGCCGCTTTATACATATATTAAAACAAAAACAAAGCAAAAAAAATTACGACTCTGAAAGAAAAAAAGAATATTCACCGATATTACCGAAAAACAAAAAATATTGTCTTTATTTATAGAAAAAAAAGTTTGCTTTTTTTACTGTAGGAATCTTGATTAATATTCTAATATCTCTAATTATATAAGAAAATACCCTGAAATATCGAAATTCATGAAAATTCATAAAATTCATAGCGTTTGACTAATATAATTAGCTATATGCATTATTATATATCCGTCTGTTTTCCATGTTGACTTATTATCATAATATAATATGTACTTCTTGAATTCCATGATAATAATTAGTCACTATATAGATAAATTGAAATTAGCAGGTGACGATTGCAGCTGATTGAGGAAGAAGGCGGAAATACGTCGAAAATAGTGCTCCATTCCCTTATTTTACACTCTCTCTCTCTCTCTCTCTCTCTCTCTCTCCACCCCTTGAATTAAAAATATTTGCACTTGAAAAATATAGTACGAAATAATATACAATTTAAAAAAAACGAACAAATACAATATTTTTCTTCCCATTTTTGAAAGAAAACATTTTTTTTTCCTAGATAAAGAAAATTTATTTCTTCATTTATTTTTGTTTTATAAACCAAAAAATTTGGTAAAAAAATACTGAAAAGGATGAAAAGTTTGTCTTTAATTGAAATTGAAATATTTGTAATTTCAGTAAAAGGACATTTTTTACTTAAGCAGGGTATTTTAATCAAGAGTTGCATTAGAATACATGTCAATAAAGTCAGTAAAGTCAGGGAAATAAAATTTTTGTCAGTAAAGTCAGAGGAATGTCAAGAAAAAATTTTTTTTAATGGAAATTAAGAAAATTGAGACTTTTTTCGACTTATTTTCAAAAATTACGACTTTTCGACTTTTCTTCCAAACATTGCAACAAAATACCCCAATTTTTAGTAAAAAAAAAAGTGCAACTTATTTTAATTTTTATAATGCGAAAAATAACTATAAACAAATCTTTCAAAAATTGTTCTTGAATCACTTTTTAACATACATAATTAAATTTTTCAAATATAGGTATCTATAATAAAAAATTTTTTTAATACTTGAAATTTTGTAAAATTTAATTGAAAATAATTAATTTAATTCAAGTATTTTGTTACAATTTTTGAAAATCAACTTTTGAAGAATTTTAATTGCAAATTTTAGAAATAATTGAATTCTCAAAAATTTTAATGAAAAATCTTTAAAGATAAATTTAAAAATGAAAATTATCTTCCAATTTTTTAAAATTCAATATTTTTAATATTTTCAATTACATATTTCCAAGAATTCAAATACATACAAAAATAATAACATTTTATAATTATTTTTAACATTTTGGATAAAACAATCATATTCAAAATTTTTAATTAAAATTCATCAAAAAATTAATTACTTTTTTTAAATTATACAAAAATTCTTTTAAGAAATTCAATTATTTTCGAAAAATTGCATTAAAATATTGTAAAAACTAATTCTTCAAAAATTTGATCATTTTTATTTATATTTTTCAAAAATTCAATTATTTTTAAAAGGTTTTACTAAATTTTAATTGTTTGGAAATTTTTCAAAATTGAAAAACTAGAGTTACAATTATTAAAAAAAATTTAATTTTTTGTATTTAAATAATTGAATTCTAGAAGAACTTTTGGAAAATTATTTAAATTAATTGATTCAGAGATGAAGTTTAGTTGAAAATTGTAGATAATAATTGAATTCAGGAAGGGTTATATTGTAATTGTTAGAAATTATTAACATTCATAAATTTTACTTGTTTTCTGTAAACATTCATATTTTCCTATAAAAAGAATTTTGTCAGGGAAAGTAATTTTAATGTCAGTAAATTGTCAGGGAAATTGATAAACTAAAACTTGTGACCACCCAGTTAAGATTTTAAGGGAGGGGAAATTATCTTTAAAATTGAAATTAGAATTTTAGTTTCAATTCAATTTGGATTCAATTTCTTTTTTTTCAATTGGTTTTTTTTTCTAATTCGGAATAATTATTTGTTTTTAAGTTTAGAATATTATTATTGAATTTACCTTGAGAAAAATTTAACTGAAATATATATATATATATATATCTAGTTTCAGATTTGAGACTTTTTTCGGTTTATAAATATAATTTTTGATATATTTTTCCTGTATTTTTTGAGTTTAAAAGATTTTGTACTTTTGTAGGCGAAAATAGATTTAAAAAAAGGAGAAGAAAATTTTTTTTTGTTTTTCTTTAAATTTAATAAAATTTCTTTTTTTTTCTTTTTTAAAACTTATTTTTGCTATTTTATTTTTGACCATTTTCTCACAGTCAATTATATAGAAAATAAAATATAGGTTATAATAATAATTTGTTCTCACTAATTGTGGGGAAATAATTTTCAAATTTTTCTAATTACAAAATATTTGCTTGCTTAATTTATTTAGAATATAAGACATTAATGTATTCGAATATGAATTGTCTAATTCATAACTCGTTACTTATTTACTTAGATAATATATATATATATATGTATATATATAAGCTCGGCTCGAGCTCGAACTGAATAGGCTCGGCTCGGCTCGGCTCGAAAAATGAAAAGCTCGAAAATACCCGCTCGAGCTTCGGGTTTCGAGCTTTTTGCACACCTCTAATATATATATATATATATATGAAAATTAATACAGACGTATGATATTATTATTTACTATTGTTATTATTATTTTTATTATCATCATCATTCTTCTTATTATTATTATTATTATTATTATTATTATTATTATTATTATTATTATTATTATTATTATAAAATTAAAAATGATTTTTCAATAATATTATTTCTCGTCGACGATGGAAAAGAAAAAAAAAATTATTTTAGATGCGGAAGCAGCCAATGTCTCAAGTGTGGTGTATAAAATGATTTTCTTTTTTGTATACATTCTCACCAATTAATGAGAAGGTATTTTTGTTTTTTTTTCGTTTTGTTTTCTGCTTCTTATTCTTTTTTTAATAATGAAAATTACAGGAACCATCTTGACGAAACAGGAGCGAGGAAATTATTGTAAATCTTTTTAATTTGTTTGTTGAAAGAGAATTTTTTTTCACACATTATTTTGTAATAAAAATCGTTGCAATAAATTCAATTCAATTCAATAATTAATATTTAATTTTTAAAAAAAAATTTTTTATTAGATATTTTTAAATTTATAACTATTAGTTATATTAACATTTATAAAGTTTGTTAACATTAATTTCATTAACATTAATAAAATATTTATCAACACAGTATTTATAAATTAATAATAATAAATAATCTACATTAATAATCGTTGTATTCCGGTAATCTGTTCGCAGTTTAAAGTTACTTGTTTCTGTTTGCTTTTTTATTTCTCAACTTTTTTAAAAATAATTTTTCTTTTTGAATGTTTTCAATTTTGAAATTAAATTGTTGAAAATCATTGAATTATTGCAAAGAATTTTATCAAAAAATTTGCAAATAATTCAATTTCTTCGAAGAATTTTCTTATTTATGAAAAGAATTCAATTACATACATATCAAAAATAATTTTATCAAAATTTTGCAAAATAATTGAATTTTTGCGAAGAATTTTAATAAAATTCTTTAGAATAATTGAATTCATGAGAAAAATTTTATTAATTATGAAAATAATTCGATTCTCATAAACAATTTTATCAATATTTTTCAATATAATTGAATTTTTGCGAAGAATTTTATTAAAATTCTTTAAAATAATTGAATTCCGGCTAAAAATTTTATAAATTATAAAAATAATTGAAATTTTGCTAAGAATTTAATTAAAATTTTCGAAAATAGTATTTTTTCGAGGAATTTAATTAGAATTTTTTTAAAAATATTTAAATTCTCATTAATAATTTTATCAAAATTTTTCAATGTAGGTACATAATTGAATTTCAGCGAAGAATTTTATTTATTTATTTTACAAATTTACGGACAGTGTCCTTTCGTATAGAAGAATTTTATTAAAATTGTTTAAAATAATTCAATTCTGGATAAAAATTTTATAAATTATGAAAATAATTGAAATTTTGCTAAGAATTTTATTAAAAATTTTGAAAATAATAAACAATAATAATTAATTATGTACTTGAGTGAATTTTTTAAATTTTCAATCTGAAGTGAAAAAAATTGAAATTTATACCTATTTAAAAATAAATAATTTAATTAATTAACTATAGGTATAATTTTTATAGGTATAATTTTTAATTTTATCATGAATTTTTGTCTTTTTTTTTACTTTTTATTTATTAATATTTTTATTATATAATTGTGAAGGAATATTAACTTTCCAGGTGATTGGGCAAAAAATGGTTTTATTATATTTATTTTTAATATAGGTACCTATAAACAATTTTAATAATGTGAATTTTGGTATAATAAGGGGTCGTCCATATACCACGTGGACACTTTTTAGACACTTTTTGACCCCCCCCCCCCTCCCCCCTCGTGGACAATCGTGGATTTTTGACGAACCCCTCCCCCCCTGATTGTCCACGTGGACAATCGGGTTTTTTATTTTAAAATAGTGAATAATAAAAAGATATTTAATAAGAAATACAATTAAAAAATTCTTTAAATTTTTTTATAACAAACTTCTTTAAAATTCAATAAAGATTAAATTATCTTAAAATATTATTAAATAGGTAAATACCATTTTTAGTATTATAGAGAGGACTTTGGCAGAAATATATCTTCAATTATTATATTAGTAGAAATACTTAATCTCTTCGGTAACAAATCTTAAAGTTTCTAAAATCCAATAGCTTTAAGCCTTCACATAAACAATAATAGAAATTATTTTTTTTAGAATTTGTAAGAGTTTGTAGAGGTTGCTTTGTATTCCTAATTGTCAAATTTGCATATACATATATTCATATTTGTGCATTTACGATAATGCATGATTTTGTAATATAAATTAAAAAAGAATTTGGCGTTTTTTTGACAGTTAAATAAATTTCGGATTACAAATATTGTCTGATCACAATCTAATAATAATCTAATAATAAAGTTGAATAAAAAGAAAAAAAAGATATAAAATTAAACTTTTGTGTCCACGTGGACATTTGTATTGACCCCCCCCCCCCTCCCCCCTAAACTGTCCACGTGGTATATGGACGACCCCTAATGAGAAATATAATGCAACATTTTATTTTTCTCTATAGGCTCTAAATACGTCAATATGAAAATAAATTATAGCCAATTTACGAAAAATTTTTGTAAAAAGAACTTCTGAAATATGGTCAAACATATTAATAATAAACATATATATATATATATATATTTATAATAGGATCTAATTTAAATTACACACCATTTGTTTCCAACGTTTCCAATTTCAAGAAAATTGTACAAAAAATGTTTGCAGGCACGAATTTTTATTTCTCTTTATTCTTTTTATTTCCCATATCAAATAATCATTAATGTATAAAATATTCTTCTCGTTTTATATACATAAGTATAAATATAATATATAGAATTAAGTGAACAAAAAAAATCCACCTTAAAGAACGTAATTTATGTGTAGGTATAATTTTTGTTTTCATTATAGGCTGATTATATTATTATTACAACAAAATATCTACACAATGAGAAAATTTATTTAACAAAATGTATATTATAAAATTTATTTCTTTTAAAGCGATTTAATAATTCTGAGACGAAATTTTTTAATCTAAAATTCGAAATGTCATCTCCCATCGACGATTTATAAAGTTTTTGTTATAAATATCATTACAGGAAAAAGGCCAGTAACAGAGTCAGAGATCTTGTCACTGGATGATGCAAAGGAAGAGCAGATCTTCAGTATTACAAATATTTCACACAAAAGAAATGAAGCTCTGTTTCAATACAATTTTCAGCTCAAAGTCAATCCAATTCTTAAGACCGTTTAGATTATAAGAAAATGTCTCTGAATTCATTAAAAAAAAACATAGTCAATAAGCGAAAACTATCGGATTGTGTGCGAAACGATTTTTTATTCATATTTTTTAGAAATATTTTTACTGTCAATATAGATGGACAATTTTGTTTTTTTTGTCAAGTTTCGAATAAATTTTTTTGATGCATACAATCCTCTAGTTTTTATTTCCTGAAAATTAAGTAAAAAAAAAATGTAAGCGTTTCAAAAAAGAAATAATTTTCGTCAATCAATTTCTAATGCGCATTTTTTTCCGAATGTAAACGAGCCTATTGTAATATTTTTCTCTCTCTTTTTTGCTATACTTATTATCATTGTTAACGAATTTGTATCTTCTTTTACTTATTTACAAGTCAGCCATAATTGTGGAGTTTACTCCCAAAACAAACAAAAAAAATATAATAAATATTTAATTCTCGACGGTAATCAATTCGTTCCTTAAGGTGATATATAATTTTTATACGCAAGCTTCCTTCTTTTCGAAAATAGTAATACCAAATTATGGTGAATTTATAGAAAATATTTCATGATTTGGACGAAATCAAATTAAGTGTTCGGAAATAATTTTTATATTATTCTTTCGAAAATTATCAAGAATATCTTCCCAAATCATTAATATTGTGTAGTATTTTTTCATTCTTCTTTCATTTTTGACAATTGTACAATGTGCAGCATTTGCTTCGATAAAATAATACTCAGTTTGAGATCGTAAATACATTATTAAAAAGTTATTTATGAGTTTTTTTGATTGGTTTCAAATTACATAATCAATTCCTTATCAACGACTGTTTTAATTATATTTAAACCAGAAAATTAGGAAAAAAAACTTTAAAATAGATTTTAATTTTAAATGTACATTTAAAATTTTACTATACATTAAAATTTAATTAAGAATTAATTAGAATTTAATTAAACTTTAATTAAAAATTATTTAAATTTGAAATTGTCAAAATCTACTATTTTAATAAAATTTCTCAACAAAATTCAATTATTTAAGAAAATGTAATAAATTTCAATTAAAAAAATTTTACATTAACGATAAATATATTTCATTTTTAAATCATTTTTAATACAATTTAACATTTATAAAATAAAGTTCTTTCGTCTTAATAGAAAGAATAAAATTTTCTTATACAGTAATATAATAAATCTAAATAAACAAAAAAATTTTTAGTAAAATAGTGAATTTTTCAACTTTAATTGTAATTAATTCTATAATTTTCAATAGAATATATACATCAATCGATTCGTCTTGATGCAAAGAATAAGATTTTTGATTTATTTTTCAATAAATAATAACATTTTATTGTACAGCAACATGATTTTTAAGAAAAAATGAATTTTTATTAAAAGTGCAAATTTTTTGTCTATAATTGGTTTTAATTCTATAAATTTAAATACAATATATACTTTATATACACCAATCGATCCGTCTTGGTGCAAAGAATAAGATTTTATAAATAAATGAGTAAGATTTTCTTATACGGCAACATAATTTTGCAGAAAGAACTCATTTTTTGATAAAAATGCAAATTTTTCAGCTTTAATTGTGAATAACTCTATAAATTCTTATACAATTTATACTTTTTATATATCAATCTATTCGTCTTGATGCAAAGAATAAGATTTTATTATATATTAACTTCAATAACCAACTTAAAAAAATTTTTTTAGAAAAAAGTCAAAAAAAAATTTTTTTCTGAGAATTTTTTAAAGTCTATCAATCCATTTCGAGATATTTTTATGATAAATATACCTGGTAAAATTGAATTAATTTTGAAATATTTAAGTGAAATTAGATTTCAAGAATAAACACAATAACTTTATTTAAAAAAAAACAATTTTCCAGGATTTTGATCAAAATTCTCTGACTTTTCCAGGTTTTCAGGTTGCATAGCAACCCTGTATTAAAATTCATTAAGAAAGAAAATTATAATTACTTACATTTTCCCTCCAGATAATTTTGTTGATTTTTATTTTTAAAACTATATTATGTTTTCAGGGCTTTCGGTGAAAAATTGAGAAACATTTCTAGTGTTTAAAAATAATTTTATATAATCCTTTCGAGATTACAAAGTGAACTATACCCAAATCCTTCCCTATTTTTTTTTTTTTTTTTAACTTTTTCTTTTTGGTTTTAACATTGTACAATGTGCAGCATTTGCTTCAATGAATAATACTCAGTTTGAGATCATAAATACATTATTAATTATTATTAATTAAATTATTAAATTTCATACACATTTCATTAGTTTCAATATAACTGAAATCAATTCCTATTTGCGTTTAGTAATAATGTACGTTCGCCTTCTTTAATTTGTTTTAATTCTTTTTCATTCAATAATGACGAAAAAAGATTTAAATTTAATTTTTCAGTTTTCAAATAATTAAATTAGTTGAATTAATTGAAATTGAAAACTAATTGAATTAGTAAAAATTTCTCTACTACAAATTATTGTTAGTTATAAATATGTAATATTTGGAAAAACTACTAATTTTGTGACTTTAAAAATCAGTAAATTAAGTACTTTAGTAATAAAAATTGAAAAAAAATAAAATAAGAGATAAAGTTAATTGACAACGTTAAGAAATTTACAATAAACTTGACAATTATCATTAATTTTCATTCAACGTAAAATGTTGAATTCGCACAATAAAGCACTTGATTATTATTTCGTATATATAACAAAGCACCTTTTTTTTCAACAAATTGACAATTATACTAGAATATTAAAAATATTTGACGTGATTCACAGCTTTCTTTTCTTTTTTCGAGAATTAAATTGCGCCATGGAAGCACAAATGCTTCTAAATTGAAATTAGCTTTTCTAAACTGAAAAAACTAGTTTTATCAAAAAAAAAACCAGTTTTATCAAATAAAACTAGTATCAAAAAACTTATTGACAAAAAGCGTAATTCAAATCGATTTCTCAATAGAAAGATATTTAAACTTTAAAGAAATTTTCTTAGCATAAGTTTCATCACATTCATTCACAAACACCATAAATTGCAATATGCAAGCTCGATTCTTTAAATAATTCATTTTGACAAAAAAAAAAAAAAATCTAAATTGACTTGACGACGAATTATTTAATAAAAAGAGAAAAAAGAAAAAACTCAATTCACATTGGAGGACCGTAAATATTATTAAGTTGTTGTGTGCAACGAATAAAAGTTGCACGACGAGGTAATTCCCGAAGTCTCTCGGCTCCCGTGTAAGTACAAGCTGAACGTAAACCGCCCAACATATCTAATACTGTATTCTCGACTGCTCCTCGGTAAGGAATCTCCACTGTTTTTCCCTCCGAGGATCTGAAATTTCATTATTTTAAATTTAATTCGAACAAATCATTTAAATTTATCCAAAATGATTATGCAAATTTAAAAAGTAATTCATTATTTTACTTATTTATATAAAATTTGTTTTCAAATAAAAATAGTAATAATAATAATAATAATAATAATAATAAAAAATTTAGAAAAGAATAACAAATAAATAAAGATAGAATTTGTTTTTCTTACCTGTAATCAGCAACACCACCGGCGTGTTTCCTCATTGCGGTATTTGATGCCATTCCGTAAAAAAGTTTAATTTTTTCTCCATTTTTTTCTATTATTTCGCCACCACATTCGTCGTGTCCAGCGAACATACCACCAGCCATGACAAAATCGGCTCCGGCTCCAAAAGCTTTGGCTAAATCACCCGGACATATGCAGCCTCCATCCTTAAAAAAAATCAAACGAATATTATTCACTTTTTCTAAAATTGAAAGTAAACAAAAAAAAATTTAATGTAATTTTTCGACTTAATCACTCGATAGTTTTATTTACTCCGAGTCGAATTGACTCAAAGTGATCGTTAATCTCAAAGTTTTATTTACACAAAAAAAAATTACCCCGAACATTTAATGATCAATTATTTTTGTATAATAATAACAATCAGAATTTATTCACAATATAAACGATCTTACATAGGAGAAAAATAAATAAAATTAATGTATTTAAATAAAAAAATTTCAAAACATTCTATTCTAAAATTAAAAAGTATTTTTGATTTTTAAACTAAAAGAAATAATTCAATTACTAAAATGAATAGAATAAAAAAAATTTTATTTAAACAAAATTGCATTAGCAAAGATTTCAAAAAAAATTCTTTTATTGCGAAAATTCTTTTCGCAATAAAAATGTGTCAATGAATCATATTTGATAAGATTGGAAAAAAATAAATAAAAAAATATGTATTTTCTGATTATTAATACAAGATCTTTATAAATATTCTGATTCAATATTGTAGAAAAATTACTTGAATGTCCCTCAAGTTTTTTTCCAATACGATAATTTAAGGTACAACTACAATTTAGAAGGCTCTTAAAAGACCAAATTAAAAAATTTTTTTTCTTAGGTCTTTTATTATAAATATTTAAAAAACTTTTTTGCCTATATTAGTTCATATTTGGAGACTAAAAATAATGGTTTGTTTTTAATTTTTATTTAATATCATAATCTGCAGACAGCATTCAGATCGAAACTCCAAAAAGTTAATTGTCCAATTGCGGACAGTTTATCTCAAGATTGACAAATCGGAAACAAAAAATCCAAATTGCTTTTTAAAAAGGAAGGTTTCTTGCATAGAAATCCACCACCAATAATGAAAAATCAACTAAATTAAAAACCCCACCAACCCCTTAAAGACTTACTTAATTTGTCAATGACTTTTTACATTAATTGAATATTTTTTGAAAAATTTACTTTTATTTTTTACAATTGGTTATAGGGTCATTTGGGGTAAATGTAAACAAGGGGTAAATGTAAACAGTAGATGTTTCAGCTAAATTTACAAATTTAAAAATAAGTACGACGTCAATATTTTTACCTCAGCTCACCTACAAGATGTTCTGAGAATTGACAATATTTTATTTTGACAATTGGCAATGCCATAGTGTAAGTTATCTTTTAATGCAAAAAAGATTGAAAATCAAAGTTTTACTGTTTCAGTATTTTGTCTCGCATTTGCATAAAAATAAATTTAAAAATCAAACAAAAATATGTCATTCTTCCTTATTAATGCCCTAACAAAAATTGACTTTGATTTTTGATTTTCGTCAATTTACCTAAAAAATAATTAAGTGTTTACATTTACCCTGAGAATTAGAAAACTCGGGGTAAATGTAAACAGAACTTGAACTACATTTTAAAAGAAAAAAATTGAATAAATTTGCTTCTATTTCACAATTTCATTAATTTGTCAATGTAAAATTACATAGATAAGGAAATTAGGTCCTCTTTGAAAAAAAAAATTTGATAAAAAAAAAAAAATTTTTTTTTGAAAATTTGATCAATTTTTAAAAATATTTTTAGGTTCATCTGCCATTTTGAAAAATTAAAATTTGACTTCAAATTCGTATTCAGCGACCTCAAAAACCCCCCAGTAGCCAGATTCAAGCAAATTTGATCAACTTTTAAAAATATTATTTTTAGGTTCATCCGACATATTGGATCCACCATTTTGAAATTTAAAAATTCGATTTTAGATTCTTATTCAGCAACCTTAAAAACTTCTTTTTACCAAGTTGAATGAAAATCTATTAAAATTTGTTCAAGTTATTCAAGTTTTTACATTACTAATTTTGTAATGGTTGATTGTTTATTTATATGATACATTATCTGTCAACTGGTTGATTTACTATACATCTACGAAGAATTTTTTTTCAGTTTTTCCATCCCTTAAAATAGTAGTATACTTGAAAAAACTTTTTTCTTAAACCTCGCTTAACTACAGTGGTGTTTACATTTACCCCGAATTTTAGGAAAATTTCAAAATCTCGGGGTAAATGTAAACAGTCAGTTTTAGGCGATTCAGGTGCATCAATATTTTTTTGAACCTCATCAAATTTTTCTAGGGAACTCTAGTAACAAGTTGATGCAAAAAAAATCCGTCCGTTTTACCTTTTAACAAAAAAAACTAATGTTTTTGGTGAAAAATAGATATTCCGTTTACATTTACCCCAATTGACCCTAAATACTTGAGGAGGTGTTTTCTGAAGTCACAAGGAGTTAAAAAATACAATAAAAAAAAAAATAAAAATTTTTAAATTCTAAAGTGTAGTAAGTACCTTAAATATTGAAAAAAAATAAAAGAAAATGATAAAAACAAATTTAAGAAATGCAATTTACAAAAAATTATAAAGCTTAAACTTTTAAATTCTACAAAATTAAATAAAATAATTATAATAATTTTAATATATTATTTTGCTTTTTGTTTCTTAATTCTTTTGATAATTTTTCTTTTTAATGTTTCAAATTTTTAAATCAATGCCATTCTAATTTAATGCTTTTAAGATTAAATAAATATGAAAAGTTAATTAAATCAAATTGTTGTCAATTAAAAATAATTCACAACATCTATTATTTCTCATTTATTTCTTTTATAGTTTTGAATCTGAAACAAATGAATTCTTATAAACAGGGTGTCTAGCGAACCGGGAATCCGGGAAAAAACCGGTAAAACCCCGGGAATTTTATATTTCTAATTTGTTAGACACCCTGTATAAAGAATTTTATTGAAATTTTCCAAAATAATAAAATTATTGCGAAGAATTTCATTAAAATTCTTTAAAATAATTGAATTCCTGCGCAAAACTTTATTATTTATGAAAATAATTGAATTTTGATATTTATGATGATAATTGAATTCTTTTTAAGAATCTTATTAAAATTTTTAAAAATAATTGATTTCCTGTAAAGAGTATTATTATTTCATTGCTAAAAAAATAATTGAATTTCTGCAAAGAATTTTACTATTTTCGAAAATAATTAAAATTTCTACGAAGAATTTTATTAATTATGAAAAAAATTCAATTCTCGTAAATAATTTTATCAAAATATTCCAAAGTATTTGAATTTCTCCGATGAATTTTATTTAAATTCTTTAAAATAATTAGTAAATTAGTTAATAATTGAATTTTTTTTCATTTTTAATTTGAAATTAATATTTGAATTTTACAATAAATTAATAATAATATTAATAACAATTTATAAAAACAGTAATAAAAAAGCAAAATAATTTTTTAGTTGAATAATGAATAGAAATTGAAAAGTCAAGGTTTTTTTAATAAAAGCTAAAAATGCTATTAATTTAAAAGCATTTAAACTAATGGAAGTTAATGATCGGAATTTTTTTTTATTTCTGTTTATCAAACTTCCACTACCTATACAGGAATTTTATCAAATTTTATGAAAACTATAATTTAAATGTCATTAAAGTTTTTAATTTTGCCAGAATTTAAAAATAGCTTTCAATTTCAGAATGTAATTATTAAACAATTCTAATATTAATTAAAAAAATATGTATATATGATAAGAAGAATATTTTTAACTATATTTTTTCTGTCTTTACGATTAAAGATAAAAAAAAATAACATGGATTGATTTTTGTTTATTTTATTTTCAATAAAAAAAAATAGAAAAAGGAAAATTAAAGGAGAAATAAAACTTACAGAAATAATGTGACCTTTCAATCCATGAGCAGCATCAGCACATTCAATTACAGCACTTAATTGTGGATATCCAACGCCAGTTTTCATTCGTGTCGTGCAAACTGATCCAGGACCAATTCCAACCTTAATTACATCTGCTCCTGAGAGAATTAATTCTTCTACCATTTCTCCAGTGACGACGTTTCCTGCCTAAGAAAAGAATTGTAAAAGAAATTAATTTTCTCTTTAATTTTATTCTTATTTTATTATATTTATTATATTCTTACTATTATCGTGTGATTAGGAAATTTCGCCCTTATTTTCTTCACGTATTCGACAAAATGTTGTGAATATCCATTAGCGACGTCGATGCAAATAAATGAAATTGCTGGCACTGCATCCAAAACACTAGTCAAACGATCGAAATCTTCATTACCAATTCCTGAACTAGCGGCAGTATATTTAATACAATCGGGATGTTTATCGGCAAATTCTTTCCACTCTTCTCCAGTGTAATATTTATGTAAAGTCGTGAAGAGTCCGTGCTGGAAAAGAAAATTAAAATCAATTTAATGACTCAAATTCTCTTTTTTGTAATTTATTCAATTTTAAAGAATTCTTTTCGAGTTGAACGAAAAAATATTTTTTTTCTTAATTTTCCAATTATACCTTTGCCAAAACTTTGGCCATTTCGAAAGTTCCGACTGTGTCCATATTCGATGCCATCAACGGAATTCCCTTGTACGTTTGTTTCGAATTTCGAAACGTAATTTCTCTGAACAAATCCACCTGCACAAAAAATATTCATGAAATTCCATTTCTAAACACAATTTCATTGGCAAATACTTATACATAATATTTCGAAAACAATTCATTTTCCATGAAATTTTGTTTATTTCGTTTCTAGAGATATTATTTTAAAAATAATTTCATTAAAAAAAGAAAGAAATTTTGTAATTTTCCATGAAATTTTATTTACTTTGTTTCGAGACTCGATATAATATTAAATAATAATTTTATTTATATCTGTGAAAAAAATAATTGCATTAAAAAAAGAAAGAAATTATGCAATCTTGTAAATTTATTCCATTTGCTTTCATTAATAATAATCAGAAAAAAGTACTTTGTTTCAGATTTTTATCTTATCGATCATACAAATTAAGAACCTTGAAAGTGAAATAGCTGAAGGATATTTTTAGACAGTGCACTAAATAAAAGTCAAGTGCACGTAAATTGAACACAATACTTCCTGTTTATATTGTTTAATTAATAAATTATTATTTATTATAAACATTAGAAATTATAAATTAGAAATTCATTAGAAATATAATTTTCCTTAAATAATTAAATTCCAAAAATTTTCAATTTTTTTTTAATTTTTCAAGATTTATTACCAAAAATAGATTTTTTACTAAAAAAATGTTCACTTTTAAAAATAATAGATTTAATATCCTTTTTTCTATTATAAAATTATTAAATAACGAAATTAAAATCCAAAGTTAAAAAAAGAATTTGAAATTATTTCATTTCTTCCTGGAAAGTATTTTTAGATAAGGAACAAAAATAGTTTTCAGTTATTGATTATAAGTACATTAATACGAATATTTTAAGTGAAATTCCGAAATAAGGATCAAATAAGTATTCGTTACGATAAATAAAAATCTATTAAAGTCAATTTCAATTCTAAGGAACGTTTTCCAAACTACTTTAAACTTCTTTTAATTCAAGATTAAAAAATAAAAAGAGGAAAAATATTTCGTACAAGAAAAAAATTATAGAATAATTAGTAAAATCTTCTTCTTCTTCTTTTGTTTTAATGGCCTCTTGTATAGACAAATAGCCAGTACTAATTTGTAAAATCAAAAAGAATAAAATTACTCACATCGGATCTGCTTTTTAATGTACTTCTTTTAGGGCGAAGTAACACGTCCTTAAAATCTAACTTAATATCATTTATAATGTTAGGCATTTTTTTCCGGTTATTATTCTACTCAGTCAACTTCTTCTTTTGAACAACTGAAGACTAAACAAAAATTTTTTTTTTTTTTGTTATAAAGTGCGGAAGTCTTGAGTCTTTTCAAGGGGGGTTTTTTTATCTTTAATCACAAATTTTGTCTGCTATCGATGCGCGCGACGAAAAAGTGAAAACACGTGAATTATCATTTTATACTTTTTTTATCTCGAATCACTTTTTTCTACTTTTCTTGTGTGAATGAAAGAAAAGAAGTCGATCAGCTATTAGATTTTATTAATTAACATTTAATTTTTAATTAACATTACTAGGCACTACTTTTATTTTATGAATTTATAAATATAAATGTAAAGCATGAGGTTAAATTTAGAAATCTGAAATGTTCAGTATTGCCAACTTTGGAAAAATTGGGAGAAGTATTTAAAGCTCGATTCCCACGTTAGCAAAACTGGGTTAAAGGTCGATCCACAATTTGGATTTCGGAAAACATTTCCCTTTTCGTCAAAATTCGTCTGCTCAATTATTGCATACACGATGCATTTGAAAATTTTTTTGTGTTCCGAATTTCGTTTATTTATTTGAAATCAATTAATGGCCGATAAGTATTTGTTGATATTTGATTAATGAATGTGTCAACTTGTCGGTGAATTGTTAAACTTGTCAGGAAAAACTAACGGTTAGGTTATAAAGAAAGTAGGTAATTACTATGTTCATGCTGCTTTAGTATAATAGTGATTATCTTGTAATTTTTCGATTAAATAATAATTATATAAATAATTTTCAGTATAAAGACAATGTTGCAATTTAGTGGGATTTTTATTAATTTATCAGTTAGACATAATACCAGATTGCCTTTGTGGTGTGCAACTCAAACAGTGACAGCTTACTCAACAATTTCTAACCCCCAAGTGGAACAACTTGACGAGAAATCAAAAATATCGTCCGATGAAGTAAATTTCAAATAATATTAATATTTTCATTCTCCTGTCTTTCTTCTTTTTTAAGTATAAGTATATATCAAAACGAATCAAAAATATTTTCCTTCCGTTTTGAACAATAATAATTTCATAAACATATTTTTAGAGGTTAAGTTTATTCGTACTTTCGTATTTTTCAAAGTGTTTTATAATTAAATTTCTCTTAACTTTATAATATTTTGTGTAGAATAAGAAGAAAATTCCTTCCGAAACGAATAAGAGGAAAACATTTGAAAAGAAAAATGTGAAAATATCCGATTTAAATGTATCGAAATATTTTACGAAAATTGAAGAAAATGAAGTTGAAAAATTATTATCAACAGTTAATATGTCATCATTAAATTCGGAATTTTCGTTAAAAATAATATCACAACTTTCAATACTTGTGAAATCGGGTAAAGCAAAAGTTGCCGATTTTGAATCAGATACAAGGTATAAAAGTTTATGTCAATATTTATTTGTTAATTCATCGCAAGAAGTGAAAAATTCTGACATACAAGTGAAAACGCAAAACTTTCGTAATAAAAATTTAGGATTTTTATTCGACATTAATGAAATACATAACATGATTGAAAAACCAGATCTTTCAATTCAAGAATCCGTACAGGTTGGTTTCATTTTTTTAATTCTTTTTGGAAATTCTACATTATTTTGAAAATTATGTAATTGAAAATAGTAAAAATTGTGTAGTTTTCTATTTTTTTATTTAAGATAAATATTTAATTAATTTTCTCTCTTTTTTTCTTTCTAGATTCTGACAAAATTGGGTCTCTTCAAATCGAGAATTATGCCAGTTTTGCAAGCACTAACAGAACGGATAGTTAATAGTAATGAATCAATGCATATTAAATGTGCATCGGATATTTTGTATAATATGTCTATTTTAAATTTTTATGATGAGGTAACTATAAATTATGATCATTTTTATTATCTACTATTAGGTATTATGCAAAATTAAAATCAATTTTTTCTTTTCAAATATTAATTTCAATTTAGAAATAAATTCAGATACAAAATTAAAATAAAAATCAATTAGGTATCTTCATAAATATCAAAATTCTTTTAAAAAATTCAATTATTTTTGAAAGTTTTAGTAAAATTCTTAGCAAGATTACAATTATTTTTATAACTTATAAATTTTTTTTACAGGAATTGAATTATTTTAAATAATTTTAATGAAATTTAAAGCAAAAAATTTTTTATTTTGAAAATTTGCAATAAAATTCTTTATAAGAAAAAAATTAATTAAATTCTTAGAAAACATTCAATTATTTTCCTAAATAATAAAATTCGTTGCTCCTGCAATTCAATAATTTTAAGAAAGTTTGATTAAAATTATTTATGAGAATTGAATTATTTTCATATTTAATAAAATTCTTTACAGAAAATTTAATTACTTTAAAGAATAATTCAATGATTTTTGAAAATATGTAGTAAAATTCTTCGCAAAAATTCAATTATTTTCAAAAATTGCAAAAATTTCAAAAAAATTTTTCCAAAGAATTCAATTATTTTGATAAATAATAATATTCTTGCCAGGAAATCAATTATTTTTAAAAATTTTAATAATAATAATCAATAATCTTGATAAATAACAAAATTCAATTATTTTCAAAAATTTTAATAAAATTTCTGTTAAAAATTCAATTATCTTCATAAATAATAAAGTTTTGCGCAGAAATTCAAGTTATTTTAAAGAATTTTGGTAAAATTCTGTATAAGAATTCACTTATTTTTTATACAATTTCAATAAAATTCTTACCAAGATTTCAATTATTTTCACAACTTTCACGTTTTTTCGAAAAATTGAGTTATTTAAAAAAATGTTAATTATAGCATTCTTCACAAGAAATTTAATTATTTTGAAATACATTTCTTTATTAGAATTCAATTAATTGAAATTGAAAATTATAAAAGAAATAATATAATAGAAATATTTTTAATTGCCAACAATTTGGTTTGATTATTTTTTCGTATTTTTTATCTTCAAAGCATTAAATTAGAATTTTATTAATTTTAAAATTCAAACAAAGGGAAAAATTATCAAAAGAAATTAGGAAGCAAAAAAGCAAACAAAAACAACTTAAATTAAACTACGAACAAATTACCGGAATATTACGATTATTAAAATGTAGATTTTCTCTATAATTTAATTTTCAGGCTTTGATGAAAAAAATTCTTCCAACTTTAATTGATAAAATACCGAAAATAAGGGGACAAAATTCAGCAGTTATTGGTTCGATTTTAAAGTCAATTGGATTATTGAGGTATAGAAACGAAGAACTTTTAATGACACTAACAAGGTGGATATTGAAGAATCATACAGGAATAAAGCCACAATATATTTGTTCCTTTCTTGTAACTTTAGCAGTCGTTGGCTTTACACCAACCAGAAATCTACAAGAATTTCAGGTTTTTATTTTAATTTTCTTTCTTTCTTTTTTAGTTATTTTCAGTTTAAATCCTTTAAAATGTGTTTTTTTTTTAAATTTGAAAAAAGTTTCATTTTAATTGTAAATTGATAAATTTGTTTTTTTTATTTTATTTTGCTAATTTTCAGTAGAAAACATTTTTTATATCGGAAGAACAAATAATAATTCTCTTTTTTAGGCGTTTACGAGTCAACTTACGGAAATTGAAATGGCAGGAGCGTCTGAATGGTTGGATGTTGTTTGGGCATTGGTTGTTTTAAATCAAGCTCAAGAGGCTCAAGTAATGTCAGTATTGAATCCTGAATTTCTTGGAAAATTAGCAGGTTTGTTTGTTTAGAAAAAAATTCTTCTTTTTGAATTTAAAAATTATACTCTACAAGTTTCTTTTTCAAATTAAAAGAAAGAAATTTTTTATATATATTATTATATTTTAGTTTTTATTATTTTTATATTTTTATTACTTCTTTTTACAGTTGTGACGACAATTACGGAATCAAAGAAGAGGAAAATTTTAAATATTAATGCTTGCGCGAAATTGTTATTTAAAAAAAACGAAGGTAATTATTTAAGTTGTAAATACTAATTCAGAGGAAATGAACTATTAAATTATTATTAATTAGGAAAATATATTCTTTCTTTTCTAATTTATTAAATTTTTAATTAATTATCTCTTTCAGATCAACTTTTAAATTCGAATTCATTAATATATGAAGTAACTTTAGAAAAGAATCGTGATCAACAGGAATTTGTTAAACGCATCGTAACAGCATTGTTTGCATTTTTACCTTCCGCTGGTTGTTTAAAAATGGACGTTAATACAAATCTGGGATTTTCCATAGGTAAGAAACTGATGGAAATAAAATACCTATTAATATCTTTTTGTATTTTATTTACGGGGCATTCCATTTCAAATCGTTCCACCGACAAAAAACAATCGCAAGGAGAGCGATTTTCTAATAAATATAATTATTTAAAAATTTAATTATTTGTAACATATTATACACTGAATCGAAAGAGAATTTCATGAACTTTATAATGCTATTTTTATTTTTTAAAATTTTTCTCAATTTCGTAGAGAAATTCCTGTTTGAAAGTTTAAACTCTTAATATCTCAAAACACCCCCCCGTCGATTTTTATCAAAATTATATGAAAATAAAGCTTAACTTTTCTAGTTTCCATTCCCGTATAATATATTATGGACATTTAATGGGATTAATAGAAAAAAAATTGTTTAAAAAATGTGTTTTTGAAAAATTTGACAAATGGTACGAAGTTGAATCCTAACTAACCTTCAACTTCGTACCATTTGTCAAATTTTTCAAAAACACATTTTTTAAACAATTTTTTTTCTATTAATCCCATTAAATGTCCATAATATATTATACGGGAATGGAAACTAGAAAAGTTAAGCTTTATTTTCATATAATTTTGATAAAAATCGACGGGGGGGTGTTTTGAGATATTAAGAGTTTAAACTTTCAAACAGGAATTTCTCTACGAAATTGAGAAAAATTTTAAAAAATAAAAATAGCATTATAAAGTTCATGAAATTCTCTTTCGATTCAGTGTATAATATGTTACAAATAATTAAATTTTTAAATAATTATATTTATTAGAAAATCGCTCTCCTTGCGATTGTTTTTTGTCGGTGGAACGATTTGAAATGGAATGCCTCTTACATATCATAATTGGCAATTTTGTAAAATTAATTAATTACGTTAGGAAACTAGGTAAATCATTTTACATTAGGAAAATAATCTTTTATTTATTTTATGATTTTTTAAATATGTTACAAAACTGTTTTCTTCAAATTATAGTTAATTTGTCAGATAGATTAATTTCTAAGAAATAATTTTAAAAGTAAAATATGTTTTTTCTAGATGCTGAATTATATGTCGATAAAAATAGTAAACCGATACTTATTTCTCAAATTGGATCGACGGAGAAAAAATCACTAAAGTAATTATTTTCATAATATATTTCTTTTCAATTTCTTATATATAATATGAAGTAAATTAATTATTATTAGTATAAAATTTTAACAAATTTTTTAAATTTGTTATTGAACTTGAACTAAAAATACTTTTTCTTCTTATAGATTGGCTGTACAATCATTGACTTACTATGATTATTGTCGAGGCGATGAAAAAGTTATAGGACAAATACAATTTCAAAATTCACTTTTGAATTTATTGGGCTATCACGTTATTCCAATTTCTTATAGAAATTTTGCATTCGATCAAAAAGTATTGAATCATGTAAAATATTTGAGAACACTAATTAATGATGCTGTAAAAACGAATTTCCCTAATTGAAAATTATTTAAAAAGATTAATTATACAATAAAAAGATCACCTGTAAATTGTTTATAATAATAGTTGTTTGTTTCTATTAAAAATATTTAAGTTAGCGAAAAAATGCTTTTTTTGTTTCTTCAGAGAAATAAGAATCGATATCGTAAAGTAAAATTTGAAAATTAATCAAGATTTTTTTTATTAATATTTTTAAATTAAAGTGCAAATAATTTTTTTAAGGTAAATTTTTATTTAAATTATTTTTGGTTCCTATTTTCTAAAATTTACTAATTAGAAACATTATTAATAAATTATTTTTATACGAAAAATACAAAAATAATTGCAAAAACAAAATAACGTAATTACGCTGAGAAAGAAATGAGAGAATAAAAAGTTACATTTTAAGGAAATTTTATTTTATTCATTATCACAGAAAACTTACATTACTAAAATAGAAAGTAAATTTTTTTCACTGAGTATTCAGCATTAAAAAAAATTAAGTAACATATAATAATAGAGAGAAATTATTCCAATTACCATTCTTAAATTTTCTATTCAACTGATAGAGCTCTTTTTTCTTTTCTTTTTTTTTTGGTATACAAATTATAAGAAAAAATTGGAAGAGAACTTAATTTAAATCGAAGTCTATAAAGTTAAAATTTTTATAACATTTTTCTTATACATTAAATGTTAATATTTTATAAACAATACAATTTTTTTCGTTTTAATTAAGTATATTGTTATACATAGAATTGCAAAAGTTTTCAAATTATTTTCTATTTCTTTTTTTTTTCAAAATTTGAAAAACTTGCTTCATTTTCGCTTTTGTTCGGTATCAAAAATTATATTAATATTTGATCTATATTTTTTGCTTTGATCTAAAAATGTGATCGCACATTACAGGGTTTCTGCAGATTTTTGAGTATTTGATAATTTCGTTTTCAAACCATTCTCAGAGATCTCTTTATAGTTTTTGCATTGTATATCACTAACCTAAAAAATAATTTTGATTAAAATAAAACAGTAAAGAGAGAAAAAAAAAGTTTAACTAGAGAGAAACAAGTCTAATAGAAAGAAAAGAAATAGGAGAAAAAAATGATTATTTGTGATTTACATTGCATTTCTTTCCTGCAACTTCGTTGGCGCATAAATAGCCTAAGCCCCATGTGCAAGGATGTATTTTATCTTCATTTGCATCACGTCTCTCTCGACGATTATCTTTCAACATCATATAATCGTTTGCTGAACATAGAGCAAGTTTACTGCAAATATTTGGCGATTCCTCGAATTTGTTCATTATATTATTTATACTTTGTTCGTATATTTCCATCATCATCGTGCACTGTATGAAAAATATTTATTATTTACATTTTTTGCTTTTTTTTAAAGCATTTTTTTCAGAAAAAAATTATTCAATTCACCTTGTGTTCATAAATTGCTGGTATATATTTACAGACTCTGGAAATAATTGCCTCAATTTCTTCTGGATCTTTTGTGTCGCCAACTTTCTTGTAAATATTCGATTCAATATCCTGACAGAGAGCACACTCGGCAACTGATTCTAAAATAAAAAAAATTCAATTTCTCAATTTATTACTCAAAATAATTTGTAATAATTTTTTTGTAATAAATGAAAATGAGTAAAAAGAAATGGAAAAAAATAAAATAGCGAAAATGAAAGAGACGAAAAAAATGTAAGTTATTTTTTTAAAAATATTTTATTCACTGTAATAAAAAGGAGTTTTAAAAGGAAAAAAATATTTTTACTTTTAAATTAAAAAAAAATTAAATTTGAAATTTACTTTTAAATTCTTGAACAGAGGAATTGCAGAGGCCAATCATTGAGCAAACTTCCTTGGGACTGACTTCTTTCGATAGAAGATCAATTACAACGTCCGCATAATTATCAACAAATTGATTACATTCCTTGGCAACGGTTTTCGGTAAATGATTACAAACTACATGAACAACGTGTTCAATTTCATCCTTTGTATTTTTATCGCTCAACGCTTTCTCCAAATATTGCATGGCGAATTCACAAATTACACATTCAACGTCATCATCTTTCACTGGTTTCATTTTCATTGGATGTAACGGGAAATTTGGAATTTCGTTTGTCACTAAAGAAAATATATGTAAATTAAAATAAATTAAATTCTGGAAAAATTCAAATAAGATAAATTAAATTAAATCATAATCAGGGTTACCACAAAAATATAACTTTGCCGACTACAATTTTAACTGAAATTCATTTTTAAATAAATTTTTATTAAAGAATTATATACATACGAGAATTCAATTATTTAAATACAAAAATTTTTATAAATAATTTATTCAATAATTCAATGTTTCTTAAAATTTAATTTTTACAAAGAATTTTATTAAGAAATTTGAAAATATTTAATTTCTTTTAAGGAATTTAATTAAAATTTTACTGAAATTTATTACCTAGGTATTATTAAAGAATTTTATAACAATTTTTAAGAATAATGGAAAAATTTTTGAAGAATTTTATTAAATTTTTTTTTAAATAATTGAATTCCTGAGAAGAATTTAAATAATAATTTATGAAAATAATTGAATTTATGCGCGAAGAATTTTATTAAATTTTGTTTAAGTAATTGAAATTTTGTCAAGAATTTTATTGAAATTTTTGACAATAATTTAATTCTTGTGGAAAAGAATTTTATTAAAATTCCTTAAAATAATTGATTTTTATTGGAAGAAATTTGTTGTTTATCAAGATAATTGAATACTTTTGTAGAATTTGATAAATTTTATGAAAATTATTGAATTGAGAAAAACTTTTGTAAAATAATTGTAATTTTGCAAAGAATTTTATTAAAATTTTTGAGAATAATTGAATATTTGGCGAAAAATATTGCTATTTGTAAAGATAATTGAATTCTTGACGAAAAATTTTATTAGTTTTGAAAATAATTGAATTCTTCTGATAAATATTGTTATTTATACGAAAATAATTGAATTTTGCAAAGAATTCTATTAAAATTTCTAAAAATAATTGAATTTCTGTGAAGAATTTTGTTATTTACCAAGATTAATTGAAAACTTTTGAAATAATTAAATAATATTAAAAAATTAATTCTTGTCAGAAATAGAAAATTTTTTTTAAGGTTTTGTATTAGAATTCGTGATAGTTTTTTTAGTCTATGAGGCAAACAAAAAAGACACAAAAAATTCAGAATTTTCTTAAGAATTCTAAAAATTTAATTTTTGACAGTAGTTTTAATTAAAATTACTGACTTCTCCCTGACCTGTGGCAACCCTGATAATAGAATTTATGAATATTTATGAATTGATGATATCAACAGAATTTAAAAATTGAGTGGTAAACGAAAAATTGCGAGATATGATTAAAATAGAAGTTGAATAAAATTCTTGTCGCTTACTAATTTGTCCGTCCTTATCGAGTGGATAAAAATTGTTCGCAACTTGAATTGTTGGTCCAACGTGTTTTGCGGGATCGCATAATTTAATAGAGGTGCAAACTTCTTGCGGTGTGAGATCGGCGAGCAACATTTCGATAAGTTCGCGACTGTAACCTTTCACCAAATCGTTGCATTCATCGACTAAACTCTTTGGCAAATGATTGCACAATTTACTCAATTGATATTCAATGTTGGCCTGAAACAAAATATTTGTTTAAATTAAAATCAATCTCCTTTAGCAGCTTAGAAAAAAAAGTAAAGAATTAAGTGGTAGAAATTTCTCACCTCGGTTTTATTGTTCTTAATAGTATTGTAAATTTGTTCCAGAGCGAGTAAACAAAGTGGACAACTTGGTTTTTCTTTAACGTCAGATTTCAATACCATTTCTGATGGGATTTTCTCCCAGAAATCCATTTGCTCTTGTGAGGGGCAAACATGAATCATCGGACATACCTGCAGACAAAAAGAAAATAATTGTAGATTCTCCTGCTTTTTATTTTTAAAAAACAGCTTTTTTCTTTTTTCTATTTAAAAAAAATAGTATTTTTCTTTTTACTATCCAAAAATTATATTTTTCTTCTTATTATTTAAGAATAGTATTTTTAACATTTTTTCAAAACATATAAATGACCATTTTTTTGAAAATAAGATAGAAAATAACATTTTTAGAAATCATTTAAACGAAAAATGGAAAAATTATCATTTTTGACTACTTAAAAAGTAAATATATAAAACTCTTATGAGTGGAAGAAAAAGATTGAAAGAAAATTGTAATAAGAGAGAGGAAAATAATATTTACCGTCGTTGGATCGATTTCTTGAACGAGAATTGCAACAATAGCGTCGCCGTAGGTATTAACAAATTCATCGCAGGTATCTTTGATCGATGTCGGCAACTTTGTGCAAACCTTATCGAAAACTTGCTTCACTTCGTCCTTAGAAACAAACAAAAGACATTTTTTATTTATTTTAACAAAATATTTTCAAATCAAGTATTTTTTAAAATTCAATATTTTTTTTAATTAAAAAAGATAATTACAAAGAAAAATTACCTCCGTTTTTGGAGTCGTGAGGACTTCTTGCACATAATGTAAAAGCATTTCACAAAAAGCACAAGTTCTTTTTCCCTCAACGTCCATTCGTGGGAATCCTAAACTAGTGAATGGCAAATGTCTCTCAATTGGCAATTGCATTTCTTCAGCTTCCGAACGATGTTGTTGTGACACCATTTTTTCAGCAATTTTTCTCGGTACTTCGGGCAAAAGTGGTGCAATCGGTCCATTCTGTAATTTCAATTTTTTTCTTTAAATTTTTGAAAAAATTACTTACTTTTTTAAGTACCAATGTTATTTTTTCCAAATACTACATTTTTTAAATTTCCTTCCTCTTTTTTTAACACTTACTTGAATATTTTTACCGGGCGCAGGGCAAATACCAGCCATTTCACACACTTCATTGCCATCCAAATGTTTTGTTAAATAGGTGTAAATTTCTGGATAGTATTGATCAACAATCGATAGGCACTGAAAATGTAAAATAAAAAAAATATGAAAATAGTATTACAAATAGTATTGAAAAGAGTAAAAAAAAAATAGTAAAAAAGATATTTACTTCAGAAGAAAATGAATTAGTCTGCTTGCAAAGTCCATCGAGGACCATTTTAAATTCAGCTTCGGTTGTATTAGCGACCAAAAGTTCTTTCAAATGTCCAACTAATTGCTCACATAATTTGCAAGGCAAATCGTCGCCAATTTCCACCATTCCAACACTTGACAATGGACGAATTTCCACGTCCAAGCTCTATTTGAAAAACAATGTAACAAATATATTATTAAAAATACAATTCTTCAAGCAAAAATTCTTTAATAAATTAATAATTAATAATTTTAATAATGTAAGAATAATAATTTAAATTGATTGAAAATCGTTACCGTTTCGTCATCATGTTTATGGAATTTACTGCTACATTGTCCGGAGAGATGGCAAATATTCGAAGCTTTGAAATTGTTTTGCAAATGATCGTAAATTGTTTCAAAGTGCGTTAAAACAATGGCAGAGCACGCGTCCGAGAAAGAACTGAATTGACCGCAAAAGTGTAAAAGATTTTGAAGGAAATTATCCCTTGACGTTGTTTGAAATTTATTCTCCATATGACTGGCAATCGTGAAGCATTTAGAACAATCATTTGGATCTAGTTCGTCATCGCCGAACGGTCTCTTCTCCACCTTTTTTTAAAAAAAAATCTTTCAATTGCTAAATAAATTTAATATTAAACTAAATAATTATCTAAAAATTAATAAATCAAATATTTTCGAAGTCGTTGCAGAATTTTTAAACATATTTTCCATTTTATTAAAATACGGAAAATAAATGAAATACGAAAAAGAATAAAATATGGAAAATAAATAAAATACGGAGAATAAAGAAAAAGTAAATGTGCGATAAAATGAGAAATTAAATAATAAAATATTTGCCTTCGATTGCGCGTCGCCTCCTTTGTATTCAAGAAGCAATTTATCGATATGAGCCGAATTGCAAAGACCAGCGACAGTGCAAACAACCGATGGATCCATTTGCGATGCCAATGTTTCAACGAGATCGGGAACAAATTCATCGGCGAGTTTAATGCACTCCTTAACAATCGGCTTGATGTGAATTAATTTACAACTACCCTCGAAAACATCTTTCAAATCCTGTTGCGTTTGATTGCTCTCCAATTGATCGCGTGCCTGTGTCACCATATCCTTGCAAATTCCACAAACACTGTCCGTGTCGTCAGGAACTTTCAAATTAATCCATTCCTTTTGCACACAATGTTTCGTCGCTTTACATCCTGCCGAAGTCCTATTTTTAGAAAGAAAGGAACAATTAATTAATTAAATCAATTATTAATTAACTATCAAATGTTACGTGTGCAGAACGTGATATTTATATTTATTATTATTATTATTATTATTATTATTATTATTATTATTATTATTATTATTATGCAAAATTATAAAACTTTTTATTTCCAAATATGAATTTTTAAATAATTTCAGACTCAAACTTTAAAAAAAATTCAATTATTATTAACTAATTTACTAGTTAATTATTCTTGTTTAATAATTTCAAAAATTTTAATAACATTCTTCTCAAGAACTCAATTATTTACATAAATAATAACATTCTTCGTAAGAATTCAATTATTTTTATAAACATTAAATTTTTTTGCAAAAATTCAATTATTTTCAAAACAATTTCACGAAAGAATTCAACAAAAAATTAAGAAAAAATTATTTTTATTTAAATTTTATTTTAAAAAAATTACTTACGTGAGATTTTGACACCAATAGGAAGGTCCCCATGTGCATGCCTTTGAACCCAAAAGATGAGGCGTCTCTTGTCCCTCGGCTTTAATTATCACCGCAGCCGATGAAACTGAAAAAAAATTATTTTTCAATTATTACTCTCGATACGATTTTAAGTTTCATATTTAAAAAGAAAAAAAATACTTTAAATACTTAACGAATTTGGCGAGAATCATAAACGAGAACCAAATTTATATACAAAAAGAGAATAAAAGTATAAAACAAAAATCACATAAAAATTAATTTCGAAAAATTCTTTTCTTCTCTCCTTCAGGTGAATTTTACAAATCATTTTCAATTTCAAATTTTTCAATTTTCAATTTGAAAAGGAAAGAAAATGAACTAAATTCCCTTGATAAATAAACAGATAATCTTCTTTAATGAGACATTTTTAATTCCTCAAGATTGAGTTTCAAAAATACTCTCACATTTCGAGAAACTATTCTCCTTATCAATGACTCGTGTGTTATCATGTTTATACTCCGCTTTCAATCATCAACGAATATATCAAACAAAAGAAAATTAAACTTTTTTGTTTGAGAAATTAACGAGTTCCGGGGGATTTGGAAAATTAAAAAAAAATTTACAGTAAATTATTTACATATTTTTATAGAAAATATAGAAAATAAATTTATTTAAAAAAATGAATCGAAGAAAAAAATTTGTATAGAATTTTATTTTTAAAACATAGTAATTTATATCTATATCTACATATAAATAGTACATATATATATATATATAAATGAAAAAAAAGTTAAAAATAGTTTATTTTTCAACGTAGTTTCATTTTATATTTTTAAAAGATGTGATAACTTGAGGAACTTTGGACTTTCTCGCAATCCTCTCTTCAATGAATAATATAAACTATTCTCGAAAGTAAAAGCTTAGGAAAGATGCAGTAAATAAATAAAAATATTTATTAAATGATCAGTACAGAAAAAAGAGAAAGAAAGAACGAAAGAAAGAAAAACAAATAAAAAAATAAAACCAGGTGAATAAAAAATAGAATTTTCTTAAGTCGTGAACAATGAAGAGTAATTTTATTTTCAGAGGAATTTCTGAGAAACAGAGAAAAACTCTTTTCTGAATCATCTCCATTATGCACAACGCTTCCGGTGACAAATGCAGTTAATAAAACATAAAAAAAATTAATAAGTGTCAGATTCCTCAAGAAAAACACCATTTTCTTCGCAATGAAAACAAAATATTATTACAAAATCTAAACATATAAAAAAAAGTTAAGACAATTATTGAAAAAATCAAGACAGATATTTGTTAAAAAAATTCAAGTTTTCATGTCAGTGAATTTTCACTACCAATAATTATTAATTAGAATTAATAATCAGAATTAATTAATTAATAATTAATAATCAATTAAGAATGAATGTAGTTCATTAACAACCTTTTGTTTAAAAACTTAAACAAAGAGAATACGAAAGCGAAAACAAAATTAATCCAGAGGTTAGAAGAAGGAAACAAAAACAAAAATTACTTACCAGCTATAATCGCGAATAACGCGATTAGAATCCTCTTCATTTTAATCCCCTTTTTCCACAGGACAATTGGATCTTTTTTTTAAATGTAAAAACAAAACAAGACGTAATATGTTCCTTTGCAACGAATCAGTCAAAGAATGAATGACGTAGTATATTTGGAAATTGATTCTAAATTGTTTCGTCGGTAACACAGATATTTACTTGAATAACTGAAAAGCGGTCTATTTGAAATATCGATTTTAAAAAACAATTTCTTGTAACTTTGTTGAGAGTTTTCCCCCTTTTATTTTAAGTCAGTAATTTTTGAAAACAAAAGTAGTTATTGACAAGAATTTAAACGATTTAAAAGAAAAATGCTCGAAAAGTAAAAAGTAAAAGTGATTAATTCGAAAAACTACCGCCATCATATTTCAGTTGGCACACCTGTAAAACTGGAAATTCTTCACAGTGCCGTATTTATTTTCCCGTCACCCTTGGGAGAAAATCTCTAAAATTTCCCCTACGATATTAATAGATTAAAAAAGAAACTAATAATTATTGTACCAAATAATAAATTTTGTTTCATTTAGTCCAATCTGACAAATTTCATAGAAATTTAGTCAAAATTCACAATTTTACTAATATGGTGAAAGTGAAGCATTATTAAAAATAAGAATTACGTCACTGGAAATCCGCTATATCACAGTGTATTGGCAATGAAAATTACCACCGCGGGCTCGGTGTCGCTAGTGTTTTACACCAAAAATGGACGAAATGGGTGTACAAATTTAAAAAAATATAAACTTAAATTGTGACTTTTCGGTTTTAATTTTAAGTAGTTTTTCAATAAAAAGATAAATAATGAACAACAATCTTAACAAATATTTCTTAAACATTAGAATACTTTAAATATTAACATTTTTTTCAACCTTGTACACCCACAGCAGCCATTTTTTTTAGTTCACTTTATGGTCACTATGTGTCGCATTGCAATTTTAAATCCCCAATATGAGTGTAGACATTAATCCGTTGACAGCCGCACGCGGCGAAACGCAAGGAGGTAACGAGTATTTCTTTTTTTTTTATAAAAAAGTGAAGTGACTCAGGTTCAGTTTGTTGCTGATAAATGGTTTCGAAGTGAAGAACAAAGTGTGTAAAAAGCACCATGGCTGCTGAAGAAGGTGTTGGCATTGGAGATTTTGTTCTTCTCGATGAAATAACCCTCGAGAAAGTTGTTGAAAATTTACGAGTCAGGTATTTAATTGTAAAAATTGTATAATCTTATTTTCTCTCACGCGTGTGCAATAACGATAAACAAAACACGTTTCCCATGAAAAATTACTACTTTATTGTTTCAATGAAAAAGTTAATTACTGTCAATTGTTTTATTTTTTTTTTTAATTCTAAACAATTACAGGTGACAAAAACCACCTGTTAAATTCATTTTTGTCAAGCGCCCAGAGGGCGTGGCTTAATTTTTCACCAGTTTATACACTTTAACCACTTTAACTTACGAATGACCTAAAAATAATAGATACAAATTGTGGTAAGAAACTTTTCTGCCAAGCTTTTTTTCGGTATTACTTAAAATGTTTTAAATCGATAAGAATTTTGGAGAATTTTAATTTTTATAAGGAAAATAATTTCTAAATGATCTAAAAATGTGAATGACTCATTTTTTTAAGCTTAGCTCAGTCATACTTTATCTCTAATTAAGTTAAAAAAAGACGAGTCTGCACAATGATAAATTGCTGTTTTTTGTTTTAATATTTATAATTATAATTAAAACGCTTTCAAATTTGTAAATTTTTAGGAAAAATTAGTAAAAATTATTTCTTAGGAAAATGTTTAGAGTAATTTGTCTCTTGAATTTATTATTGTGTGTTATCTTTCACTTGTAATGGTCGATAACTAAAAATACATTTTTTTCTAATTATTAAACAATAGTTTTAGAAAATTTTGTATTTTATTCATTTTATTGAAAAAAAAATCCATAGATGAAAATAAATGGTTCGAATATTCTCTTTTAATTCAATGGTTGATTTTATTTTGTATTTGCACATTTAAGTTAAGTGGTGTTTTAATTTAATTTCAAGTTAATTAAAAAATAATCCGTCTCCATAATATTCCCCCTTTTTTCCCTTATCCACGCGATAATTATCTTTAAGCAGGTTTCAATCCAAGGTCTCAGTTAATCAGTAAAATTACAATCTTTGGTTACTTGAACGGTATCATTTGTCGATTTCAGGTGGAAAAAAAATTAAAAACTAGAAAATAACAATATTAACGTCAATTCGATTTCATAATAATTATTATTTGCCTCGAGATAGAGTCTTTTTTCACCTGATGTTTAATGATTATAGGGTTTCTTAGAAAATTTTTATCAGTTCGTTGTCTACAGCACATGATAAGCAATTTTGATAAGAGATTTTTTTTGCTTTTTTAGAAATATATAATTAAAAATAGAAAAATTTTTCGATTAACGAAATAATAATGATTAAATGACAAAAATGATTTTTTATTGAATATAAATAATATTTTTGTTATTTGGTATAAATAAAAATATTATTATATTTTTATTAATAATTTTTATTTTACTTTTACTTTTAATTTTAATTTTAATTTTAATTTAATTTTTTTTTTCTTTTTTTTATTACTTTACTTTTATTTACTTATTAGGTATTAATTATTATTATTATTATAATTACTTTTCCCTTAAATATTAGTAATATTTGTCACCTTCCATTTTTTTAAAAATAATTTTCTTATTTTTATTAGATTATTAAATTTTTTTTTAATTTGGTTAGTAATTTTGCATTTTTTTTTTCAATTTTTTGTTTTGTATTGAGAATTATTTTTTTTCACTTTTTTACAGATTCAATGGTGGTAAAATTTACACGTACATTGGAGAGGTTTGTGTGAGCGTTAATCCTTACAGGAGTTCAAATATCTACAATGCGGACTACGTTAACAAATATAAAGGTATGTGTGTATTTTTTTAATTAACGAAAGTTATTTTCATCTTTTTCAATATGGTGTCAGTTCCAGAAAAAATCAGGTATTCGTGAATTATCACTTTTATAATATTTGAAAATATTATTAAATTTTTTATCATCCACTCTTTAAAAATGCATAGGTAATTTTATTTTTCGAATTTTTTTGTTTCTTCTTGTTTATACCTAAATAAAAGAATATCGAACTTTTCTTATTTAAAGTATTTATAAAAAAAATTATATTTGAAATGTTTTTGCTTCTTTTTGTTTATAAATGAATATCAAACTCTTATTATTTAAAGTTTATAATTATTTTATTAATATAAAAAATTATTTTTGAAATCTTTTGTTTCCTTTTGTTTATAAATAATCATAAAATATTTATTATTTAATTTTTGTTCCAAATTTTTTGTCAATTATTTTCGTTTACTAACGAAAAAATTAAAAATTACAGTTAAAAAAATCTTATTTTCTGTTCTAGATTTGATTTTTCAATTGCACTTGAAGAATGTTGTGTTAAAATAGTTGTAATATTTTTGAGATGCAAGTTATGTCAATAATAATTATGACACATGAGTCAATGACAATTGCCAAGCATGACACATAAGTATTGAAACAAGATTAGCGAGATTTTTGAGTTCCTCATAGATTCATTGAAATTAAAAACTAGACTACGATTTTCACTCCCTAGATATTAATTTGTTTTTTATTTTATTATTTGTTTTTTCTTTTTTCTTTTTATATTATATTATTTTTCTTAAATATAAAACTCCTTGAATTAAATTTAGCATCATGTGATGATAATTTATTAGTTTAGCGCAATGAATCATAATCGTTCGATTTTAATATTTATTTTCAATTTGCATTATAATTCAGTAATAAAAGGAAAATTCAATTTTTAATAATAATAATAATAATTTAATATTTAGCTCTCCATTTATTTCCTATTTGCATTATTATTAAGTAATTTAATTTCCAATAATAATTTAATATTTGATTCTCTATTTGTTTCCTATTTGTATTATTTATTATTGATATTGAGTAATAAGGAAAATTCAATTTTCAATAATTAAAAAAATTCTATAAAGGTAATAAATATTTACTTTTTTTATTCAATTTGTAACAAAACTGTTATAAGTGACTCAATTGCAAATTAACCGTTTGTTTTTATTACATTTTAAAAAAGACGATTTTTTTCTAGAGTAGAAGAAAAATGAAGAAAAACGACTGATGAGATCATATTGAATTAATAAGTAGTTCTGAGAGTCATTTATTCGTGTTATGAGTCACCTAACAATAATATAACAGTGGTAAATCCTTGTCGTGATCTTTTTTTTAAATTAAACTTCTGTATTTTATTAACACTGACCTCAGATAATGTTGTGATTTTTTTTATGAGCTTATGTGCATCATTAACCTAAATAATTTGCGAAATTTCGAAATAACGAAATAAATTTGTCGAAATGTGTCCTTTTTTTCATCACAAAATAATTATTATACATACATATATGAAAATTTATTATATAACAATTATTAAAAAAATCTATTAAATTAAAATAAATTGATTCCTATATAATCAATTTATTTTAATCTAATGGAAAAAAAGTTGATTACGCACTTGAATGGGAAAATAAAAATTTAATTAGGATCGAAATGAAATGTTTAATATTGAAAATAATTTTCTTTTTTTCAGGGCGAGAGCTTTTTGAGAATCCACCGCATATTTTTGCAATTGCCGATGCCGTTCATAGGGAAATGAAACAACAGGGTCGCGATACGTGCATTGTAATTAGTGGAGAATCAGGTTCTGGCAAAACTGAAGCTAGTAAGATTATTATGAAATATATTGCTGCCGTTACTAATGTTTGTGGCCAGCAGGAAATAGAAAGGTAACTAATTTTTTTTCTTTTCTCTTTCATTTCATTTTTTGTTTTTTCTTTGCAGAAAAATATCTTTATTACCTTGTTTTCAAAAATTCCACTTTCGAATACACATCATTAAACAAGAAAATTAAATTTTTATTTTACTAAAAATAGAACATTTTTTCTATCGTTTAAATTTTTTCATTCCAAAAATTAGTTTCGATTTTATTTATTTAGAAAACAAATCGTAGAAAAAAATAGTAGTTTAATTTATTTCAATCATTTTAATTAATTAATTAAGTGATTTAATTAAAAACTGTTAAAAAATTTAATTAAATAATTAAATTAGTTTATTGAGTTATTTAATTACATAATTAAGTTAATTTATTGAATTATTCAATAATTAAACAATTAAGATACATAGTTGTAATTTAATCAATAAATTAATTAAATTAACAAATTAAGTATGTACTTTAATAAGTTCTTCAATTAATTCATTAATTGACAGACAAAGATGTAAAACAATAATTTTAACATCAATGAAATGAATTCTATTCTATTCTAATAAATATACAGATTTAATAAAAATAATTATAATTTTACAGAAAATATCGAAAAATAAAGTTTAAGTTTGTAATTGTTTTTTCCCTAACGATAAATTTGTTACTTTTTATTTTACTTTTTTACTCTATTTAAAAATTTAGTTTCTCGCGGTTAATAAAACTGAATTGATTTTTCCAGTTCATTGAACATAAAATAAAACTTTATTTCTCTTTGTAAATCAACTTATTTTCTATTTACTGAATTATTATCTATATTAAATTATTGTTTTTTTTTTAATTTGCTTTAAAATATCAAGAATATGTTTTTCTGTAAAAACGAAAGAATTTTTTTGGTAAATAATAAATTTAATTTCAGAGTGAAAAATATTCTCATTCAATCGAATTCAATTCTTGAGGCGTTTGGCAACGCGAAAACAAATAGAAATGACAATTCTTCACGTTTTGGCAAGTACATGGACATTAATTTCGACTTTAAAGGCGATCCTGTTGGTGGTGATGTAACAAATTATCTACTCGAAAAATCTCGAGTTGTTTATCAGCAAAAGGGAGAGAGAAATTTTCACTGTTTTTATCAGGTACTAATTAGATTGCAATTTTTTCTTTCTTTTTTCAATATTTGCATTCAAAATTCGTAGGAATTTAATTATTTTTCTAAATAATAACATTTTTCGGAAGAATTCAATTACTTTTCAATAAAATTTCACATAAAGGATTCAATTATTTTTATAAATAGTAAAATTCTTCGCAAGAAATGAATTTTTTTTATATAAATAATAAAATTCTTCTCAGGAATTCAATTATTTTGCAATTTTAATTGAATTCAATAATCAAATTTTTAATTATAATTATTAATAGACACAAATAATTTAAAAAGTTGAAAAAATTTTCACAGAAATTCAATTATTTTTAAAAATTTAAATAAAATTCTTGTCGAGAATTCAATTATCTATGAAAATAAAAAGATTCTTTGCAAAAATTCAATTACTTTTCAAAAAAATTTAATTTAATAATTTTAATGAAATTCTTCGTAAATAATTCAATTATTTTTGAAAATTTTAATAAAATTCTCAGCGAGTTTTCAATTTTTTAAAAACTTGTATGAAATTCTTCACAAATTTCAATAACTTTCAAGATTTTCAACTAAAATCTTATAATTATCAAAGAAACTCTATTATTTTAAAGAAAATTCAATAAAATTCCTCCGAAGAATTTAATTAGGATTTTTTGAAATTTCAATAAAATTCTTCATAATAATTCAATATTGTTTTCATAAACAATAAAATGATAAATAATAAAATTCTTCAAATAAAGATAAATATATTGAAAAAGAAAATAAAGAAATATGAATGAAAAAATAGAAAAATGCGTTAATTGGGAATTTCTTTTTTTTTCCCTTCAGTTACTGAATGGTTGTAACGAAAGCGAACTGAAATCACTGCAATTACAAAGAAATCCAAGTGTCTATAACTATTTGAGTTGTGACGTGAACAACAATAATGTGAAAGCAACAACAGTTGACAAAACTGATTATAAAACTGTCACAAGTGCCATGTCAACATTGGGATTTTCTCCAAATGAAGTTCAAACAATTTGGTCCGTTATTGCCGGTGTTTTAAATTTGGTAAAACTCTTTCTTTTCACACAATTATTTTTCAAATTGAAATAAAAGAAAAACAAGTTTTTCCAATTTTACAAATTTAAATTAAAAAATATTTTTATTCATACAACTTTTCTGTTTGCTTTTTTTTATTTGAAATTATTTATTTATTGTTATTTTTTATTACTTTTATTATTTATTAATTATTTCATTTTATTCGAATTTCTTTTGCATGAATCTTTTTGTATGCAAAAAATTCTTTTTTCCCTTCTTTTTTATTTAAACAAAAAAAAAATTGCATAAATTTAAAATCTCTTTAGTTGAAATTTATAGATTTGAGAAATTTTTCTCTTAGGAATTTTAGAGAAAGTGTTTTTGAATTAAAATTTGTTCTTTTACAGGGTAATTTAAAATTTAATCTTAATGATGATGTAGTCGTGATTGTCAATAAAAATTCACTCAATAGTGTTGCTCAGTTATTGTCAATTAATTCGAGTGAGCTAAACACTGCCTTATCGCATAGAGTAATTGCCGCTGGCGGGGAAGTTATGCAAAAAACGCATACATTGAATGAAGCAGAATATGGAAGAGATGCTTTGGCAAAGGTTTGTTTTTCTTCAAAAAAAATTCTTTTTTTTACTCATTAAGAAATAAAAAAAATATCTAAATGAATAAATGAAATAAATTTATTAATGAGTAAATATTTTGTGGAGAAAATAAAATTCCCTTTTGTTTGTAGGCTGTTTACGAAAGGCTATTTACCTGGATTGTTCAACGAATTAATGAAACAATTAACGTTAATGCAACCGGTGTCTATAAAATGTATCGAACTGTGATTGGCGTCCTGGACATTTATGGATTTGAAATTTTCGACGTCAATAGTTTCGAGCAATTTTGCATTAATTATTGCAACGAAAAACTCCAACAGCTTTTTATTGGTAAACTAATTATTTCCACTTTTATAAATGAATAAGAAAAATCTTTTCTTTAATTTTTTTCTTTAATTATTAAACTAAATCTCTTCTCTATTTATTCGTTTTTGCATTTTTTGAAACAAATTTTTGTCTCTTGTTACATAGAATTGGTGCTGAAACAGGAGCAGGAAGAATACAGAAAAGAAGGAATCGCCTGGCAAAATATTGACTATTTTAATAATCAAGTGATTTGTGACCTCGTGGAACAATCTCACAAAGGAATAATAGCAATTATGGACGAGGCTTGCTTAAATGTTGGAAAAGTGACTGATGAGGTAGGAAAAAGAAAGAATTAAAAAAAGAAACGTTCGGAGAAAAATAATTTTTGTTTTTTGTTTAATAGTTGCTTCTTGAGGCAATGGACAAGAAATTGAATAATCACAATCATTACACGTCACGACAATTGAAACCACTGGATAAGGAATTGAAGCATAAAGTTCAATTTCGAATAAAACACTATGCAGGTGATGTTGTTTACAGTATCGATGGATTCCTGGATAAAAATAAGGATACACTCTTTCAGGATTTTAAACGTTTACTCTTCAAAAGCAAGAATTCGAATATTAGCAATATGTGGCCCGAAGGTGCTCAGGACATTACTAAGGTAATGTAATTGTAATTAATTCATAAATCAAACAATAATTATTATTTATGTATCTTCTATATTATTAATAATCGTTGTATTCCGGTAATTTGTTCGCAGTTTGAAGTTAGTTGCTGTTTGCTTTTTTGTTTCCTAACTTTTAAAATACCTAATTTTTCTTTTTAAATGTTTAAAATTTTAAAATTAATATATACAAATAATTGAATTCCTTTGTAGAATTTTATTATTTATGAAAATATTTTAATTATTGCGAAGAATTTTCTCATTTATAAAAATAATTAAATTCTTGCGGTGGATTTTACAATATTAATTTATTGCGTGTGTTTTTATTTTATTTAAAGTAAATTTCTTTTACAGACGACAAAGAGGCCGTTGACTGCGGGGACACTTTTCAAAAATTCGATGATCGCTTTAATTAAGAATTTAACGAGTAAAGAGCCATATTACGTGAGATGTATTAAACCAAACGAGGTGAAGTCTCCCGTGGTGTTCGACGAAGAAAGAGTGAGCCATCAGGTGCGATATTTGGGTCTCGTGGAAAATATTCTAGTCAGACGAGCTGGTTTCGTCTACAGACAATCTTATGATAAATTTCTGAAAAGGTTCGTATATTTCAAAACAATAATTCCTATTAGTTTTTTTTTCTATAGCTATTTTAGATAGTAAACAATTTAAGTAAAAAGTTATTAATTGGAATATTAAATTTTTATTCTAGGTACAAAATGATTTCACAATATACGTGGCCGAACTTTCGTGGAGGAACCGATCAAGACGGTGTTCGCACTCTCATGGAGGAGAAAGGATTCCAAAATGACGTTCAGTATGGAAAAACGAAAATTTTTATCCGATCTCCTAAAACTTTGTTTGCTCTCGAGAAGGTTTGTTTTCTTTCTTGTATTTTTATTACCATTAATTTGACGTATTTTTACTAAATAAATAGAAAATGAATAAAAAATAAATGAAAAAGAAAATAATAATAATAATAATAATTGTATTTATGTTCTAGGCTCGCAGTGATTTAATTCCAGGAATCGTTATTCTACTGCAAAAACAATGGCGTGGCTATTTGGGTAGAAAACGTTATAAGAAAATGAAGGCTGCTTTGACAATAATGAGATATTATCGTAATTATAAACTTTACGTTTATATTAACGATTTATTGAAGACATTTAGACATGCAAAATCGTTGGGCGATTACGGCAAGCATTTACCTTGGCCGCGGGAGAGTTTCGCTGTTCGACAAAGTGCTCCACTATTGAAGAAAATCTTCGCCCGATGGAGAGCTTGGATGATATTGAGACACATTCCGAAGGAGGAATGGCCACAGCTCAGATTGAAGGTAAAAAAAAATTATTTATTTTTTATATCCTAAACAATACAAACAAAATTATTCTACAATTATTTCAAATATTCAATTTTGAAACAATTTCAGATTCAAAATTTTAAAAAATTCTATTAATAACTAATTTACTAATTAATTATAATTAGGTACCTATTTATTGTTTTCAAAAAATCTAAGAAAATTCTTTGCTGAAATTCAATTATTTACAATATAATTTCTCAAAAGAATTTAATTATTTTTAAAAACATTCATAAAATTCTCCACAAAAATTCAATTATTTTCAAAAATTTTGATTCAATTCTTTATGATTCATAATTAATAAAATTCTTTGCAGGAATTCAATTATTTTGAAAAATTTTGGTAAAATTCATCATAAGAATTCAATAACCTACATAAATAATACAAATTTTCACTGAAATTCAATTATTTTAAATCAATTTTAATAAAATTCTTGGCGAGAATTCAATTATTTATGAAAATAAAAAGATTTTTCGTAAAAATTCAATTATTTTCAAAAACATGCAATCAAATTGATTGAATTGAAATATTTTCAATACAATTTCAATTAAATTCCTCGCAAAAAATCCAATTATTTTCGAAAATTTTAATAAAATTCTCAGCGACGTTTCAATTATTTTCATAATTTATACAATTTTTCTCAGAAATTTAATTATTTTAAAGAATTTTAATAAAATTCTTCGTAAAAAATTCAATTACTTTGATAAATTTTTGGTAAAATTCTGTATGGGAATTCAATTATTTCCATAACTATAATAAAAATTTTCACAGAAATTCCATTATTTTCATAATTCTTCTCAAAAATTTTTAATCAAATTCTAAAAAATATTTAATTAAGTGCTTTGAAAAAATTTAATTCTTTTTCTAAATAATAAAATTCATGGCAGAAATTTAATTAATTTGAAAAATTTTGATAAAATTACATATTTATGTGAATTGAATTACTTTCATAAATAATTAAAATTTTCACACAAATTTAATTATTTACAAAAAATTTTAATAAAATTCTTGACGAGAATTCAGTTATCTAGGAAAATAAAAAGATTCTTTGCAAAGATTCAATTATTTAAGTACAAAATAATTAATCAAATTCTTTATGAGTATTAAAATATTTTTTAAATTCAATTCTCGCAAAAAGTTCAATTATAATTGAAAATTTTAATAAAATTTTCAGCGAGATTTCAATTATTTTCATAATTTATTAACATTTTTTGCAGAAATATAATTATTTTAAAGAATTTTAATAAAATTTCTCCCAGAAATTCATTTAGTTTGAAAAATTTGGATAAATTTCTTTATAACGTATTAAATTATTTCAGATTAAAAATTCTAAAAGAAATAAATAAGAAATATTTTTGATTGAAAACAATGAATTTGATTTAATTAACTTTTGGTATTTTTTAATCTTCAAAGTTTCAAATTAGAATATTTAATTATTTTTTAATTTCAGAACATTTTATGAAATTATTTTCATTTTAATTAAGAAGGAGAAGAGAAATTATTAAACAAATTGTCATTTTATGTTTTACCGCAAAGAACTAAAAAAGCAAAATGTAAATTTTTATTTTAGATGACGGCAGGAGCAGCTCTATGCAAAAAACGTGCCTATTGGGGTCAGGAGCGCAATTGGGAAGGAAATTACCTTGCTTATTTGCGTGAGAATCCACACAGCGATATTTTTAATACATCCGTTAATAATTTAAAAAATACTGATCACTTTAAAACCGTCCTCTTCAGCGCTTTCGTTAAAAAAACAAACAAGTCAGTATCGTTTTATTCTTTCTTTCTCACTATAAAGTAAAAATAAAATAAAATTAATAAAATTTTTATTTATTAACTACAAATTAATTAGTTAACTCAATGAATGAATTAATTAACAATTGAAAAATATTTGCAAAATATTGATTAAAAAAAAACTTTCAGGCATAATAAACAAGCGGATCGAGTAATTCTAGTGACGGAACATTCTGTGTACAAATTAGATTGCATAAAATTTAAAAATTTGAAGAAACGAATGCCAATTTCTGAAATAACTGGCCTCAGTGTTTCGCCCGGAAAAGATCAGCTCATCACAATTCATTCGAATCATGGAAATGATTTAATTGTTTCTTTAGTGACAAAAGAAGATCGAATCGGCGAACTCGTTGGTATTTTATGCAACGCGTATTTCCAGTAAGTTTTCCCTCATTTTTAAATTCGAATATTTAATCAAGTTTTATTTAATATATTTCTTTCTTTTTTTATTTTAGATTACGACGAAGCGATCTTTTAGTGACAGTTGCAACAAGATTTAAATGCATGCTGGGCAACAAAAGTAAAGTATTAAACGTTGAAGTACTGCCGGATATTGTTGAGCCAATATTTTCGAAAAATGGCGACAATATTATTTACGCAGTCCCTCCATCAATTGGAATAATTGACGATAGAATGAGAATCAAAACGGTGAGCTAGTCTTTTTTTTTTTTTTTTTGAAAACTAAAAAAGTGAAAAGGAGAAAAAAGATGGAAAAAAAAGTATTTCTATTTTATTATACAAAAAATCTATATATATATATATATATATATTTATATATTATTTTCTCATCTCGAAAAGTCGAAATTCTTTCTTCTTTTTGTGGAATTTCGATTCGATGAGAGAGAGAGAGAGAGAAAGAAAGAAAGAAAGAGAGTGTGAGTGAGAGTGAGAGTGAATAAATGAGAAACGATGGTGCGCGCAAAAATATATTTTTTGTAAATATCGCCTAATATTTAACGAAAAAAAGTAATATTGCATAATTAATTTTCAAGAATTAATAATTATTTCACTATGAAATAATTTAAACGTTTTAAAACATATTATTGTTTTTTTATTGACTCGATAACAAAAAATATATCAGTCAGGTGCTTCCATATTTCATTACTTTTTATCCAGAAAAAGAAGACGAAAAGGAAAAAAAAAGTGACTGATATTTTTTATTCGTAAAAACTAAAATCTATTTTCTAAAACAAAAACACCACTGGTACTTAAAAAAAAAAATTCGATAGTTTTTATACAAATTTTTCATAGTCTGTTAGAGTTGAAATTTTACTACTTTTGAAATTGTACTTACTATTTTTTTTAAATGTATTCAAATCATCGCTTTTTTGGTGAACGCATTTAAATATTTTTTTTCCTTCTAATAATGTGCCTAAAATGTAATTAAAAATAAATTGGTGCAAAAAAAATAAAAATTTGTGCCATTATTGAAAAATATGTAATTGATTTCGAGCCCCGGGAAAAATAGAATATTTTCTATTGTATATTTTTGAAAAATAAATATATTGTTAGAATTACTGAATTGTCGTTTTTTTATTGTTAAATTGTAAATATAATAATTATTTATACAAAAGAAAAAACTGGCAACGTAGAAAATTCTATAGTTAATCGAGTCGTTGGTACATGTAAATGTATCCTAAATCTTTCGGTGGATTTTCAGACACAGCGACCTGGAAAAATTGAATAGAAGAATTAATTCGGAAAGTTTACGAGAAAAATAATTTTTCTTGAAGGAAAATTTTCTTTTTCATTTAAACAAAAATTCTTTTTCAATTCTTTTTCTTTTAGGAAAAAGAATGTTTTCTTCTTCGAAAAAGAATATTTTGGGAAGAAAAGTAAAGAAAGTATTTCTTACTTTTTCGTCATTAAAGATAATCCAACCATTATCTTTTAATAAATGGCAAACGTAATGACCAACCATAGAAGAAGTTCCCATGTGGGAAATAAAACCAACTAGTTTATAACCTGAAATGAAAAATAATATAAACGATATTCAAATTTAACATTGAAATTTAAAAATTCAAAAATGATTAATTCTCAATACTTTACGTTTAAATACTTTTAAAACAATCGTTTCAAGTTTTTTATTTATTCTCTTTTTTAAATTTAAACTCACGTCCACTTCCATTCCTAAAGTTTCCGTCTTTTGAATTTGTGTCCTCTTCCATTGGCGTTTCGTCCAATTCAGAAACATGACTGAATATCCAATCGACAGCACGTTCCACATTATTGTTTGTTGCTTTTAAAGCTTTCGTCGCTTGTTCTTTGGTGAAACCCATGCTCATTACGGTCGCTAATCCCTCTTCATTTGGCACAAAACAGTTTTGATCTTGAAAAGAAACAAAAATTGATTTTTCAATTAATAAATTCAATTTATTTATTAGGTATGTTTATTTTATTTACTATTGAAGTAAATTTATAATTTATTAACTCTAGTGTAAAAAATGTGCCGATATTTAAAAAAAAATGTATATTGAGAATAATCGTTGTATTCTGCTCGCAATTTGAAATTAGTTGTTTGCTTTGTTCCCTAATTTTTTTGACAATTTTTCTTTTTAATGTTTTGAATTTAAAAATAAATGAAATTCTAATTTAATTAAAATGCTTGAAAGATAAAAAAAATACCAAAAATTAATTGAAAAAAATTGTTTTCAATTAAGAATATTTCTTTTAGGTATATTATTTCTTATTTCTTTTAGAATTTTGAATCTGAAATAATTGAATTCTTATAAAGAAATTGAATTGAAATAATATTAAAAATATTTGAATTCTTCTAAAGAGTTTTATGGACATTTTTGAAAATAATTGAATTCTTCCGAGAAATGTTATTAATTATGAAAATAATTGAAATCTTGATAAGAATTTTATTCAAATTTTTTTAAGTAATTGAATTTCTGTGAAGAATTTGATTAGTGATAAAAATAATTAATTTCTCATAAATAATTATATATTTAACGTTTTCAAAGAAATTTAGATTCTGCAAAGAATTTTATTAAAATTCTTTAAAATAATTAAATTTCTGCTAAAAATTTTATAAATTATGAAAATAATGGAAATCTCACTGAGAATAATTTTATGTAAATTTGCAAAAATAATTGAATTATTTTTGAGGAATTTAATTAAAATTGTATTGAAAATATTCCAAATTTCATAAAGAATTTTATTAGATATTTTTAAAATAATTGAATTATTGCGAAGAATTTTATTACAATTTTCGAAAATATTTAAATTCCTACGAAAAACTTCATAAAGAATAAAAATACCTAAATGATTTTCTTTAGGAATTTAATGAAAATTGTATTAAAAATATTTCAGTTCTCATAAATAATTTAATCAAATTTTTCCAAATCAGTTGAATTGAAGAATTTTATCAAAGTAATTGAATTCCTTTGAAATTGTATTGAAAATAATTTAATTCCTGTAAAGAATTTTATTAACGCATTTGAAAACAATAAATAATTGCAATAAATTTGTAAATTAGTTAATAATTAAATTTTTTAATATTTTGAATCTGAACTTATTACAAAATTTGTTAAAATTTGCATAATAATAATAATAATAAATAAAAATTAGATAAAAAAATGGTAAAAAAAATATTTTTAGTATTGAAGGAAATAAAAATACCAACTTTTTTTCATTATACCAGGCGGGACGAATGGTTCGGCAAAATTATCATCGGCAATGTGCGTCATTAGCCAATTGGTGACATCTTCGAAACTGCCGTTTTCCGTGAAGAAAACTGCCCTCTTGCATGCCTCTATCGGAAAGCCAATTTCCGTTAATTGATTCATAATTGCCGGATCGTACTGTGGTTGTGGATGTTCCAGTTCAGTCACTTCGGGCAATGATTCCTCATTTGGCTGCAATCCCTTTCCCTCCAACCAATTTAAATCCAATAAATCTGGCATTTCAACTTCCACATCTAATTTTATTGGCGTCCAGTCTTCCTTGGCAGTGAATTTTTTCAAGTGAATCAATAAATAGTCGGGAAATGTTGCTAGTTTCGTTGTTCTGAAAAAGAAAATTTTCTTAAATTTTCCTTTATCTATTTTGAAATAGGTATGTAATAAATCCAAATGGATTATTTATGTTCAGAACCAAAATAATTATCAATTAAACGTTGTCACTAAATTTTCGAATCTAAATTTTGAAGAAGAAAAATTTTAATTTAAAAAATCATACTTCACAGCTGTTGTTTTTTCCTTTAATGCCGTACTGTAAAATTGTTCAATAATTTCAGTTCTTGCAAATGTTTCCAAACAGGAGGACAATTTTATTCTCGGTCTTACAATATCGTGAAAATCTACTTTTTGGTTATTTTTCTCCGCCTCGTCTTTTTTAGCAAGATATGCGTCAACTTGATCCTAAATTTGATATATGATATAAATTTAAATAAACAGTTAATATTGAAATATTGTATAAACAATAAAATACAAAATTATTAATTACCTTGTTTATTGCACAATCTAAAGCTATCGGTAAAGGCAAAAGGTATTCCGGTCGGGTCGTATACTGAACTTTTTTCGAACTATTACATTGGTATCGCTCCTCCACTTTGAATTTGAAACAATCTGCTACATTTTGTACATGGCGACTATTTTGCTGTTGAAAAAGAAAGACATGAGTTAAGTAAATTAAGTAAATAAACTAATTTTACAATAAATTAACAGATTACTTTTGATAATAAATTCCTAATTGATATTCCAAATGAATAAAACTTTTCAAATAATAATTATAAGTTTTCGAATTTAATTAATTTATAATTGTAATTTAAAATCCTAAGCATTTGAATTTAAAAATACCATCTGATTAATATTAAATAAAATAAAATAAAAGTTCAATAAAAGAAAAAGAAAAAAGAAAAAGTTGAAAAATAGGTAAAAACAATTAAATTTATATTAATAATGGAAGAGATTTAAATAAAAGTTTTTATAATTACTTCTAAGAGATTAATCAAATGGAGGAAAAATTCTTGAGCATCTTGTTGTCTATTCGACGAAAAGTCTTGATGTCCACGTCCCACTAAATGCTTAAACATTCGCGGTGATATTCCTTGATTACTCTCATCACCCTCCGTTTTTGGTGGCTGAGAATATTTCCCCGAGAGTAAACCAACTCCCAATTTTGCCCTAAAATCAAAATCAAATTCACATTTTAATTTATAAACGTCATTTTCAAAATAAATTTTTTCTTCTCTTTACATATTTTTCTCAAAAAGAATGCAATTATTATTGAAAATTTCATAAAATTCTCAGCAAAAATTCAAGTATTTTGGAAAATTTACAATTAAAATTCTTTGGAAAAATTCAATTATTTTCAAAAAATGTAATAAAATTCTAGTTATGAGAATATTTATTTAAATATTTTCGATACAATTTTAATTCAATTCCTCAAAAATATTCAATTGTTTTTGTTAATTTTCTTAAAATTATTTTCAATGAGATTTTAATTATTTTCATAATTTATAAAATTTTTCGTAGAAATTTAATTATTTTTAAGAAACTCTTTTAATAGAATTCTTCGTAAAAAATTCAATTTCTTTGAAATTTTTTTTTTAAAAATTCAATTACTTCCATAAATAATAAAAATTTTAACAGAAATTCCATAATTTTCATAATTTTTAAATTCTTCTTCTTGGCAGGTTTTAAATTATTTTAAAGAGTTTTAATAAAATTCTTCTCAAATTTTTTTTATAAAATTCTTTAAAAAAAAATTTAATTTATTACTTTGAAAACATTTAATTCTTTTTGTAAATAATAAATTTTGATTTTAATTAAATTCCTCACAAAAAAAATCAATTATTTTCATAATTTATGAAATTTTGTTTGCAGAAATTTAATTATTTTAAATAATTTTAATAAAATTCTTCGCTGAAATTCAATGATGTATTTTCAAAAGTTTTAATAAAACGCTTTATAAGAAAATGAATTTAATTAATTTAATAACAATATTGAGTCATAATTTTTGCTTTCGTACTTACATTTGGGCGTTAAAATCATTTGGTGGATTGTTGACACTTTGATCGAAAATCTCTTCCGCTTTATTTACGAATCTGAAATATTTTATTCATCTTTAAGAATTCAGTTGAAAAAACTAGTGAAATGTATTATTTATTATTTATATTCTAATAATAATAAATTTACTAAATAAAATTTTTGTAATTGTGAAGTAAAAAATAAATAAAGAAATTAAAGTAAAAAAGTAAATAAATAACCAATTTCTTATTGAAAAAGAAGAAAAAATAGCGAACCGTTCAATAAAATCAGGAACAAGAAACATTGTTTGCATGACACTATTGAGATAACACGAATTCCCAAGATTAACAAGACCCGTATAACCGGGACCATAAACTTTTGCCGAAGATTCCTGCAGAGTTACCCAATCGCCAAATTTCTGATTAAGATCCAATTCAAGTTCAATCATTGATTTTTCCGTCTTCTTCATTTGCGTTATATTAACGCCCCAATGTGCTAAATGCTCAACGAGCTTCGGATCCAATACCATGTCGTCCTCGTCATACGAATAAACATCACCCTTTCCATCCTTAGTGATTGTTCCAAGTTTAACGGCCAACGGATGACCTGATACTCGATAGTGTTCAACTGCATGATCATTACCGCCACTGCCGTCGAAAAATTTACGTCCACACAAAATACTGCCGTCTGTTAAATTTAACCATAAATTCTGCGTGAGGTCGCATTTTTCACACTTCCAACCGGTCGGCGGTATTTTTATTCCATTGTCTAATTGCTGTAAATTCTCCGCGTGTCTAAAAATAGAATTTTACATTTAAATTATTTTAAGGGAAAATTTCATTTTAATTCCACTTTTTTAGGATTTTGATAAAAATCAGTTTCGTTTTAAGAAAAAAAAGCAAATTAATCCTTTTCTTTTTTTACTTTGAAACAACTCGAGCTTCTCCATCCCAAGTGCCGGCCAACGCTTCTTGTTCGGCAATCTTCAGAGCGGATTCAGCTTCTAAAACTCCCTTCGCTGACATTTGGACTAACATTGGCAATTCCTCATTTGGATATGGAACTGAAGTAAAATTTGGCAGTACAACGATCTTGTAACTCTCCTCAAAAGTAAATTTTTGTTGATCAGGATTAAAACCCCCAGGCGTTCCAATTGCTAGTCGAGTAATTTTCTTCTCCGGTCCATCTGTATTTTCGCTTGGAATCTATTTCGAAAACAACAAAAATTTTATTTAATTTAATTCCTAAAGTTAAGAGATGACTTTAACTACATTTTTAACTATATAATCAAAAAAATGAGTTAAATCTTTCATAAAATTATTTTTATAGTCATTTTTAGAGGCGAAATCAATGGTCAGAAAATAAAATCCAGATTTCGCTCTCGATAATTAATTTTAAAAAAGTAGCTTTCAAACGAATTTTATTATTCATCAAAGAATTTAAATATTTATAAAAATAATTCAATTCTTGCGAAGAATTTTATTAAAATTCTTAAATAATTCATTTCTTTCGAATAATTTTATGCAAATTCTAATTTAAATAATTGAATTCTAGAGAAATTTTTATAATTCATGAAAAGAATTAATAATCAAATTTTACAAAGAATTCAATTAACATTTTTGACAATAATTGAATTCTTGCGAACGATTTTATTAGAATTTTTCAAAATAATTGAATTTACAAGAAGAAATTTGTTACTTTTAAAAATAATTGAATTCTTGTAATGAATATTGTTATTTATGAAAATAATTGAATTTTGCAAAGAATTTTATTGAAATTCCTCAAAATAATTGAATTTTCAGGAATAATATTGTTATTTATCGACATAATAGAATTCTTTCGAAGAATTATTTATGTAAATACATAGTTGAATAATTGTTTTGCGAAATTTTATGAAAATACTAGATATTGAAAATAATTGAATCGTTTTAAAGAATTTGATTATAAGTTTTGAGAATAGTTTTTTGATTTCTAGTATATATAAAGTAAATAAAGAACTGTAAACAAACGTAATCAGATCATTTTTTAAATTATTCAAAAAGTTGAAAACAAATCGAAAAACAAAGTTTTTGATCGAAACAAAATTTATCAATATTGATACAAAATCTATAAACATTTGTTTTCAATTGGAATGCATTAGTTATGATGAACATGAATTAGTTTAATGTAAATTAATTTAAAGAAACAATGATTTATAAGGACAAAATAGAAAAAACAAATTTTTATCAAACAATTCCGACAAAAAGTTAAAAGAAGGCAATTTTCGTCGAGTTAAAATAATTGAATTCGGTTATTAATAGAAATAATTGTGTACCTCCTTTTTCGTCTTCAAGATATGAAGGAAAACGGCATTTCCCGTTTGGCGAAAGTACCTCTCGACATAATCCTGACCAAGGCCGAAAAATGTCGAAAGACTAATGTATAAGCCGGTAGGACTCTCCTGATATGAAAAAAGAATTAAATTACACAATTCATTTGTCAAATACAATAAAAATTGATTTATTTACTTTTTAATCTTAAAATAAAAAAAAAAATTAACTTACTGGAGTGTCAAATGAATAAACACACTCATCTTTATAAACTTTATCCGTCACTTCAGGTACTTTTATATGTTTTAAATGCTGCGATAATTCTTCCATGATTTCAAGTCTATTTCTATATTTATTTTTTTCCTCTAAAATAGTCTAATTATTATTATTTATTATTAAAAAAAAATTATCTTAATAATAATAATGTATACGGCGTTAACAGTGCTGCCAGGTACCCTCACCAAACGCAACTGCGCTTGCGCTACAAAAATGATCTTATTAGCGAAATGAACCGCGCATTTTTAAAACGTTTAATACACAGTCGAGAGCGAACATATTTGATTGGGGCGCCTGTATATCCCCGTTTTTAAAAAGTCCAAAATGTAATTTGATCAAAATTACAAATTATGTCAAACGTTAAATCCATATAAATTTCATTCGATATAATGTGTCTTTACACAAACGTTTACTTAATAAAATGAGTTTATCCAAGAAATTGTTTTTCAGCAAATGGGCTAAATTATTCAAAATAATATTTTAGTAACCATTTTGTCAAAAAAGCAGCGAATCAAAGATTATCTGTTTAGACAAGTCACCCGTAGAGGAACTGTAATTTCTTTGGTTTCTTTGTCAACATTTTCTATTCTTCTAAGGTTAATTTTAAATTTAAAAAAAAATTTATAATAAAACAATGTTTCCATGAGAAGCCTACATATAGAGTTAGAAACAAGAGAAAAAAATATACCTATTTATTACTATAAACAATAATTAAACATTAAAACTAACCTCAAAATAAAATTTCAAGACAATATTTATCCTAATTAATTTTCCGAACTGGTGTCGCTCGTTTCCTTATGGTATGTGTCAAATTTATTATGACTTGCCGTATGGTTGGAATTTTTAACCTAAAAAATAAAAACAATTTCAATATACCTTTAATATTAATTTGTGTGATTATCAAGATTTATATTGATAAACATAAATTTCAATAAATTTTTTTTTAATATTGTTATTTATAATTAATAAATTAATTATTTGTTATTTACTATATATTATTATATATATTTATAATATTAAAAGTAAAACTAACCTCAATGCACAATTTAATTTTCTTCTTCTCCTTACTGTCATATATTGCACCTATAATTTAAACCTGAAAAAAAAATTAATTCGCATTAAAATAATTAAACTATTTATTTACTTATTTATTTATTCATTAAAAAACAATACTTATCTTAATTAATTATACAACACGTTTGTATATTCCATTCTGCACAGATTATCGTAAACAAAACAAAACTGCTTTACCAACAAATTCTTTATTTTGAAATTTGACACAACTATAGGTAATTTCACTTTCTGCATTATCGACTCGTGGTACGAGTTACCGAAAATATGCTTGAAATAGTTTGTACATCACCACGGCGCTAGTAGTACAAGCGCGCACTGGTGGGGACGCTCGAAGTGGTGGGGACACGGGTATATAAGCAGGCGCCCGAGACGAGACTGGCACTTCATGCTCAACTGTGTTACAGGTAAGCAATAGTACCAAAGCCTTGTTAAGGCAGACCAACTTAAGCTGTATTACAGCAAAGCCTTATTAAGGCAAACGGACGTAAAGCTGTATTACAGCAAAGCCTTATTAAGGCAGACGGACGTAAAGCTGTTTTACAGCAAAGCCTTATTAAGGCAGACGGACGTAAAGCTGTATTACAGCAAAGCCTTATTAAGGCAAACAGACGTAAAGCTGTATTACAGCAAAGCCTTATTAAGGCAGACGGACGTAAAGCTGTTTTACAGCAAAGCCTTATTAAGGCAGACGGACGTAAAGCTGTATTACAGCAAAGCCTTATTAAGGCAAAACGTACGTAAAGCTGTATTACGGCAAAGCCTTATTAAGGCAAACGGACGTAAAGCTGTATTACAGCAAAGCCTTATTAAGGCAGACGGACGTAAAGCTGTATCACAGCAAAGCCTTATTAAGGCAGACGGACGTAAAGCTGTATTACAGCAAAGCCTTATTAAGGCAGACGGACGTAAAGCTGTATTACAGCAAAGCTTTTATTAAGGCAGACGGACGTAAAGCTGTATTACAGCAAAGCTTTTTTAAGGCAGACGGACGTAAAGCTGTATTACAGCAAAGCCTTATTAAGGCAGACGGACGTAAAGCTGTATTACAGCAAAGCCTTTTTAAGGCAGACGGACGTAAAGCTGTATTACAGCAAAGCCTTATTAAGGCAGACGGACGTAAAGCTGTATTACAGCAAAGCTTTTTTAAGGCAGACGGACGTAAAGCTGTATTACAGCAAAGCCTTATTAAGGCAGACGGACGTAAAGCTGTATTACAGCAAAGCCTTATTAAGGCAGACGGACGTAAAGCTGTATTACAGCAAAGCCTTTTTAAGGCAGACGGACGTAAAGCTGTATTACGGCAAAGCCTTATTAAGGCAAAACGGACGTTTTTTTTATTCGACAGTTTATTAAATAATCGTTGATAAAATAAGTCCCCGAGTGCAGTCCCATGGCATCGTTATTTGCTTTGCTTTTTGTAACTTGACTATTAAAAGAATTCATTTTAGAAACTTTATAAATTATTTATTCTCTACATTATATTATGCAGATTTTTTTCAAATTTCTATCAAAACTATAATTATTTTAATGAAAATTTTGTTAAATAATTCATCTTTTTGAAAATGATTTTCTCAAATAATTGATTATTTTCTAATTTCAAGACAATATAATTGAATTTCAAAGATTTTTTTTAAACTACTAATTGAATTTCGTTTTAAAGAATTTTATTATCATTTTTGTAAATAGTTGCTTGATCTCTAATAATTTGTGAATTTAATGTAATGGAAATTCTAGAAAAAAATATATATAATTATATTAACACAAGTAGTAGCTTGTAGTTGCTAAAATTTTTTAAAAATACCCAAATAGCCTAATTACAAAACCCAACGCAAAACGATGTCATTAGATTGCACCCTTATTATTTTGTCTTTTTAACAAACTTTTTTTTTTTTACAGAAATTCATGTACCAGTATCTACTGTATTGACATAATGAAGAGAAAACGACAATTGAGTTTAAAATGTTAGTGTTTAACAGATGTATTTTAAAAATATTTTTATTTACATGTAAAGTTAACAATTGTAATTTATTTGTTTATTCTCTATTTTTTCAGCAACAAATGAATCTCGTGAAGGACATTCTACCAGATTCTTCTACGGTAACTCACAGACACAAAAATCTGACGAAAATTTGACATTTTCTTCATCGTCATCAACTCCAAAGACAGAAGAGGCAGAACATCGAAAAGCAGAGAAGAAAACTTTTCGCTCGAGTGGAATATTCAGATTAAAATGTAAGTTTTTTAAAATTATTTTCTTTAAGTATTTGATTTAAATTGAGGAATTTTTAAATTTTAATTCTTTTGTTTCTTTTTAATTTTCAGCACCAACTAGATCTCGCGAAGAAATGTCTACCAGTTCAATTGGAAAGACTGAAAATGTGAAAGCTGGAATTCCGGAGAAACAATCTTTTACTTCCAGTGAAAGATTGAGTTTAAAATGTTAGTGTTTAACAGATGTATTTTAAAAATATTTTTATTTATATGTAAAGTTAACAATTGTAATTTATTTGTTTATTCTCTATTTTTTAGCAACAAATGAATCTCGTGAAGGACATTCTACCAGATTCTTCTACGGAAACCTACAGACACAAAAATCTGACGAAAATTTGACATTTTCTTCATCGTCATCAACTCCAAAGACTGAGCAGGCTGAACCTCGAAAAGCAGAGAAGAAAACTTTTCGCTCGAGTGGAATATTCAGATTAAAATGTAAGTTTTTTAAAATTATTTTCTTCAAGTATTTGATTTAAATTAAAAAATTATTATTTTTTATTTATTTGATTCCTTCTTTTCATTTTTCAGCACCAACTAGATCTCGCGAAGAAATGTCTACCAGTTCAATTGGAAAGACTGAAAATGTGAAAGCTGGAATTCCGGAGAAACAATCTTTTACTTCCAGTGAAAGATTGAGTTTAAAATGTTAGTGTTTAACAGATGTATTTTAAAAATATTTTTATTTATATGTAAAGTTAACAATTGTAATTTATTTGTTTATTCTCCATTTTTCCAGCAACAAATGAATCTCGTGAAGGACATTCTACCAGATTCTTCTACGGTAACTCACAGACACAAAAATCTGACGAAAATTTGACATTTTCTTCATCGTCATCAACTCCAAAGACAGAAGAGGCAGAACATCGAAAAGCAGAGAAGAAAACTTTTCGCTCGAGTGGAATATTCAGATTAAAATGTAAGTTTTTTAAAATTATTTTCTTTAAGTATTTGATTTAAATTGAGGAATTTTTAAATTTTAATTCTTTTGTTTCTTTTTAATTTTCAGCACCAACTAGATCTCGCGAAGAAATGTCTACCAGTTCAATTGGAAAGACTGAAAATGTGAAAGCTGGAATTCCGGAGAAACAATCTTTTACTTCCAGTGAAAGATTGAGTTTAAAATGTTAGTGTTTAACAGATGTATTTTAAAAATATTTTTATTTATATGTAAAGTTAACAATTGTAATTTATTTGTTTATTCTCCATTTTTCCAGCAACAAATGAATCTCGTGAAGGACATTCTACCAGATTCTTCTACGGTAACTCACAGACACAAAAATCTGACGAAAATTTGACATTTTCTTCATCGTCATCAACTCCAAAGACAGAAGAGGCAGAACATCGAAAAGCAGAGAAGAAAACTTTTCGCTCGAGTGGAATATTCAGATTAAAATGTAAGTTTTTTAAAATTATTTTCTTCAAGTATTTGATTTAAATTAAAAAATTATTATTTTTTATTTATTTGATTCCTTCTTTTCATTTTTCAGCACCAACCAGATCTCGCGAAGAAGTGTGTGTCAGTTCGATTGGAAAGACTGAAGATCTAAAATCTGGAATTCCGGAGAAACAATTTTTCTCTTGTAGTGAAAGATTGAGTTTAAAATGTAAGTTTTTTAAAATTATTTTCTTCTAGTATTTGATTTAAATTGAGGAATTTTTTAATTTTAATTCTTTTGTTTCTTTTTAATTTTCAGCACCAACTGGATCTCGCGGAGAAATGTCTATCAGTTTAATTGGAAAGACTGAAAAGCAAATTTTGTCTTCGAGTAAAGGACCGGAAAAAAAAATTTCATTTCATAGTCAAAGATTAAGTTTGAAATGTAAGTTTTTAATAATTAACCAAGGAAAAAATGATTCGTACGATGAATCATTTTCACCTGGGTACATTTTAAAAATATTTTATTAAAATAACAATTTAAAAATTTTAATTTATTTAATTCCTTTTTTTCTTTTTCAGCACCAAGTGATTCTCCTGAAAAGCTGTCACCGTGTTCAGTTTATCGTGTACCAACAGAAACATCATTATCATTATCGTCATCAACTGGACCTGATTTAAAAATCACTTCTTCAAAAGTAGAGAAATCGAAAAAGCAAGAAGCTAAATTTTCCCATTCAACATCAACTTCAAAAAGAGATGGTAAAATTTTGTATTCTTTTTTCTTCTTTTATATTTTCTTAATCTCTCTCAATATAAAATTAATAAAATTTTCATTTCTTCCAATTATAGGTGTTGACTCATCAATTGAAAGTGGTGCTGGCCCCTCTTCAAAACGAAAGAAATACAGTGTCGAGAAATCTACAATTGGTGTTTCTTCAAACAGAAAAAGAACGTCAATTACTTTGGATAATGAAAATATTGATAAACCGTTGCATCATAAAGTGAGAAGAAGATTGGAATTAATGGGAACAGAAAAGCATACGGTAAAAGTTTGTTTGGGAAAATTATGTAAATCAGCAAACATTAAAAATCGAATTGAAGAAGATGCAAAGGTTGTTTCATCAATGATGTATGAGGCAACAACAATGGCATTATTCGGCCTATATGAAGAAACAAATGTTGAAAATGTTGAAAATTGCCCATCATTGTTGGAGAAATGGACCAACAATGGTCCCGCATTTCTGCCATTACTAATATCATTAAAGCAGAAAGAAAATACGAAACGTAAAGTAACTGAACAGGATGCAAAAATAAATACAATGGTCAACGAATATAAAGAATTAAGGAATGACATTCCACTTTATGACGGAGAATATAGAAGTGCAATAATTCAGGAGGCAGCTTTAGTGTTGAATCGAAACTTTAAAACAAATTTCACGACGCATGCAGCATCACGATTAAGAAGATATTTGCAGCTATTAATGGAAATTGAAGATGAAGAAAAAAATCATATGGAAGTAGATGAAATTCAAGAAATTTGTTCAGTTTACCGTATCAAAAATGATAATTATGAAAAAATAAAAATTAGGAGTTTTAAAAATAGCATTAAAAATGAACAAAGAAAAGAATTTCAAAAATCTCAAAAAAAAATTCCAGATGAAATGCGAGAAAAAAATACATCAGACTATTGCGATGAAAGATATGTTCGACAGGAAAAATATCACAAACATTGCGATAAAGTCTATTATAAAAAAAGGCCAAGAAGGCGAAGAAAAAAATCGAAAAAGGAAAAAGAAGAAGAAAAAGAGAAGAATAAGGAAAAAGAGAAGAATGAGGAAAAAGAAAAAGAGAAGAATAAGGAAAAAAAGAAATTTCGAAAAAGAAGGCCTTCATTTTATAAACAATCTGTTGCTGCTTTAAATCTCCTGCTGCAAGAAAATAAATGTCAAGTGAAAGGATTCCCTATTGATTTACTGAAAAAGGATGATGATGATGATGATGAAAGAAAATTGGACTTTACAAAATTGACAAAAGATAAAGAATGGCATAAATTTTTGCCATTTTTCATTATGATTCAACAACAATTTCATGATAAAAAGAAGAAGAATTTCACATTAATTCCACAAATTTCATTAGGCGTGAAGCATGTCGTTTATACAAATACTGCTTTAAAAGATTTGCAAGTGGCAACTGTTATTCAAGAAATTAAAGAAAAAAAGGCAATTTTACAAAAAAAGAAAACAAAATCAGGAACGAATAAGGATCATCTTCAAAGAGCAGTTGATAAAATGGACGATGAAATGAAGCGCTTAAGAGAAATGAACAATGAAGAAAGGTGGAATTCAATGTTCAACTTTAAATCAATCCAAAGAGGTCGAAAAAAATTAAAGAATGGTGGTAAATTCTCTGGTACAATAACGACAAATGGTGTGGACGTGTCAGTAATTTTTGATTTACCCACAAAACATGATGTTGTGCAATCAAAGAAGAAAGTTGGAAGTTACACAAAATTTTGTGGTTTTGATCCTGGTGCGAGGGCGACTCTGGCTGGCGTCAGTAGAGAAAACGATCCTAATCCAACCACTAATGTAAAAAAGGATTCAGCTATTTACATTGGTAGTTGGATGATGAGATGGCAGATGGGCGACTATAGAAGAAGAGAATTAATGAAGAAAAAAGGTATAGACATGCAAAAATATTACAAGCAACTTGCTGAGGATCCATTGATGGAAAATTTTTGCATGACTAATCCTCGAGATCGCCATCGCATAACAAAATATAGAATACATCTTTTACAAAATTTCCAATCACTTCATCAAAAAAGATCCGTAACGCGTTTACGAATTGATCGATATTCAGCACAAAAGCGACAAGTTGATCAACTTGTGAATTGGATAGTAGGTGATACAAAGAAGAAACCCTGTTTCGTTGCTATTGGTGGAGCTGAAATACCTAATTTTATCAAGGGATACACTAAAGCTCCTTTGAAACGTATTCAACAAACTCTTTTTCAAAGATCAGAAGAATTAGGAAAGGATAAATTGCAAGTCGTGAAAGTAAATGAGTTTAATACAACAAAAATGTGTAGTCGCTGTGTGAGACCACTTAAAATATCCAAGAGTCCCCATCGATACACTTATTGTGCGAAATGCAAAACAACGTGGGAAAGAGACGTAAATGCAGGGCGTAATATTCTTAATCTTGCACTTGTTCAAGAGAAGATCATACCAAAGGATTCCATAAAAAATCACCATCTATTTCGGATCAAGAATCATGACATTGAACATGAGGCTGCAGAATTGCAGAAATAATTTTTCCCATCACTTTCAACATTCATTTTTAAATGTAAGTTTTTAAAATTTATAGTTAAAAAATAGTTTTTTTTATGAAAAATATTAAAAAATTTAATTAATTTGTAATTATTTTCTCTTTTTCAGCACTAAGTAAATCTCTTAAAGGACAATGAAAAGGAGGAACCTCGACAACCGGAAATACAAATTTCTACGATGGACAATATACTGCTTAATTGCGGAAATAATTTAACAAAACATTATTCGGTCCTGGTGGTGATGGCTTTTTGCCATTGTACATACCGGGAGATCTCTTATGAGATCCGAACCAGCCTGTAAAAAGGCATACCAGGTTTTTTAAGAAATTAAAAAACATGCTACTTCTTTTATTGATTATTGTTTGAATTTTTCAAATTTTTTATAAAAACAAAAGCACATTTGTGTTTTTTTTTATAAATTAAAATAATCAATAATAGGAGGGGAGGTAATTTTGTAAAAGACATTTATTTCTTTAAATTTAAATCATTTTTCTCTTTTTTACTTATAATTTAGTTTCAGTTTAACGGTGTAATTTTTAAATTTTAATTTTTTCAAAACATTTTAACTTTATTCAACATTTCACTTTAATTTTAAACTTTTTTTTTAACAATTTCAATTTCTTCTTTTACAAAATTACCTTATAATCAGAAGTACCCTTACCAAATGCAACTTAGCTTGCACTACAAAAATGATCTTATTGGCGAAATGAACCGCGCATTTTTAAAACGTTTTATATTATACATATAAAGTACTTTAGATGGACAAGTTTTATTCTACAAATAGAAGCATTTTTGTCGCGCAAGCGCAGTTGCGTTTGGTGAGGGTACCTGGCAGCTCTGGTATACGGAAAGATAATTCTTTTCAATGGATTGGCGATCGTTTGGTTCAGTTTGGTTTATTTGTATCGCTTCTTTTTGACGTTAGGTGGTCAAAGAGGTTAGGTTAGGTATTTCAAAATTATAAAATGTCCAAAAGGTTCAAAACGTTCAAAACAATAAGCCAAAACATCTCCAAAGTTGTAAAACTCGAAAATCTATATGAGAAATTGTTTAATACGAAAATGAAAATACATTTTCATTTTTTTATCGACCAAAACATTGGTGTGTAAGCACCTTTAGATTTTCCATGATTGGACGTTTTCCGTTTTGGAATTGGACTTTCGAGGTTTTAAATACGTTATGGAGCACTCACAGCTCTGCCTGCATGCGCAGGCAGTAATTGGAGTTAGAGAGAAAGTCAATTAGAGTGAAAGAGACAGTAAATTCAAATTTGTATTGCTGCCTACTAGCTGTGAGTGCGCCTTTAATATAACGATTCGAGGCGATAAAAAAACTGTCAAATTTAAAAGGAAAATACTAAAATTTTACAAAATTATATTTTCAAGTGTCTTTACATCCAAAATAATCGATAAAAACTGTCTTCGAATTCTCATAAATATAAAAATTGACTTTTAATCAAGATAAATCTAACACAAACATAATAAAATATGTATAGTAAAAATATATTAGTTATTAAAATAATATCCAGATGATGAATAAAAATGTAAAAATCGGGTAAATTTTTTGTAATATATATTTATATTCTGGCAGTTTCTCATTAACTGCATGGCACAAACAATAATTACAATTAATTATGTACAAGTGTTTTGATTATTAAAAAAACGACTTATGTAAAAATATTACATACCAAAGATTAGAATTATTATTATTAATTATTATTTTTAAGATTAAATTCGCTTAGCAAAAAATCAATTATTTTGAAAAATTTCAATTAAATTCTTTATAAGAATTGAAATATTTTCAATACCTACAATTTAACAATTAAATTTACTCGAAAAAAATTTAATAATTTTCGAAAATTTTAATTAAATTCTTAACAAGATTTCAATTATTTTTATAATTTATACAATTTTTCGCAGACATTTAATTAATTTAAAGAATTTTTATAAAATTCTTCGCAGAAATTCAATTACTTTGAAAAATTTTGATTAAATTCTTTATGGGAATTGCGAAATATTTTCAATATAATTTTAATTAAATTTCTAAAAAAATACAATTATATTCAATACAATTTTAATTAATTTCGCAAAAGAATTTAATTATTTTTTAAAAATTTGATAAATTCTTCTCAAAAATTCAATTATTTTGAAAACATTAAATTAAATTCTTTATGAGAATTGAAATATTTTTAATATATAATTTCAATTAAATTCCTCGAAAATATTCAATTCTTAGTGAGATTTCAATTATTTTCATGATTTAGAATAATATATTTAGCAGAAATTTAATTATTTTCAAGAATTTTAATAAAATTGTTCGTAAAAATTTTAATAAAATTCTTTATAAGAAAAAATTGATTTAAATACTTTGAAAAAACTTAATTCGTTTTCTAAATAATAAAATTTAGTAAAGATAATAAAAAATCTTGTCGAATGAAAAGAAATGAAATGTTTTTCTTTAAATAATCACTGTCTAATCACTGTCGTCTGTATTTCTAGGTGCTCGTGTCAATGGACGTCGACTGTCTTCATCTGATCCGTAAATTACTTCCTCGTCCGAATCGTTTATCATCGAAAAAGATGGATTATCCTTTGTTATTGATGAATCTAAAAACGAAAAACCTTTGAATTAAATTTATTGAATTAAATAAATTTTCGACTCTTCGTCTCGAATAAAAAATTAAAAAGACTTACGTTGCCCATAAACTTGTTGGAGAGCGGGCGCATAAACATAAGCCATTGTATAGAGATAGAAATTCAATAGGCCATAGAGGGCCATAAATTGGGCGGAAGTGTGATAATACGTTGAAAGACGAGACGCAAAACTGTCCTCAAATACTCCAGCTCCAAATTTTCTGGCTGTGACTAAAGCGCAAATTCCAATGACAACCGCCGCTAATAGGGTCAAAAATCTCAATCGAAGATCTGGAAGAATATTTCCAATTTGAAGTAATCAAATTAATAATTAATTTCAAAAAAGTAGCTTAAAGACAGAAAAAAAGTAGTAAAAAAATAACTTTTGAAAAATTAAACTTGACTTAATTTTTTTAATAATTTTCTTGAGTACATTCAAAAATAGAACATTTTTTAAAAATAAATATTAAAATATCGAATTTATTTTGTCTACATGAATTAAAATATTTCAAATGATTTCAATGTAACGCATTTTTGAAATTTAACTATTTCTAAAAATTACAAAAGTAATTCCTTCAAAATATTCAATCATTTTTCAATTCATTTCTCTTGAAATTTATAAATAAAATTATTCAAAACTTTAAACGTTTTATTTTATTCAATTCTAAAGCAATGCTTCTCAGAAAGTTCTACGAGAATTCAATTATTTAAATAATAAATAATTTATCTGAATAATTGAATATTTCTTAAATTTTAATTCTTATAAAGAACTTTATCAACATTTTTTAAAATAATTGAATTTTCACGAAGAATTGCATTAAAATTTTTGATAATAATTAAATTCATTCAAGAAATACAATTAAAAAGGAACTGAAAATAATTATTAATTACACTCTATAAGAAACAAATTATATCAAATATTTCGAAGAGTTTTATAAAAATTTTGAGAAAAGTTGCCTTTTTCGCGCAATTCATTTAAAATTATATTAAAAATAATTGAAATCCTGCTGTGAGTTTTAAAAGTTGTAAAAATTGGTATTATTAAAATTTAAAAAAATTTCTGATTTTCTGAATTTCTGAGCAGAATTTTATTATTTTTAAAAATAATTGAATTCTTAGGAATTTTATAAAAATCTATTTAAATAATTGATTTGTTTCGAAAAATATTAGGAAAATTCTGTTTTTAATTACCAAAGTATGGCATCGATCGCAATTCGCTGTACGCTCGTAGAATAAGTAAAAGAAGATAAGCCCCGTAAATTCCTCCCATCGTCAGAAAGAATACCTTGAATCCCTAAAAAAGAGAAAAAATAAAAACAATTTCAATAAAATTTAAATAAAATTTGGTCGAAAATAAAGAAATAAATTTTCTCCTTATTTTCGAAAATTAACAACAATAATCGAATTTCCAAATCTTCTTACGTAATAATTTGAAGTGTCGAGAATATAATTATACGTCGGGTCCTCAAGTTCTGTGCATCTGAGCCAAGTTGCGAGTGTGAGACCAGCTCCCCATAATAATCCAACGATTAATAATTTTGGCAAATAAAATGTTGCTATTCGCCTCTCGTTCTAAAAATTTTTAACAAAAAATTACAATGTTTCTTTCTAATTTTTTAATGAATGAAATTTTGGCAAAAAGGAAAAATTTGTTTGGAGGGAAAAGAAAATTACAAACCTGTCGCAAACCGTGATAAACACAGAGCCAGAACATTAGAATAGCGCAAAGAAATGTTGTCTGAAGAACTGCGTCCAACATTCCCGGAATCCATGAATTCACCAAAAATATTAACGGAAATAATGGATCTAAGAATAAAATAAAATTAATTAAATTCAATAAATTATTATATTTCCTATTAATTTCAATTTTGAACGAAAACTTAAAACCTATTTTTAAGAATTTTAATATATAATTCTTTGCACAAGCTCAATTACTGCAAAGAATTTTATTAAAATTCATGAAAATAATTTAATTCCTGCGAAGAACTTGATTAATTATGAAAATAATCCAATTCTCACAAAAAAATTTAATTCAATTATAATTAAATATTATTTTCAAACAAACTCACTATTGTAGAGAATAAGAAGCGGCAAAAGAATGGAAATCCACTTTTGTTCAATTGACCAATCGTGCAATTGATATTTCCTCAAGGAATGCCCAAACCAACACTAAAATAGAAAATTAATTTTTATTTTCAAGTATTTATTTTTCCTTTAAAATCAACAGAATGTGTAGAAAACACCAAATAATTAAATAATAAAGAATTAGAATTTCTGAACAAAAAAGGAAATTTTAATTTTTAAATCATTCTTTTCAAAAAAATTGTAAAGTTAAAAAACCTTTACTTACCGTCACTACGAATGTGGCCAGAAGAAATATTAATCTGAACCAAATTTCAATTTGCGTGAAATCAGGATCGTAATTTTTAAACTGTGGAAATAAAAAGATTGATGAAGAATCAACATTTTAATTGTATCATTGAAATAGTCGAAAATAATAATATAAATGAAGGATTTTATTTGCTTACTGACGTAGAATGTGAGATTTCGTATCGTGTAACGTTGATGGAAACTCTCGAGTCCATAGAATCGTACGGTTATAATATAATGACTAAAGTGAAGAAATCCAAGATGGGCAATTACAAATTCCTCACAATTTTGCCTCTCACACTTTAAATGTCGTGTTCTGTAAAAAAAGGAAAAATTCAAAAACTATTTTAATAATTAATTCAAATCTTTTTTTTGAATGTTTACCTATTATGCCCCGATTCTGCAGTTAATACTGGATCTAATTTTCGATCGGTCGTGATTCCGTCTATAGAAACGCTCACTTGAAAACTTTTGTCATACCTCTCGTCTAAAATTTTAATTAAAAAAAATTAATAAATTATTAATTAATTAATCATTTTTCTTATTCTATTTTATTTCTATACTAACAAATGTTACGCGCGGAACGTGATATTTCATTTATTATTGTTATGCAAATTACAAAATTTTTTAAATAATTAATTAAATTCTAAAAAATTTACTTATTAAGTACAAAATTAATTATTACTGTTCATAATTTAAAAAATGTTAATAAAATTTCACGAAAGAATTCAATTATTTTCTAAAATTTTAATACAAAATCCTTCTAAACAATTCAATTATTTTTTTATATATATAATATAAAATCTTTACAAAAATCCAATTATTTTCAAAACAAGACAAAACTACAAAACAAGAATTTAATTATTTTCAAAAATTTCCATATAATTTAATTTCAACAAGAATTTAAAATTCTCCAAAAATAATTCAATTATTCTTAAATTTTTTTAAAAAAATTCTATATAAAAATTAAATTACTTTTAATGCAATTATTAAATATATTTGTCAAAAAAATTGAAGCAATTCAATTATTTTCAAAAAATAATATAATTCTTGTGATGAATTTATTCAATTATTTTGAATATATTTAATTTTGATAAAATTCTTTAAAAAAAATTCAATTATTTTCGAAACAACTTTAATTGAATTTCTCGAAAAAATTTCATTATTTTCAAATATTTCTATAAAATTCTTCATAACAATTTAATTATTTCTTAAAATTTTAATAAATTCTTCGAAACATTTCAATTATTTTTATAAATAAAGAAAGTTCTTCGCAATAATTCAATTATTTTTATAAATAGTAAAATCCTTTTCAGAAATTCAATTCTTTTCAAAACTATTTTAATAGAATTTCTTGAAAAAATTTATATTTTCAATTATTAACATAAAATTCATATATTTTTTAAAATTTTAATTTAATTTTTCGGAACAATTCAATTATTTTTATAAATAATAGTAAAATTCTTCGCAAGAATTCAATTGCTTTTAAAATTTTCAATTAAAATTATTAAAGAAACTCCATTAGTTTAAAAAAAAATTCATAGAAATTCTTCAAAAGAATTTAATTAGGATTTTTAAAAATAATTTTAATAAAATTCTGCCCGAGAATTCAGTTATTTTCTTAAATAATAAAATTCTTTGAAGGAATTCTATTATTATCAAATTTTTTGATAAAATTCTTTGCAACAATTCTATGATTTTCAATACATTATGTAATTTTAAAATTGAAAATATTTGAAAAAAAAATTATATAAAAAAGTTAAGAAACAAAAAAGCAAACAACTAATTTTCTAACTTCAAACTGCGAAAAGATGACCGGAAAATGTACTTTATATTATTATTAATTTTCCATATTTTATTCTAATTTTCTAATCGAGTTTTACTAAATGAAGAAAAAACAAAAATTTGATACTTTGATTAATAAAAATATTTTCTTTTGTAATTTACCATCGCTATTTAATGTGGATAATTTAGCAATAATCCAAAGTTGTTGACTGTACGTTGAGAGAGGTGGAGTTTTCATAATAAATGGTCCATTCGGCATTTCACTGCCATTTGGATGGGCCTTTTCTGGTGTCGTTGAAGTTATCGGAGGTCCTGTGAAATTAAACGATTAATAAATGCAAAAAAATAATTTCAATAAATTAATAACAATAACAAAATTTTAAAAATACAAAAAAATTAAATTTACACATTTTTACCTGTTAGTCCAATAAATACCGATAATCCAAAGCAAGCGAAGAAAGCCACGAAAACCATGACAAATTCCCTCTTGTGCATCGAATACAATCGCATTTGAACTGATCTAGATTTTTTTTTATTAAAAATTGTAAAATTAAAATAACAATATTAAAATACATAATTTGACAAAAAAAAAAAACAATATTTTATAAATAAAGAAAATATTAGTTATTACTAATAATAATTAGTTATGACTAATAGTAATTGTTTAACAGTCAATTATTACAATTGGTTTATTTTAAAAAAAAAATCTAAAGACAAGGAAAAAAAGAGAAAAAATTACCTTTCGCATCTGTCGTGATGATACGCAGGTGCAATGTATTTATTAAATTCACTAAAAATATCACTGCACTGTGATAGTGCATTTCTAACCTTGAGATTCCACCCAGCCGATGGAAGATGATAGGAATATCCTAAATTCGGACTTCCCATTTTCATTTTCATTGTCCTGAATTTCAAAAAATGAATTTTTCAAAAACATGATTCTTAGTTTCTATTCTGGAAATTTCTTTCAAAAAAAATCCTGTTAATTAACTTTTCATTTGGTTAAATTAAAGTCATTCTTTCTAAAATCGCTTCATTTTTTTTCTTTAAAAAACAAAACTGAATCAATTAATCGACACTGGTAAATTTATTAAAAAATAAATTAGGTACAATTTACGACTAATTTGTAAAAATAATAATAATAAAAATAAATAATAATAAAATAATAATCACTATTTTATTAATAAAAATATTAATTTTAGCAACAAGAAAAAAGTAAATAATACATATTTTGTCTTCGTGGTAAAATTTTAATGAATTTGCAAATTTGCAAATAATGTTAATGACAGGCAATAATTAATTTAAATGAATAATTTAAAATAAATTATACCTCTTCTGTGAAAATTGCCCTTGGCACTGTTTTTGTTTTTTCCCCTAAATTAAAGATTATTTATCCATTTTGTAAAACTGGAGATGAAAAAATTAACATTTTCTTGATATTGGCGACTGATAATTGTCACCAATTTGTTAAAAAAAATCTTTTTACTTATTTGCTTCTATTTACTCGCGAGAACTTCCCGTGTGTTATAAACTCTAATGTGCACTGTGTATCAATAAGGTACCGAACAGTACTCAGACTTAACGGCGCACATTATTGATTTTTACTCCTCTATATATGCTTACATTTATTTTCACTTTTATAACGAAACTAGCGCTCTTCCCGGTAAAAGAAGAAAATTTTCTTTTTTTTTTTTGAAAAAACACTTTTATTGATGATCAAAAAAAATATATAATTCTTTTTATCATTCGATTTAAATTTCAACTATTTTGAAATTTAGATTTTTAAAAATTTATTTTCTGAGTGAAAGTTCTCCTACTTTTATTCACAAGTATTTTTTTTATTTAAATTATGTTCAATAACTTACATTGTTGTAAGTTGAAAATTGTTTTTTTTAAGTCACGATTCTTAGTTACCTCGAGTAAAAATATTTATATACACTATGCACAATTTGAAACGAAAAGGGAAATTGTCTTTAGTCCCAATATTTAATTTTCCCGTCCCATCCGGCAGTTGCGAGTTTCGACGGTTCGTGAGGATGCCACATGGCTGAAATGCAAACTCCGTCGTGGGCTTTCCATTTTTTGTACAGTTTCGTTGTTTTCCAGTCCCAAACGTAACATTTTCCGTCTCCGTCGCCTGACACGAGATAACTGCAAAGGAATTTCATACAATTATTATTAAATATTTATCAATACTTTCCTTTTTGTTTACTGTTTCATTAGATTTACAGGCCTCGGATCGACTTTAACGAGTCAAAAAAGTCGCTTTAGTCGATTAAAAATAGAAAAAAAATCGAAAAAGTCGTTTATTTAATTCAGTGTTGTCACAAAAATTTTATTTCGTATTTCCCTGATTCTTCACTGATTTATAAATTCAATTAATAAAAACTCGAATAATTTTGCTAAATAAATATTTAAATACTTCTTATTTCCTTTTTCTCGGGAAATAAAATTTAAAAAAAATATAACTATGTATAACCCTTTCCAAAATTCAATTATTTTCTACAATTTTGAACTAAACTTCATCTCTAAATCAATTATCTGTATTAATTTTTAATAATTTTCTGAAAGTTCCTCAAGAATTTTATTACATATTTCAATACAAAAATTCAATTTTTTTTATAATAATTCAAACTGTTCATTTTTCTTTTTAAATATTATTAAGGTAGAATATTTTCAAAAATTTTATTAAAGAAATTCTTAAAATTAATTTTTTAAAAATATTTCTAAATAATTTTTAAAAGACAATATTTTTACAATTACCATACAATTAAAATATGTTCAAAAAATTAAAATTTGGTAAAATCTTTTAAAAAATAATTGAAATTTGGTAAAATTTAAAAAAAAAATAATTGTAATTTGATCAAATTTTTAAAAAATAATTGAGTTTTTAAAAAATATAAAAAAATAATCAAATTTTTAATAATAAATGAATTCTTGCGAAGAATTTTATTAGAATTTTTAAAAATAATTCAAGTTCCAAGAAAAAATTTATTACTTTTAAAAATAATTGAATTCCTGAGAAGAATTTTGTTATTTTTAAAAATAATTGAATTCTTCATAAGAATTTTATATATAAGCATTGCTTTAAATAATTGATTTTTTCGAAATATAATAAATATTATGAAAATTTTATTTTAAATAATTGAATTCTTCCGTGGAAAACTTTATTTGTGAAAATAATTGAATTTTTCGATTAATTAATTTAAAATAGTAGTATTAAAAATAATTGAAATTCTTCGATGAGTTTTACTATTTATGAAAATAATTGAATTCTTGCCGAGAATTTTATCAAAATTTTTGTTTTAAAGTTTGATTTTCCATGAAAAATGTTATTATTGGTGTAAGTATTTGAATTATTGTGAAGAATTGTATAAAAATTTTGTTAAATAATTGATTTTTTCGAATAATTTAAAAAAATGCTATTCTAAATTAATTGATTTCTGTAAAACTTTTATTACTAATGAAAATAATTGAATTTCGAATATTTTTGAAAATAATTGAATCGTATTTGGAAAAAAAGTCGAAAAAGTTGAAAAAGTCATAATATCCGAGGCTTAGATTTACTCTTAAATTACTAATTGACCCTATAATTAGATTTATTCTTAAATTATTAATTTACTCTTCCATTAAATTTACTCTTTAATTAAGATTTAAAAAAAAATAAAAAGAATAAAGGAAACAAACCTCATATCGGGAGAAAAGTCCAAACCGCAAGCGTAACCGGCAACCATATGACCCGTGAATGTTTTCTTTCGATTCATTTTAAATCGATTGAGTGCTGAGAATATGACAATTTTATTATCCATACTTTGGCAAGCGAGCCACTTTTGATTAGGCGATGGTGTTACGGCCGGCATTGAATGCATCGTAGGATCCGCTATGTACTTCATATCAACTGGAATATCCCTGTAGGAAAAAACAAATGTTTTAGATTTAAATTCTTTTTCGTTTTCAATTTTCTTCAAAAAAAAAAAAAAAAAAAAAAAAGAATGTCACTTACCATTCCCAGACACGAAGACTTTTATCATCAGAAGTCGTGACGAATCTTCGATTTTCATCCACAAATGTAATTGTATTAACAGCTCCTAAATGTCTATCATATTCTTGGGTTATTTCTCCCGATCGAATGTCCCACTGAAATTTAATTTATTCATTTTTAACCAATTTAAAATTAATTAATTTTACAAGTTATAACAATTAGAAGAGAAAAATACTCACGCAAATAATTTTCTTATCACTTGTTCCAGCGACAAATAAATGTTGTTTATCCGAATCGGGATTAAATTTAACGCAATACGGCACTTTACGACTGGTGAATTTATTTAAACATGCGCCAGTTTCGGTGTCCCATAATTTAACGTAACGATCGTAACCCGCTGATAGAAATCTTTTACCATCATTATCGAAGCTAATGTCACGCACTGCTTGTCTGTGTCCATAGTAGGTTCGTATACATCTTCTTTGATTGTAAACTTCCCAAAGCTAAAAAACAATTCAGAAAAGAGGAAATAAAAAATTTGTTATTTAGTGCCAAATTATTTATTAATTTATTAAATTAAAAGAATCAAATACCTTGACCCTATTATCCATACTACATGAAAGTAGTAAATGAGCAGTGCGCGGGAACCATCGAATTTGCGAGATTCCTTTCGTATGTCCTTCCCATGTGTGAATTTGTGCTTTTGGCAAAAAGCAACGTTCGGGAGGTGAATCTGATCTTAAATTAACGCCAACATCCTGAGGTGCGTGTAGAAATGAGCGTCCTTGATAATCATTTGTGTCTTTAACTGTAAATAGAAATTCAAATTTAGTTCATTTCGTTAAAAACAGTTTTTCTCTATTTCAGAGCTTGTTCCGAAAATAGCGAAAAAGCGAAAAAGTCGAAACTTACTGTGAAGTACAGTTCGTTCCTCGATGGGAGTTTCGGTCGTTTCCTTTCCTCTTTTATTGCGTTTAGCGAGAATTTCCTCCAATTCCGCTGCTTCCTCCTCAGTGGGCTTGATAATTCTTTTCTCATCCACATAACCGCCCCAAGGACCCAAAAATCCCTCAATATCCGCCGGATCGTCGTTCTTTTTTCGTTTCCTCTTATCCGCTGGTCTTAACGTTGTTGTTTCAAATACAGTTCTTGCCCCAGTTTCCTCGGCCGCCTCTTTAGCGCCAATTAAAATTTTACCCTCATCAACACTTCCATCGGCTGTTGGATCTAATGCGTAGCCTTCGAGAGAAAAAATATCCAATTATTACTATTATTATTATTATTATTATTATTATTATTGTTTGAAAGAAACAAATTTCAATGATTTTTTACTTTCTACTGATGATATAAATACAATCATTAATTTAATTAATTAAAGTACATAATGTAATTAATTTAAAAATCATTTACAATTCAATTATTATTTACAAGAATTTTGAACTAAAATTCTTCTTTACATCGATTATTTTTAATAATTTTCGAAAAAGTTCTTTGACAATTTTCAAATCCATTTCTTTACAATACATATTCAATTTTACGAAATTTCAATTATTCGTAAATTCTTCAATTAAATAAATATTAGAAAATAAAAACTTCAAGAAAAAATTAATTTCAATTAATTTCAATTTCAATTTCATTAATTTCATTTTCAGAGAAAATTAATTTCAAAATTCAATTATTTTAAAAAATTTACGCTATATTGCTTTTAATATTCAATTATTTAAAATTTTAACTGAAATTAATTTTTAAATAAATTTTCATTAGAAAATTCTACTAGAATTCAATTACAGTCAACTCTCGATAAGGCAAAGCGCGATAACTCAAATTTTTCGGTAAGTCAAAGTAATTATTGGGCCCCGTTCATTCCTTATAAGCATTATTAACATTTGATAACTCAAACTTTTCGATAACTCAAAGTTTTTCGGTCTCCCTTCGAGTTTGTCTTATCGAGAGTTGACTGTATTTAAATACAAAAATAAATAATTTATTGGATAATTGAATGTTTCTTAAAATTCAATTCCCATAAAGAACCATTATCAACAAAGTTTCAAATAATTGAATTATATCAACGAATTCTAATAAAATTTTTGAGAATAATTACATTTTTCGAGAAATTCGATTAAAATTGTATTAAATTTCGAAGAAGAATGTAATTATTTCTAGATAATTGAAATTTTGAAGAGAATTTTAAAATATTTTTGAACATAATTGAATTTCTGCATTCATTTGTAATTTCTCTAAAATTCTCCAAATTATATCGTACAATTTACAAACTTTTCATCCTTTTCGAATCAAATTACGGACTTTACGGACCTTTCTTTTAAAAAAACGGACCTAGTTCGCGCCCTGAACTACACTTGTAAATATATTCAATTTGTTTAAATTTCAAACTTTAAGAATAATAAAGACAAATTTAATATTCTCACCATAGCTAGTGAACGTTCGTCGCTGATTTTCAAATTGAAAGTCGGAAAAATGCGCTTTCTCAACATAACCAGCGAGTGTGTTTTTCAATGCACGTTGTTGTTGGGTTTTAAAGGGATTTTCCGGTCCCACTTCAGGGGCAAAAAGTTCCTCAAATTTTGGATTGTGCATTATTTCCTTGGTTGTTGCGTCTATGTGACGTAAACATAATTCAGAGCCCTAATGAAAAAGAAGAAACGAATTATCAATGTATAATAAAGTGCGCAAAAATTACAGTTTTTTTTAGAATAAAAGATATACCGTTGGTACAACTTCGGGTGCTGAACAAATTTTTAATCCTAACGATAATAACGAAGATCCAGTAGATGAGAATGGAATTGCATTTGTGGAGTTGTCACCAGTTCTAACCTCACTTTCTTTAGAATTTTCAATATTCGCATTAGTTTTATCATCTTCTTCGTCACTACTGCCATATCCTTGCAGGGCTAACATTTTTCAACTTAAATTGATCAATTACGAGTTATTTTTACATTAATTACAAACAGTTAATTGAGTGAATTTATTTAATTCTCTTGTTGACAATTAGAACTCACGCATTTTTTGACTTTACTCAACTTTACTGGTGTTCTAAAGTTGGTAGAATTAAATATTAATTCCATTTTCCCAGATTGGCATGCCTGAGGCCTTATGGAGCACTCACAGCTCTGCCTGCATGCGCAGGCAGTAATTGGAGTTAGAGAGAAAGTCAATTAGAGTGAAAGAGACAGTAAATTCAAATTTGTATTGCTGCCTACTAGCTGTGAGTGCGCCTTTAAGCGTCCGTTTGCACTACTCATCAGTTGGCGGGAAGTTTCAAATATAGAAAAAAACGATAATTTGAAATAAACAAATTTTTTTATTCAATTTTTTAGCTTAAAAAACTTAAAAATTTATAAAAATATTCTTACTTTACAATACTGGTACATACGAGATATGCCGAAATATTATGAACAAATTTTTTTGTCAATTAGACTCAATAAAAATTGTTTATTAACAAAATTGGGTCACATTGATTAAAAAACAATCTATTAGGTACCTATTAACGCAAAAACCTAGTATTTTTTTTTTTAAATTTGCATATTATAATTATACAATAATTATACTTTTATGCTTTTTATGTACTTATTTTATTATTTTTTCCCAGAACATTTTCTCATAAAAATTGAAAATTTTTTCAAAAGAAAAACATAATATTTATATTTTCTACTCTCACTTACGATAATTAAATTTACAAATAGTTAACATTATTAACATTAACATAATTTCAATGTAGTTGGAAAAAAAATCATCGATACAGTTATTACAAATAAATAACAAAATATTTTTGTATAAACTGAGTGGTTTTTCTTTCAAAAATTGAAAAACAAATTAAAAACAATTAAAAAAAACATTGAAGAAATTAATTAAAATATTTTGCAATAATTAAAATTCACGCAATTGTCAAATTATTCTGATCTTTCTTAACGTGTTTTTTTTAATAGTTTACCTTTTTTTATTATTTCATATATAAAAGTTACAAATGGAAAATTTTATTTTTAAAATTAAAAATTGATTTCAAGATTAATTTTGTTTCCCTTTTTTTGTGACGCGAGTGCTTCGGTAAATTAAATTTAAAAAAAGTTCTTTTTTTAATTTAATTTTCCGTGAACATATTATTAACATATTATTATTATATTCTACTTACGAAGATAATTTACTTTCTTTGTTGTTATAAATCTTCTTCTTTGCAGTTCGTTTTTTACTTTTTTTTTCTTCCTTATTAACAATTGATTTTTTTTCAGAAGTCGCAAAATTATTTCAAATTTCAATATTTTTTCAACTGTCGAAAATTAAAAATATCTTCACTATCGCTGTTCGAATTCGATTCCGAATCATTAAATTTATTTACAATTTTTGTTTGCTTTGTATTGAATAAAATTTCCTCTTTTTTTGGTCCTAAATTAAAAATGTCGTTATCATCATCATCATCATCATCACTATCTAAATTATCTTGCGAATTATTATTACTTTTTTCCTCATTTTTTTGGGGGGAATTGGATAAAATATTCTTTTTGTTATTATTTTCTTTTCTTGGTCTGTGATTTTTTTCGCGAACTAAATTGAAAATATCTTCATCATCATCACTTGAACTAAATTTGAAATAATTACTTTTTTGATTTTTTTCTTTCGTTATTTTCTGGTTTTTTATTTCTTCCTCTGGTTTTTTTTCTTGATTTCTCGGCGAATTTCTCGTTATTCTAGGGGATGAATTAGCAATTGAAGATTTCATTTTTATTTCGTTTGGAATATTTTCGTCGAATTTCGTCTCATAGCCACTGGAATTAAATTGATCGTTGGAATTATTGATTTTTTTCGTTTTCTCATTTTTGTTGTCACTTTTGATATTTTTCTTTACTTTTCGATGATTTCGAGAAGGGGAATTTTTTTCTTTTTCTTCCTCGTCGGACGAAACGGTAGACAATTGATTTTTCATATTCTTCTTCGAATTAAGTCTAATTTTCTCCATCACTTCTTCTTCTTCTTCTTTTTTATTATTTGAATTCAATTTCGATTTTTTGTTTTCTTTGACGTTCATCTTTATCGTTCGTTTCGAATTTTCTTTCTTTTTCGTTCGCTTCGAATTTTCCTTCATTTTCGTTTGCTTCGAATTTTCCCTTTCTTCTTCTTTCGTTTTCGGTCGAATTTCGAAAATATCTTCAAATTCACTTTCCTCGTTTTTCCCTTCAAATCCATTTTCTCCAACTTGTGCACTTTTTTCCAATTCATTCAAATTGGTCGATTCACTATTTTTCGAAATGTCCAGATTTGACGATTCTTCTTTTTCTTCTTTTTTTATTTTTCGTTTTTTCGGCGATTGATTGAAACTATTATTTTTTATTTCATTTTTCTCCAAATTAAATTTTTTCTCCTCGGAGATATTTTTTGAATTTTTTGAAGATTCTTGTTCCTTTTTTTTTCGTTGCACTTTCTTACGTTTTCGTTCTTTTGTCAGAATTTTCTCCTCCCGGGGAATTTCGTCTTCAGAAGATGGTAAGATGACCAGTTTTGTCCATCTTCTTGAATTTAATCCTGGAAATTGATTATTTATTGTTGATTTTCGTTGATTTTCCTTTTCCTCATTTGTATAGAGAGACAATTCAGTGAAAAGGGAATTATTTTCACTCGATTGTTTTATTTTTTCAGTCTTATTTCCTTCGTTTATTTTTGTTAAACTCTCAATATTTGTTTGGAAAATTGTTGTCATATCGAATTCTTCGTCAGAATCAAATGTAAAAATATTTGTCAAACGTTTGTTGTCAAATTTTCTATTGTTCTTGGAACTGTTTTCATTATTCGTCCACTTTTCACCGTCATCATCATCATCATCACTGTCGGATTCTATCGAGAAAATAGTTTTTATTTCAGAAACTTTGCTCGATGCTTTTGATACTTTAGCCAAGACTTTCTTTCTTTTTGGCAATTTTTTTATATTAATTTTTTTCTTCTTGGCAACTTTTCCTTTTTTCTTTTTTGTCAATTTCGCTGTTTTACTTCGTAGATTTCGTATTGAAACTCGCAGCGATTTCGAATTTTTCTTCTGTTCTTTCTCGTTGGGAAATTTTTCTTTTTCTTGTGAAATTTCTCCATTTGTTGGAAATGAATCAGTAGTTGAATTTGTTTTTGTCTCCGTTGTTTTTGCTTGAGGGGAAATTTTTATTTTTTTTGATTCCAATTCGTTTTTTTCGACATCAAATTTTCGTTTCTTTTCGAAATTCCCGAGTATCAGGGGTTTTAGAACGACAGAGCACTTTTTTAATTTTTCCCCATTAAAAATTGGCTCTTCAAATGTTGGAATCAATGGTTTTTCGTTATTTTCGTTAATTGTCACAAGTTTTTTTTTGTAAAACAACCTTTTCCTCCAGGTATTGTTTCGTTTCGTATCGGAAAAATCGAGAGCTGGATGTAAAGTGGAGGCTGTGCTCAAAGATGATGATTTCCTGGCAATTATTCGTTTGGGACTTGAATACTGCGGCCATTCCACTGGCGATCTTGGATTTGTGAATAACTTTCTTCGATTATTTTTTTCAATTATCGATTCAACGACAATATGCTTGTGCTCGACAATTAATTCTTTAAAGTTTGATTTCTCCGATGTGGACGTATCACATTCGTAAATTTCCGGACTGTCGCGAATATTTCTCAAACTTGGAATGACGTCTTCGATTTTTAAACTTCCGGTCGGCATTCGTAAAATTGTGGTTGCTTGCGAATCGGGTAGAATATGATTGTTATAACCATAAACAACTGTTGATTGTGAATTTATCGTCTTCTCGTGCTCTTTCTCTTCAGTTGAAATTTTGGGAAATTCATCTGTACCACAAACGTCAATGTAAACATCGGCTTCGTCAATAATATTATTTCTATTCAAACTCAAATCGTGTAATTTTCCATTTTCCACAATTGTTAATGACATATTTTTCTTGGCAAGATTTGAGGATAAAATATACTGGCGAGTATTTACGGAATCACTGGAAACAATGGAAGAACAGAGTTTTGTTGGCTCACTTGGAATAATTGCTGGTTGCGGTGGATGTGGTGAATTGTGTTCTAAGGGTGAAATTGCCGTTGGATGAAGCGCTGAAATTTCCTCCTCTGACAATGACGTTTCTTCCGGTGAATTATAATTTTTGTCAACAACCGATAGACAAGGAGGTTTTCCAGTGTTCACCCAGTATTGAACACTTGAAATTGGATTTCTCATTGGTAATCGTTGTTGGCAAATCTCCTCATTTTCGTCGACTATCAATTTCAATGTCTCCAAATTCAATTCTTTGACGTCGCCTGTCTGTTGAATTTAATAGATTCAGTAAGTAAATTCAGTAAATATGATCCTAAACTTCTCAACTTTCAAATGAACGAAATTTATTTATTTATTTCCTCTACAAATTAAATTTTTATTACAAACATTTTGCTTCACTGTCAAAAAAATTAATCATAAAGTTTCTAAATGTAAATTTTCAGTTATTACAGGCATCACAGTACCTTTTTTCCTCAAAAAAGGTGAATTTTTTTCAACTCTAAAAAACTTTTCTATTACATTTATTTACGAATTTCTTTAATTGTAAAATTATTCGAAAATAGCAATAACTTCCTTTTTAAATAAATGTTTATAATCATTATTATTTTTCCATAAAAATAAAGATTTTCAAAATATTCAAATTCAAATCATTGTGAAATTCAGCAATTTATAATAATTAATAAAGATGACCGATTTTAATTTTAATTTTAAATTTTAATTGGAATCAGTGATTTCTGAAAATAATTTTAAAAAATATTTCGTTTATTTGAACGTTTAAAAATTGTGGATCATTAGTAAATAAATAATTAGTAGATTCAGTAAATAAAGTTATAAATACATTAAATAGAAAACTCAATTGAATTACTTTACAGATTCAATTCATAAACAAAATATACTCACTTCCATTGAATATTTTTCGAAAAACTGTTCCCACGACCGTTTATGCACTTCCAAAATCTCCTTTGACACATTTACATCTGTCGGCAGTCCTAATTTATTTTTTGATCTACAATCAATAAATATCATTTTAACATTTTTTTTTCAAATTCTTTAACTATTAATAACCAAGAAACTGAATTTTTAAACAAAACTGTTTATCTGTTCGAATAACAGTAATAAAAAACGGTAAATAATAGAAAATTGTTAATCTGTTGGTATAATCAAAAAAACGGAAAATATGTCAACAGGTGTAAACGGTGTAAATTGTGTTACTCCAAAAAAATGTAGAAAGTACAAGTTTCTTTTTGAAAATAACTTGTTTCCTAAATGATAAAATCTGGATAATAAACAAAAAATGCATTTATGAGGAAAAAAATATACAAATTCAGTTAACTTACAGTTATTTGACACATATCAGTGAATTTATAATGCACATAACCTTAAACTTACCTTTTATGTAAACAACCCTGTTGCATTTGTGATGGAAACAATTGTTGAACTTAGTAGCAGAACAAATTGAAAGTACCTATTATTTATTGTCCATTTTATTTAATTTAAAAACTATAGCCACTATTTATTATCTTTAATCTTTGACTTTTGAACTTTCTCTTTTTTTTAAAATAAAAAAAACACACGACACAAGTCATTATAGAGTGAAGTTAGCTGATAGTTTAATTTCTATCCACATGGTCGCAATCATTAAAGTAAAACTCAATTCACAGGAGTGAAAATTGCAAAATTAGTTTACCTTCTCAACCCTGGTGTCACCTGGTGTCCCTGGTGTTCAGTGAGGTTATGTTTTCAAATCGAAAGACAAAATTTTCAAAAAGTTTTCATTTTTTTAATAATTTAGATTTAAAACCATCTTCTCACTCATTTTTTTTAAAACTATAAAATTTTTTTAACAAATTCTTCTATTCGTAATGTTTAAATTTTGAATAAACTTGTAAAATTTTTAAATTACAATTCAAATGTCAAAATAGGTGTAAGTAATCAGCTGATTTGTAAATTGACATTTCGTCAATAACGTCAATACTTTTTATCCTTTTTATTAAACAAAATTAGAAATAATAATAAATTTGTTATTGATAAACTTGTACTTTTATTAATTTTTCATAAATTTTACAACGTCTAGAGTGCTTTTTTAACAGAAATGTAACATTTTAGGTTAATTTCTAATTTTTTATTTATGCTTAAAAATTTATTGGCGTGTTATGACAATTTGACAATTGGATTTTAGGTCCCTTAAAAAATGGATAAACAAGCTATTGATGATGCATTGGAGGCAGCTCGATTAGCAGTTGAATATGACACTAGAGAAGAATATAAACAAGCTATTTATTATTATGCAGCTGCAGTGAAACATTTACAAACAATTCAAAATCCAAGTCTTTCTGAGAAAGCTGCGGAATATCAGGAAAGAATAGATAATTTGCAACAAATCCGTAAGTTATTTGGTCATAACAATTATGTACACCTATTCTATTAATAGATATAAATATAATATAATTAACAAATTAAAAATACGGACGTTAAAAAATTGAAAATTAATTATTATTGTTTATATCTTTTAAAATTTTAATAAAATTGCGAACAGATTACCGGAATACAATGATTATTAACATAGAAGATTTATTATTTTAGTTTCCGATGAAGAAAAGGATTCTTCGGATCAATTAGATGAAAGTGAATTAGAAAAATGTAAATTACTTTTGAATCAAGCACTTGACGCTGATGAAGCTGGGGACAGGGAGAATGCCCTTAAATTATACACCGAAGCCGCTGAACTTGGAATTAATGCCGTATGTATTTTATTAAATTGTAAATTAATGTAAATAATTGAAAATCGAAATTTAATTCATTTACAATCAATTAAATTAACTTTCAATCATAATTTTTTAAAAATAAAATTAGCAATATTAAAAATAATAGAATTTAAAAGTTTTTGTTGAAAACACTCAATTATTTTTATAAATACCTAGTAACATTCTTTGCAAGAATTCAATTATTTTCAATACAATTTTAATAAAATTCAATTGCTTTCAAAATTTTTAATTAAAATTATTAAAGAAACTCCATTAGTTTCAAAAAATTCAAAGAAATTCTTCAAAAGAATTTAATTAGGATTTTTAAAAGTTTTAATAAAATTCTTCGCGAGAATTCAGTTATTTTCCTAAATAATAAAATTCTTTGCAACAATTCGATGATTTTCAATACATTAATTTTAAAATTGAAAATATTTGAAAAGAAAAATGATAAAAATTTATAATTTGAAATCATTAATTTGCAATGAACAGAATTAATTTAATTCTAGAAACCAACGAATACAGAGATAAAGGCAAAATTAACGAATCTCGTTCGCTCTGCTCTTGATAGAGCCGAAGCGATAAAAGGTATAAATAGAAAAAAAATAGAAACATCAGCATTAAATTTGCCTTCAGTTCCGGAGACAGATTTACCGAATGAAACATCGATCCCAAGTATAACGGAGACGAGTCCAGGTAAAATATTGTTTTCTTTCTGTTTCCTTTGAACATAAATTAATGGATTAAAATTTACTGGCAATTAAAATACATTTATATATTTAACATTTCAGTTCAACAATCGAAACCAAGTTTACATCGTGGAGACAGTGCGCATCTTAAAGTTGTTGGTGGCAATGCTGAATATACTGATGAGGAGAAAAAAGTATTACTTCATAGTTCAAAAATTAATGATAATGAATTTGTGCCTTTTATGAATATTGATTTAACCGAACGATTTAAATATCCAATTTCATTTACTGATAAAGATGGACTTTTGGAATTGTCACCAAAGCAAAAACCCGATTTTGCCCGATGGTGTCGACCTGAGGAACTTTTTTCCGATCCTAAAATGATTATAGGCAATCATATTGATTATTACAGTATAAAGCAAACAGTTAAGTGAAAATTGCTTTACATACTTTTATTTCCTATTTCGTTAATTCATTTAATTTTTTTTTAAATTTGTTTTTGTTTTTTAGTAGAATTGAATAATTTAGAATTTTTTGATTTTGAATTGATGGTTTCTTTTTAGGTTGTTTCTGATTGTTCGTTTGTTGCTTCCCTGGCAGTGAGTGCACAATATGAAAGGAAATTTGGTCGTAAACTAGTCACGGAAATTATTTATCCGAGAAATCGGGATAAGACACCAATTTATAATCCTTTTGGTAAGTAAAATAATATGTTTTTAAACAATTGACACAAATAGAAATTTTTATTTTTATAGGTACCTAGTGATCGAAAAAATGAATGGAAAGAAAAAGTTTATTAATTTATTAATATATTGATTTCTTTTTTGTTCAGGAAAATATATGATAAAATTACACATCAATGGAATACCGAGGAAAGTGATAATAGATGATTATTTGCCCGTGAGTAGACACAATCATCTACTTTGTTCCTATTCGAATAAAAGAGGAGAACTTTGGATTTCATTGCTGGAAAAGGCCTATATGAAAGTTATGGGTGGTTACGATTTTCCCGGTTCAAATAGCGTGAGTTCCTTTTTAGAATTATCACCCATTTCTTAACTGTTTTAAAAGCTCCTTCGAGATAAAATTTACGAAAAATATCATATTGATATTAAATATTATAATGTTTTTTTCCTTCTTTTTTGAAATGTTTTAGTTTAAAATTATTAAATTTTCTACAATTTCTTTTCAAAGAATATTGATTTACACGCGTTGACTGGCTGGATACCGGAGAGATGGGCAATTAGATTAAACGAGCCGGACTTCAATAAGGACCATTTGTTTGACACGTTATTTTTAAAATTGCACAGAGGCGATATTTTAGTTACCGTTGCTACTGGTGAATTATCAGACGCCGAAGCCGATCGCACTGGACTTGTTCCCACTCACGCTTACGCCGTTCTTGATGTCAGAAAAATAAACGTAATTATCACAATTTTTTTTATTGCTAACTAAATTTATTTGAATAATATTTAGTATATCAGGCTTCGTACTCGATAATTCATTAATTAAACTTGACGACTCAATTTTTTATAATTTCTTAATTACATTCAAAAATAAAATCATTTTTTAAAATATTTAAATAGCAAATAGCTATTTATATTTTGTCTACAGGAATTCAAATATTTCCAATTATTTTTCAATTCATTTTTCTTGAAATTTATAAATAAAATTATTCAAAACTTTATTCATTTTATTTTATTCAATTTTAAAGCAATTCTTCTTAGAAAGTTCTACGAGAATTCAATTATTTAAATAATAAATAATTTTTCTGAATAATTGAATATTTCTTAAATTTTAATTCTTATAAAGAACTTTATCAACATTTTTTTTTAAATAATTGAATTTTTTCCAAGAATTTTATTCAAATTTTTAAGAATAATTGCGTATTTAGCGGAATTAACTTGAAATTATATTAAAAATAATTGAAAATCCTGCGATGAGTTTTATTCTTTGTAAAAAAAGATTTTTTTAAAAAAAAATTTATGAAAATTGTGTTTTAAATAATTGTATTCTCGTAAAAATTTTTATTATTTATTAAAATAATTGAATAATTGTGAAGAATTAAAGAATTTTATTCAGTTTTTTAAAAATAAATTGAATTCTTGCGAAGAATTTTATAAAAATCTATTTAAATAATTGCGGTTTTTTGTTCGAAAAATATTACGAAAATTCTCTTTTAAATAATAGAATTCATGTGAAAATTTTTTTTGTTTATATAGATAATTAAATGTTTGCGAAGAATTTTATAAACATTTTTTTTAAATTATTCAATTCTTTTGGGAAATTTTTTATTAATATAGGTAGGTAGTAGATATTAAAAATCATTGAATTACGAAAAATTTGTGAAAATAATAAATTAATCATTTTAAAGAATTTTATTAAAATTTTTTGAATTTTTTCCAATAACTGTATTAAAATTTTTGAGAATAATTTTTTTATTTTAACTGTTAACAAATTAAAAGTAGTGTAAATTCTCAAACATGGAAAAAAGTAGCTTTTAGTGTAACAAATAAAAAAAAGTATCCAAATAGTAGAAAATCGTAAAAAAAGAAAGAAGTAAATAATAGGTTTTAGTAGATGAGTGCGAGGCCTGATATATTAAAATTTTACACTTTTATAAATTTTTTTCTCACTTTTTTCACACAGGGTGAAACGAGATTGTTACAATTGAAAAATCCCTGGTCCCATTTGAGATGGAAGGGAAATTTCTCTGAACTCGATAGAAATCATTGGACAAGTTCTCTACAGGAGGCATTAAATTATGATCCCGATTCGGCATCTCAATTTGACAATGGTATTTTTTGGATTGATTACGACAGTATTTGTCGATTTTTCGATGTTTTTTATATTAACTGGAATCCAGGATTGTTTAAATACACGTATTGTATTCATCAGTGAGTAATTTCTTTTCTAACAAGTATTTTTTGATGGAAAATATTTTCAAATAGAAAATACTATTCAACTTTTATAAAAGTTGAATTCTATTTAGAACAAAAAATGAAAGAAGATTTTGTTTTTAAGAATGTGGAGAGCTGGAATTGGTCCAATTCGCGATGCGTACAATATCGGAGATAATCCACAATTTTCTCTAGAGGTGCTACCAAATGCTCAGGGAGCGGTTTGGATTCTTCTCACTCGACATATTACTGATATTGCCGATTTTCGACAAAATCAAGAATATATTTCTGTTCTTGTTTATAAAAATTCTGGGAAAAGGGTTTATTATCCACGTAAGAAATTTTGTTCATTAATTAGTTTGCTAATTTCCTTTCAATTGTGGTGTTAAATGAATATTTTTCTGCTTTTTCGACAGATGATCCTCCTCCGTACATTGACGGTGTTCGCATCAATAGTCCACATTATCTTTGCAAAATAAAATTGGGACCCAACAGTGATAATAAATATACTTTAGTAATTTCTCAATACGAAAAAACTAATACTATTTATTATACGCTACGTGCTTACGGAACGTGTCCCTTTAAACTGCGGAAAATCGCCGATCCTTACAGGCACATGAAAGAGGTATTTAATAATTATATTAAAATATATTTATTATTCTATTTTAATTAAGGAGTGCTTTTATTCAATTGATTTTCAATTTAATTAATTAATTTTCAAATTATTAATTTTTAAAGGAGAAGAATTATTTTTCTTATTACAGATAACAAACGGAGAGTGGAAAGGAATAACGGCTGGTGGTTGTGGAAATCATCCGGCGACTTATCAAAATAATCCGCGTTATCAATTACAATTGGAAAGTTCGCACAATAATAATTATTTGCTCATTATTCTAAAGGGACCGAAACAATATCAAATTGGTTTCGAAATTGTTTCCGTCTCTCTCAACGATCAAGAATCACCTTCGGCTTTCAATTCAAAAAGCTCCGGCCTCTTCAGGTAATAACAATTTTAAATTATGCCAATAAAATCTATTTCAAATAAATAAATTAAATTAGAAATTTAAGAATTGAAAGATTAAAAATTGAAAATTGAAAAATAATACCTACAATTTTTTGTAATTTTTAAACGAAGAATAAAATAAATTTCAGATGCGGCTTTGTTTATTTGGAATTGGAAGACGTTCCAGGTGGTACGTACAATATTATTCCTTCAACTTATTTGCCGAATCAAGAAGGACCATTTTTCTTAACATGCAAATCTTCGTGTAACATACAACTTGGACTAATTCAATGAAATTGGTATATTTTAGCCTAGTTAGAATCAATGCCACCATTATTAACTTTATATACCACTAATTGACCTCACGAAACAAAAAATGTTATAAAATTTTCTAAACTTTTTATCAATCTTTACGCTAAGCTTCTTCTCTTTTCCTATAAATAATACCTACACAATAAATTGAATGAGAAATTTCTTCATAATGAAAAATAATACACAAATTAAAAAGTGTAGGTAATTATTGCACAAAAAATACTAGAAATCAAGTGTGATTTCAAAATAATTGACATGACAAATTTTTATTATATAATATTATACAATAATTGTATGAATTTTTATGAAAAAAATTTATTATTTGTAAAAAAAATTCTTTGCAAAATTCAATTATTTTTAAACTATAAAAATTTCACAAGAAATTCAATTATTTAAAAATTTCCTTATAAAATTCCTCCAAACAATTCAATTATTTTTGCAAAAATAATAAAATTTTTACAGAAAAATTTGCGGAATTATTATATAATATTATAATTTAATTAATAATTATAATAGTATAATATTCTAATAGTTATCATCTTTTTTTTCTAAATTATATAATTGTTTATTATACATACTAATATTATTACCGTTTGGAAAATTTTTTATTTTAATAGTAGAAATTTTATCAATTATTACGAATTTTTTTTAATAATAGTTATTAATATTATTATTAATTATAAATAATAATAATTAGTATTAATATTAAAATTATTATAATACGAAAAATACTAATTGTAAATTACACAATTTTGTACATAACAAATAAAATTTTATGAGAATTTTAATAAAATGTTTAATTAATGTAAAATAAATTTTTGACTTTTTCTATTTTTCCATTTTCGTCATTTTGAAATCGTCATTAACCTTTTAAATCCTTATTAATAATGATAATGACTTTTTTATATTTGAGGAGCAATTTTTCAAAAGCTGATTTTGTCAATTTGAGAAACAAATGACAATCCAATAAAATTAACTTTCAATGTCAAAAAATTGTAGAGAATTATTTATATTTGAACATTTTTCGACTTTAAAACGTTTTCTTGCAATTAAAGTCCATTATTATTAGGAACTTCAACTTTTTGGTTACTTTCTCTAATAAAAAACAAAAATTATAATTTTTTGATTATTTTCTCTAATAAAAAATTAAAATTTCAATTTTTTGCTTTTCTTCTCTAATAAAGAAATAAAAATTACAATTTTTGTTATTTTCTCTAATAAAAAATAAAAATTACAATTTTTTGGTTATTTTCTCTAAAAAAGAAATTACAAATTATTCCCAAACATTTTTCAAAATTGAAAATTTATTTAAAAAATACATTTTTTTTTCTTAAATTCAACTTTGAAAAATCAATTCATGATCTCAAATCTGTATTTCTCGATTTTTTTCTCCATTTCGAAAAATGGATTTATTGGATTTCGAAAAATTACTCCTGCAATAATATAATTATTTATGGAATAATGGCGTCAAAATTCGATAAAAATGAAACAGTATTTTTATCTCCAAAGCAATTTTAAATAGAGGAATTTTTTTTTGGCGTTTAAATCACAATTGATAACTAATAAATGAGTCATTAGTTAATAACTTAACACAAAGGAGGGCAAATTGCGAATCATTCTTTCATTTCGAATGGAAAATAACCGGATGCTCTTTCATGCTGTTATTAGTACGATTAGTTCGCATTTAAAACTATAGAAATACATAAAAATAAACCCAAACCGGAAGTTGTCATTATATTGCGTTTCAATTTTATTTTAATTTAGAAAAGATAAATGAAAAGTTCAAACCTGTTACAATCGAATAAAATTATTTTTTCGTCAAATGTAATATTTTCTTGGTAATTTTAAAGAAAATTTTTTAAAGATACATAACATTGTATGCGTAATTAAATAGTGATTTGACTCCTGCGTCAATAGAATTCTATCCGATTTTATCAGTTTCTATGTGAGTTCTATTGAACCGTTAGATTTTCCCATTTTCCCCATTGATCTAATAAATTTAAAAAGATAATCACTTTCTTTTGTTGGTTATAATTTTTAGAAAAGTGTTATTAATTAATCTTTTTACAAAACAATGTCGACGATATTAATTTATTTAAAAATATAAAATTAATTAAATTTTCTGTGTAGAGCGCATGTAGAGCGTGTAAAGTAAAAGAAGTAGCCAATCAGAGGCGTTTCTAATCACACTCGTCAGCCATTGGCTCTTTCTGTTTACCATCTTGCCGCCAAATTCCATAAAAACGTTTCTGATTGGCTACCGAGGAAAGTGTCCACAAATGGGAAAATTTGACAAAAACCATTGCGGACAAGAGGGAGAAAGTGAGTTTTGGAATGCCCGGTTTATTTTTGGAACGGAAAGCTACTATATGAAACTGCCAAAAGCAAAGGCGCCATATTGCTTGCTTGTGTTTGGTTGCTGTTGCGGCGCGTGGTCAATTATATCGTCTCTAATTTATAACCATGTCTGATAATCAGGTAAGTTTCAACATTATTTCAATTCTCTTGATAAATTGCATTGGAAATTATGTTAATTATTGAAAAAAGTGTTGTATTTGAATGATAAAATTAACCGCTATAACCTTCGCGCAATTTCAGGAACAAAAACCCGATTCCGGCCCAGGAGACGCGAATTCGGAATACATCAAACTCAAAGTAGTTGGAAATGTAAGTCGGCTTTTCTTTCTTGTTATTTCATTGGGAAAATTAATGTTAAAATCAGTGTAATTGTGTTTTTATTAATTTTCTCTACAATTTTTTTTAGGACAGCAATGAAATTCACTTTAGGGTAAAAATGACTACTCAAATGGGAAAATTAAAGAAATCCTACAGCGATCGCGTGGTTAGTATGGCGATTATTTTAAAATTTTTTGATTGTACAAATTTTCTTTGTTCAACTTGGTTTTTTTGTTGTTGTTGAGTAGAGTGTCAACTTTTTTCCTTTAATCCAAGTTTTTCTTTGTTTGATAATTTTTATTTTTCAAAGTTTTATTCTAAAGAGAGTAAAAGTTTCATTTTCTCTCGATGACTTTTTGCAAAACTAGTTTTCTCCTTTTTGTTTAATTTGCGTTTATTATGGTTTTTTTACATTGTGATTTTAATTTTTGAAAAAAAATTAGTTAATTTCAAGATAAAAAAAGTTTAATTAAATTTAACTCTATAAAATTTGTTTTTGAACGAGATTATTTAAATTTGTTTTTTTATTCTACAGGGTGTTCCCATGACAAGTCTCAGGTTTCTCTTTGATGGCAAAAGAATTAATGATGATGAAACGCCAAAGCAGGTAATGAAATACTTTTGCTCTTTGTTTTCTAAACATTCCTGGAATGTGAATTTTTATCAACGCTTTGCGCTCTTCTACTAAAACTTACTATTTACTATTTTTTTTTTTTTAACATTTGCTACTATTTAAATATTCTTTTAAAGATTTGTGACACTAAAAGCTACTTTTTTCTTCTTTTTGAAAATTGGCATTAATTTGAAAACTCTAATAATTGAATTTTAGTATAATTTACAATTGAAGTTAAATAAGAAAAAATGTAAATATTATTGATGCGGAAATCAGGCAGGAACATACAGAATCAAATTTTTCTAAATCGACTAAAATTTAATTTTTTGATAAATACATTTTACTAATTTTTTTCAGTCTGAAAGCTACTTTTTGACAGTTTTTTTTTTTTTGTAAATTATCGAGTATGAAGCCTGTTTATCTTTTTGAAAATTTTATTTCTTTTTTAACGAATCAAAAAGTAATATATATATAACGCTTTTAATAATCAATTTTATTTGAAATTCATTTAAATACAAAAATAAATAATTGAATTCCTCCGGAGAATTTGAATAAAATAAAAATTTTTAAGGATAATTCCATTTTGTCAAGGAATTTATTTATTTATTTCTAATTGGAAAATTAATTTGTTTACAGTTGGAGATGGAAAATGACGACGTCATTGAAGTTTATCAAGAGCAAACAGGTGGTTACTACTGAATAGAAGTTTAATGGAGGTGCCATGCAATTTGGTTTTCATATTTTTTTTACGAAAAAAAAGTGAAAGTGAACAAACGGACAAGATTTAAATCATGTTCATGTGTTAAACAAAATCATGTTGTATAATTTGACATCGACGTAACAATCTGGACGTGCTGGTTAACATTCCCATAAACAATAAGGCAAGTTTATCAAATTGCTCATCAGCAGAAACTGTGTCTATTCTTTTTTTTTTAATTTAATTTATTTTTCTTCGATAATATCCAGTGTGTCAAGTAATGTTTCTGTATCAAAATTTCCAAAAAAAAAGAAGAAAATCATTATTTTCTTTTATTAAAAAAGATGTCGTTTATTTTTATAAAAAAAATAGCACCAAGTTTGTTACGTTAAAAAAGATTTTTCAAATTTTTTTTCTATAATGCGTTGGCAAAAAAGCGAATTTATCAAAAAGAAAATAATTGGAAATTATCTCAATAAAAAATTATAAGATTCATTTGTTCAAATTTGATTAAATTTTTCTTGTAACTTTAATTTATTCAAATTGGGCTTTTCGTTGATATTTTATTTAGATATTTTCCGAAAAATATATTTTTTTTTTGATAATCTTAAACAAATTGTATGAGAACACGAATTTGCAACAAAAAAAACAAATACTAGATATTCCAAAGGTGGAATTGCAAACATTTGCGGTTAGAGTTTTTCATGGCCGACGGATTTAATTCCAACTGTAAGCTTTCAGTAATTACATTCTAGATTATAATGTTTTTAGAAATTAACAAATTTTCCTCGTTCTTTTTAGTATTCCAGTTAATTTTTCTTTCTTCCTTTATTGTTTAATATTCTACGTAAAAAAAAGAAGTCTTTGAAAAAAGAAATAAAATAAAACGTGCTGAGACGAATATTATATATGTAATAAAAAGGGTACGTTTTTTATCCTACGCGTCGCAAACATAAAAAAAAAAATTATGTATTACCATCTTGGAATTTGTATCAATAGATGATCTTTTTCTTATACCGAATTCTGGAAGTTGACATTTATAAATATATATATAATATAATCACAAAATTTACCGTATGCAATATTTCTCTTCATTGAGGCAACAAATTTTTTTTTTAAACTTTTAATCATATTCGGAATCTAGATATGAATTTTCGTTTTCCCCCTGGACTTTAAAAAAAAGCTGCTTGATTTTCAAACTACAATTATTATAATGTTTCACACTAAGTTTTGAATTATTTATTTTTCTCAAATATATATAAAAAAGTGTTACGAGAATTCAAAATCCAGCGGCTCATTTTCAACAATATTGTCTATATTTAAATGTTTTTAATTTGTCTATAGGTTCAATTTTTTAATAAAACGAATAAAAAAGTAGGAAAAAATGTACAATAATAAAAAATTGACTTGCGGGAGTGAAATCTTTATAATTTTCAATATTTTTTCTCACTTCTCGACTACAAATAAGTATTTCACACGTATGATTAGATTATAATATTATTGTAAGTTGCCTTGATAATATATCTGGATTCCATAAATAAAATATTGTACAAAACAACTGTCGAGCATTTTTTTAAATTATAAATTTTTTTAATTAGGTACTAAAAAAACAATTGAATTTTGGAGAATTTGGAAGATTATTGCCGAAATTCAATTATTTTCAAAATTTTTTAAACATTCTAGCCAAAATTTCTCAATTATTTTTATAAATAATAAAATTTTTCTCCCAAATTCAATTATTCTCAAAAATTTTATTAAAATTTGTCAAAAGAATTTAAATTATTTTTTAAATTTTTAATAAAAAAATTGTCAGCAGAAAAATTTAATTCTTCTCATTCAATTTAAAAATTTTCCTTTAAAATTCAATTATTTAAAAGATAATTTTAATAAAATTTTTCTAAAACATTCAATTAATTTAAAAAAATTTAAATAAAACTTTCTAAAATTTCTCCAAAAATTCAATTATTTTTAAAAATAATAAAATTTTTGCCGAAAAATTTGCAAAATTCAATTATTTTCACAAATATAAAAAAATTTTTCTAGAAATTCAATTATTTAAATAATTGGCATAAATTTTTTCGAAGAAATCAATTATTGAAATTTTTTTATAAAATTCCTCCAAAAAATTCAATTATTCTTAAAAATAATAAAATTTTTACAAAAAAATGCGCAAACTTCAATTATTCTCGTAAATAATAAAATTCTTTTAGGAAATTCAATTATTTTCATAAATAATACAATTTTTGACAGAAATTCAACTATTTCTATAAATAATAAAATTCTTTTTTATGAATTCAATTATTTCAATAAATAATTAAACTTATCGGAGAATTTGAATTATTTTTAATATAATTTTAATCGAATTTCTCGAAAAATGTAATTGTTATTAAAAATTTTATTAAAATTCGTCGAAAGAATTCAATTATTTAAAAAAATTTATTGGATAAATCTCTTTATGAGAATTCAATTTTAAGAAATACTTTCAATTATAGAATAATTTTTTTATTTTTTTAGGTATTTAAATAATTGAATTCTTGTAGGATTTTCAAATAGAAAATAGATAAATTTTTTGATAAATTTTAATTCCTACGGAAAAATAATATAATGAATAATTCATGGTAAACGAAAAAAAATAGATTACAGGAAATGAAATTTGACAAATTTGTTTCCTTTTTTTCATAACTTTAATGTTTAAGTATTTATGCAAGAACATTCCTAGAAAACAATTGATTATCTATGTACAGATACATTTTACTCAAGATTACTTAGGTAACAGTAGCTGCCATCACATCTATACATATTTACAACGTTTACAACCATTATTATGAAGCTATTCCTTTCTTTCCTTTTTTTATTCACCTTCTTTTTCAATATTATAAGAAATGAAATACGTCAAAACTTCTTAAAGACTAATTTTCGCAACAATTATATTAAAATACAATTGAAAACTATTTCTATTTTTCGTTTTCTTTTTAATTTTTCCAAACCATATTATAGCGCAAGAAAAAGAGAAGCAAAGCAAACTATTACACGATTTCTTTTTCTTCTTCTTTTTATTTTTATTTTTTTTATATATCACTTTTTTTTAAAAAAGATTATTTTCTTTCTTAAATAAATGTTTATCGCGATAAATCTGATAGTTTCTCTTACAAGAATATTGCAAATATGTTCTGTATAATATTTTTCAAAAGCATATTTTTCATTATCGGTGAGATATTTATACATTTTTACAAAATGGAAAGGACATTATTATAGAGAAAAATAAATCCAATATATTTTATACAAAAAAAGATTGAAAAGCATTTAATTTTTCTTCAACTTCAAAATTCCGTCTGATTCTTTCTTTAAAACAAAATGAAAAGAATTTCTTTCTTCTAACACCTCTTTTTTAATACTTTCCCTTGACTAAAAAATTTATCCTATTCAGTTCAAAATTCTTTTCTTTTCATTTCGTTTTTTTTTTCTTTAAAGAAAAAGTGCCAAATTTAATCGAATAACAACATTTTTCTCGTCGATTTTTTTTATATATAAAATATATTGGATCGATACACAATAAACATTTTTCAAAAAAAATAGTAATAGTGACTATACGTGAGAAAAAAAAAGTATTTTTCATATTCCGTCTTGACATTCCCCAAATTACAAAATTCGTTCTAAGCATAAAATTTAATTTGAATATTTTTCCTATTTATAGAAATAATTAAAAAAATTCTTTTTCCTTTCGTCCTTTGCTCAATCGAATTGTTACAAAGAGATATAAAAAAATGGGAAGGCTTCATTTCATTTCGAAGTAACAAAAGATATTTTCTATAGATTTCTATAGAAGCGTATCATCCATATATATATATATATATATATATATATATATATATATATATATATATATATATATATATATATATATATATATATATATATATATATATATATATATATATATATATATATATATATATATATATATATATATATATATATATATATATATATATATAATATAAAGTTACAATTATTAATATACATCATCATTTAAATTATCTTAACAAAAAGCAATCTCATGCCAAAAATTCAATACATTTTCCATTAAAAATCGAGCATTTTTGTAATGTCAAAAATTTTTCCCCTTTTTATTTAAAATTTAAAACAAAAAATCTCTTCCTATTTTCTCAATCTGTTCTCCTGCAGATTTTTTTATATCAAAAATTTCCACTAATTTCATTTCTTTTTATACTTGGAAGAAAATGGTTCAACTTGAGCAGAATTTGAATTGGTCCCTTCTCTTTTTTTAACCATTTACATTTTTTTTGAGTTTAAAAAATTAAAATCAAATGTCAATAATGACATTCAGTGATTGCTTTTTCAATTGTCATGCTATTAAACGAAATCTTAATATTTTAGAATTATATTAAGTATAATAAAAAAGGAGCCTAATTTTAATCACTTTGTCTATTTTTTTGTGACAAGCAGTGACATCAACACATGAAAATTGTGCTGAAAATAGGACGAATTTTTTTTTTTATTTTTTTTTTTTTTTTTTTTTTTTTTACTATAATTATTAATTTATTTTCCTTCTCGAGAATTTTTTCATTTTGTAGCTTTAATTTTATTAACAAATTTCGTATTTTTTTCTTAATTCCATAGACACAAGAGAAAAATTGTTTCGGATGTAAACATCTTTTTCAAAAATGCTCAAAAAATATTTATTATCTTCCCGTTTTACTTATCGGGCGATTTTTTTTATCGAAATTAATTTTCTTGTTCCATTTATACTGAAACAATTAAAGAAAGAGATATTTTTCTTTCTTTAAAAATGAAGCAAATTTTTTCAATTGTAATTTAAATTAAATCAAAATTAATTTTTAAACCCAAAAAATGTTGAATTTATCGCTTGTAATTAAATTTCGTTTCTATTAATTAAAAATCAAGGAGCAAATATAAATTTACATGAAGAAAACTGAAAAATTATTTTTTAACTCAAGTTGCAAAGAAAAATTAGAGAATCGACGGGACAGTAAATCTTTTTTTTTCAAAATATATCTCTTTCTTGGTGTAAAAACTCACAGTTAAATTATTACTGCAATCGTATGATCTGAGAGACTTTAAAATAAAATTTACAAAAGTTTAACAACAGTCAAGTTCAATCAACTTCTTCGATTTGATCAATTTTTTGCAAACTGGCTATCACCACGTTTTAATACTTTCAATTTTTCAATTATAATCATCATCGTTTATCATAATTATCAATAAATAATTACGATCATTATAAAACTTTATCATAATTATCGTTTTTTTATCATCATCAATATCATCAACATCATCATTATTTTCTCAAGAACGACAATAGTTTAAATTATGGATTATAAACATCTCATAATTTTCAATTATCTCATTATAATTATCATTAATATTAATATTATTATTACTGTAACGACTAAGCATTGCATCGGAAAAAAATAGAAAAAAAAATTGAGAATAAATATGTCTAATTTCTAGTGGAGCAAAACTGTTAAAAAGTTTTCGAAGCGTTATTTAATAGCGAGTCAGTGATTGATGGAGGAATTGTGTGTGTTTGTGTGTCAGAGAGTTGAAATTTTTTTGATGCGCTTCGAATGGGCTATGCATTCAACAAAATGAAAGGTCACAGCGCGTCGCGATGCCACACCCAAGTCTTTTTCGTGTGATCAAATCTATGTGCAAGCCACTGTTGTTCCAATAATTGATATCGATCTTGACTTAGATATAAAGGTTTCCCTCTCCTATTAAAAAGGAAAAAATTTTCTTTTAGTATTTCATTCACTTTTTTTCTTACTTCTACATTCTTTAATATATTTCTTTTTATTATTAACTCATTTATTTTATTATTAAATTATTAAATAATTTTTTAAAAAGAATTATAATTTAGGTACAGACTAATTAATGTCCCTAAAGTTCTGAACGTTCAAATGAACGAATTTTTTAAGTTACTTTTTTTGAAATTTGAATTTTCATAGAAAATATTAATTTACAATTATTAAAAAATGAATTATTTTCTTAATGTATTTTATCTTTTATTTTTCATTAAAAGATAGTAACATTGAAAAATATTGAAAAGGACAAAATTTTCGTTCATTTCAACGTTCAAAACTTTAGAGACACTAATAATATTTATGCGAAAATTTAAAAAAATGATTTTCTATTTCTCTTTGTTCTTTTTCCAGGTCTCGGATCGACTTTAAGAGGCAAAAAAATTACTTTAATCGATTCAAAATAAAAAAAAAGTCGAAAAAATCAATTCAGTGTTGTCACAAACAATTTTATTTTGTACTTTCCTGATTTTACCCTCTCACTGATTTCTAAATTCAATTATTTAAAACTTGAATAATTTTATTAAATAAATATTTAAATATTTCTTATTTGTTTTCCCACGGGAACAAGAATTTAAAAATTTCTATATATTGTAAATTTACAATACTTGTGAAAATCAATTATATTCTACAATTTTTAACTAAATTTTATCTCTAATTCAATTATTTTTAATAATTTTCTGAAACTACTTCGAGAATTCAATTATTTTAATACAAAAATTCAATGTTTTATAAAAATAATAACTGTTCATGATTATTTTTTTAAAGTTTTAATTCATTTTAATAAGATTTTTTTTAAAGTTATAATATTGTCGAAAAATTATAATAATGAAATTCATAAAATTCAGTTTTTAAAAATATTTTAAAATAATTTTTGAAAGATAATAGATTTTCAATTATATGTATACAATTGAAATTTGGTAAAATCTTTTTAAAATTATTGAAATTTGATATAATTTTTTTAAAATAATTGAAATTTAGTCGCATTTACGAAAAATGGTCGAAAAAAGTTATAATACCCAAGGCCTGTTACTTCAATTTACTCATTTCTTTTGTTCTTCTGTAAAAATTGTTAAAAAACAAAAATTTTATTGTCACTCACTTTAAATCTTTATCCTCTTCTTCGAAGTCATCGAGATACAATGATCCCCAAAGACAGGCTCTCTTTCCGCGAATGACGATAATGTATGTTGTCGCTACCACTAAATAAATTCCAGTTCCACCTCCGCATTTATTTGCGTGCTAAAAAATAAAAGAATTTTTATTTTTTTAAAAACTCGTCTCATTGCAAATAGAACAATTTAAAACCTATTTTCAAAAAAAACTTACTTCCACAGCCTCACAAATATTATTTTGCTTACAACAATTTTGCTTCAAGCACACAATTTCACCACATAATAAACAAATACTAATTTCTTGAGGTACTGAAAGACACTTCCGACATTGACGTTCATGATAATACTGAAAAGAAGCAAAAAAGAAATTGTTAATAAAAATAATTCATATTATTCATTAATATTAACGAAAAAAGTGACTATTTCAGTTTTATCTACATAATTTTTTGGGAAAATAATAAATCGACGAACCGTGAATATTTTTTCGTATTCCCTAGGAAGACTGAAGAGTTTTGGCATCTGCCAATTAATATGTTGGTCGACGATCAAATTCTTGGCGGCAATTTCACTGCGATAGACGAAAGCTTTGTATTGTTCGCACCAAAGACGCGGAACTTCGATAGCCGCATCGCCGTCCTGCCAATTTAGAGCGACAAGGGAGCAAAAGATCTCCATGTCCATTCCCTCCGTGACGAGTTCAAGATAATAGACAAGTCTCACAAATTCCTCCTGCACTGAGTGTATAAACGGAATCGGCTGCTCGTATAAATGATGTCTTAACAATGCGGCGACTCGCAGAAATGGTAGGCACAAACTTTGAACCTAAATATTTTAATAATAACAAATGATTCTTAACTTCTTCTTTTGATAATAACAAATATTTTCAAAAAATAAGTGAGAAAAAAAATCAGTAAGAGAATAATTAAAGTAATAAGAAAGAAAAACCACTCAGACGTTAAAGACTTACTATAATTAAGGTAAGATTATTAATTAATTGAATAATTAAAGTGAGATAATAGAATTAATTTCAAAATTTGAAAAATTCCGAATTGCAATTAAAGTGAGATAAAAGTGAAAATTGATTTAAAAATTGATAGTTTACCATCAATTCCAAATTGAGCGTTTTTCCAGGAAATTGAATATTCGTCGCTGACACTGGTCGTCTACTGGACGATTCGCTTGTCGATGGATCGTTACCATAAATTTTACTGTCATTAAAATAGCCAATGACAGTGCTCAATGTTGTTTCCAATGAATGTGAATCGTGTTTGCAAATTTTTGATTTTCGAAGAAGAGCACTTCTCTCCAATTGAGATAAGTTGCAACTTATTTGAAGAACAACTTGATAATACAAAAGATTGTAAATAACTTTAACGACGGCCGAAAAGTAAGCTGCAAAAAAAAAAAAATTTAATTAATTGTATTGCTAACAGGGTGTCTAGCGAATCGTCAATTTAAAATTCCCGGGGTTTTCCCGGTTTTTTCCCGGGTTCTTGAATAATTTTCCCGGATATTCACAAAGGATTTAAAAACATATTTAAATGTTTATCAATAACATTATTTACGTAATTAAATATTGTTTTTATTAAATTACAATGATTAAAGTTATACAATAATTTCTAAAAACTTGACATAGAATATCAAAATTTCACTTATAAAAATTTCTCAACTTTATAATATAATTGTCAATTCAGGGGAATTTAAGAAAAACTTTTTTTGAAAAAAAAAATTCCGCTCGGTACATACATTATACCCTTTGAAATACTTGTAAAATTTAATTAATTTCTCAAACCATGAATTGCACATTATAATGTTTACATAGAATTAAACTAGAATATTTAAGCTTTATTTTTACATAAGTTTCAAGAAAATCGGATGCGACGTGTTTTGAGATATTCAAAAAGGTTATCTTTCAAACTTAATTTTTTTCATAAATTCTAATATTTAAAAAAAAAAATTTCTACCATTATAAAGTTGAGAAATTTTTGTTTTAAAACCACTAATAGTAAATAAAGTTTGGCTTCAATAAATATAAGAAATAATGATTTAAAAATTGCCTTACAATGTCAATTGTTTATAAGGAGGATCGTTTTAAAATGGAATGCCCCATATTTAGTTTTAAAAAGTAAAATCTTTGCCTTTCCTATATCACAGAAGATTCTTAATTTCTTCTTATAAAATTTGTTACGTATTGTATACCTATAAATTGTTATATAAAAATAATAATAGTACAAATCCTTTAACTTTTATAATATAACGTATACTAAAGTTAGTTTTAAATAAAATTTAAGTTATTATTTTTACTACTGCTTCATACTATCAATTTACCCTTGACGATTTTGAAAAAAATTATAATTTTTTATATACATAATTCAAAAAATACCCTATAAATAGAAAATTCCCGGGTTTTTCCCGGTTTTTCCCGATTTCCCGGTTCGCTAGACACCCTGGCTAGTCTTTCTTCTTTCTATATTAATAATCGTTGATTCCGGTAATCTGTTTGCAGTTTGCTTTTTTTGTTTCCTAATTTTTTTTTTTTAAATATTTTTAATTTTAAAATTAATGTTTTGAAAATCATTGAATTCTTGTAATTTTATTTAAAACTTTGAAAATAATTGAATTTTATAAAGAATTTAATTATTTTCAATAATTGTGATAAATTTCTTTAGTCAATTTATAAATGATAAAAATCTTCGTAAAATATTCAATTATTTTTATATAAATAATAAAATTCTTATCAAGATTTCACTCTTATTTTCAATACAATTTCAATTGATTTCTTCGAAAATTTCAATTATTTTTAAAAATTAATTGTATTCTTTCGAGAAATTTGATTAAAATTGTATCATTTGCTAGTTAATAAATTAAAAATAAAAGATTTATTTATTCGTAGTATTAATACTATGTAGTTGAATATAATTTATTTTCTCCACAGAGAATTGACAATTGAAATTACCTTGATCTAAGTGTAAGGGCAGTAGGAGAATAAACTGCAGAAGCAGAGCTGTTGGATCCCTGAGAAGTAGAGGAACTTCTTTCTCGTGAGGTATAAGTGCCAACGGCGTCGAGGCGTCCGAGGGTAAACCTGCCAATTGCTGCCAAGTGTGGGACACTGACCAATTCGTCAAAACTCTCGCGTGCACCGCTAATACGTGAAGCAGGGCAACTGCAAAAACAAAAAAGAGGAGAAAATTCCCGTATAAATAATTTCAGTAAAATTGTTAAAGAAAAAAGCACAAATCTTAGTAAATTAGTAAAGAAATAAAATAAGAAAAATGAACAAATACCTAAATTGATTTAGAAAAGAAGAAGAATAAAAATTGCAAGAAGAATATTTGGATGATAATTACCGATGCAGTCTCGTTTCGGCGTGAGTGGAACAGTCGTCGGTGGAATACAAAGCGAACCGCCACGTTGAATCAGTTCAACTTCAAAATTTGTCCTCGCCACCGAAGTTACAAAAAGAAATAGACTTTCATGACTAGGAGTGATACCCTTTTGATTATACTTTAAGTACGTGACGCCCGTCATATCCTCCATGGCTTTTCCCATTGCCACCGATAAGTTAGACGATGTCTATATTTCAAAGAAAAAAATTACCTTTTATCACTTTTTACTTCTCTCAAAAGAAAAAAATAACAAAACCTAATAAATAATTAGAAGCAAATAACAATGGCAAAAAAAATTAATAATTAATAAATTATTACGTACCCGATTTCGTTGAATATCATTGAGAAAATTATTAAGTTCGGAAAGTATTATCTTCGGTGACGCTTGCCGAGAGCGAACAATTGCGGCGCATTCACCCAATTGTGGCGATAGAGGTAAAACTGAATTCGCCAATTGACGACACAATGGACACAAATATTCACCGCGTTCAACGGCCAATGTCTGTTGTCTCTGTTGATTGCGCAACGTTTGTAAATATGATTTTAAACAGTCCAAGTGTAAATGATGACCGCACGTTTGCACATGAACACCGTCCTCCCAGCCTTGATTCACCGAAAGTAAACAAGAATTCTGCAAAAGAAAAAAAGGTAATTAATTAAAATTATAATTTATTAAAATAATTAACTAATAATAATAATATTATTTAAATTAAAAAAAATAATCAATAATAATTAATTAGTCAATAAGTAGGTTAATTTTTAATACTTTTGACATTAAATTTAAAATTTAAAATGATGATTGTTATAAAAACAAAACAAAGGCAAACAAAAAAAACATTAAATTATAAAATAAAGAAAAAATGATAAATTAAGAAAAAAAATTTACCAAATCGAAATGTCTCGTTAATTCCGTCATTCTAATATCAAGAGCAGCACCACGAGTTTCAGCTTTAGGTGTCGTTTCGCTTGATTGCGTGGAATCATCGTCAGAAATACGAAGAATTAATCTATCAGAATGTCGTCGTTCATGGCCCATAACGCTCGTTGCCTGAAAATTAATAATAATTTAAATCAATACCAATGCAAAGAGTTGTAAAAAAGAAGTGAAAGAAAAAATATAAAAAGAAAATTTAAGATAAAAAAATATTAGAGGAAAAGAAAATTAAAAGAAAAAATATTAAAAAGCAAACAAAATTATAAGAAAAAATACTAAAAGAAAAGAAAATTAAAGAAAAAAATACTAAAAGTAAAGAAAATTAAAGGAAAAAATATTAAAAGAAAGAAAAGTTAAAGGGAATAATATGAAGATAAAAAATGATAAAATAAAAGAAGAATAAAGTAGAGAAAAAGGAATTAATAAGTAGAACCAAAAAAACTCACTTGTACTAAAACAACGAGTCCCATAGGTTTATCCTCACTACTATGAGTCGTTTGATTACAAATAACGCAATCGTATTCCTTCTTGCTGATAAGTTTATTTTGATTCTCCTCACCACTCCAATCATTGCCGGAAGCTTCTGCCTCATCAATTTCCATGGCCTTCTCCATAAATTGTTTCTGCTTGTTGGCAAATTCGGCCATAACTTGTTGCTGTCTCTCCTTCGCTCTTCGTTTCTTCTCCTCCTTCTCACGATGCTCACGTTCACGTTGCTCGTCCTCGTATTCCTGCATTCTCGGCCACAATTGGTTTCTAGTCTCATTAATACTATCCTTACACATTGGATCCAGATTCTCAATTTTCTTCAACAATTGCGAAATAAAATAGGGTCCATCGCCAATACGCGATTCCTTCTCGTCATCAGTCGAACAGCCACTCATTGCCTCCGCATCATTCGTCTCATGTGAATCGGAATAATAACTATCGGGCACGCCGGACAATTGCGAGTGAAGTTTTAATAATAGGGAGATTATACTTTCTCCTAATCTCAACATTGTTTGCGGATGTGAAGATCCGACCTTTCAGAAAGAAAAAATTCCTTTTTAAATAGAGAAATATTTCATTGCTTATTAAGATACGAAATTCTATAATATACAGAAAATTAATTCTAAAATAAATATAATGGTTTTAATTTAATTTAGCAGGGCTCGAACCAGTCAAAGTATGTATGTATTTAAAAATACTGACTTCTTCATGTTTTATAATAATTAAAGATGACCGAGTGATAAAATCATTTACAATTCAATTATTATTTACAAGAATTTTTAACTAAAATTCTTCTTTAAATCGATTATCTATATTAATTATTAATTTTTAATAATTTTCGAAAAAGTTCTTTGACAAAAATAATTGAATTTCTAAAAAGAATTTTATTATTTACGAAAATAATTGAATGATTGCGATGAAATTTATAAAAAAAATTTGTAAATAATGAAATTTCTGTGAAATTTTTATTATTTTTTGAAAATAATTAAAAGTTTGTGTATAGAATTTAATTTAATTTTTTTTTAAATACATAATTGAATTCTTTTGGAAAATTTGATGAAAATAGTAAATATTGAAAATCATTGAATTGAGGAAAATTTTTGGTAAATAATTGAATTTCGGTGAAGAATTTAATTATTTCTAAAGATAATTGAAATTTTGACGAGAATTTGTAATTTCTCTAAAATTTTCCAAATTATATCGTAAAATTTACCAACTTTTCATCCTTTTTGAATGAAATTACGGATTTTTACAGGATTAGTTCGAGCCCTGTTTTAGTAGACTTTCTTCACTCACTTGAGGATCTCTATGTCTAAGATGTCTTTGAGTATTTGAGGTTGAGGGTACAATGTCAGTCGTAACATTTTCAGACCTTCTCGAGAGTCGAGGATAAATTGTATCTAATTCTAGATTTTGAACCGGAACTACTTCGTTTCCAGCCAGAACAGCGGGGACGGTAGGCACTGGAGGTAGAGCCGGTGGACCTACATGATCTGTTGGAAATGAACAAACAAAAATTTTCAACACTTTCTTCAAATTAGAGTTTAGGTAAAAAAGTAAAAAAAAAAGTTATTAGGAAATTACGTAAATAGGTTTTTGTAAATACATAAGACAATTTTTGACATTACAAAAAGAGAAAAAAAGAAAATAAACAGAGACAAAAGACTATTTTTTTGTTAATAAGGTTGACGAAACAACTTAAAAAGAACATACGGTGCGGTGAAGGAGGTGATTCAAGGGCAAGGGCCATGGATTCTTCGATGGACGGTGGCAACGCTCTTTGCGGAGGTGTTATTAATATCTCGTCACTATTGCCACGTGGAATGGCAACAATTCCATCTTCAGGTACAATAGCCATGCTATATTCAACTACAAAAACAATAGTTCAACATCCAATTCGAGACAAATAATAATGATGATGATGATGATGATGATGATTATTACATAATTTGAAAATTAGTCGAAAATTAATAGAAAGAAAGATAATGAAAATAGAGAAGAAATAAAAAATGAGTTGAAAAATAATAGAAAAAAATAAAAAATAAATTAAAAAGAAGTAGAAAAGTAACAGAAAAAATTTCCCGTCTAATGAATGAAGATTTAATCAATTAATAAGGAACAGTTAATACACAAAGTAAGTTTTTAACTTTTGAGTTAAATGAAGAATTCCAATTAATTAATGAAAAGAGTGAAGAAAAATAATTAATAATTCTTTAAAGTGTGTTTGTTTTCTTTTGTCTTGTTTAATTACCATTAGTGCTGGAGGGTAAAGCCGGGAGCGAAGCGGATTCGCCCATTGTATCACTATTTGCGTCAACAGTCTCAAAGGCAAGTGCCAAAGCATTTTCAACGACACTATCATCTAACATTAACGACGAAGCTACTTCAGTCATTTCTCCTTGAACTTCCCAATCAAAGTCGCCTTTAAATTAAAGAAAAAAAATGTTAATAACCGTATTTTTTACTCACACATTTTTCTACTTTCTCAATTATTTTATACTTAAATTTTTGTAATAATCTGCAAACGAAACATTTGCAAACAAAAAGAAAATTACAAACAAAAGGAAAATAAAAATCTATATTCGACTAATTTCCAAAGAAGAATTTTTTTTTGGGGGGGGGGGGGATGTAAGATAAAAAAAACTTAATAAAATAATAAATTTAGAAAAATACTTACAATATTCACTAGTCATACTGTTGTGCTCCGTTTCTTGCATCAAAATAACTCGAGGCACGACAGTTCGAAGATTTTCTGATAAATCGTCACTTGCAAACCAACTCGACAATTCCATATCTTTTATCACACGAGAAGACTCTCCACTTGTATACTGACACAATGGATTGCTCTGCAAAGATTTTATTGTCAATTATTTAATTAAATCAAAGTTTGCTTTGCTTTTCTTCAACTTACAGCTTTATCAGGAACTTCAGCGCTCATAACAGCCATTTCTAAAAGATAAACCGCCAAAGCCATTACATTTTCCGAAACATTGTGACCATTAACGGATTTATACAAAATAATATAAATCATTGCGTGGAAGACTTTCGATCGAAGAACGAGTCTTGGATCGTCATAATTCGACGAAACAGGAACAGGATGTCGAAACGGTGGCCAAGGCGTTGCACTATTTTTCACTTTTCCCGATTGTTTTACACTGAAAAATAGAAGGAAAAAAATTAATTCTTCGCTTTTTGATTCGGAACTTGATTAATTTAAGTTATTAAGTTCATATTTAATTCTCTAAATTAATTAACTTCTTAAGTGTCGATGGCAAAGAAAAATCTTTTCCATCAATTTTCCATTCGATTCTTCTACATAGTTGCCACAAAAATTAAATTTTGTTTTTCCCTGATTTCTAGACAATATTTAAATTAAAATTTTTCAAAACATTCAAATTCCAAACTTTTTCAAATAAAATAACTTAAAAGAATATTATTATAAAACATGAAGATATCGATGACTTCTTCCTATTTTATAATAATAATTAAAGATGACAGAGTGATAAAATCATTATTTTATATTATAAGAATTATTGTTACTGAAACTTCTTTAAAATTATTTTTATCATTTCAAATCAATTATTATTTTCTAGAATTTTTAACTAAAATTCTTCTTTAAATCAATTATTTTTAAAATTTTTTGAAAAAGTTCTTTTTGATAATTTTTAATTTAATTTAATTAAGATGAATTCTTTGAAAGAATTGCGTTAAAATGTTTAAAATTGAAAATAATTTCAACAGAATTGAAATTAAAATTTTTCAAAAAAATACTTTTATTATACGTACTATTTAATAAATCGATCCATAGCTACTTGAAAATCTTTTCTATGAACCGCCCTCAGGGAAACGTGCAATGGATCGAATAATTCTTCCCAAACACGTTGTTTTGGACCGTACATTCTCTGCTGCATGTTTCCACTTGCCTCAGTGTTTTGAGCTCTAAAATCAGCGACCTAAGAAAGAAAAAAAATTTTTTAAAAACAAACTAAATTTATTAGAAAAGAATTCAATTTTTTAACATAAAGAATACAACGTACGTCTCTTAAAATTGCCTCAAAATCACGATTTTGAGTTGTGCCACAACGTTCTGGCATTAATTCCATTAATTGACTGTGCGTTTTATCTCCGATGCATAAAAGTGTCACCATTTCTAAACCAGCCATTTCAGCGTCCGAAAGTCCTACAAATTAAAAAAAAAAAACATTATTATAAGTTCTTTTTTGGCAGATAAAAATTTCGATGATAAATATTGAATCGCTGAGTTTACCTAAATTCGTTCGAATATTGAGTAACGTTGCCAAAAATGTCAAACAACTCTCGAGCATTGGAGTATCGTGTTCACCTTCAAGATATTCATTCTGTGGCGCATGATAGAGACTGAGACTCATCCATTCTCTCACGTGGAATCTAAAATTAAATTTATTTTCAATTAATAAACTCTTAAATATTACACACTTAATTTTTCTTTCTTTGTTTATATTTTATGTAAAACTATCATAACTAGCGCATGAAATTCCATTGTTCACTGTTAGTAAAACAAATTTTCTTTGTGAACTTTAACAAAAAATTCTTTATTTTTTAAAAAATATACTTTTTTTTAAATTGAAAAAAATTAAGAATTTTTTTGACGACTCATGTAGAAATCGCCAAGATATTTCTAGTTACGAGTACATTTAAAAATAATTTTTAAAAGTAAACAAAATAAACAAATTAATATAATTTCTTAAAATGTAATTTATTTCAATGAAATTTGATAAAATTTCGAATTCCACAGGAATTAAAATTTCAAATAATTTCAAAGAAAAACCTTTTGAAATTTAATAAATTCTAAAAATTACAACTGCAATTCCTACAAAATTCAATTATTATTTAGAATTTGTTTGCTTCTTTTGTTTCCTAACAATTATAATACCTTTTTCTTTTTAATTGCTTTTAAATTTCTGAATTCATTTATTCAAGTTAATTGAATTCTTGAAAAAAATTGTATCAAAAAAGTTGAAAATAATTTAATTACTTTGAAGAATTTTAATATTCATGAAAATAATGGAATTCGTTAGAAGAATTTTATTATTTTCAAAAATAATTTTATTCTTGGGAAGAATTTTACTATTTGTAAAAATAATTGAATTCTTGAGAAGAATTTTATTCTGTACTTAATAAGTGAATTTTTAAAAATTTTTAATCTGAAATTATTCGAAAATTGTAATTTATGTTTGAAAATAATTAGGAATAATTTTTAATTATTTTAAAATTATTGACTAAGTGAACAAAAAAATATTTCTTTATAGATGGGTGATTCTCCTGAAAGGGACCCTTTTTTGGTTGAATTTCCAAAAAATCAAATTATTCTTTTTTTGTTACTTTTCTTTCTTAAATAAGTTTAGAAAATGTTTAAAGATAAAAATATAAGTTGCGCAAAATTAATTTTCAGCAATAAGACCTCCAGGAACATTTTATTATCATGTGTTCAAGAGGTTAAGTATAATTAATTATAACTTTTAAATTAATTATTTTGTAAAAAAAACTCGGTAGGAATATTTTTTTTAAATAATAAATTATTATGTTTTAATTTATTGCACTTTTTGATTGTATATTTTATTTTTATTAAATTAATAATTTAATTTGAGGGTTAAATATTTCAAAACAATGATTACAAAATTAAAAACAAAAGAAAACGCCTATCAAATATAAAAAAGGCTTCGGAGATGAATTGATAATTTAATGAAAAAATTCTCATTTTTTCTAATTTTAAAAATATTACAATTTTTTAAACAATATTTTTAGTTTTAATCATCAAATATTTTCACATCGATTACATATTATGTTTAAAACGTTAAAAAATATGATGTTATTATATAGAAAATGAGGCTTCGGAGATGAATTTAATTTTTACTCTCATTGATAATACTATTTTAATTAATAATTTAAATAACTTTTTTTACCTTATTTTAAACAAATGTAAGTAAAAAATAATCCTTATATTCTGAACTTTAATTTGATATATATCATAAATATGTTGAAATTATTTAAATACGTTAAAATATAATTATAAAATATACATTCTGTTTAACCAAAATTCGATGACACAATTAAATATGTTTTTTAAATAGGAAGAAATTTAAATATAAGCAATAGAAGATTATATAAAGATAAATAAATCTTCGTAGATTATAAATAAATTTTTCAAAAAATTTAAACTTGATAAAATAGTAATGAAAAATTAATTTAAATAATGAACCTCATGTTGGAGACACGTGAAGTGGTCCCTTTCAGGAGAATCACCCAGATAGAATGATAGAAATATTTTTTTTCTATAAAAATACTTACTTATCGATGACTGTTTTCAGGAACACATCAGGTTGTAATTTCATTGCACAAATTTGAAGAAGATAAATATCAGCGTCGACCATGGAATTGCAGAAATTCGATTGAACATAAGTCATCGCCTGTCCTTTAATTTGTAATCCATTACGAACCCAAAGGCCATTCAAAATTTCGTAAAACGCCACCTGAAATTAAATTTGTTTATCAATTTTCTTTTATTATAATTATAATTCCACTGAATTCAATTTAATTCAATAAAATAAATAAAATGAATCATGAATTGAATTAAATCCACAACTTTCTATTAATTAAATCAAATCAAATTGAATTATTTAATTAATTAAAATTCAATATATTTAACTTTTGTCAAATAGAAGGAAAGAAAACAAGTATATTTTACAAAAATAATAATAGAGCAAAAATCAGTTAGGTATTTATTATAATGGATTTCTTCGATTCGTAGAATAAAAATTAGCATTCCCCGTGAAAAAGTGAATCACAAGTGAGTCACTATTTAGTTTTGAGAAAGGACAAAAAAAACCTCATTTTTTCTCTTATATACAGTATGAAAGAGTAAATTGAACGTTAATAATTCTGGGTCAGTGGACTCGGCAACGTTTTTCCGCCCACGCAAAAAATTATTTATTATTGCGTTGAAAAGCAATCGAGAAAATGATAAATAATTTTCTTCATATAATGTGCGGTGAATACCCTTAAAAAATAGAATCATTGCAGAGAATGAACGCAGTCATTGGTTGAAGTGGAAAAAGGGTTTCAATGTAATTTCACACTGCCAATCCAAAGCAAACAAAATATGAAACATCTGCTTTACAGGAACGTGCCTAGTTCAATCAATTTCAATTTTATTCTCCACTTTTTCCCCAAAAAGAAATAGGTATCCAAACTTGCCTATTTCATTTAATTCCAATTCTATTCTCTGCTTTCTCCCTAAAAATAAATATCTAAACAAAATTAATTCCTTCCCAAAAAAAAAAAAAATTTCTAGACAAAATTATACTTTTTTCCTCAAACAAAACAATCTAATAAACAAAATTTTTCACCAATATTATTGAATATTAAAAATTTGATAGCTTTTTATAAATATAAAATAAATGAATGAGAATTCAATTATTTACATGCAAAAATAAATAATTTATTGGATAATTCAATATTTCTTAAAATTGAATTCTTATAAAGAACTTTATCAACATTTTTTAAATAATTGAATTCTTTTAGAGAATTTTAACCAAATTTTAAAAAATCATTGCATTTTTCGCACAGATTTATAACTTATGAAAATAATTCAATTCTTGAGACGAATTTTATTAAAATTATTTTGAAACAAATTAAACTGTGAAAAAGAATTTAATTAAAATTTTTGAAAATCCTAATTTTGTTCTTCAAGTTTTTTTTTAAAAAATTTTTCAATTTTTTAAAATAATTGTGTCTATTATTAATAGTTATAATAAAAAATTTAACTATTGAATTTCACTACGAAAAATTTTATTAAAATTTTTTAAAATAATTAAATTTCTGCGAAAAATTTTATTATTCAATTATTTTCAAAGTATTTTTAGTTAAATTTTTTTCTTATAAAGAACTTTATTGAAATTTTTCAAAATAATAAGATTTTTCCGTAGAATTTTATTACCTAAATTTTTTGAAAATAATTAAATATTCATTCAAAAAAATTTAATTAAAAATGTATTGAAATTAATGATTAAATTCCAATAAACAAATTATATCAACATTTTTAAAATTACCTACATATATTATTTTGAAGAATTTTAATAAAAATTTTTAAGATTAATTGCATTCTTGGAGAAATTTATTTAGAATTGTGTTAAAATTGAAAAATAATTTAAATCCTACGATGAGTTTTATTAGTTATAAAAATAATTGGATTCCTGAGAAGAATTTTATTACTTATAATAATTTAATTCTTGCGAAGAATTTTATAAAAATTTTTTTAAATAATTGATTTTTTTCTCAAATATTTTATGAAAATTGTGTTTTAAATAAAATTGCATTCCTGTGAACATTTTATTATTTATAAAAATAATTGAATGTTTGCAAAGAATTTTATAAACATTTTTTTTTAAATAATTGAATATTGGAAAATTTTTCGAAATATTTTGTAAAATAATTCCTGAGAAGAATCTTATAAAAATCTTTTTAAATAATAAATATTTTTCGAAAAATTTATGAAAATTCTGTTTCAAATAAAATTGAATTCCTGGGGAAATTTTTTATTAAAATAGATCAATTGAAAATAATTGAATCATTTGAAAGAATTTTATTAAAATTTGTTGAATTGTTTCTACGAATTATTTAAATTTCTGAGAATAATTTTTTTATTCCAACTATTAGTGGATTTAAAGTAGTGTAAATTTGAAAAAAAGCCTGATAGATATTAAAATAATTTATTAATAATACCTAATTATTTACTTGAATTGTGAAACAAAAATTCATTTTCATTACCAAATCATTAAATATTTAAATATTGAATTCAATTTTAAAAAAAAATGGTTTTTTGCAATATTTTTTCTTCCATTTTTGAATATTCGAGAGAGAAAATCGACTCCAAAAGGGAAAAAATGCATTAAATGAAAAGAAATTTGTAAAATAAAAGCTCCAAGGAAAAAATAACGGTATTCGAAACGAAGAGAGTCTGAAGGACAAGAAGGACAAGAAGGACAAGAAGGACAAAGCCTTCCTTTTTCCTGTGAGCCTGGGCTTTTACGAGTTTCTCTCTTTGATAATAAAACGAACAAAATGAGTCATCGGGTCTGTGAGAAACTTGTTTCGACCCTGCTTTCCGATTCTAAAACTCTCGCTGTTGCAGCCAGTGAGCCGCAACACTCCAGCAGTTGTCAGCAGTTAACAAAAGTTAACAGCAGGTTAACACACCAACCATCACAACTGAGTTCTGTTTCCAATCTCGTTCCCCCAAATGTAGTTAAAGCGTCTATCAATTTCCTTCTTTTTCTCACAAATTTTCGCAAGTACTCTTCTCATTCCACAAGGCCATGATTTAAATTTACTTCTGAAAAAGAGAAAATTAGTCAAAGTGTGCTACAAAATGAAGAAAATAAGCAGTCTCCTAGTAATTCTCCTGCTCACAGTGCAATTGTCATCGTCATTTGACATTAGTTTCGGGGATGTGACAGAAATTTTAAAGTTCACCAAAGAAACAGTGACTGACGCTCTTGAATCATGGGAATGGATACGACCGAAGAGGCCAAATATAAATGACGACAATGATTTTCCATTCGTCAAGAGAATGGAGAAACGTCTAATGGATAAAATGAAAACAGTCTCAATGAAATTGGAATTAATTGAGGATCGAATTGAGCAGAGAACAGAGACAATGTTCTATCGCATTTTACGTGAAATACCCGAGAGGGAAAAACTCGAGAAGGGAATGCACGATATTTACAAATCAATTGGACAAGTGGACAATTTATATCAAACATTTTTGAATTATGTCGAATATCGCAGTAAATTTGAGACATATACATTACAAGATTTCTCGAGGACAATACTTTCGCATCGTTTAGGCGATCTTCGCGATGTTATTAAATCAATTCACAGTCAAGTTGTGCCACAGGATTATGATATTTTCCAGCAAAGTATTCTCACAATTTTGTCGAATCGCATGAAGGTAAATGGTAAATTTTATTTTATTAACCAACAAAGAACCAGTATTTAGAAAAGTACAATTTTTAATTATGTATGTATTTTATTCCTCCTAGGTATTTCTTTCATTTCTTTAGAAAAAAATAAGTTCCTAGGACTTTAAATATTTTTTGATTGAAAAAATTTCCAAATTGTACAGTCGTTTTTCAATTTTCCATTATTCGAACAACAAAAGGCAAGAGAAGAAAGATAAAGTTCTGAGGGAGTTGCAGAGGCATTGACCTCGACTCATATTAAAATGATTCATCACTTAATAATAATTATTGATTTAATGAAATTTTTCATCTATATTGAACAATTATTCTCTTTTAAAAAAAATGTATTCGAAACCAGAAAAGAAAAATTCACCAAATTACAAAAGCTAAAAATAAAAATTGGCAAAAAAGGGAAAAAAAATTTATATTTTAATTAAGCACAAAATTGCAAGTTGAAGAAATAATGAAGAATATGAATTAAAAAATAGCCAAATATTCTAAGAATCTTTGGCGTAAATTCAATAGAGTGGAGAAAAACGAGTAACACGATTCTTTATGTTTGTTATCGCACAAACTGAAGCGATTGTATTGTACTTGCATTCGCATAATGAAAGATATAATATTGTCAACTGAATCAAAGTTCTTTCCGGTGTTGAATTGCACTAAATCTTTTATTGTTCAAAGAAATATAGCTATATTTTAATTTTAATTTTTATTATTATTTAATTCAACTATTAACAAATTTATTAATTAATTATTATTATTTATTGTTTTCAAAATTTTTAATAATATTTCTCAAAAGAATTCAATTACTTTTTTAAATTTTGATAAAATTCGTCTAAAAAGTTGAAATAATTTCGAAAAATTTTCACTGAATTATTTTCGAAACTTTTAATCAAATTCTTAGCAAGATTTCAATTTTCGTAATTTATAATAAAATTCTTCGCAGGAATTTAAGTATGTTTAAAGAATTTTAAATAAAATTCTTAGCAAAATTCGTATTATTTTGAAAGATTTCAATAAAGTTGTTTATTTAATTAAAAATACTTTGAAAAGAAATTTAATTCTTCTAAATAATAAAATTTTTCGCAGAAATTCAATTAATTCGAAAAATTTCAATAAAATTCTTCGTAGGAGTTAAATTATTTTCCATGCAATTTCAAAATAAAATTTCTCAAAAGAATTCAATTATTTTTAAAACTTTGATGAAATTGTTTTAAAATAATTCAAAATATATAAATCGAAAAATTACTATTAAATTTTTTATGAGAATTGAAATATTTTCAATACAATTTTAATTAAATTACTCGAAAAAATTCAATTATAATTTTCGAAAATTTATAAAATTTTTTAGCAGGAATTTAATGATTTTATTGAATCTTAATAAAAATTCTTCGCCGAAATTAAATTTGAAGCATTTTTGATAAAATTGTTTATGAGAATTGAATTATTTTCATAGTTAATAAAACTCTTGACAAGAATTTAAATATTATTTGAATTAAATTTCTCGTAAAAATTAATTAATTTTTTAAGAATTTAATTGAATATTTATCGAAAAATTGAATTATTGTAAAATATTTGGATAAATTTCTTTATAAAAATTCAATATAAAAGAAATAAATAAATAAAATAATGAAATAGTTTTAATTGAAAACAATTTGGTTTAATTAAGTTTTTGGTATTTTTTTAATCCTCGAAGCATTAAATTAAAATTTCATTAATTTTAAAATTCAAAACATAAAAAGAAAAATTTTTCTGCAAAAAAAATAGTAAAATTCTCAATAAAGAAACGTGTTACAATTTTTTTACTTTACGTCAAACAATTAAATTATTATTGTTCTAAATTGCATTTATGTAACGTCGATTAAATTGCGAACTGCAAAGTCTGAATATGAGAATTTCTCACAACTATATTTTAACATTATATTGCAAAATTCTATTGTTTTACTCTAAAGTTAACTGCAGTAAAAAAAATTATAATTTGCCATTAGAAAGTTGAATCCTCTGCGAGACAAATAAATTTCGATAAATTATCTCCTAATTTTTAATTATCAATAAAGATAAGAAATTATCGTAATTTAAATTTATAGAAGCATAAAAGATATTCTTAAATTGAATAATCAATTAAATTTTCGTTAATAGACCAATTTCTCATTAAAACATTTTTTTTCTATTTTTTCTACTTTCTTGAAATATTTTAATTCATTGAATTTTGAATTTCTACTTTTTGTTGAAATATTTTAAATCCTTGAATTTTATAGTTTTCGAAGATGAAATTAATCTTTCGTACAATTTTTGTTCACTTATTCAAATAATTGAATATCAGATGGAACAAATATTCTGAATATTTACCAAAAATTCGATTTAATTTCTGTTGTTGAAGAAATTTCCGACCAAGTTTTGCGAGCAATATTGAATATATCGCGAAATAATGAATTCGAATTCTAGATTTGTGAAGAAATTTTTGGCTCCATTTTCTCGAAATGCTCAAATAATCGAATTTTCATTTCTGAAGAAATTTTTCGCCAAATTTTTGACCAATTTTAATAGCACTGCGAAATATTGAAATCGAATTTTAAATTTTTGAAGAAATCTTTTGCTCCATTCATCGAATTTTTGTTTCTGAAGAAATTTTTCGCCCATAGTTTTGTCGACATTTTCAAATAATTGACTTCTAAAAGTTCTTTCTGTTCTAAAAAATCTTTCGAAAGGATTTCGAAAATATTATTTTTTTGTCTGATTTTCTCCAAATCTATTTTCAATAAATTGTCACTGTGCAAGAAATTTTTTCTTTTTCAAGAAAATATTCCAAATAATTGAATTTCAGTTTTCGACGAGAGTTTTCCAGAAAATCTCATTTGTCCCAAAAATATTCCAAATCGTCGCAAGAATCGTGAATTTTCGATATTTCGAAAGAAAATTTTATTTATCTGCAAAATATGTCTGGAAAAGTAAAAGAAATTCGATGAGGAAATTAATAATTCTTAGAAAAATAATTCTGTTCTATTTGATAAATATATTCGTCCAAAAGGGAAAAATTGGTTTTCAACGAGAAGAATTCTGCAAAATATGAAAATTTAGCTTTTTCTTCACAATCTTTGATTGGATAAGAAATTCCAAATTTTTAGACGTATTTTATTTTTTGAAGATCTTTTTCGTTTCTGCTTTTCTATTTTTACCTTTTTGGAAATAATAAATTATTTTTTTCGAAAATAGCGTTTTGGAAATAATTTCCAATATTTTTTTTTCGGAAAAAACCGTTTTGGAAATAATTACAAACACTTTCTTTCGGAAAAACCGTTTTTGGAAATAATAATCCAAATATTTTTTCGGAAAAACCGTTTTGGAAATTATAGTCCAAATATTTTTTTGGGAAAAATCGTTTTGCAAATTATTGCAAATACTATTCTTCGGAAAAACCGTTTTGGAAATAATTGCAAATTCCTTTTTTTCGAAATACAACTGACCTTTTGAAAAAATTTGCATAGATTTGTTTCCTTTTATTTTTTCTAAATGAAAAATATAAAACAGACATGCGCTGAATGTCCCGGTTGTCGAGTTGAGGAAGGAGAAGCGGGTGAAACGGCAAGATGAATGGAATTTCCTTCTTCAGAGTTCAGTTGGGTCCAAGCTGGCGAGGCCTTCATTTGTCAGTGTAGTTTACAAAAACTCTCACTACTCATAGGTATATTACAAAAAATATATAGTACAACACAGTGCGCGACACTTGCACACAGAGAATTATTCTTTCTCAATAAAAAATTCTCGCTCAAACGGGATTTGAAAAGTCGAAGAAGAAAAAAGTCCTGTTTGTGCCAGGCTCTCGCCAAGTCATTTTCAAACACCTGTCACTGCAAAGCAAGTGACGTGTGTGTATGTGTTTCAATTTCAATCCGACTCTCCATAAGAAAAGTGTGCTCCGAGTGCAATAAAAATTCGAGAAGAACGCCTTTTTCTAAAAAAACAAACTAAAATTATTTAATTCATATTTTTTTCGGAGAAAGAAGTGAATTTCATTGTTCTCGCGAAATTATTTTTCTCTCTCTCTCTCTTTCGCCCTACGATTTTATATAATTTAATTTCGCCAGGGATATGTTCAATTGATTGATTAAAGTGACGAGTGGAAAAAAACCTTTACTAAATTGACCCAGGGTGACCTCTTTTTTTCAGTTTTTAAAGCGAAACTTTTAATATTCATGTAATTCGGATTCGACACTGGATTAAAGTCTAAAAGGAACAAAAATACTTGGCTATTGAGGAAAAAATTATTACGCCCAAACTTTTCTTTATTTACTCCCCTGAATTTAAATTTTCCAAAAGCGAACTTTTTATTAAATTTTACAAAAACAATTTTATTCAAATTTCAAGAATTAAACAGAAAAATGAATCATCTGTCCTAGTTTTTTTCCTTATGAATAAAAATTGAATCACGTAAAAAAAATGTCGATTGCAATGAAAATAAAACAAGAGTGAGCGCGAATATAAATCAAAACAAAGAAAAAGAAAAACAAGAAAAAAATAACCGCAAAAAGGAAAATAAATACGTGACTAGAATAATTTACAATTCATAACGAGAATAAATTTTAATCTTTAAATAACTTTTAGCAAAAAAAAGAATATTTTTTTAGAAAAAATTCCTTCTTGATTAAGAAAAGTAAAAAATTTCACGTTTATTGGTTAATAATCGTTTTTTAACGACAAGGAATCATGAAAGAATTTCGTCTACTCCAATAAAATGACAATTCAGCGAAATTATTGTAAATGTTTATCAAGCTCGCCTGCATTCTCAAGTTCCTGTGACGTATACACGTTTCTTGTACATATTTGCGAAATCATTTCGTGAGTTCAAGGATGAAATAATTACAAAATTTTTTCCCTTTCAATTTCTAATGAATACACCACTGATAAGAAATTTTCTGATGTAATAATAATATTTTCTTCTATAAACGAAAACGAAAATCACTGATCTTGACGCCCTTTAGATACGCAGGCCTCGCACTCATCTACTAAAACCTACTATTTACTACTTTTTTTTACACTAAAAGCTACTTTTTTCCATGTTTAAGAATTTACACTACTTTTTTGTTAACAGTCGAAATAAAAAAATTATTTTCAAAAATTTTAATATTCTTATTGGGAAAAAATCAAAAAATTAAAAAAAAATCCTTAAAACGATTCAATTATTTTCACAAATTTTTCGTATTTTAATGATTTTTAATATCTACTGTTTTAATAAAAAATTTCCCAAAAGAATTGAATATAATTTTAAAAAAATGTTTATACAATTTTTCCCAAATATTCAATTATTTTCATAAATAAAAAAATTTTCACAGGAATTCAATTATTTAAAACAGAATTTTCCTAATTTTTTTCGAAAAAAATCAATTATTGAAATTGAATTCTTTCTCGAAATTTTCTTAAAAATATGTAATTAAATTTTGGCAAACATTTTACTATATTTAAAAAAATAATTGAATTGTTTCGAAGAATTAATTAAAATGTTAGAAAATAATTGGATTCTTTTGAAACATTTTATAACGAATTACGAAAAAAATTGAATTCTTTCGTGAAATTTTTTTTGAAAATAATTGAATTTTTGCAAAGATTTTACCATTTAAAAAAGTGATTGAATTTTTTCCAAGGATTTATTAAAATTTTGTTAAAAAATAATTGAATTTTTGTAAAAAATTTTACTATTTATAAAAGTAATAGAATTTTTACAAAGAATGTTATTATTTATGAAAATAATTAAATTCTTGAGAAGAGTTTTATTAACATTTTTGAAATTAATAAACAAGAATAATTAATTAGTAAATTAGTTAATAATTGAATTTTTTTAGGTAATATTTGAATCTAAAATTATTCAAAAATAAGAAATTTGCACGAAAAATACAATTATTCTTAAAATTTTTTTATAAAATTCTTCACAAGAATTCAATTATTTAAAAAAAAAATATTAAAATTTCTAAGAATTCAATTATTTTTAAAAATAATAAAATTTTTCACAGGAATTCAATTATTTTTTAAAAATTTTAATAAAATTCTTACCAGAAATTAAATTATTTTAATAAATAATAAATTTTATTGTAGGAATTCAATTATTTTTATAAATTTTAAAACTCGCCGCAGAATTTCGAATTATTTTTAATACAATTTTGAATAAATTCCAGGAAAAATGTCAATATTTAAAAAAATTCTATTAAAATTCTCGGAAAGAATTCAATTATTTTCATAAATAATATACAATTTTCAAAGAAATTCAATTATTTAAAACACACATTTTCGTAAAATTTTTTGAAAAAAATTATTTCTTTAAAAAGTTTTTTTTTTAAAATTGTTCTCAAGAATGCAATTATTTTAAAAACTATATTAAAGTTCGGTGACAAAAATGACTTTTTTCTGTCTTTAAGCTACTTTATTAAAATTAATTATTATTGAGTACGAAGCCTGAATTCGTAAAATAAAAACATTTTGTTTCGGGCATCAGATCCAAAAATCCATTTCTTAAGGAAACGTAAAAATAAATTCAGGTCATTAGTTGAGGTTTTTTTCCACTCTCTCTCTCTCTCTCTCGTAGATTTGAATTGAAAAAATCCACCATCCACAGTGAATCGGAGGAAAAATGGGACAAAAATATTTCCTCTCCATTTGCCTCCTATTTTTTGGGGCGAATGCCGCTATTCGTAAGGAATATTCAATAATAGATACACTGCGACAAAATCTATTTAAATTAGGCGATGAACTCAATGAGGAATATTTTCGAAAGGACCACACGGTCTATAATTTAATAAATGTCTATCGACAATTTGGTGATAATGTTGAAAAAACATTTGATCACTCACCCGCTCAATATGTCGATAATCTCAAGACAATTTGGATTTGGGCGAAAACGCAAATCAGTTTAAATCGAATAAATGGTTTCTACAAGAGATTTCGCGATATGCAAACTGAATTCAAGGAGAAAAATGGATTTGTCTCCGAGAAGGAGTGGATCAATTTTGCCGATGCTATTCTACACGATCCAAATATTGCCGTTTCGCATGCACTCAAAGAGATAACCGACAGCATCGTCAATCAAAATTTATTTGTCTCTGCCTACAAGGTATTTTACTGCAAAAAAAAAAAAAAGAAAAATAATTAGAAATTCTAATACTAATATTATAAATTAAATTAGAAATTACAATATTAATATTATAAATTAAAATAGAAACTATAATAATAAAACAGAAATGTGACGCATTTGAAAATAATTTCCCATTTTTTCGGAGCGTGTCACAAATTTTACCAAAGAACCGAATTAAATAGAATTTAAATAAATAAAATAAATGAAAATATTATTTATTTAATATTTATTTTATAAAATAAAATAAATGGAAATATTGACAAATTCCCTTTTTTTAAAAAAAGAGAAGAAGAAGAAAAAATAGAGTATTTTTCCAGGAACTAAAAATAAAAATCATTGAGAAAATTTGTCAATATCAATTTAGAGTCATTTTGTTTTTACGCAATGATCAGATTGTTAAAAATATATATATATATATCGTGACTGACTGAAAAAAAATTGTTCTTATTTACAGGAATCTTCAGCACAAATTTGTAATTTACATCAATCGCCACAACAATTGTTGTATAATCTTTACAATACAATTACTCTCACTGAAATTAAAGGCTTTACAATGATGCAATTTTCATTGAAGCTCTTGAGACTTTACCAAAACGGTAGGTTATCATAAAAATAAAAGACCTAATTTTATACTTCAAACAAAAAAAATATAAATTTTGTTAGAAAAGCGAAAAAATATCGAAAAAGTAATTTTTTTTCTCTACTTTTTTTATTTTTATTTATCAACAGTATGAATAGTAATTAATTTTCAATAAACTTATTCAGGTCTCGGATAGACTTTAAGAAGCAAAAAAAAATCGCTTTAGATGATTTAAAATAGGAAAAAGTCGAAAAAATCGTTTATTTTATTTAGTGTTATCACAAAAATTTTCTTTTTAATTATTTAAAAGAATTTTATTAAATTCCAATTATTTTTCCAAAATTTTACCAAATTTCAATTATTTCTAAAAAGATTTGACCAAATTTCAATTCTTTTAAAAAGATTTTATCAAATTTAAATTATTTTATAAAAGAATTATGTACCAAATTTCAATTCTTTTGAAAAGAATTTGCTAAATTTGGTAATTCTTTTATAAAATAATTTAAATTTGATAAAATCTTTTTAAAAGAATTGAAATTTTGTAACATTTTTTTTAAAATAATTGAAATTTGATAAAATTAAAATGAAAAAATTCAAAGAATTATTTTTTTCAAAAATATTTTAATTTAATTTTTAGAAGCTATATTTCATTAATTTTCATTTTCAAAATTTACACTTGATAATTTTTGATTGAAATTTTTGAGAATTCAATTATTTTCAAAAATTTGTACAAAAAAGTTGATTTTCAAAAATTGTAATAATAATACTTGAAAAAATCAATTATTTACAATTAAATTTTACAGAATTCCAATTATTCAAAATCTTGTTAATTGTATATTTCGAAAATTAAATTAGAAAAATTATCGAAAAAAAATATTTGAAAGATTTGTCTATAGTTATTTTTCATAGTATAAAAATTAAGATAAGTTGCATTTTATACTAAAAATGTGATATTTTCTTGCAATATTTGTAAAAAAAAAGTCGAAAAAGTCGAAAAATTCGTAAATTTTGAAAATAATTTGAGAAAAATCGCATATGTTGAATAAAGTTGCATTTTTTGAAAAATAGTCTATAAAAGTCGAAAAAGACCTAATATCCGAGGTCTGTAGTTATTTTGAAATTATTAATAATTTTAAAGTAATATTTCAGGATCATTTATTCAGGAGGAAAATCAATTGAAAAGAGAATATCAAGACAGAATAACCGAGACACTAAGAGCAGTTAAAACTGCAATGGCCTTTGCACCACGAGATCTTTGGAAATGCGATCCAGCAATTCACAAATCAGGTGAGAAATTATTTTTTATGATAAAAGAAACAAAAATTTTTTTAAATCTTTTCCTCTCAAATATCCAGTCAACAAAATTTTTCTTTTTGTTCTGAAAATAATTTTTTTCTATACAAGTAGAAATTATATTTTATAAAAATAATTTTTTTCGATTAAAAAAATGCCATTTTCGAAATAAAATTTGTTTTTTGAAATGAAATTCCTTTTTTAGACGAAACATACACGGAATTGAAACAACTCTTCCAAGGTTACATCGTAAATGAAGTAGACCTCAACGATATAACGACTTGTAGAGAAAATTGTGGTTATTATTCAGTGGCAAAACAGCAGAGTTGTTACAAAAATCAATTTTGCTCTCAACAACGTCGTTGTAATGGAAAAATAGTTCACTGCCAATATGTTGACTCGGACATGTGGATTTGTCCATCGGTAAGAAAATTTACCCTCTCTCAAAATAATATCCATTTCTTCCCTCTTTTAATTTAATTAATTATAGAAATTAATAACAATAATAATTAGGCGAAGAATTCTACACGAAGATACGAATACATTGAATACGAAAATGGACTCGTCTATGGAAAAAAGGACAAATGTTTCGCAGGAACAACAAAAGTCGACAGTTGGTGGCGTTGGCTTTTCTGGCACTGTAGCTATTGTTTCTGCTACTGCGACGATCATAATTCAAATTCAGATCGTTATTTCAATTTACGAGAAGTCGTTTCTGATATTGTCAACAACAAGTAAGTTCTCTTCTTGAGAAAGAAATTCTTTTTCTTTCCGAAAAAAGAAAAAGTGTCAAAACATTTTTTTTCTTCGCAGAGTCGTGACGGGAATAAGACTACAAAAGGTGAACAAAATTATTCATATTCAAATTCAAGAAGGAACACTTCGCGCTCAAGGAAACATCGATCCAGAAAGTATATCATGGAAGGACATCGACGACTATACGATTTTGGATCGAAACGTGAGAAATGGAATCGATTACCACACGATAAGTTGGGAGAGAAGAGGCGTCGATTTAGATGATCTTGTCCCTCCAGCAGATCATTTATTAACTGGTAAAATTTCTTTTTTTCTATAATCAAAAACAAAAGTAGTTCAATAATTATAAAAACTATTACTTTTAAACTTTTACAATTTTAATACTAATAACTAATTTTAGGTTTGAAATTCAAACTCCTTGGTTCGAATTTAAATCTCGAAATTCGTGCGACACCTTTTAATTTCACAACCGGTAGTTTGATGAAGGAGAAGAGTCGTTGGTATGCGAATGACAATACCGATGCTAATGAGGGATTCAATGAGCATATCACAGTCGCTGGCAAAAGGTACAAAGAATATTTTTTCAATCCAAAAAAAATAGAGAAAATTAAAAAGTAATTTCTTTTCTCTTTTAGAATCGAATCAAAAAGTAATTAACGATTTTTCTCCTTTAGAACCGAATTAAAATTGGAAAAACCGGACATTCCGATAAGAGCGGAATCGAGGGCGGTTCCAGATTCGAGATCAAATCAATTTTTACACTTCCAACCGACTGATCTTGAGAAAGACGCTGGACAAACGACAATTCCATTCCTCGACATTCAACCAATTGTTCCAAAGCCACCGGTGCCATTAGCTGGCGCTGGAATTTTCCACAAGGGACAAACGGGCTCCGGAGGATTCGTCGCATTGAAATTAATAACTTACAATTTTTCCCGACATTTAGAAATTGATTTGTCACCCTCGAAACCAGTGATTGGATTGAGTAACGAAATCACTGCGTCATAATTTAATTAAATTATCTCTTTTTTTTGTCTTAGAAAATTAACGATCGAACAAAAAATTGTCAGCCGGGTGCTACACGAAAATAATTTTAATTTCCTGTTGTTAAACAAAACAGTGAAACAAAACTGAAACAAAACAGTTAAATAACAACCTCTGGAAAAAAAGACAGTTATTTAACAGTCGTTTCGATTCACGATTTTTAACAACACTAACTAAAAATTTCACATTTTTTCCGAAAGGACAAAATTTGTCACCGAGAAAAAAAATATTCTTCTCGAAAGCAAAGAAATATCAAACTAAGTTTTTATGTCATTAAAATTAGATTTAGACTTTTTTTTATATTATAAATAAAACGAAAAGAAACAACTCTTTTCTTTCATTTTCATTAAAATCTAAACCTATTGCAATTTATACTCGTGCGAATTGAACGATTTTAGAAAAAGAAAAAAACACTTGTTAACTACGGATAATTAGATGTTAATTTTGCTCTGAATGAAAAGCCAAAAATCTCATGGAGTTCAGTATTATCGAATCTCCTTGTTGACTCGATTCTGTGATTTTTACATTAAACGAGCAAATATAATTATTGTAACATTAGTGCTAAAAACTTACAGTGTACCACTTTTTTTTTTCTTTTTTTTTTTTTAATGAATGTGATGTTTCCTTTAATATTAAAAACCATGTAAACATTGAGTCATTGCATTATTTTCCAAAAAGAAAAAGAGAAATTTTTAAAATTCTTTCTTAAATTCTTAATTCCTCTCTAAGTTTCAATGTTAATATTAATATTTGGAATTTTTTTTCTTATTCTTTCCTTAATCTTTGATTCAATAAAAATTTTTCCATAAAAATCAAAATGAAAAATTGTGAAATTCATGTGCGACCGAATTATTATATCCAATTATCCGAAACTCGAAAGAATTAGAATTTGGACAGTTTTGATTTTCTTTAATTTTACCGACTGATTTTTTTCAATCTTAACGTAAATTTCCTTTTCAACGGAATAAAATTTTTGTAGAAATTCTGCTAAATGAGGAAATACCCAAGTAAAAATTGTATTAAAGAAATTTGTTTTCAAAGTTTCACTTACTTGGACACGTAATGGATGCATCATGAGAAGGTGCAGCATTTCAGTTGACGGCAATAATTCATGAAGTGTGACTCCCTGTTGTTTGGCGGCACGGCACATGAATACTGCAAAATATCTGTGAAGAGGCAGATGAAACGAGACCTGCAGTCTATCGCTCTAAAAAATATCACAACGAAAATATTTATTATTATTTTGAAATTTACAAAATTTTATGCTATCAAATCAAATAAAATATAAATTTTTGAATAATTTCATATTAAAAATTTTAAAAATCCACTTATCAAGTAAATAATAATTAATAATTATTGTTTATTATTTTTAAAAATGTTAATAAAATTTTTCGCAAGAATTCAATTATTCTCATAAATAATAACTATCTTTGGAAGAATTCAATTATTTTTATAAATAATAATATTCTTAGCCGAAATTCAATTATTATTTTTAAAACAATTTTAATTAAATTTTGCAAAAGAATTCAATTATTTTTTAAAGGACCCCGCACAAAAAGTACATAATTTGGTTCCCGGTCAAATTTATGTTTTGGATTTTGGATTTATGTTTGAGTTAAAGTAATTTGGAACAATTATAACCAATAAATATTAACAAATTTGACCGGGAACCAATTTATGTACTTTTGGTGCGTCGTCCTTTAATAAATTCTTATATAATTCAATTGTTTTCAAAAAAAATTTCTCAATACAATTCAATTATTTATAAAAATTTGATAAAATGCCTCGCAAAAATCCAATTATTTTAAAAAAAATTTAATCAAATTCTTTATGATAATTGAAATATTTTCAATATAATTTTAATTAAATTCCTCGTAAAAAATTCAATTATTTTCCTAATTTATAAAATTTTTCCCAGAAATTTAATTATTTTTAAGAATTTTATTCAAATTCTTTGCACAAGTCTAATTACTTTGAAAAATTTTAATAATAATTTATGACAATTGAATTATTTCCATAATTAATCAAGTTCTTCGCAGGAATTAAATTATTTTAATGAATTTTAATATAATTAAATTTTATAAATAAATTTTTTAAATCAAAATAAAAAATAAATAAAATATAATAAAATAATATTCAAATATTCTCAAACGTTTTGATAAAATTCTTTATAAATTTCGATTATTTTCAAAACTTTCAATTAAATTTTTAAAAAAAATTATTAATTAGGTACTGATTATTCTTCATAAGCCACTGATCGGGCTTCCAGTGTATTTAAATATTTATTTTATAAAAATTATTGAAATTTGAAAATTTAATTTGGAAAATCTGAAATGATTTGGTTTCTAAAAAATTGTAACTTAACTTTTTTTTGAAGATAGTTGAAATCCCGAAAATAAGTTTCAATAATTGAAACAATTGGAAATTTCGTCAAATTTCATTGAAATAAATTTTTATATTTAAAAGTGCATTTTATTTTTCTCTGTTAAAAATGATTAATTATAATATTATTATAATTTTTATTCTACTTAAATAATTCAATTTGCGCAGTAGTTGAGTTCTGCCAGGAATTGAATTGAAAAAAATTCAGTTCAAATTTTAGAAAATAGTATCGTGATAACAGGAATTAAACTTTTATCCAACTGTTTGAAACTATATTCTTTAGTTTAGATATAAGAAAAATATATGAAAAATAAAATAAAGAAACACACGTACCACATTTGTGTCGGTGTAATTAATAGCATCCAACCAGTCTTGCAGTGCACAGAGACAAAATGTAAGAATCCGTCGACTGAGAACAACACTTTCAGGCCCTTGTAAATGAGACACCAAAGCCCACATTGGATAAGCACTCGCCTCTAATTCAGCGCTGAATGCCGCATAATAAGTATTAGGCTCGAACTCCACATGCTGTCCCAATTCTCGTTGATTCACATTCATACCTTGCAAAAAAGGAAAACAAAATTAATTTCTTTTTTTATAACGAAAAATATAAATTAATCAAAATTTACCTACTTGATTTAGAAAATAATTAAATTACAAACAAATAACCATAAAAATAATACTAATAATATGAAGTGAAATTGAGAATATTTCAATAAAAAAATGAACTTGAAGAGTTAGATAAAATAATAAAACAAAATAAATAAATAAAAATAATTGAAATTAATTTCAGTAAAAAATGAAATTGTTTTCATACCCTGAAACATGGAGAGAAAATCGAACCACATTTCTAAAAGAGTATCGTCCGTCATGAATCTGTAAGCGACAGGTTTATGTGAGAGTACATTATTTAAATCCGACACGAGAGGCCAATAACAATGTTCCTTCATCACTTGACGACCACAATCAACGACATAGTGGAAATTTTTATCTGGATCTGAAAAAATTGAAATTCTCGTAATTAGTATGAAAAAAATGTATTTACAATAAGTATTATTAAATAAACATTTTTCAAAATATTTAAATAGAAAATAAAAGTTAATAAATAAAATTTTATAAAAGAATGTATTCAAAATACATATATTTTTTTTAATTAAAAAAAACTCACCGTGCAGTGTATTTTGAATAATTATTTTTCCCATCATGTACTTTAAACTAATAACCATAACGTGAAGTAATTTCAACTGATCAACCATTCGAAGAGCCAAGCCCTCATTGCTGAATAACTGCAATTTTTATAAAGTAATTAATAATCCTATTACAGGAATTTACAATAGTGAAAATAATTCACCAGGTTTTGTCTATTTTAACGAATAAATGTGAAAAGGTGAATTATTTTTCGAAAAAAGTTGATAAATAAAAAAAACAAAAATTAACGTGCGAAGTAATTAATTTTAATTTGCATAGAATTAAAAATTTCTAATTAATTCAAAATTTATATTAAACATAAATTAAGAATTACTTATTATTCTAAATTTTAATTAGTAAAAATGTTTACTAATTTGAATTTGTGACTGACTTTTACTTTTGAATTAGTAAATAGTAAATAGTTTTACTAATAAATATTAATTTCTACTAATTTGTTAGTAAATTTTCCTAATTTAAAAGCAAAAAATCACAATTTAAAGAAAAGAGAATTAAATTGAATTTTACTAATTAAAAAGCAAAAAGTCAATCACTAATTCAAATTAGTAAACATTTTTACTAATTCTTTAGAGAGTAGGATTAATTGTAAAATCACTTCAAGATTTGAATAAAATTGAAATTTTGAATTGAATTCGTTTTTTTGTAAATTCAACTAAATGAAAATTAATCGTATCACGAAAAAAAGGGAAGAAAGGTAATAAATTATCAAAATGGATCAAATGGGTGATTCCTGACATTAGTAAACTTTAGGGAAAAAATAATAATTTAAATTTCAATTTGATTTAAAATCTTCAAATTGCTTTTTTTAAATTCGAAGTAAAAAAGAAAATGATTTACCTGTACACTGACGTGAACGACTCGATTACTTAAAGTTTCAGGATCTGTCGATCGTTCCAGCATCATTGATATTCTACTGTAGTGAAGTACAAAAGCTCTAGTTAAGTCCTCCTTGTAATCGGGATCCGGCAGCATATTCAATAAAAAGCAAACAAGTTTTTGAGGAAATTCATAAGCGACCGTCCAAAAAACGAGTTCCTCTAAAAATGTATTGTGTTCCAAATGCTCTCTCAAAGAGGCACATTCTGAAAAGAAAATTCTCTATTAACTTCACAAAATAAACTTTTTTTTTATAAGTTTCTTTATTTCATTTATTTATTTATTCAACAAGTTCAAGTCCGCAACGTTTTTAAAAACGAAACATCAAAAAAGAATTTTTTTTCAAGTTAATCTCTAATTCTCACGAGCGTTAACTTCTCGGAAATTGTTACTTAAGAGGAAAATTGTTTAAAAAAAAGTGATTTAGAATCAAGATTTAAAAAACCGTCCAATTTTTTCCTTTTTGTTTTTAGAAACGTTGTGGACTTGAGTCTAATTATTTTTTGACCGATTAATAATTTTGATTCTATGGAAATTCAGCGATGATTTTTTTTTTATAAATTATATTGAGAGTTAAGTTTTAGAATATAATTTACCTTTATATTCATCTGGTGGTTCGGGATTTGGTAGCGATTTAATAGCGTCTTGATAAATTTTATTACTGTCCTGACAGTAGTTATCGTAATCTGATTTCCCAGTGAAAATTGAAGGATCCATAAAGCAACGATATTTTTGAGGATTCGTGAGTGCTGCGGTCATTACATGTCGCATTACTGCACCCATATTATTAAAATCTAATAGCATCGATAAATAAGCATCTGCACCTTGAATAGCGACCCGATAATCGGCTACTCCAACTTTGCTATAAACAAAAACAAAACAATAAAAATTAAAAACTAGCGAATGTTTAAATTTCTGACCAATTTCCATTTATTTACATTATTCAATTATTTTTTTTAAATAGTAAAATCTTTACAAAAATTCAATTATTTTCAAAACAATTTTAATTGAATTCCTCGGAAGAATTCAATTTTCCAACACATTTCGAAAAAATTCAATTTTTTTCTAAAATTTTATTAAATCCTTTGAAAAAATCCAATTATTTTTATAAATAGTAAAATTCTTCGCAAGAATTCAATTATTTTTATAAATAGTAAAATCCTTTGCAGGAATTCAATTATTTTCAAAACAATTTTAATTGAATTCCTCGGATGAATTCAACTATTTTTATAAATACTGAAATTCTTTGCAGGAATTAAATAATTTTTAATCAAATCTAAATAAAATTACACGAAAGAATTTAATTATTTTCAAAAATTTCCATACAATTCAATTTCAACAAGAATTTAAAATTCTCTAAAAATAATCCAATTATTCTCAAAATATTTTTGAAAAATTCTATATAAAAATTAAATTACCTACTTTCAATGTAATTTTTAAATATATTCGTCAAAAAAAATTGAAAGAATTCAATTATTTTCAAAAAATAATAAAATTCTTTAAAGAAATTCAATTATTTTCGAAACAACTTTAATTGAATTTCTCGAAAAAATTTCATTATTTTCAAATATTTCTATAAAATTCTTCATAAAAATTTAATTATTTCTTAAAATTTTAATAAATTCTTCGAAAGATTTCAATTATTTTTATAAATAGTAGAATCCTTTGAACGAATTTTGTTGTTACTTTTTTTGAAATTTGAATTTTGGTAGAAAATATTAATTTACAAATTAAAATATTAATTATCTTTTTAATGTCTGTTAAATTTATCTTTTATTTTTCATTACAATATAGTAATATTGAAAAATATCGAAAGGGAAAAATTTTGCGTTCATTTGAACGTTAAAAACTTTAGAAACATAGAAATTATCAACTTTACTGTAATTTAATTTTAAAGTAATTGAAAACTGAACTAAAATTCAAAATTTCTTTTTTATTTTCTTTTCGGTAAAATCAGGAATGTTAATTACCAATTTTCTCGAAGATGTTGAATTAGTCGGAGGATAATTCTTGGCATCATTGCTTCAGCCACGCACATCAATTCCGAAGGTGCGACTGTTTTGTTGGCCGCTGCTTTTGGTCCATGTTTGTCACAAAATCTGCAATAAATAAATAGCAATTAATTTACAAAATCGTTTCTTTTTCGTCGAAATAAACAAATAATATTAATTTACAAAATCGTTTCTTTTTTATCGCAATAAACAAATAACGATTCGCAAAATCGTTTCTTTTTCATCGAAATAAACAAATAACAAAAAAATTCCCAAAAACGTTTCTTTTTCATTGAAATTCAGTCAATAGAGAATATTTTATCAACCTGAAATTCGAAATAGTGAAATTTTTATCAACTGAAAATTCAAATAAATTTTTTGTCAGTACTGGAAATTGAAATAAATTTGTTATCAGTACTGGAAATTAAAATAAATTTGTTATCGGTACTGAAAATTGAAATAAATTGTTTTACTTCTTGAAGTAAAAGACGAGAACAAAAAATACAACCAATTTGCATCTTACCCAGCTTCCTTCATAACAGACGTGTCTCCACAGTCGCAAGCACCTCCAGCTTGACTTATAAACATATTGAAATCGTGTTGAGTATGATTTCCTTTTTTGAAGCATTCCTTGCACAGTGACATGCACGGGGAAATTCCACACGTTCGACATCGATAGGCAACAAAATTCGGCGTCCAAACTAATCCACAATTAGTCGCATTGTCGTAAATTCTCACTGAAATTGAAAAAATGCAAAGAAAATTATTAGAAAATCTATCAAAATACATAATTTTGTTTTGTTACTGAAAAAGTGTTATTTTATAATTTTCTTTTTTGCTATTTATTATTTTCTACTTTTGGTATTTTTTCAAAAAAAGTGAAAATTTAGAAATATTTAGAAAAAAGTATTTTTTTTCTATTTTCGCAAGGATAGAAAATATTTATTAATTTTGTTTTTGGCCAAAGAAATAGAATAAAATAAGAATTATTATTTGTCAAAAAAAAAAAAATTAATAGATAAATATTTTCTTGACGCATTTTGTTTTTTTCCCCTTTTTTAACAAGAGACGTTTTGTGACTAATTTATTTAAAAAAAGAACATTCTGTCATAAACAATAAATTCATTAAAACAAATTTATTTTTAAATGACGATTTTTTTATTTCACCTCGTTCGTGACTTGTCCCGCATTCTTTTCTTGGCTTCTGATAAGAATTCTCTTGACAAACCAACTAAGGAATTTATTTACTGCGCGAAATAAAAAATCTAAATAAATAAAATAATCTAAATAAATAAATATCAGCTTATTTGACTTACAGATAAATATTAAGATTACATTCACAAATTATTTTTTTCTCAGCTGAATTTATTAACTTTTTTTCAAAATTTACGGTTTTTTTATTTTCATACATACTCATTAAACTCATGATTATTTGGCAAAATATGTATTTTCAAATTAAATTAAATTTAAACAAATTAGAATCAATTTCTGTTTCTTTAATTTTTAATGTAAAAATCGCAGTATTGGAAATTATTAAATAGATAAAAAATTCCAAAATATGAAAATCAGGGTGGCCGCAAGATTGACTTTATCAATTTCTCTGACATTTTACTGACATAAAAACGAATTTCCCTGACAAAAATTTTTTTGTTTACAGCAAAAAATGTATTGCATGACCGTCTTAATTTCTTTGATTGCCCTGACAAAAAAATTTTTCCTGACATTTCCCTGACTTTACTGACAAAAAATTTTTTTTCCTGACATTTCCCCGACTTTACTGATAAAATATTTTTTCCCTGACATTTCCCAGACTTTACTGACATGTGGCCACCCTGAAAATATACGTTCAAAATTGCTTTTTTCAAAATTATTTTCATTTTTTAATTATAAAAATTAAATTTAAACAAATTAGAATCAATTTGTTTGTTTAATTTTTAATTAAATTTTTAATGTGAAAGTTGCAGTATTGGGAATTATTATAGATAAAAAATTCCAAAATATGAAAATCTACATTGCTTTATTAATTATTTTCATTTTTTAATTATAAAAATTAAATTTAAACAAATTAGATTCAAATTGTAATGTAAAAATCGTAGTATTGGAAATTATTACAGATAAAAAATTAAAAAATATGAAAATCTACTTTCAAAATTGCTTTTTTCAAAATTATTTTCATTTTTTAATTAGAAAAATTAAATTTAAACAAATTATATTCAATTTCTGTTTTTAAAATTTTGAAAGTAAAAATCGCAATACCTATTGGAAATTATTTATAGATAAAAAATTCAAAAATATGAAAATCTACCTACATTCAAAATTATCATTTTTTAATTATAAATTAAAAAAGAAACAATATTTTTTTATAGACAATAAAGTTATGTATTTATTAAAAATTATATTATTTATCTCCTATTTATTAAAGAAATAACAAAATTTTTTGATAAAATTGTTTCTGTTTTTTTTGTCATTCAGTCAATAACCTTTTCCTTTCAAGAAACTTACATCCGGTCAATAACCTTCAAATATCAAAATGATTAACTTTTTCTATCATATACATAATATGATGAGAGATAAATTATAACAGTTTATTCTTTATTTTTTTGATATGTAGAAGAATTTTAATTTCTTTTTAGAAATTAACTTTTTAATGAAATAACATAGAAAATTCTTCTTTTCAGAAATTAACTTTTTAATGAAATAAAATAAATGAATAAAATAGAAAAATCTTCTTTCAGGAAATTAACTTTGTAATACAATAAATAAATAATTAATAGAAAATAAAAAAAAAGAAAAATTACAGTAACCTTTTATTGACAAAGTAAAACATTAAATTACAAAAAAAGCAATAAGAGAAAGTTTATTTCATTGCCCCTTTAAATATACTGACACCAGTGACACTAAAAAAACTATTTTGACTTTTCGCCAAAAGAAAAAAAAGAAGAAAAAAATTTAACGTTGATCGCTTCTACCTTTCAGGTTTTAAAGACGCATCTATATTAACTGATTTTAAAATTATTTGGTCAATAACCTTTTCACATAACAATTTTGACGTCTACAAGTGACAACAAAACAATTCAAAATTCACTGCTTTAAAATTTATATATATGTTAAAAAGCATCTCATCTCTTAAGATAGATGTTAATTTTTTTTTTTTTTTTTACTTTTCTCATTTCAATTTGAGAGAATTTTTGAGAGAGAACGAGTAAGAAAAAATTTTTATTCATCAACCAAATAAACAGAAATGATTAAAAGTCTTCGAAGCGTGTCCTTCTATGGATCAACATTCGCTGACCAAATAAGACTCCTACCTTGGTAGAGAGCGATTCTATAAAAAACATTTCTCAAGCGAACTTGACATTGTCCTCAAATACAAAACACTAAAAGTCAATTGAAGCCAAGAAGTGAAAATGCACGTGCAAATGCGTAAATATGAGGATTATTTTATATCTATATATAATCTACACGTATATATATATATATATATATATATATATATATATACGTGTAGATTATATATAGATATATATATATATATATATACATATAAATACCTGTGTTAACAAATTCATCTGGTGTTCGGCCCCCGGCCATTAACCACTTGCACCAGTCGATGGTTTCCCAGTCATCGATAGCTTTACTAGGATTCAGTAAAATATCCAGGAGTTCATTGAGATGACGTGGGCAGCCGGATCCCATAGCCCGGTTGCTACATTCTGCATGGATGTAGGCAGCAGCCCCACGTTTTCCTTTATTCATTAATACTTGAACCGATGGACTCGATGTCGAAGCCATTGTTAATAAAAAAAACGATCTTTTCAATATTAAAAAACTAGACACAAGAATTTAAAAAAAAAATTTTCCACACTATATATTATACACACAAGTGACACAAGTTGAAGGTTGATGCCTTTTGAAGCAAAAATGCTCAGGCATTAGATTTTTTCTTCTTCACAAAACTTTATATATTGTCTTCTTATTATTTAATTTCACGATTAAAACGAACTTTCAATTTACAACCATTTCTGCACTTTCGATATTTTTTGATGAAAGTGCCTTTAGATAATCTGCCAAGTAAAAGTGGCCCGTAGACCAGTGGATTCTTCACAACCTTCATGTCAGTGAAAATCTCCCGTCAAAGCACTCCTTGATTTCATATAAAGCCACATGACTTTTGAAAATTATCGATCAGTTCAATGTTTTTTTAAAGGCTGGGAAACACCACACTTGATTTCGAGTAAAATTTACGCGCACGACACACGAATGAATAATTGTCAAAATACTTGATGATTGAAAAATTGATGGAAGCAAAGTAGTACTGTAAGCACACACACACACACACTCACGCACTATTCACTGCAAACACTTTGAAAACTATGCATTTCTACTGGTGAAAAACATACGCACACAATGACGTTGCCGCAGTGTTGCCACATCACGAGTTACTAACCTCAAACTAAATGAACTAAATCATTTTTCTTTCGTTTTATTTTTTTATAAATTATAAATAAATATACAGACTCGAGAAAATTACAAAAGAGTTTATAAATAAAAAATATTGACATATACTTTTCTGTAGTTTTAATTACTCTTTTGATACCTAAATGATTTCATCTCAAGGAAAGAAATGTCAATTAAAATTGTTTTTGTCACTTACCGACCAATGATATTTCAGGAAATTAATTGCCTCTTTTCTATTGGTGCAATTCAAAAGTGCCAAATTTTTCAAAATTAAATAAAAAATAGAATCGCTTTTCAAAAAGAAGAATAATTTGAAAGTAAAAACTAAAAAATTTTTAAAACACTTTTTTTGCTTCTTAAAGTAAATTTTAAATATTATACACGTTTATTAAAATAGAAATTGTCCAAAAAATGTGACGCTCGCGCTCACAAGAAAAAGTTCTTGATTAAATTTCTTTTTAATTATATTATGTAAGTTTGAAATCAGATTCTATGGGATATTTTGGATCAACAAGAATAATGAAGTTTAATAATTGTTTCTTTTTCTGTATTTTTACCATTTTTACTGTACGAAAATTGTAAACATAACCTCAAATTTTTTGCGTGTTACAAATTTATAATAAAAAATTGAACTTCAATTGTTATTAAAAATTATTTCCTATAATTTTTAAAATGTTGTTGCAATTTTTGATTTATATTTTTTGTTATTGTAATTATAGAAAATCTTTGTTATAAATAGACAAGAATCTCATAAGAAAATTAAGAAATATTTTAACTTAGGGTGAAGGGTGAAATAGAAAAGAAAAAAATTGTAATTTTCCCTCTTTTTTTATTAATTCATAATAATAATAAAAAATTATTTCAAAGGGATAAAACGTGAAGAGTGGGTAGCACCAATACCTGGCCTACCGTGTTTAACAGGTTTGTATGTCACTGAAAATTCGCCGAGGTAGTGTCCAATCATTTCTGGCTTAATTTCAACCTGATTGAAGGTTTTTCCGTTATAAACTCCAACAATGGAGCCAACCATCTCTGGAAGGATGAGCATATTTCTTAAATGTGTTTTAACAATTTCAGGCTTTTCATTTGGTGGAGCTTCCTTTTTTGCCTTTCTCAATCTCTTGAGCAGTGCCATTGGTTTACGTTTCAAACCACGGGACAAACGCCTGCGAGCTCGAGAATTCATCAATTCCATTAATTGCTCACTGAAAGAAAATTTTCATTAATTTCATTTCGAAAATTTAAATCTAATTTCTATTTATTTCAATATTTTTTTATTGCCTTTACTTTTAGTGTAGTTTCTTTTTATTTTTTAGGTTATGTTTTCCGAATACAAAATAAAAAATCATTTTCTCAACAATCATTCTGTATTTTTATGATAAAAAATACACAATTTTCTTTCAGTTAGTATTATTACTATTAATAAAACGTATTATTTAATTATCAAAACTTACTTTGGCATATCAAGGAGTTGATCTAAATCAACTCCACGATATGTGAACTTCCTGAAAGTTCTCTTCTTCTTGAGAGTTTCATCTACCTGCAAACATGAAAATTAAAAATTAATTCCTTCACTGAAAAAAAATGTTCCTAAAGTTTTTAACGTTCAATAGAACGAACATTTTTTCCTCCTTGATATTTTCTAATATTGTACATTTTAATGAGTTAAGTAAAAAATTAATTTTTATATTTAAGTAAATAATTCAAGTGTTAATGTGTTAATCAATATTTTGTACCAAAATTCAAAGGAAAGAAAAAATTCGTTCATCTAATTCATTTGAATGTTCAAGTTTTAAAACGTAAAAAACAGGATTTTATTTTGAAATATACTATGGAAATTATTTTATTCTACTTATCAGTGTAAAATCTAATTAAAAATAAAACTATAAACAAAATAAAATTTTCGTAAAGTGTATATATATAAAGAGTAAACTGTGGAAAGTGACAGGTCCACTTACGAACTTTATTTTATTTGATTCGTCACATTTATGTACAATTATATTTTACTGATATAATATACATTTTCCCATGTTGTGAAAATATAAATTTATTATAATACCAGTGACAGAAGCAAAATGTAAACCATGTAAAATTACAATCGACATTGAAAGCTTCTAATGAAAAAGGAATTATTTACTCAAAACATATAAACATTGTACACTTATTACAAATTTACATCTACATTTTACATTCAGTTTACTACAATTTCTCTACTACTTTTCCAGCAAAATGTGTAAAGCATACATAGACAAAAACAACGAGAAATTCAGCATGTTATTTAGTGCACTATTACTGTGTATTTATAAAATTTTCAGCTGACATTTACATTTTAGAGTTTAATTAACATTATCATAGTTTTTGTGGAACGTTTAAAAAATATCCAAATAGAGTGATGACATGAATATTAGTAGATTTTTAAAGTAAATTTATTTTACATACCTCAGCCATTTTGATAAGGGAAGTGAAAGACTTGCAAAACCTATGAATATACAATCAAGAATACGAGGAACTTTACGATCATGATTATATAATTTACCTGGAGAATAAAGCAGCCAATCAATGGTTGTCTTTCCCCTATAGCCGCACTGTGATTGGATCTGAAGTTTTTCAAAGCGACAACTGGTGAGCATTTAGAAGAACTAAGAATTTTTAATTTAAAATTTAAATCTATTTTACAAATTAAAAATTATTCTTAAAAATTTAATTTCACTTATTAATAAAATCTTAATAATAATATTAAACAAAAATTGCAAATCAATACTTTTCAAGTAATATTCAAAATTATACCCGTTTCGCGACATTTTTGAGATTTGTCCACAATGACCAATAGAAACCGTCGATGGAAAATTCAAATTTTAATTCCCTTGACAAGTGCAAGATGGCGAACGATCATTGTGTTCCTCTAGTTTATTGTATTTTTAAAATCTTGTAATTGTTTAAGCAAGATTGGATTTTCGGAAAAATGGCTTATAAAGAAAAAAGGAAGAATGGGGGTCAATTAATGGGAGTAGTTTCAGTTTACACAAAAACTTGTAAATAATTTGCTTTGTTGCTTGAAAAGAGAAGCGTTCTCGAAAGTGGTGATAAACGATTGAGTTTTAGTATATAAGGAAACAAATTGCATTGACTCTCGGAAGTGTGTGCTAGTGATGGCACAGCTGAACATTGATCGCTAGATGTTAGAGATGTGGCAGATCTGCTCAGTGGGTGTTGTCACGTTGTCGCTTAATGTAGCTTGTGTTTGACTCCCGATGCGCGTGCAAACCGTGTGGTGTATTTTATCTCAAAATACACCCGGCGGCCCCTGTACGCCCGCACGGTAGAGTCCTCACTTTGCTCCTCGCAAACCGCGATTTCCAAAATTGGGGGGTAATCGAATAGGTCAAACGAGGTAATTGTCGCTTCCAAATATTGGCACTGCAGACGTAGTATGCCCTTATTTTTTACTTTCAACTATACTTATAATAATGCCACAAAAATTTAATTTTCTTTTTCCCTGACTTTTCCCAGAAAAATTAATTCTACAGAACTGTTTGTTAAAAATATGAAAAATTCAGATTTTCAAAGATTTAAATTTGAAACTTTTTCAAAATTCAATTATTTCTAAAACAGTTTTTGTAAATAATTGAATTCTTTTGAAGAATATTTTTAAAATAGTATATATTGAATATCATTGAATTGAGGAAAATTTTTTGAAAATAATTTTCTTATTTATAAAGATAATTGAAATTTTGACGACAATTTTATTAAATTTTTGAACATAATTGAATTTCTGTAATCATTTATAATTTCTCAAAAATCCATTTTTTAGTGTTTTTAAAATCATCTATTTATGAAAATTTCAAACGCAACTCTTTTAAAATTCAATTTTTCAAAACTTGCTATTTTTGTTCATGTATTTATAAATTTAGTTTTTTTCTTCATTTTTGACTGACTTCGCGAGAAACAATAGAAACATTTTTTTGACACTTTAATATACAATAATTAATAATTAATGTGCAAAAACAAAAAGGAAATTTAATATTCAAGAAGTAAAAGTTTTTATCAACATTTATTTTCTTTCCCTTCAAAAATTGCAGTTTGATGAAAAATACGAGAAATTATGAATACAAAGAAAGTTGATGGAAAGGTTAGAAACCGTATTGGAAAATTCCGAAAATTCCTATCGCAAGTTTTATATATTTTTTTAAATTAATAATTAATAATTAATAATAATGCAGTATTCAAATACTGATAATTCGAAAGAATTTAATTATATTCCTTATACAATATCCATGACGCAGTCACAGCGAAAAGAACCGGGAAATCCGGGTTGTTTTGAAGAAATTCATAAAAAGGTTAGAATTAATTTTTAGTTTATAATTCAAATTCAAAATTATTGAAATTTAATTTATTGTATTTATTATTGGAATTTAATTTGTTGTATTTATTATTAAAAATTGAATTCCTTAGGTAAAGGATCTTTATCCCTGTAATTTCGAAGGTGCGAAATTGACACTAAAAAGGCAGTTGAGTCAGCATTTTAATGTGATTCACTCGTTGATATTCAGTTCAATGACACCGTCGGGTTACAGATTCGGTGCGAATTACACGGGACCAAAGCGTGTTGGCCTTTTGGAAAAATATCCAGTGCTACGTGGTGAAATAATGCCTAATGGAAACATGACCGCCACTTTTATGCACTCATTAACTTGCCAATGGCGATTTAAATTAGGCGCACAAATCGAGAGTAAAGAATACAAGGCATTAAGTTCAACCCTCGAATTTCGTTCAAACGATTTAACCGCATCATTAACATTCGCCGATTTGGATTTTCTCAAGCAAAACGGAACTTTCGTTTTACATTACCTCCAGGCACTCACACCGAGAATGACACTTGGCGCCGAACTGGCATGTCGACGAGGTACAAAAACTCCTGGCTTTCAACAATCAATTGTTTCACTCGCCTGTCGTTATAGTACGGGGAAAAAAACTCTATCCACAACACTCAGCAAGGCTGGCATTCATTTATCCTATCACGTGAAAGCGAGTCCTCAATTACAATTGGGCCTTGAATTTGAATCAAATTTTCGAACAGCCGAAACTGAATCTGCAATTGTCTACCAAATGGATTTACCACAACTGGACATGACGTTTCGTGGTTTATTTAATTCCGAATTAACAGTCGCTGGTGTTTTTGAAAAGAGACTCTCGCCCTCGGTCAATTCGTCCCTAATTTTAAGTGCATTGTACAATCATAGAAAAGAACAATTTCGCGTTGGCTTCGGACTCAACATTGGCTAGCAAACAAGTAAATTACCCAAGAAAAAAATAATCTGTTCAAACTCGAGAAATATTGAATTTCAAGAGTCCAATAACATTCTGTATACAGTTTTTTACTTCGTCTTTTTTATAAAATGACATTTCAGACTTTATTTTCCTTTAATTGAAATAACTACTTCTTTTAAAAAAATGTGATTATAAGAAGTTTGTATTTTTTTTTATAATTCATCTTCGCGATTTTGTAATCTCTTCAAAATTTCTTCCTTCTCGTCAGAGTTTGTCTTTTTACTTTCTAATGTTTGAAAGGCATTTTCACTAATTAAACCCGTTTCATTGTCCGCGTATTGAAGAATATTGCAAATCAGCGGCGATTCAACGCCTAAAATATATTCACATGTTTTTGGCTCGAGAAGAAATAGTGAAACACTCGATTGACTGCCGAGGGGATTTGTCACGCATTTCAATTTTACCTGCAATGAGAAAAAGAAGATTCAATGAAAAGAATTATTAAAAATGAGAAAGTATTTAAATTATAAAAGAGAATTTTTTGTACCTCGGTTTGTCGAAGTTTTCCGGTTTTATCGCAAATACTTCCATCGCTGTAAAAATGTGACAATTGTTTTCCTTGAGCGAGAAGTTTCGGCTTCTTGTGAGGATGAGCCTCGATCCATTTTAAATGCTTTTCTTTGTCAAATTTCCCCAAATCGACAGTTGTCTTCGTTCCATCTCTTTCCAAATGATATTGCATAACTGACCGGCCATAACAGAATTCGTATTTCCACCATCCATTTCCCTTTTGATGAAAAAGAACAAAAAAGTGTTTAATTAATTTTTATTTCTAATAATTCAAAAAATTAACTAATTTCCAGGCCTCGGATTTTTTCTTTCTCGCCTTTTTTCGACTATTTTTAAAAAATGCGACTGTTTTCGACTTTTTGCAAAAGTTTTTTAATTTTTTCCGACTATTTCCAAAAAATGCGATTGTTTTCGACTTATTTTCAAACATTGGGACTCTTTAGACTTTTCCTCCAAATATTGCAACAAAATATCACATTTTTAGTATAAAATGCAACTTATTTCGATTTTTATTGTAGTGTGAAAAATATAGTATATAAAAATATTGTTTACTATTTATATTTAAAAGTAAAAATATTAATGGTAATCTCAAAACTAAAATATTTTTTCTAAATTGTTTATAACCATGTAAATCTTTTAAAATTATTCGTTAGGTTAAAAATCATTTTTAAAAAATGAAATTATTAAATTTAAGTTAAACCCCAAATTTCTTTCGATTTAGTTTTAAGTTCACCTGAATTCTTCTCTAAACTTACTCCATTTAGGCAATTTTTCCCACTCAAAAAGTTTTGAACAGGATTGTCCTTCGCTAAATTCAATTCCTGATCCACTAAATTATTCACCGTCTCATCAATATTGTAATGTTTGTCAAGAATATCCATTGGACGTATTTCAACTCGCACACGTGTTTCTCCATCCTGAAAAAAAATTTTCCAATTTTAAACTCAAATTGTACTAAAAAAATTTGTATTACATTCAATATACAATATTGAATTTTTCCCAAAATGTAAATCAAGACACATAGTTACAAAAAATCATCAACCTTAGATGTTTCCGACAGAAGTTCTTTTTTTTTTTGTTAATGTAAAAGCTTTCATACAACAAAAGCATTATAATTGGTTAGTTACAAAATGAGAGGAAGTAGAAAAATATTTTTTGTGCTTAGAGAGAGCCAACAACCTCAAAACCCAAGAAATGAAAGATCAGAATGTTATGGAAAATGGTTTTTTTTTGTCGTTGAGAATACCTTTTGATTTATGGATGAAACAATATTTTTACACACAGAGTTAACATAATTTCGAATTTAATTTAATTTAGTTTCAATTTGAATTTAATTTCAATTTGAATTTAAAATGAAAATATTTTGTTTAAACACAGGCAAAAATGTAATTTACTTTGTTCGTAGATAAGTAAATTTAAAAAAATTATGATAAAAACTAAGAATTGACCATTTTTCATAAAATTTTTTTGCGAATTCAATTATTTTCACAAAATTTGCAATTAAATTTCTTTAAAAGTTGATTTTCAAAAGTTCTAATAATAATACTGGAAAAAAATCAATTATTTTCAATTAAATTTTACAAAATTTCAATTATACCAAATCTCTTTATTATTGCATACTTGGAAAATTTAATTAGAAAAATGATTAAAAAATAATTTTTGAAAGATTTGTCTGTAGTTATTTTTCACAATAGAAAATTTATTATTATTTACTATTATTGGAAAATAGTCGAAAAAGTCATAATTACCGAGGCCTGGAAACAGTAAAGCAATTTTTAAATTGTAATTATTTAACTCTGTATATATAGAAAGAAATGTATTAATGATGAAAGGACAGAGTGAATGTGAAAAGATAAATTCCTGTGATTAATATAGTTTTTTGTTTGAGAGAAAAGTCCGTTCCCCTAAAAAGGAAAATAATTCTGACCTGTCCTTCCTTATCTACATGGAATATCGCATAGACTTTCTGCTTCTTATCATCATCCTGCATAAGAAATAATAATTACAACATTTATTTAATTCTGTTTTTTGTTTCTTTCTTAACATACCGTCTATCACTTCTCGACATTTTTAGTAGAATACTTTTCTAAAAATTACATTTTATTTACAAAAAAAGCTTATTATTTTTCAAAAAGCAACTAAAAATTCAGGCAATTTGTTTCTAAATACTAACAATTAAGACAATTTTAATTTTCAAGCGATAAAATTAGAAATATACAAAAAATTAAATTGTTAATCGTAAACAGAGTAATTTTCAAAAATAGAATGTCATAGAACTTGCATTCTACTCTAAATAAATAAAACAAATAAAATAAAATAAATAAAAGAAATAAATAGATGAAACATAAAATGAATTTACCGGAATTTTCTGATGTCTCAATTTAAGACTCTCGGCGTCGAGTTGCGAGAGTGATTTAGGCCTTTTGGGAGCGTCATCAACGGGACGACAGTTAATGTCATTTTCACCGGTGTTTTGTGGCTTATAATCGGGATGACTGCAGAGAAGTGGCGACAATACAACAGCCTCGTATTCACAACTGGAAATTTCTTTGAGTGAAAAAATCTCGTGCTTTCCATGTTGATAGCAAACGTAGAGAACTTTCGTTGATCTTGGCTTATTATTTAAATCGCACATTGTCCCATCGCTCATATCAATTTCCACGTACGGCATATTAATACCGTCGACCTTCTTCATTGGAATGTGTGTCTTGCGATTTGGATTTTTCGCCAATTCATCATAATCACTGGACATTTTTATTTTTTGTGTCTTATCAAATGTTCCTAAACTGAATTCTTGGAGATTCACCTTTTTTCCTTCACGCTCCTCGTGATATTGTCGTACATGTCGTCCGTGACATAATTCATAGGTCCAGTACGACTCTAACTGCAAAAAATTAGATAATATAATAAATATTACAACAGTTAATTAATTAATTAAGTCAGGGTAAAATAAAATCAATTCTTGTACATAGTACAACAATTAATCCTGAATATAATTGAATCTCGGTGAAGAATTTTACAATTTATAAAGATAATTGAAATGTTGCGAGAATTTTTTTTTAATTTTTTGAAAATAATTGAATTTCTGGAAATAATTTTAATATTTATTAAGATAGTTGAATTCTTTCAAAGAATTGCGTTAAAAGTTTTAAAATTGCGCTGTTAAAATTGCAATTAACGATAAATATTACAATAAATATAATAATAATAGTAAGAAATTATACGAACACGATACGAGCAGCTTTTCTGATTAAAAAGTGGAGTCAGGATTTCAATCGGATTTGGTCCCGTGTACGTTTCTCCCTGATCACTCTCCTGTTTATTCGTGTCGGGAATAAAACACTGATATTTCTCATTGTTAGCTGTGGTGATAAAATAAGGTTCCACATTTTCAGGTTCCTGAAAATATTTATCCACAATTCATAAAAATAGACTTTTGTATTTGACAAAAACAAAAAAAAAAAATTCTGCCAAATAGAAAATAGAGACGTACCAATAATTCTGCACTACTTTTGCCCGGCCAGTTTATTTTAAAAAGCACCGTGTCATCGAAAGCTTTCAAATCGTGACAATAAACTATGTATAAATTAACAAATAATACTAAAACTTCACTATATAATGTCCCTTTGAACCCCCGCATTGTTGTAATTATTACTTCACATATTACTTGTCTTTAAATTTGATACTGATGATGTGTATTTTGTGACGACAATATATAATAAGAAAATAAATTGCAACCAATGTTTTTGTTCCTCAACAGCAGACGATCCACGTAACTATTTTTGAATGGCCCAACACCCCCAACACGAAAAATTTAGTTTTTAAGGTTATGTTTCAAGAAATTTTTCAGTTCACTACAAAATTAAAATGACAGTGAAAACTATTGAAAACATTGAAAAATATATTCGAAACTAATTTCCTATTAGTATTATTTACTTCTTTATTTACACTGTTTACAGTTATTAAAAATTTAATGCAATTAATCAATCTGTCATTAAATATATAATTTAAAAATTTCCTCCTATTTCAAAATGATATTTTTGTCCAGTGCAGCCAATAGGATAGTGGCAGCACTGGACAAAACTATTGCAACGTAGAAATACGTCTGTACACAAAACGCACAAAACTAAAATATTTCACCTATTTTATTGTTATCGAATTAATTAATAACTCTATGAAAATATTTTATATACGGTTAATTTTTAATTAATGTAATCTAAATTACTTTTTTGCACTTTAAATACCCCGGGAACGCAAGCGCAGTTATATTCAGCAATGTTCACAGCAGTTCACAGTGGCATCTCTGATTCGTGCCACAATTCACACGATTCACACCAATAAATTTTTTAGACACTGCAGTGATTGACAATTGTACACGAGTAAATAATAGTTATTTTGCAAAATATATATAAAACTTTTCCAATCAAAATAAATAACAATTACTTATCGTTCACTGCATTACATTAAGGTACGTGAAATATCATTAATCTTAAAAACAGATATTTAATTTCAACAAAAAAATTTGACAATTTTTTGTTATGAAAAATAATTCTGATTGAACATATATGTATATATATATATATATATATATATATATATATATATTGATTTGAAATTAATTACTTTTAAACGTTTTTATTGTGGTGCTCTTTACATTCTGGTACAAAATGTAACATTTTTCTTTTTTTTCTAAACAACTATACCGTATTTTTTTATTTTTCCCAATAAAATTGATTGTAAGCATCGGTGTAACATAACCTCAAATGTTTCATTCAAAATTGATGAGTAATAATAATATTTCAAAATCCACTGATAAATATGTAATTGTTTCTTGAAAATAAAATTCTCTTAATTTTTTTTAAGTGCAAAAAGGGTATTAAAAAACAAAAACCTTTAAGTAAATGAATTTTAAATTTTGTTTACTACTGAAAACATTTTTTCATCTGAGAAAATGAAGATTGACATAATTTGTAATTAAAAAAAGTATCACGAACTGAATATTTTTTCTTCCAGGACAACTGAATTTAAAAAAAAACAAAAATATGTCTTCTGACGTGAACATGCAAGCAGAAAAGGTAAATAAAAATTAAAAATTCTGCACGTAAGCACTTTTGCATGATACATTTTTTTCTGGGCAAAAAAGACGGTTTGAGACTTTTTTTCAGTTCGACAATAAATTAGAATTTCATAGTTAAAAAAGAGAAAAGATTAAATAATTTCAATTAAAACAAATTAATAGAAAGGATCTTTTGTCAAAAAAACCAAGCATTCAGATTTCGATGAAGAAAACGAAGGTAAAGGCGAAGAAGAAGGGAGCACTTCATCTAGTGACCTGCATGTGGTACCTATTGTTTTGCCAATCAAATGATGAAGTTTTAATTTCATAGAAAAATATTCTTCAAATCAGACACACAGTATTCGGCTAAATTCATATAATTAAAAAAAATATTAGCGAAGAATTTAATTTTCAAATTCAAATTGTTTATTTTTGAAAACAAGCGAAGAAAAAATTTCCGCATAAGATACACATAAGGGAAATAAATTTAAAAAATAGTATAATTTTTTTTCACTTTTAAATTTATCTAATTGTAAAATTAGAGAATTTGTAAATTTGGATTTAATTTTGCAAATATAGTCGAGTGAATTTCTTTCGAATTTCTTTATGCAAGCTTTTGTTTTATTTTTATATCTTTTGTTGGTTAAATGGTTTTTCGATCTAATTCATGAAATTAAGTAAAATATTAAAAAGAAAAAATATTTAAGACGAAAAGAACTAATGAAAAATAAATTCACAGGAATCGGGTCCAGTTTATGGCGGTTGTGAAGGTCCAGACGCAATGTACGTGAAACTTGTAAGCAGCGATGGTCACGAATTTATCGTCAAGAGGGAACACGCTTTAACAAGCGGCACGATTAAGGCCATGTTAAGTGGTCCTGGACAATTTGCCGAGAATGAAGCGAACGAAGTCAATTTTAGAGAAATTCCGTACGTATACTTTTATTTTATTTTCATTTTTTTAAATATTTATAAATTTTCTTTCATATAAAAAATAGTATTCACAATTTCTTGCAGGGGTTGCAACAAAAAATTTAATTTTGTCCTTCCCTGAATTTTCCCTGATTTCCAGACAGAATTTTGAAATTAACAAAATTTTAAAAAATATTCAGCTTCATTCTAAAAATTATTCGATAGTGAAAAAAAAAGTTCTAATACATTTATTTGCCAATTTCTTTAATTGTAAAATTAATCGAAAACAATCAATAACTTCTTTTTTAAATAAAAATTTAATCAGTATTCAATTTTTTCGAAGTTTCGATTATTCGTAAATTCTTCAATTGAATATTTATTAGACAATAAAAACTTGAAATAATTTCAAAGAAATTTGAATTAAAATTTTTCAAAAAAATTAGTTTGACAGAATTGTTAATTATAGTATTAAAAATTCAGATTTTCAAATATTTTAATTTGAAATCTTTTGAAAATCAATTATTTCTAACGATTTCTATTATTTTTTTTAACTTGTTCAAAATTCAATTATTTTCTCGAATTTTTTTTACTGAACTTCAACTAATTTCAAAAGAATTCAAATTTAATTTTTTCAAAAAGATAAATTTAACAAAAATTTTTCAATTAAATTCATTCAAAATTGAATTTTTCTAAAATGTCAAATTGAAACCTTTAAAAATTCAATTATTTAAGAAAATTGTAATCTCAACTCTAGTAAAATTAAATTATTTTTCAAATTTTTAAGTAAAATTATTCATTAAGTCAATTCGTTTTAATAATTAAATATATTTAAAAATTGAATTACTTCCAAAAGAATTTGAATTTAAATTTTTCGAAAAAATAAGTTTTTCAAAATTGCTAATTAAATTCATTAAAAATTTAAATTTTCAAAAAAAAAACTTGTTATGAATTCTATAAAAGTTTATTTTTTACCAGTACTTTCAATAAAATTCCATGATTTCCCTAACCTGTGGCAACTCTGTATTTAGTTGATTAATTAATGAAAAAAATTATTTTGTTTTTTTAACTTTATCGAATTTTAAAATGAGCCAAATTTTTATTTAAGGCGATGTCAAAGTGGATTGGATTTTTGCATTGAGCTTCAATGGGAAAATCGCATCGACTTTGACACCGCCTTAAGGAAAATGTTATTTTTAGCTAAACTAGAAAATTTCCTTTTATTATTAAATTCATTATAAAAGATAGAAATCATATAAACAAAATTCATACAAAAAACATGAAATAACATGATAGTTATTACCGGGGGAAATGAATTAATAAAAATTAATTTTGCAGTTCCCATGTACTGCAAAAAGTTTGCATGTACTTCACCTATAAAGTGCGTTACACGAACAGTAGCACGGAAATTCCTGAATTTCCAATCGCTCCCGAAATAGCGCTCGAATTACTGATGGCTGGAAATTTCTTGGATTGCTAAACAAAAAGATCTCAAAATAAAATTAAAAAAAAGAAATCTACGAATTAACGAGAAAGCACACAAGCACCGAAAAAATAATATCGGTTGTTAATAATGTGCCGTTAAAAATCCACAATCTCAGGACAAATGTTGGCTTGGCTTTTTTTTAAAATGACTTTTTTGTGAAATGCAAAACAAATTAGTAACAAAAGAAAGAAAGAAAAAATAATTTTCACTACCATCTGCCTTGCCAGCACGCCTAAATCGAATAAAATTTCAATTCGATATTGTGCGAAACACAGCTTCAATTCAGAAGTAATAATAGTCTAATTATAATGCAATGAATTTTTTTTCTCGAGAAGAAACATTTCCCAAGTTTATTTTGCATAAATACGATAAATACTATGATGTCATTTTACATTTAATTTTGAAAGTTTTTCAACAATTTTCTGTTGTAATTTTATCACTTTTTTGGGGGGATGAAAATAATTTATGGATTTTTGGGAATTTAATTTCTGTAAAAGTTTGAAATTTTACGAAAGAATGTTGTTTTTCTCCTCTTTGGAAATTCAAGGTAGAAAATTATTCCAATGTACAATGTACATTAATATGTTGATCGACAGGGAATAAAATTTAATATTGTAAAATTCATTTTTTTGTCTGATATTTATAAAATGTATATTATTAGCTTGAAAATAAAAGTATAGGTAACATGAAAAACGTTCCCTCTCAATTTTTTTGTTTGATAAAAAAAAAGAATTTTTGTCTCTACAGACTCTATTTATCAAGAAGCTAAATAAATAATTAATATGTTGAATTAATTTTTCAGCAACTTTATTAATTAATTAATTAATTCTAATTTAAAGAAATAGAATTTACATTAGAGAAAAATGATTAGCTATACAATTGCTCCGCGAGAAATCACGTTGAAGTTCAAAACGTTTATAATCAAGAAAAAAAAATAATTTTTGTTCAAATTTTTATTTTTACACAAAAACAGTTTTGTAAATTTTTTTCATATAATTTAAAATAAAAAAATTTGTCAAGAAAAGTATTTTTTTACAATCTTTGATAATAAACGTTGTGAACTTTTCAACGACGTGAGAAATCGTGAAAGGAGTCGAGGAAAGAGAGAAGAAAAATTAATTTTTATTCTCCTTCTCAAGTTCCTTGAATTTATTTTCCAATCTTTTGGAATAATTGGCCAACTTATAAGCGGCCTGCTCCAATTTATTTACACTGTCATCAATCTGATTGATATTGTCTAATACGGGTTGTAAATTTTTATATTTCTCATTAAGTGAATTCAATGATTGGGAAACATTAGTGGCGATTGTTTTTAATTCGGAATATTTTGATATTGTCTCTTGATTAAGTCTTTCTAATAGTCGATAATCGGCGTGTGTCGCTGTCAATTCCTCCTGTAAATATTCACTAGTTTTTTGAAACATATTATTTGCCAGACGACTTAAATTCGGATCGTGTGGATCTAGTGCTTCAAAACTACTCGTACTTGTCGACAGAGTTGTTCCACGTTTTGGCGATTCACATTTTGAATTACCGTCTTCCTGGTAGTCTGACATTTGATCAATTTTCTGTTGTTCCTTGTTGCTTGGGTCCTTAATTTCAGATGTCATTTTTAATTTGACACTGCAAAAATTAATGGATTCAGAACTTTAAAGATTTAGATTTAGATAGTTTAGATGAAATAACCACACATTCTAACCACACTTATTTATCTTCTGTTAGTTTTTTGCGCTTTTTGTAAATGTTTCACTTGGCTTAAAACTAGCTTTTCTAGCCGAAATTATAATGAATGAATTCTGAAACAATTCAGAAAATAAAAATATTTCTAAAAGAAACAGTAGTTACCTGTGGAATTTTTAGTATAATTCAGTTCAAGTGGGTAATTTTCGATTTAATTATTCTCATCATTTTGATTGTCATAGTCATTGTCATTCAGTAACAGCAAAAATAAAGTTCGCTTTTCGGATTATTAATCATTAGGTCCATAAAGTTTCAAAACTTAGTTTATCTATTTCTAATTAAAAATCGTCTTTGAATAAGAATAAATTGTGGAAATCGAAGAAATTCACTGAATTCACTGACAAACCTAACCTAGTCTTCTTGACTATACTATATAGACTATATAGATTAAATGGTCGACAAGGTTGTTAGAAAAGTGGAGTGAATTGTATCAGAACTGGGAGATAGGGATGCATACCAGAGCTGCCAGGTACCCTCACCAAACGCAACTGCGCTTGCGCGACAAAAATGCTTCTATTTGTATATAAAACTTGTCCATCTAAAGTACTTTATATGTATAATATAAAACGTTTTAAAAATGCGCGGTTCATTTCGCCAATAAGATCATTTTTGTAGTGCAAGCTAAGTTGCATTTGGTAAGGGTACTTCTGATTAGAAGGTAATTTTGTAAAAGAAGAAATTGAAATTGTTAAAAAAAAGGTTTAAAATGAAAGTGAAATGTTAAATCAAGTTAAAATGTTTTGAAAAAATTAAAATTTAAAAATTACACCGTTAAACTGAAACTAAATTATAAGTAAAAAAGAGAAAAATGATTTAAATTTAAAGAAATAAATGTCTTTTACAAAATTACCTCCCCTCCTATTATTGATTATTTTAATTTATAAAAAAAAACACAAATGTGCTTTTGTTTTTATAAAAAATTTGAAAAATTCAAACAATAATCAATAAAAGAAGTAGCATGTTTTTTAATTTCTTAAAAAACCTGGTATGCCTTTTTACAGGCTGGTTCGGATCTCAAGAGATCTCCCGGTATGTACAATGGCAAAAAGTTATCACCACCAGGACCGAATAATGTTTTGTTAAATTATATCCGCAATTAAGCAGTATATTGTCCATCGTAGAAATTTGTATTTCCGGTTGTTGAGGTTCCTCCTTTTCTAAGTCCTTGAAAAGATTTACTTAGTGCTGAAAATGAGAAAATAATTACAAATTAATTAATTTTTTAATGTTTTCCATAAAAAAAACTATTTTTTAACTATAAATTTTAAAAACTTACATTTAAAAATGAATGTTGAAAGTGATGGGAAAAATTATTTCTGCAATTCTGCAGCCTCATGTTCAATGTCATCATTTTTGATCCGAAATAGATAATGATTTTTTATGGAATCCTTTGGTATGATTTTTTCTTGAACAAGTGCAAGATTAAGAATATTGCGTCCTGCATTTACATCTCTTTCCCACGTTGTCTTGCATTTCGCACAATAAGTGTAGCGATGGGGACTTTTTGATATTTTAAGTGGTCTCACACAGCGACTACACATTTTTGTTGTATTAAACTCATTTACTTTCACGACTTGCAATTTATCTTTTCCTAATTCTTCTGATCTTTGGAAAAGAGTTTGTTGAATACGTTTCAAAGGAGCTTTAGTGTATCCTTTGATAAAATTAGGTATTTCTGCTCCATTAATAGCAACGAAACAGGGTTTCTTCCTTGTATCACCTACTATCCAATTTACAAGTTGATCAACTTCTCGTTTGTGCGCCGAATATTGATCTATTTTTAAACGCGTTACGGATCTTTTTTGATGAAGTGATTGGAAATTTTGTAAAAGATGTATTCTATATTTTGTTATGCGATGGCGATCTCGAGGATTAGTCATGCAAAAATTTTCCATCCATGGATCCTCAGCAAGTTGCTTGTAATATTTTTGCATGTCTATACCTTTTTTCTTCATTAATTCTCTTCTTCTGTAGTCGCCCATCTGCCATCTCATCATCCAACTACCAATGTAAATAGCTGAATCCTTTTTTACATTAGTGGTTGGATTAGGATCGTTTTCTCTACTGACACCAGCCAGAGTCGCCCTCGCACCAGGATCAAAACCACAAAATTTTTTGTAACTTCCAACTTTCTTCTTTGATTGCACAACATCATGTTTTGTGGGTAAATCAAAAATTACTGACACGTCCACACCATTTGTCGTTATTGTACCAGAGAATTTACCACCATTCTTTAATTTTTTTCGACCTCTTTGGATTGATTTAAAGTTGAACATTGAATTCCACCTTTCTTCATTGTTCATTTCTCTTAAGCGCTTCATTTCATCGTCCATTTTATCAACTGCTCTTTGAAGATGATCCTTATTCGTTCCTGATTTTCTTTTCTTTTTTTGTAAAATTGCCTTTTTTTCTTTAATTTCTTGAATAACAGTTGCCACTTGCAAATCTTTTAAAGCAGTATTTGTATAAACGACATGCTTCACGCCTATAATGAAATTTGTGGAATTAATGTGAAATTCTTCTTCTTTTTATCATGAAATTCTTGTTGAATCATAATGAAAAATGGCAAAAATTTATGCCATTCTTTATCTTTTGTCAATTTTGTAAAGTCCAATTTTCTTCCATCATCATCATCATCCTTTTTCAGTAGTAAATCAATAGGGAATCCTTTCACTTGACATTTATTTTCTTGCAGCAGGAGATTTAAAGCAGCAACAGATTGTTTATAAAATGAAGGCCTTCTTTTTCGAAATTTCTTTTTTTCCTTATTCTTCTCTTTTTCTTTTTCCTCATTCTTCTCTTTTTCCTTATTCTTCTCTTTTTCTTCTTCTTTTTCCTTTTTCGATTTTTTTCTTCGCCTTCTTGGCCTTTTTTTATAATAGACTTTATCGCAATGTTTGTGATATTTTTCCTGTCGAACATATCTTTCATCGCAATAGTCTGATGTATTTTTTTCTCGCATTTCATCTGGAATTTTTTTTTGAGATTTTTGAAATTCTTTTCTTTGTTCATTTTTAATGCTATTTTTAAAACTCCTAATTTTTATTTTTTCATCATTATCATTTTCGATACGGTAAACTGAACAAATTTCTTGAATTTCATCTTCTTCCATATGATTTTTTTCTTCGTCTTCAATTTCCATTAATAGCTGCAAATATCTTCTTAATCGTGATGCTGCATGCGTCGTGAAATTTGTTTTAAAGTTTCGATTCAACACTAAAGCTGCCTCCTGAATTATTGCACTTCTATATTCTCCGTCATAAAGTGGAATGTCATTCCTTAATTCTTTATATTCGTTGACCATTGTATTTATTTTTGCATCCTGTTCAGTTACTTTACGTTTCGTATTTTCTTTCTGCTTTAATGATATTAGTAATGGCAGAAATGCGGGACCATTGTTGGTCCATTTCTCCAACAATGATGGGCAATTTTTAACATTTTCAACATTTGTTTCTTCATATAGGCCGAATAATGCCATTGTTGTTGCCTCATACATCATTGATGAAACAACCTTTGCATCTTCTTCAATTCGATTTTTAATGTTTGCTGATTTACATAATTTTCCCAAACAAACTTTTACCGTATGCTTTTCTGTTCCCATTAATTCCAATCTTCTTCTCACTTTATGATGCAACGGTTTATCAATATTTTCATTATCCAAAGTAATTGACGTTCTTTTTCTGTTTGAAGAAACACCAATTGCAGATTTCTCGACACTGTATTTCTTTCGTTTTGAAGAGGGGCCAGCACCACTTTCAATTGATGAGTCAACACCTATAATTGGAAGAAATGGAAATTTTCTTAATTTTATATAGAGAGAGATTAAGAAAATATAAAAGAAGAAAAAAGAATACAAAATTTTACCTTCTCTTTTTGAAGTTGATGTTGAATGGGAAAATTTAGCTTCTTGATTTTTCGATTTTTTTACTGTTGAAGAAGTGATTTTTAAATCGAGTCCAGTTGATGACGATGATGATAATGATGTTTCTGTTGGTACACGGTAAACTGAACATGGTGACAGCTTTTTGGGAGAATCACTTGGTGCTGAAAAAGAAAAAAAGGAATTAAATAAATTAAAATTTTTAAATTGTTATTTTAATAAAATATTTTTAAAATGTACCCAGGTGAAAATGATTCATCGTACGAATCATTTTTTCCTTGGTTAATTATTAAAAACTTACATTTCAAACTTAATCTTTGACTATGAAATGAAATTTTTTTTTCCGGTCCTTTACTCGAAGATAAAATTTGCTTTTCAGTCTTTCCAATTGAACTGATAGACATTTCTTCGCGAGACCTAGTTGGTGCTGAAAATTAAAAAGAAACAAAAGAATTAAAATTAAAAAATTCCTCAATTTAAATCAAATACTAGAAGAAAATAATTTTAAAAAACTTACATTTTAAACTCAATCTTTCACTACAAGAGAAAAATTGTTTCTCCGGAATTCCAGATTTTAGATCTTCAGTCTTTCCAATCGAACTGACACACACTTCTTCGCGAGATCTGGTTGGTGCTGAAAAATGAAAAGAAGGAATCAAATAAATAAAAATTAATAATTTTTTAATTTAAATCAAATACTTAAAGAATATAATTTTAAAAAACTTACATTTTAATCTAAATCTTCCACTCATGACAAAAGTTTTCTTCTCTGCTTTTCGATGTTCTGACTCTTCTGTCTTTGGAGTTGATGACGATGAAGAAAATGTCAAATTTTCGTGAGATTTTTGTGTCTGTGAGTTACCGTAGAAGAATCTGGTAGAATGTCCTTCACGAGATTCATTTGTTGCTGAAAAAATAGAGAATAAACAAATAAATTACAATTGTTAACTTTACATGTAAATAAAAATATTTTTAAAATACATCTGTTAAACACTAACATTTTAAACTCAATCTTTCACTGGAAGTAAAAGATTGTTTCTCCGGAATTCCAGATTTCACATTTTCAGTCTTTTCAATTAAACTGGTAGACATTTCTTCGCGAGATCTAGTTGGTGCTGAAAACTAAAAAGAAACAAAAGAATTAAAATTAAAAAATTCCTTAATTTAAATCAAATACTTGTAGAAAATAATTTTAAAAAACTTACATTTTAATCTGAATATTCCACTCGGGCGAAAAGTTTTCTTCTCTGCTTTTCGAGGTTCAGCCTGCTCAGTCATTGAAGTTGTTGGTGATTGAGAAAATGTCAAATTTTCGTCAGATTTTTGTGTCTGTGAGTTACCGTAGAAGAATCTGGTAGATTGTCCTTCACGAGATTCATTTGTTGCTGAAAAAATAGAGAATAAACAAATAAATTACAATTGTTAATTTTAAATGTAAATAAAATTTTTTCAAAAAATAACTTTTAAACACAAACATTTTAAACTCAATTGTCGTTTTCTCTTCATTATGTCAATACAGTAGATACTGGTACATGAATTTCTGTAAAAAAGAAAAATTTTTTGTTAAGAAGACAAAATAATAAGGGTGCAATCTAATGGTATCGTTTTGCGTTGGGTTTTGTAATTAGGCTATTTGGGTATTTTTTTAAAATTTTAGCAACTACAAGCTACTACTTGTGTTAATATATATATATTTTTTTAGAATTTCCATTACATTAAATTCACAAATTATTTAAGATCAAGCAACTATTTACAAAAATGATAATAAAATTCTTTAAAACGAAATTCAATTAGTAGTTTAAAAAAAATCTTTGAAATTCAATTATATTGTCTTGAAATTAGAAAATAATCAATTATTTGAGAAAATCATTTTCAAAAACATGAATTATTTAACAAAATTTTCATTAAAATAATTATAGTTTTGATAGAAATTTGAAAAAAGTCTGCATAATATAATGTAGAGAATAAATAATTTATAAAGTTTCTAAAATAAATTCTTTTAATAGTCAAGTTACAAAAAGCAAAGCAAATAACGATGCCATGGGACTGCACTCGGGGACTTATTTTATCAACGATTATTTAATAAACTGTCGAATAACGTTAAAAATTAAATGTACCCACGATAATTAAACGATCTATGTAACAATCGGGATTAATTGAAGAGAAAAAATTACTTATTAGTCGCTTTTTGAGTGTAACAATTTTTTAATGCCTCATCAGAACAAGAGGTATTATTCATTACTTTAAAAACGAAATTAACCCGCGTGATATTGTTATTAATGAATAGAGAAAAGAAAACACGTATGTACATAAAATTTCAAAAAATTTAACGTTATCCGTATGCCCTAACGATGGGTCTATCGTTAAAAATTGTATTCGTTGCCGTAAAACAGCTTAAGTCTTTTCAGTATGCCTTTAAAAGGCTTTGCCGTAATACAGCTTTACGTCCGTTTTGCCTTAATAAGGCTTTGCTGTAATACAGCTTTACGTCCGTCTGCCTTAATAAGGCTTTGCTGTAATACAGCTTTACGTCCGTTTGCCTTAAAAAGGCTTTGCCGTAATACAGCTTTACGTCCGTTTTGCCTTAATAAGGCTTTGCTGTAATACAGCTTTACGTCCGTCTGCCTTAATAAGGCTTTGCTGTAATACAGCTTAAGTTCGTCTGCCTTAACAAGGCTTTGGTACTATTGCTTACCTGTAACACAGTTGAGCATGAAGTGCCAGTCTCGTCTCGGGCGCCTGCTTATATACCCGTGTCCCCACCACTTCGAGCGTCTTCACCAGTGCGCGCTTGTACTACTAGCGCCGTGGTGATGTACAAACTATTTCAAGCATATTTTCGGTAACTCGTATCACGAGTCGATAATGCAGAAAGTGAAATTACCTATAGTTGTGTCAAATGCTTGGTGGCCAAAAGACTAAATTGCCATTTCGCTAAATTAAAATTTTACACAGTAAAAGGTTAGGTTCGAAACACTCAGTCGGTAAAACAGTTTTGCTGTGCGTGGTTTAGCAACATGGAAATTTAGCCTTTTGGCCACCAAGCAAATTTCAAAATAAAGAATTTGTTGGTAAAGCAGTTTTGTTTTGTTTACGATAATCTGTGCAGAATGGAATATACAAACGTGTTGTATAATTAATTAAGATAAGTATTGTTTTTTAATGAATAAATAAATAAGTAAATAAATAGTTTAATTATTTTAATGCGAATTAATTTTTTTTCAGGTTTAAATTATAGGTGCAATATATGACAGTAAGGAGAAGAAGAAAATTAAATTGTGCATTGAGGTTAGTTTTACTTTTAATATTATAAATATATATAATAATATATAGTAAATAACAAATAATTAATTTATTAATTATAAATAACAATATTAAAAAAAAAATTAATTGAAATTTATTTTTATCAATATAAATTTTGATAATCACACAAATTAATATTAAAGGTATATTGAAATTGTTTTTATTTTTTAGGTTAAAAATTCCAACCATACGGCAAGTCATAATAAATTTGACACATACCATAAGGAAACGAGCGACACCAGTTCGGAAAATTAATTAGGATAAATATTGTCTTGAAATTTTATTTTGGGGTTAGTTTAAATGTTTAATTATTGTTTATATTAATAAATAGGTATATTTTTTTTCTCTTGTTTTTAACTCTATATGTAGGCTTCTCATGGAAACATTGTTTTATTGACAAATTTTTTTTTAATTTAAAATTAACCTTAGAAGAATAGAAAATGTTGACAAAGAAATTACAGTTCCTCTACGGGTGACTTGTCTAAACAGATAATCTTTGATTCGCTGCTTTTTTGACAAGATGGTTACTAAAATATTATTTTGAATAATTTAGCCCATTTGCTGAAAAACAATTTCTTGGATAAACTCATTTTATTAAGTAAACGTTTGTGTAAAGCCACATTATATCAAATTACATTTATATGGATTTAACGTTTGACATAATTTGTAATTTTGATCAAATTACATTTTGGACTTTTTAAAAACGGGGATATACAGGCGCCCCAATCAAATATGTTCGCTTTCGACTAGGTATTAAACGTTTTAAAAATGCGCGGTTCATTTCGCTAATAAGATCATTTTTGTAGCGCAAGCGCAGTTGCGTTTGGTGAGGGTACCTGGCAGCTCTGATGCATACATTCGCCTCAAAATGAAAAGAGCAGAACGATTATTACGTCGAATCCAAAAACGAATATTAAATTTGAGAAAATTATTTACTCGAATTAACATTTCACATAGCTTCTATTTTCAGTTTTCACTAAACAATAAATAACTAATACACTGAAAAAAAAAATTTATTTGATTCAAATAACCGATTAATTGACTATTATCAATTAAATATTTAATTGAATCAAATAATATTTATTCGAGTCAATTAAATGGTATTCGCTTCAAATACTGAAATTGTTGGTTCAAATACCATTTAATTGACTCCAATAAATATTATTTCATTCAAGTAAATATTTAATTGACAATAGTTAATTAATCGGTTATTTGAATCAATTAAATTTTTTTTTCAGTGTAGAATTTTAAAATGGTCGATCTGTTAATTTCTTGAATAATTTAAAAAAAATGTTTTTAAAATAATTCTTCGCAGACATTCAATTATTTTTATAAATAAAAAATTTTTCACAGAAATTCAATTGTTTATAACAGAATTTTTCTAATATTTTTCGAAAAAAATCAATTATTCAAATGGATTTTTATAAAATTCTTCACAAGAATTCACTTATTTTTATAAATAATAAAATTCGACTCAGGAATTTAATTATTTTTTAAAATTTTAACAGTAATCGTTGCAAGAATTCAATTATTTTTACAAATATTAAAACTCATCGCAGAATTTCAATTATTTTTAATAGAATTTTAATAAATGAATTCCGCGCAAAATGCAACTATTCTTAAAACTTTTAATAAAATTCTTCGAAATTGAATTTTGAAAGAATGACTTTTTTAATTTTTAGAAATAGTTAAATTTAAAAAATGCGTTACATTGAAATCATTTGAAATATTTTAATTTCTGTAGACAAAATAAATTCGGTATTTTAATATTTATTTTAAAAAAATGTTCTATTTTTGAATGGAATTAAGAAATTATTATAAAAAAATTGAGTTGTCAAGTTTAATATTTCGACAGCTACTTCTTTACTACTTTTTTTCTGTCTTTAAGCTACACTTTATAGTTTATACTTTTTGCTACTTTTTTAAAATTAATTATCGAATTCGTATTTTTTTGGAGTCAAAATGTTAAAATTTAAAAATTAGTACTTTCTAAAGTTGTAATGAATTTTCCATGTTTAATTAATTATTAACAGTAATTTATTTTTTTCTTGAAACTGTCGCAAGGTTAGATTGATTTTTTCTTTTTCTCTATAATTTTACCTTAAATCGTAGACAGGTCTTTGCGTACATGATCGAGCGTGCACGTAAAAATGACTCCTAAAAGAAATCCTCTGTTATAAATTGCACATGCATGCAATTTTTAATCATATTGTCAATTTTAAATGATTTAATAATTGTTTGCAGTCTCGTCTTCTCCTTGACTCCTTGCTTATGCATTTCTAATACGAAGTCAAAGTCTTGAAATTGCGCTTATAATATACCTTATTAAGCATCTACGACGTTAAATAATCATCTGTCGAAAAATGACCGATAAGACTCTATCATTACATATTGTACACAAATAATAAAAAATAAAAAAAAATAATAATTCGTTCCTTTTCTTCGGAGTGCGTTACAAACATTACATTAGAAAATTTTAATTAATAAATAAGTTAAAAATGTAAATAAATAAATAAAATAGGTATAATTATTTTGTCAATAAATATTGTAAAATTATAATACGAAAAAGGAAAATTTTGCAAAAACTTGCTCTATTTAAATACTTTGTTCCGTAAATGCACATAATTGCATTAGACGCACAAAAAAATATTGTGCACTACGTCAATAAAACAATTTGCATTGGACTTTTCGTGTCAAGTTCAAGAAAGAAAAACTTTATTATGATTCACTTTCTCGTAATATGTATTATATTTTTTCTACTGATAAAAAACGCAAATGACGACAATTATAACTTTTAATAAAGTGGCAACGGAATTAAAATTTTCATACTAAATACTCATTTCTATTATGTATATAAACATTTGTATTATTTGTATTATTTGTTTACTAAATTTTGAAAAAAGTACATTTAAAAAATTGCAATGATTATGAAATTGAATGTGAAAAATGTTGTCTGCAAGATTCCGTTAATAGTATTACATCTGACTTTTGGCGCAAGAAAGAGATTGTTGTATATACATATATTATGTGTGTAGCAGTGAAAAGTGTGCTCGGTGCACTTGCACTGGGAAAAATTATAAAATCTTTGTTTAATACTGATTGCACTTTCCTATCCGGTGCGTGCGAGAGATAAACGGAAATGCAAACTATTAAACGAGTTTTTGTCACGCATTGACAAATGCTTTGTCTAATTTATAGGACATCAATTTTATTTTAAACTTATTTCCACTATTTTCCATCATGAATTATATTTAATAACAACATTATTTACAAATAAAGCACATTCCTGCCATTGGGAAAAATGGTTTAAAAAAATATCGTCACTTAATTTTGTTTAATTTTGAATTTAGACGAAATAAATTATTGGACCTTTTGGTTTTTGGAAAATTTTTCTCTTCGCCTAACTGTAAAATAAATCAAGTCTTCACTCAATTATGCGCAATGAAATAGAAATTTTCGTTGAATATACCAAAATCTTGCAAACTTTCTTCCGTTAATGGACCATCTGCTTGTAATCATCTTTTAAATCCCCCTTCCATTATCATTGTAATTTATCTTGGGCGATATTATTAGAAAGCGCTCTCATCTAAATCTAAAACTGCAAACTATGTTTCTAGACTTAAGTTATGGAATTCAGGATTTTTAGAAAATTTTTCAAAATAACATTCTCTTCGAAGTAAAAAAAACAGAAAATCAAACAATGTTTATAGAAATAACTAAAGTTCTATTTTTAGTTTATAAAATTTATTTTATATTCTAAAATAAATAAATAATAAACTAAAATAAATAAAAATAAATAAAAAATACTCACTAAAAAAAATAAATAAAAAAAAAAAAAATTTTATTACAAAGAGAACTTAAAGCGAGACAATATCTAAAGTGGAACAAATGCTGCACGGGGGATATAATGCATTCGATAAAGAAAACCTATTCGATATAAAATTATTGTAATTTAAAAATTTTTTATGGCTTTTTTTATATATATATATATGCAAAATCGGAAATTGTTGTATTTTCTGCATCAAAGGTAAAAATAAAATTTATCGATTAAAAGACTTATTTAATAAGAAAGACTATAACTATGGAGCATCTTCGCTATGAAATAATAAATATATTGTTGACAATAGGTTTCGAATTTATTTATAACCGCATTTTAGAGTTCCAAATTCTTTATTATTTTATTAAATTCTCTATTTTAATTCTTTCATGAAATATTTTATATTATTACAAAATAGAAAGGTGTGTTGAAATTATTTAATATTTTTAATTTAATTTAATTTAATTTAAATTTCAAATTTTTATCATTAATATTAGTGCGGTAGGGGAGGGTGGTCCCATACCAACCCCCTAAAGTGCAAAGGCTAAAAATGTGCCAAAAATGTGTTTCTTTGTCTTCGTTAAAAATTTTTTTAGTAAAGGAACTATTTTTCAATGTTTTCTGACGGTTGCCGAGGTTTCTGATTGTCATTAATAAAAGATCTAAAGAAAAAGCGAAAATTTACGTTTTTAACTTTTTCAAAATGGGTGGTCCGAAACGGCCCCCCCATTTTTTTGGGGACAATCTCAGGAATAATCAAGATATCAAATTCTGATAGTAATTAAAATAAAATTCAACAGTAGTCTGTAATGAACTGTTAAATTATTTTGACTTCATTTAAATACATTTTTTGACCTTTTTCTGAACAAAAAGGTAAATAAATGAATCATTAGTAACTTTACTCTGAGATTATTTATGTCTTTAAGTTATGTTGACATAGTTAAACTTGAATTAATATTATTACTTTATTTAAATAAATTTTAAGGCCTTTTTTAAAATGATAATAAATATAAATTGTTAAACAGTGTCTAAATTTCCAATATAATAGCAGCACTGGTTTTGCCTGTTTTAATTTTCGCCCTATTTCTAGTAAAATATAAACGAATTTTGTTATTAATTCTTTTTCGTTTTCGTACTTAATTGCTTCCAAAGATGTCGAAAAGTACACCTTTTCTTAATTCATGTCGCCTTGTCAAGAACATTTTACAACCGACAATGAATAAAATATTTAACCAAAAGAGAATTAAATTTAAGTAATAAGTGCTGTGATTGCTAGTAAAATATTTTATAAATTCCTAAAAAATAAAAGTAAATATGCAAAACCTATCCTCACTTCATGTGAACAATAAGGAAGAAGAGAATAAAAAATTACAATGTAAAAATATGGGGGTCGGTTTCGGACCACCCCACTATTTTCACAAAATATTTTGCCAATCACTTATATCAGTGGAATCAATTTAATTTGAATGTTGTACGTTGAAGTTAAGGTCATATACAATCAAAATTAATTTCGTAAAAATTTTCCTGTATTCAAAAAACACTGTTAGCTCGAATTCCGTATAGGTCAAAAATTAATTTAAACAATGCTAAAATCTAATATTGCTTGAATCTTCAAAATGAAATGAAACGCATTGATAAAACCTATGGCCCAGTTGTTGGTACATACGTGTTGTGAAAGTGTTCGACTGATGGTACTGGCGAATTTTTTAGTGGTACCATCTTCAAGAAACATAAGGGGGTCGGTATGGGACCACCCTCCCCTAATGGATATTAATTTTATCATTAAAATTAGTGCAGTAATTAATAGTGATTAATATTAATTTTATCATTAATTAATAATGGTAATTAATATTAATTTTTAATTAGCATAAATTTGCAAGCGTAGTTTGCAGCAAATTTCCGTTTTTTATTCAGTTTGAAGAAATTACTGTGTTAAAATGTTTTCTCAACTGTAACCATATTAGAAATCATTCTGCTCTTTCATAAAACAAACAATGAACTAGAAAAATTTTCTAACAGGAAGAGGAAGCTCAGTTAATTACAATTCCACTTTTAAATGTTATTTTGTTTAAAATAAGCTCACTGGAAGCTTGTACAGAAAAACAAAAAAGAAATAAAATAAAAGTAAAACAAAGAACAAAAAAAGTAGTTTTATTGGCCTTCTAAATGAATTTTAGAAATGGAATGAAGTCATAAAAGATC